GCAAGAGGTCCTTGGCAAGAATCCCGGCTTTTTAGAGACACACGGTGCCCTTGAAAAGTCTCCCTGGCCTGCTCTGCCTGCCTGCACCAGGGCTCACAGGGGAGCAGCGGCTACTGGCCTGAGGGGGCAGGTCGCACACATGGAACTGCAAGAGGATCTTGTTCTTGAGATGGAATATCACTGGAGAGAACAAACAGAGTGGTAAAACAAAACAAAATTGTGCCAAATGGGAACAGGAGCCAGGCCGGAGGCAGCAGTGTTTGAATGTCCAATGCATTATTTTATATATATACATGCATATATATATATAAAGAAACTCTTGAGAATCACACTAAATATATCAAGTGGAGCCTGGCCTGTGCACCAGCCCCATGGGACACCTGACCTGGTGTTGCACTTAGCCTGCCTCTGTGCCAGCCACAGCCCCTTTGCAGGGCTTGAATCCGTCCAAGAATTGTCTGTTGTTGGTGCTGCTATAATTTAAAAGTATTGTGGCCTCACTTTGCCCTAGATGGAGCAATTAGAGGTCTATTGGATCTTCAGACTCCCTGCTTCTCATGCAGCAGCCACTGCTGCCAACATTCACCAGGCTGCATTTTTAGCCATTGTTCACAGAACTCACTTCAATGTGCTGGGGGATTTCCTACCTGTTTGGTAGGTTAGCCACAGGCCCTGCTGGAAGAACCCCAAAATATTTGTTTTCTGTGGCAACTGCATCATGGTTCTGAAGTGTTCTGTACTTTTTTGTTTTTGTTTTTTTGCTTGGGGAGGGAATAATTTATTTTTGGATCAGGTCAGAAATTGTCCTAAAATATGAAGTTTCACCAGTGTTCAGCAACTAATGGTGCCAGAAATTTTACACTCATTCGGTTGTATTCTATTTTAAGTGGTTACTACCTTGATAGTGTTTAAGCTCCTCTGGAGATACTGATAGAAATTGCCTGGCCTGCAATTACCCCATTTTTAGCTTCCATGTGTCAGGTGTTTAACTCAGTCTGTTACCAAATCCTTCTGCATCCTTTTAAAGGGGACAGAGAGGTGTATTTGTATTCCTGTGCCCTAAGTGTCAGAGGCACTATTTGCACAAGTGTGTTCCATTTGTTTTGGAAAGGTTAGAAATATATTGTGCAAAGTGACCAAACAGTGGGAAGGGTCAAATGGCATAATTTGTCTGGGGATCTGTGCACCCAAGAAGCTTTCTCGGGGGCTCTTACGCCTCCTCTTCTAAAATACGAATATATTTTGCATTGACGTGAGGTTCAACAGTGCATTAAAATCATTGGCTTGCCTTTCCTTGCACAGAGAGGATATGAGAATCTGAACAACTCTTGTTATGCAGATAGACATGAAGAATGTTTATTCTGTGTATGCCAGTGGTGTTACCCTGTATTCTGCAATGTGAGTGTGCATTTCCATAATTGTTTTTCAGGGTCATTTGGAAAGGTAAGAGCATAGTTACGGAATTAGTTAATGATACAAGAGCTAACTTAAGTCCCCAGGCTAGTTAACCTCTGCCTCCACTGACCCTGTACCTCTGTAGGACTACTTAAGGTAAAAGCATTTCCTGAATGTTGGCATTTTTAACTTTTACTGACCCAAAACGCACAAGCTGACATACTCTGGGCAGGAGTTGAGTTGAGCCTGGCAGAGCTTCCCAAGTGTGCAGTTTTCCTTGCATGTGCATCAAAGTGTGTCAGGCTTGAATGGCAGCTCCTCATAGGGGAGGATGGCTGCTTTGTTTGTTGGTCCTTGTTGGCTGAGAGTAATGAGCTGGAGTGTGAAGTATTGAATTTGTAGCCAGCCCTTCTTGTATTGGAATTAGCGCATTTGAATACATCTCTATTATTTGTTTATCTGCTCCACTAACCTCCTGATAGTTTTCAGAAATGTCAGACCTGGTTTGCTAAGCATCCAGCAACACAGCTGGGCAAAAATATATATCCATCCAAATTTTGCCTACTTGAATGCTTTCTTGTGAGATTCAAAACTGAATTGGAATTGCTGCCCAGGCCAGAAGAGTGGAGCATAATTGCCCTCAAATGCTCTGTTTTCCCCAAGTCACACTGGTTCACTTTGAACTGGTACTCAAATCATGTTAACTTCCACTTCCGTAGTTTCTAAAGCTGGGTTTGCAGCGTTCCTGGGAGAGCTATTTCAGCTACATGAATCAATGAGAAATTTCCAAGATTATAGAAGTTTCTGAAAAATATGTCATTCATTCATCACTGTACATAGCCTGGATGGGAGGTATGTGCGTGTTCTGATAGGCCCAAAGAGTGTGAACGAGTTGTAGAATTGGGGAGCAGGCCTCCACCATATTGACCAGTGCTAAGCCTCCTATTGGCAATCAAGCCACACAGAAAGCAAGGCTATGGCATTAGTCCATCAAGAGTGATGTGCTGAAAAAGTATTAAGATGATAATGTTGTTAGTTCCTGTGCTCTGTGTTGAGTCCATTTTATTATCCTGCCCTGGATCAGTTACCTCAGGGTCCTGGCCAGAGAGCTACACTTGTGGATTCTCAGAGTGGAAATGGAGCCACTGCCACTTTTCTGGATGTAATGGTAGAGTGATAAGAAGTGGGTTGAACTCTCTTTCCTGCCAATCTATGCTATTTTAGTGCATTTGCTGCCCCTAAGTGCATGCACTTTCTATCCCATTAGTCATGTACCGTTCCTACGACATGTGCAAAAGAGGAACATTTGTCAGGAAAGGATCACTGATACACAGAGGCTATGCCCTCAGTCCACCTCCATTCTGAGCTAAGGTTGCTACCCAGAGGAGAAAAACAGACATTGCTCATTGGCAAATGTTAACTCAACTGCACGTGCAAAAGGGTAAAACTGAGTATTCCTAATATTTTACAAATCTTATTTCTCTCAACTTCATAATAATAATAATGTAAAATTTGCAATTATTCCAATTTTAGTAGGGCTGTCACCCAGTTAAGAAGAAAGCTTATTATATGAGTTTCAGTCAATTAATCAGATTTGTATATAGTTCAGAAGCAAAAAATAAAATAAAATCATGCTTCCGTTGCTCAGTGCACATGTATGTCATTGCTGAAATCGTCTTAGAAGAGGCATTCCCTCTTGTTTGATGGGAAAGGATGATGCCTCTGTTAAGATTATGCTTGGCATCACTATTTCTTACAAGTATTTGTATTAAATGTAATACTTTTTTAAAAAAAATCTGCCAAATTAATCTGGACACTTCTTCAGTGTTTTAACTGAGTAATCAAACCAGTTAATAGATTAAATGTTGCAGTTCTATAATTTGCAGATAGCTGAACTGAAACAGGGAGAGAGTACTTTACCCAAGGTAACCCAGCAATAGCATACCTTGGGATGGGGAAGATGTTGCACAGGAGATAGATAGCAGGATCTTCTGCTGCTCCCTGATTTCCCTTAGCCTTGGACTCTGAAGGAATGTGGTTTACACTGGAATTACCCACTGATGTATACCATTTGTCTGATCATCATAGCTGGGAGCTTTACAGTTGCCTTCAGGCATTTCCTACAGAAATAATGCGAAAACTTAATTGTTTGTGATAATTACTAAATGCCTGTTCCATTTTTGTGACTGTTTCTTCAATGTCAGAAACTTCACTTTACAAGTTGTTTCATAGGCTTCAGTGGGAATACAGCAAATCCTTCCTAGGTAACTTTGCTAGCCTAGTGAGCCTGCAGCTGTTATGGACAGAGGCTGGCGACATGCTTTACAGATCTCACAGAGAGACCCTTGTTCATGCCATTCACTATCAGTCACCTGCCCTGTCATCAACAGTTTAGAAACACAGTCTTTCTATATCATTCAAGGAGTACAAAGTACTAGAGTGAGCTCTGGGTCTTTGCTGGCCCATTCTACAGAGGGACTGAACCACATTGCGGTGGATGGTGAAGGGGCCCACCCTGTTAATGTGCTTGAAACATGCATAGTTTTATTAAATTGTGCAGTTTCTATTGTTTGAACTTTCTTTTTAGCTAAGAAAGAGGTGGTGTGATGTATGAGCCTCCAAGTCACTTGTGACTTATTCATATCATGGAAGCAATAAAACTATAAAAGACGTTGTCTGGATTTCTGTGTCTGTGTTTCCCTCCCTCCCCTCCCCTCAAGTGAAAAGGCAGAGGGATGCTTACAGATTGGTGCAACTTGTTCCTGGAGTCGCTTCCATAGTTAGCAAACAGCTACTGGTGAAATCACACCGAAAAAATCAGCTCCTAGATTTATAAGGAGCAGTTCCTGTGAGAAAAGGAAACTGGAGCACCTTTATACTGTATTTCCACATAAAAAGTCAAATGGGTGAAAATAGATACTCTAGGCCTTGTGTATATAACCTTATTTTCAACCACATTGGGCAGCTATGGACTAGCTAACCTCAGCACATGGTGTGCTTTCATAGTTTAATGTGCAGACATATCTGTATTCTGGGCTTTAGGTACCACTCTTTCACAAAAACTCATAAGAGGCCACCTGTTGTCATCTGAGGAAGTTGCAGCTTATCTATACAGATCCCAATGGTGCCATGCCACAGCTGGGTGTGTTTTTGTTGTCGCTACTATCTGGTATCTATGTGCAGACAGATACCTTACATAATATCCATCCTGGGATTATTTGGAGAATATCATATTTTATTGTGCAGTGTACTCAATCCCTGCAAACAACAAGCTCATGAGGCTTCATCTGATACAAACACATCACTTAACTGCAATTGACAGGGGTGTGAGTGAGCCTGGATGAGTTGTGCAGAGTTCGTTTTAGTGCTGTAGGAATGCCATGTGGGAAAAGACTGCTACCATTGCTCAGGTCACACCAGCTACACTTTGAGTTGCATAAAGTCATATTGATCCAAGAACATGAACAGGTACTGTAATGATGTGCCCACAGAGTGGAAACTTGGTAGCCTTCCATGAAATCTGCTTTCATTCTGCTTTCTTAGAATCATTGAGTTGGAAGTGACGCTGGGGATCATCTAGTCCAGCCCCCTGGAATGCAGGAATATGCAGCTGTCCCTTACAGGGATCAAACCCGCAACATTGGCATTATCAGCACCACACTCTAGCCGACTGAGCTATCCAGCTGTTTCTTGCATCTTTGAAGGGTGCGGAGTAAAGTGGAGCAGAACATGTTGGGCTACAAAGCAGGTAAAATGGTCTCTTTCCCTGTAAGCTAGGGGAAAGTTTTGCTGTTTAGAACAGAGGCACACACTCATTTCCTCAACAGTTCTGAGACTGACTCTTAATAATTAGACTACTCCAGGGAGGCTCCCCTGAAAGCCAGGGATGGGTAAGGCTAGGGACATGATACTTTAGTTCCTCTCAACTGAAGAGATATTTATTTATTATAATGCTTAGCTGCATGGAACATCCTGAAAAGATGAGATGTAAATATATTTTTGAAAAGCAGAACTGTGTTCTGGAAAAGTCTGGTTTCTTGAAAGCTTATTGACAGTGCCTTGATGCAAATATCCATAGTGATGGACAAGTTTCTGCCACCTCCCTTTACAATGTGCAGCCACAGGACAGTTTTGGTATAGGATTGCCACCTTGCTATAAGTCTGCTCCTCTATAACAGAAGCTTGCCTTGCAGACATTAACTAGTTTAAATGTTTCCCATCTATCTATATCCTTTTCTCCATCCAAATGCCCAATTTACTCAACTAGTTGATGAATTTTGGAGACAAACAGGGTTATGCAGGAGGGGAAGGAGAATGTGGTCATGGAACCAAGGTATGTTCTGAAAGCACATTGGGCAACCACTTGGCTGAAGCTAAGCATGTCTGGGTCTGGTCAGGGCTTGGATGGGTAGCCACCTAGGAATTACATGATGCGTTCCATGATGGAAGAAAAGCAACATATAAAGGTAAGAAAATAGTGTTCTCCCTGTATATTTGGATGGAAAGTGGACAGCTATTTCACTGAGCCTGGGATTGAGGCAGCCCAGAGAGAGGATAAAAAATTGATATGGATATGAAATAAAGAGAAACCTGAAAGGGTTCATGAGAGGAGAGGAGAAAGCTGCAAGTGGATTGAGATATGGAGCAGGAGATGCACAGAGAAAACAAGAAAGAGGTGGAACAGAGAATGCTATGCCCATGCCGTCATCAACAGAAAAAAGGATTTAAACATAGCTTAAAGCAACACACAGCAGTCCTCCTTTTCAGTACTGAGAAATCCCTAGTGGAAACAAGTACCTTTGAGATGTCTGTTGAGGCCAGCTTCCACACTTCCAGCTGACGTACATACTGGGGAGAAGAAGGGACCATAGCTCAGTGGCAGAACACAAGTTTTGTGTGGGGAAAGTCCTTGGTTCAATTCCTGGTGTCTTGCACTGAAAAGGTCAGATAGGAAGTGATGTGGAAGAATCTGCCTTGCCGAGCCACTGCCAGAGTAGGTAATGCTAGGCTAGATGGACAAATTGTCTGACATGACAAAAAGCTACTTCCTATGTTGCCAGCATGCTTAAAAGGAAAACATCATGGACCTTTCAGTCCTACATGTGAAGCATTTGGTGTTTTCTGCCAGGTTTATATGCACATGGGTCTGGATCAGAAGCTACACTAAGAAAGAAGAAGCTACTTGCTGTTCTTGATTAGCCCAAACAGAGTTTTCACTATTTATTTTATTTTATTTTTAGTCATTTTTTGTTGTTTTTACATAAGATAAATGGGACACTGAGGCTTTGTCTAAGCAGAATGCTTCCTGACATACCATTTGCATTGGGATAGGCCACATAATGTAAATTTTAGGACAGCCTTAAAATGTTAGGGAAAACATCCATTGTGTCAGTTAGTAAGAGAAGAGAATAAACTTGAGATAAATATTGCATAAGAAGAAGGTTGGTCTTGAATAATAATTTTGGATTCTTATCAAGCACTACAAGTTTATCCAGTTGATCAGTCAATGCAAGGCATGCCCCACCCGTGTTACAAGAACCAAATAGAATTTCAGTACCCAATTCACACAATACTTTATTAAGAGATTTACTGGGGTGATATAAACATAAAAACATCATGATTCTTTAAAAAAATTGCCAGGGCCCTGTGGCCTTAAGCGAATCAGGATGTTGACAGGACTGAGACAATGGTCATAAAAGTCAAACCTGATTGTCCCTAAGGAAGGAAGGGGGGGGGATGTCCGGAACATCAAGGTCTTCAAATGCTTTTAAGGCATTTTCTATAATGTAATCCTATAGCTTCTAACTGTGTGTCACCCATGCAAATCTCCTTTATGCAATATACATGTTATAGAAAAAGCCGTAAACCTGCTATGGGGAAGGAGAAACTAGCTCATCAATATGTGTTTCTGCATTCCAGCAGGCCAGAGTGAGGGAGCTACCTTAGGCAGCCGATTGTGAGAGTCAAGAAAGGACAATAAATAATTTATTGTTATTTTATATTATTCCTGAGGAGAAGTGTTTTGTGAGATTTTCTGCCTCAGGTGTCAAAATAACTCAGCCAGCCTTGGATACTAGGGGAGGGAGGAACACCATCTCTGTTTTGCCTTGGGTGAGTTCTGCATTTAAGCACTGAAGAAAAGTACAAAAACCACTGAGCTGTCAAGAAAGACGCCAGACCTCAGACACGGATGAGATTTATAAAAACGAAAATCACAAAATACTTCTGTCTCATCCACCCTTTAAAAAGGTAAAGGACCCCTGGCAGTTAATCCAGTCACTAATGACTCTGAGGTTGTGGCGCTCATCTCGCTTTACTGGCTGAGGGAGCTGACCTTTGTCTGCAGACAATTTTTTCTGGGTCATGTGGCCAGCATGACTAAGCCGCTTCTGGCAAAACAAGAGCAACGCACAGAAACACCATTTACCTTCCCGCTGGAGCGGTACCTATTTATCTACTTGCACTTTGATGTGCTTTTGAACTGCTAGGTTGGCAGGAGCTGGGACTGAGCAACGGGAGCTCACCCCGTCGCAGGGATTTGAACTGTCGACCTTCCGATCGGCAAGCGCTAGGCTCTGTGGTTTAGACCACAGTGCCACCTGCGTCCCTGTATCCACCTTTTACTGTTTGTTTAAAATAATTCCCCTCACCCCTTCCCAATTATACAAGCTGGTGATGTGTGACATATGTTAATCAGCCTCCATTTCCCGTGGCTTCCTCTCTCACAACCCTGCTCTCCCTTCAGCTTACTAGTATGTTAAATTCTGTGTCTACGTATTCTAAAAAAAAACTGAAGAAAGGATGAGGTGTGGGGGGGGGGATAGAAGGAACAACACAAAACACAGTGTTGATGGCAAATCACTTTTAACATTACAGACATTATAAAATAGGTGATTTGACATTTCTGCAGCCACCTTCTAAATGTCAGTGCCAACAGCAATGATATCTGTGGGAGGAACCAACATACTGAGGCCTAAACAACAAAGAGCCTTGTGGCATTTTGAACTAACAACTACCTAGAGACCCTCCTATTGAGACAGAAAGGCAGGACATGAATGCTGTTAATAAATAAATAGACAGCTAAAGTCTTGGAGAAAGTCCTTTTCCAGTCTTGAGAGGCACAGAATATCTTTCTATGTTAAGGGCTACCTGTCTACCAGTGTTGCCTGAGTGGTCTCCTTTGTGATGTCAGTGGTAATGAAAGGAGCATAGCACCTTAGCTGGGCCTGGGAACTTAAAGGAAAACCCCCCACTATTTTTGCTTCGAAGAAAAATGCCAGCTACTACTGATATTGCACTGAAAGTCCCTGTAAGGGACAAGGAGTGGGTTCTGGTTATTAGAAATTAACTCTGCTGAAGTTTAGACACCTTTTGCTCCAGCAAATCGCCTAAGAAAATACAACTTTTAAACGATTTGAAATTGTGAACTGCCTGAATGTTATTTCGGAATTACCCGTTTCCCCCTATAACTATATATTTTAAATCTGACTGTCTATTAAACGACCTGCTTTAATGAGGGAAGATTAGATTCAAGCCATTACTTCAATGGCTCCTGAAGCTCCTGTCAGAATGACTCATCAAAACAAACAAACCCACTCCAGTGACATTAACAGAGTTATAAGATAGGCTTTAATACAAGATCTATAAAATAAGCCACAGAAGAACTCAATATCTGAACAAACTAAGCACGTGTGGGGGAAAATAAACTAGGTTGCAAGCATTTTCAGAATTTGCTCTTAATTGTTTTGGGCCAAAGTAAGTTGTTGAGGTTGGTTGTTGTTTTTTTCATAAGAATGTAGAGAGGACCTTTTAATGCAAATTGCATATCACGTACTGTCAGGAATTTATGTTCTTAATGCCTTTCTTCATTTAGGTCCCTAGGTACAACCCTATATATTACACTGGGCAACAATTTTTTACTTTTTGAATGTTGTCTAGATTTCTACAACTGATTTAGGGTATTTTTGCACTGCTGAATCAGGAAATGGCATCCGTTTTGCTCCATCAAGTCAGGTTTTTGTGCTATGTTGATTTGAAAAAATCAGATCTTGTGACAAAATCGATTACATTTTTGTGGCATTATCAGCTGATTTTTGTCAACACATATCATCCTAAATATGATTTTAAGAGAAAAAAATGTTTTTCCAACAACATATATTGATTACCTGATAGAAACATTGATTACTGAAAACTGAATGGTGGGCATTGATAAAGGTAAGTACACGTAAATTGCATGTTGATTCACCATTTTTCAAACTTCAGGGCTTGAACTTCCGTTTCTTGGAACTCCTGGAATGCTCAGTGGCAGGGAGGTCTCTCTTCAGAGTCCAACAGTAGTCAGCCATCATGACTGCATCCCAGCGACCCTGATACCTGGTCTCCATCTCTTTCATGTCCTGATAGAATCTCTCCCCCTGCTCGTCACTCATTGAACCCAGGTTCTCAGGAAACCGGTCCATATGTGAAAATAGGTAGTGCATCTTGATGTTCATGTTGCAGCCCAGGTTTCTGAAAGCAGTCAGCATGTTGTTGACAAGTTCTGCGTAGTTTCTGGCCTTATTGTTGCCAAGAAAGCTCTTCACTACCAGAACAAATGCCTTCCACGCTTCCAGTTCCACTTTGTTCATTGAGTTTCCGAACTCTGGATCTCTGATGAGCTGACGGATCTGAGGACCGTCAAAGATGCCAGCTTTCAACTTCTCCATGGTCAATCCTGGAAAAGCCTGGCACAAGTAAGTGAAGCAGTCACCATCTTTGTCCAGAGCCTTGGTGAACTGCTTGATTAAGCCGAGCTTGATGTGCAGCGGTGGAAAGAGTATTCTGTATCTGTCCACCAGAGGGTCGTTGATGATGTTCCTTTTTCTGCAAGGCACCAATTCCTCCCGCACAGGCCAGTCCTTCTTCGTGTAATGCTGAGCACGGTCCCTACTATCCCACATGCACAGAAAACATAGGTACTTGGTGAAGCCAGACTGTTGTCCCAACAAAAGGTTCACCATCTTCAGGTCAACACAAATAAACCACTTATGCTGATCATAACCAATTTTCTCCAGCACATACTTCACCCCTTCATAGTTCTCCTTCAGTGTACTCAAGTGAGCCAGGGGTTTTGATCCCCCAACTTTATGCTTTGCCGCACCAATTTATGGAAGATTTCGAGGTTTTATGACTTCAAACTGACCTCTTTTCGACATAATCACCCAGAACTATCAAACCTGAATACTTCTTGTCATTAAAATAATAATTTCCAATCAAAACAATTATTCGACATGGCATTTTACCCCCACCAACTTCTTCTAAAATGCTCCACACAAGCGTACATGTGAACAAAAATGTAAAAAAATGACATGTGGCCATAACTCAAAAACTTGACCTGATTGAGCAAAACCAATGTGATTTCTGGATTCAGTGCATCAGATTTGTCCTAAATCAGCTGAAAAAACGCAGGCAACATATTTGTTGTTGACCAGTGTTATATATTGACTCAAAAGAATGTCCTAATAATGTGGTGTGGCACCTCAAGTGTTGGACTAGGTAGGACATGGGAGAGCAGAGTTTGAATTCTCATTCAGTCATGAAGCTTACTGGCTGACCTTGGGCCAGTCACAGTCTTTCAGCCTAGCCTACTTAACAGGATTGCTGTGAAGATAAACTGGAGTGTGTACCACCTTGAGCTCCTTGGAGAAAATGTGGGATATAAATATAAATAATTATGTTCAATTATGTTTACTCTGTAGTGTGTTTTGGACTGCAACTTTAGAGTATTGTATTTTGAGTTTTTCTTTGACTTACTTAACAAAGTTTGTGCACTCCAGAATTGGTGAGGAACACACAGTCTAGAGGGAATATTATTATGATTATAATTTATTAGGAAATGTCAGGACAATATTGCAAGGGAGGAAATCGTCTTGATGGGGTTTACCCAGCTCGTTACACATTTAACAAGGCTGCAGTTGGCACTCCTGCTGTTATGCTACAGAAGGAAAGCTCATTAAAGACCTTTAACTCCTGAAAAGATTTTTTTTAAGAAACATGTTTTTTAAAACAACTTCAACAACAACAACTTTAAAAGTAACACCAGGGGGTGGGGAAGAGTGGTGCTTGTCACCAGTGACATCACTGACATGCCAGAACCACATTCCACACCAAGCACGCTGCTGCAGTTGACATGCTGTCTGGAAGGAGAAACACTTTCCTTTCTTTTTTTCTTTACCAGCAACAACAAGAAAAGCTATTTATTGCTGGGAAAATGTTATTTCCCTGCAAAACAAGTGATAATTTGGCCGACATTTCAGAATGATTCCCAAATCCTAGGCACACTAACTGAAAAAGAGCAGCACATTCCTAGCATAGAATGTAATAAAACCTACCAGAATGTTAAAAAGGCCCTAGAACATTCTATGACCAGGCGAGGGGCAGAAGATGGTTTCAAAATTGATAATATAGCCCAGCCTTTACCATCCTAGTGCCCTCCAGATGCTTTGAACCATGTTGTCCATCAGATGCAAGATAAATGATACAGTATATTCTGTCCTCACTGTTCTTTCCCTTTTCTCTAGAACCTTTAGCAATTTCACTGCAATTCAACCCTCATATTAGCGGTGACTGAGGAAAGGATGAAGAGCATTTATGCTGATGACATGATTTGCATGTTAACTAATCCACTGGACACCAATGCTAAAATCAGAATTAGGTCAGTATGAAAAAATGGCAGGCCTTAAAACCAATCTCAGTAAATCATGGATCATGTACCACAATATAGGCCCAATGGAGCAAATTAAGCTTCAGCAAACACCTATTCCACATTTTAGGACTAATTTTTAGGGGTAAAAATACCATATAAATTGAATAAATTATACATTTTAAATTATACTCTTATAAAAAGTTAGGAGCCTTGGGTTGATGGGATAAACTACATCTTTCAACTTCATAACTGTGTTTATTCAAATGATGATAATACCTAAAATTTTATATCCTTCCCAATTGCTTCTAATTTGACTTCCACCCAACTGACTCAAGAAATGGTAAATGATACTTTAAAAGTTTGTGTTTGTGTTAAAAAAAAATGGTCCAGCCTGGCTGTTATTATTATTTTTTACAGGAAATCAAGGGAGTGGATAGGGGCTACCACACCTAGCCTTATCTCACGATGCATTCCAACGATGTCAATGTAATTTTATCATCACTAAAACAAATAAGAAATGGATTGACCTCAAAGACTAAATGATATAAAATAAAATATGGGTACTCCTGAATTTCCAAAACAATTTTAGATAAAATACCGCAACCCATATACAAATAACACAATATGGAAAAGGTTGCAGCGATGTCTATCTCCTTTGTGTTCACTTTTAACATCACTTGGCTTTCACACCCAAGTCCAAGATCCAGCTCTATGAAATCTCATCCTATTATGGAAGAAAAAACATTTATTTAGACTTTGTAGTTTTTATGCTAATGATAAACCAATATCCAAAGAACAACTAACAATAAATACAGGTGACTTGAGACTCTACTGCTTACAATAAATACAGTTCTCCCACTTATTTAGCATATAATGCTTTAATTGCACAAGCCACCAGACCGTTAACTAAATTTGAATTTATACTCTTAAACCAAGGGCATGTAGGAAGAGGCTTGATCTCTACCATGTATAGTATAATGAATTATTACACAACTACAGGCCAATTAGTTGGCCTGAAAACTGCATAGGAAAGAGACCTTAATTTCAACATTGAAGACTATGTGGAATGGTATTTGCTCAAGTAAACCCTTCGAGTCAATATCTACTTATATCCAAGAATACTCTTTGAAACTACAATATTACATAGATGGCACCAAACTCCTGTTCAGATCTCACACATAAACTCTCAACCTTCCCAGGTCTGTTGGAGGAGGGTGTGCTCAAAAGGGAACTTTTTTCCCTTTATGGTGAGAATGTCCATGAAAGAGATATTTGCAGAAATGTCAGACATATTTAAGTTTCAGATTCAAGCAACCCCACACATTTATTTATTTATTAAATATGTGGGATAATAATATGAAGCAGTGTCCTTCAGAAGAGCTATTACTTGGATGCTGGCAGCTGTCGGAATTTCTGCAGCACAAAAATGGAAGACATTAAAGTTGACTCTTGCATTATGGTACAAAGATTTGCAGACTGGTGATCGCTGAAAAAATAACCCACAAACTTTGTGTAATTAAAGGCAAAGATTCTGCAGAGCACTTCTATGCAATATACTGGGACTTTACCAATAATCTACAAGATTCTTTACCTGCACATAAAAAGAAATCTGGACTTCATGATTAGAATATATTGTAAAATGAATGTATCGGATTATACTTACCCATCTTACATATGTATGCATCTCTCCTGTGACTTTCCAGATTTCCAAGCTGAAGTCAGTTGCTCTTTGTTGTTACCTGCAAAAGAAAAAGTATAATAATAATAATAATAACTTCCATCAAATCGGGTGGAAGTTTTCATCTAACACCTCTGGAAGCCACCAAGTTGGCAAAGGCTGCTATAGTTGTACCTCAACCAATCTCCTCTTAAACTATTCTAGAAAAACATTAGAATTTCTATTCTGGCAAGGAGGACAATTGATCCCCACAAACAACATTTTTCCTCTTCTACAGTATTTTAAGGGACAAATATGCTTTTGATGCTGTGTAGGCCAAGTGGCACCTGTCATGCTTTAACTCTTTACTCTTTCCCTGTACCTTAGGTAGATTCCATTCTCCTACCCCACTTTTTAAAATAAAATATGCTTACTGTATTCAAAAACTAAGTAGGAGGAGGTGTTGCATTTGCAATTGGTATTGTTCACCCCAATCTCTAAACGGCAAGAGACTTACCCAATGCTTACCCGGATGTCAGGGAACTGCCATCGGAAGGAAGGGAGGTGAAAGGGCTCACACAGGTTGGGAGAGACTCAGCAGCTGAAGAGGGAACCAGTAGGGGGAGAGGAGCTGAGCTGAGGGAAAGTGAGCTGGAGGGATGGCTCAGAGACACTTCCAGCGCAAGCAGTGGGGAGGTTTCAGGACCTCCTGTAGGACCACCCACTCCTCGCCGGAAACTGTCACGCAGATAGTCCAGAAGACGTGTTTCCGTTAAGGAGCTTTATGTTGGAAGCGATTCGCAAGCAACCACTGTCGGAATCTGCTAGTGACTAGAGGAGCCATGTCTGAGGGCTCCGTCACAGACAGAGGTTTGTGGACTTGAACAAACTCTGAGGGGATACTGATTTTACGCACAAGCAGCTCATCATCCCATCACAGCATTCCGACAGTCTTTGAAAGCAGCTTGTGCAGGAGAAGGCATCATGAGCAACCCAGCCGGAACCGGAGAAGCAGGAGCTGGAGCGGGTCCAAGCCTGGAAGAAGGTACCGGGTGTTGGAGGTCCAGCTAGCGCTGCAGACGGCGAGGCTTGAGGAGAGGAGGGCTCAGGATGCAGACAACAAGGAAAGCCACCCAGCTCGCCAGAAAGGTACCAGGATTGGTGCAGAAGTTTGGGGGCCCAAAGACTATCATGGCTTTCGGACAGAGATGCAATATGCCCTCAATCTGCAGTTTGATGAATTCCCTGACGAGGAATCACGAGTGGCTTTCGTGATTGGGCATCTTGAAAAGGGCGAGAGACTGGGTTAGACCCCTGATGGCAGCGAATAGTGACGTCCTAAAGGACACGATGAAGTTCTTTCGCGCCATGGATCTGATGTTTCCAGCGATATTGAACAGGGAGTGGTGCGCAGACAGTTAATGGCTTGCAAACAGGGGAGCCGATCTGTCCGTGAGTACTGGACTGAGTTCACCATGCTGGTTCACAGATTGGGGTGGGACTTATCGGCGGAACCCATTCAAATGCTCTTTGAAGAAGGGCTTTCTTCGGCTGTGAAAGACGAACTTTCCCGGGCGCCCAGGGCGGAGTCTATGGACCAGCTGACCAAATCAGCGCTGACCATAGGAGCGCGCCAGGAGCGAGAGCATTGGAGAGGCGGGAAGGGAAGGGAGCGTTGGAAGGAGTTCCGCATTCCAGACATTCCAGAGCCAACTTTCCCGCCGGCAGAGCCGATGGAAATCGGAACAGCGCGCGCGCTGCAGTTTCAAAGCCCAGTGAGGGGAAAGAAGGAGGGAAAGCGCGCCCGAAATGCTATCTCTGCCAACAGCCAGGTCACTTTGCCAGAGTCTGCCCCCAGAGGAAGGAATGGCAAGGGATGGTAGGAGCTGTGGAGGGAAGAGAGGAAGAAATACCGGAGCAAGTAAAAGCCAACGCCTGGCTGCCACCGTCGGGGCACAGCAGCCAGGCCAAAGAGCAGTGAGGTGCCCACGCCAGAACCTCCTAAACCCGCCCTAGTGATAGAAGTGGCGCGAGAGCGGCCAAACGGACACCCTCGAAACACACAGGCGCGGTTGGACTCAGGCAGCTCCTGCAATTTCATGAGCAAAGAGTTTGCAGCTGAACACCAGATACAGACGATCCATTTAAGCAACCCCTGCAGGTGACCACGATCGATGGCAGGGAGCTGTTGGGAGGAGAAGTCAGCTTGCAGACCGTCCCAATGATAATGAAGGTGGCAAGGCACACCGAACTGATAGCGTTTAATGTGGCCACCTTGGGAGGAGCTCCCATTATATTGGGGATGAGCTGGCTAGCGTTACATGATCCGCTGGTGGGCTGGCATCAGAGAGTGGTTTCTTTTGGTTCAGCACATTGCTTAGAACACTGCAAAGAGGAAAGGGTTTGGCAGGGGCCCAAGCCACCCTAGCAGGGACTGAAGTAACGGAGAACGTGAAGGTACCACGACAATACGCAGATCTCCGTGACGTATTCAGCTAATGGTAAGCTGACCAACTACCCCCGCATAGACCCTTTGACTGTCAAATCAATTTACTCCCTGGGGCACAGCTCCCTGTAGGCAAGCTGTACGCCATGTCAGACAGAGATGCAGGAGCTAAGAGAGTTCATTGACAAGAACCTGAAGAGAGGGTTCATCAGAGAGTCCAGGGCGGTGGGGGCCGCCCAGTGTTTTTGTGGGGCTAAAAAAAACACGGACAAGCCGAGGCTGGTGTGTGACTTCAGGGCCTTAAATGCAGTGTCAGAACCAGTGGCCTTCCCTATGCCCAGGATTGACGACATTTTGACAAGGGTGCGGAAGGGAAAGATTTTCACAAAGCTGGACCTAAGGGGGGCGTACAACCTGATACTCATAAGGAAGGGGGATGAATGGAAAACCACCATGTTCACCCCTTTAGGGCATTTGAATATTTGGTTATGCCCTTCGGCCTCCAAGCAGGCTCCGCATGCTTTCAATCGTTTATGAACCACGTCCTGGGGCCTTTGCTTTACAAGAATTGTGTGGCCTTCTTAGACGACGTGTTGGTGTATTCTGAGAATGATGAATACGCCCAGAATAAGCTCAGAGGTCTTAGGGGTGAGGGAGAGGAACCAGGGGGTTTCGAGGAAAGAAATGGAGCTTTGTATTACAAAGGGGCACTGTATATCCCTGAAGGAGACTAAGGGGGAGGGTACTCAAGCAGTTGCACGACAGCCCTACGGCGGGGCATTTTGGACAACACAAAACCATGTGGTTGGTCACCAGGGAATTTTGGTGGCCTAAGGTGAGGAAGATGTACGTGAGTATGTAAGAGGGTGCGAGCAATGCCAGCAAGCCAAAGGGAAAGGCGGGCGCCGGCGGGGCTGTTAGGAACCCTTACCAGCCCCAGAACGACCTTGGGAGGCAGTGTCGATAGATTTTATGACTGATCTGCCGAAGTCCAAAGGGAAACAGCCATCATGGTGGTGGTAGACCTACTAACAAAGATGTGCCACTTTGTAGCTTGCTCGCATGCAGTCACGGCGGAAGAGACAGCGAAGTTATTTGTAGAACACATTTTTAGGTTGCACGGGGTGCCATTGAGGGTGGTCTCAGACCGAGGAAAACAATTTACTTCCAGGTTCTGGAGGAAGCTCATGAGCTTACTGCAGGTGGAGGTCAATTGTTCGACTGCCCGGCACCCTGACACCACCGGGCAGGCGGAAAGAGCAAACGGTGTCCTCCAGCAATACCTGAGGTGTTATGTCAATGACAGAGAGAATGACTGGGTAGAAAAGTTGGCGCTGGCGGAATTTGCCTACAACAATGCCGAGAATGTGTCCACAGGGATGAGCCCCTTCTTGGCTAATTATGGGTGTCATCCCAGGGCTTTCCCAGCGGGAGATGGGGAGAGATGGAGCGTCCCGGCAGCCGAGCATTTTGTGGAAGAATGGAAGCAATCCATCGTCAGCTCCCACCCCACGCAGACAGGGCGAAGGAAGAATACAAGAGGCAGGCAGACAAGAACCGAAGGGAAGGTGAAACCATAAGGGTGGGAGATAGGGTGTGGCTGTCACCCCAAGGGTTGCCGTTCAAAGGAGGTTGTAAGAAATTAAGACCCAGGAGGTTGGGTCCCTTTGAGGTCATTCAACAGGTCAACCCAGTGGCTTTCAGGCTCCGGTTACCCAACCACATGAAACTGCACCCAGTATTTCACAGGTCGTTACTGTCACCGTACGAAGGGGACGAGAAGGGCTGGCCACTCGGGGACCGGTCATAGAAGAAGAGAATGCAGCAGCCATGTGGCAGAAATCCTCGACGCCAGGTGGAAGGGGATCAGGTGGAGTATTTGGTAGCGTGGGAAGGAGAACCGGAGTCAGAAAACACTTGGGTAATGGCCGAAGATATCAATGACGAGGTATTGATAGAAACGTTCCATCAAAGGTTCCCAAGGAAACCTCAGCCTGTGGAGAGGTTCCGGAGGAATACTTTGGGACCACTGATGAGGAGGAGGAGTTGGAAGGATTCCCGGACTCGGAAGGGGAAGGGAGATGGACTCTGAGGAGGAGGAGTACTTGAGACCAGGAACCGCAACAGGTGGAGAGAAGTGTTCGAGACATCGGAAGATGAAGGAAGTTCATTCCGGGTTTTGCCTCCTCACCGCCCGTAGAGGAGGGCGAGAGGGGGTGAAAGGGGCCCTGGAGGGGAGGTGGATGTCAGGGAACTGCCATCGGAAGGAAGGGAGGTGAAAGGGCTCACACAGGTTGGGAGAGACTCAGCAGCTGAGCTGAGGGAAAGTGAGCTGGAGGGATGGCTCAGAGACACTTCCAGCGAAAACAGTGGGGAGGTTTCAGGACCTCCTGTAGGAACACCCACTCCTCGCCGGAAACTGTCACGCAGAGAGTCCAGAAGACGTGTTTCCGTTAAGGAGCTTTTATGTTGGAAGCGATTCCGAAGCAACCACTGTCGGAATCTGCTAGTGACTAGAGGAGCCATGTCTGAGGGGCTCCGTCACAGACAGAGGTTTGTGGACTTGAACAAACTCTGAGGGGATACTATTTTACGCACAAGCAGCTCATCATCCCATCACACCAGGTTTCCGGTTTCAGGAAAGAAGCTCAAAGGAGACAGTTATGTCTTTATTTACACACATATATACAACCTGAACATAGGACTGGCATAGAAGGGCTCACAGCATAAACACACCAACAGATCTTGCCTCCTCATTAGGTTCCCAGGGGGATCCCCAAGCCACAGCTTTTGAGTCCAACACAGACCAAGCCTCTGTGTCTCCAGCTTCCAATGATAGCCAAAACTCTCTCTCTCACAGCCCCTCTTTACCTATTGTTTTCAATCCTAGGATGATGTGGGCTCCAGTCAGGTGAGGTGGGAAAAGACCTACTCATTTGTCTCTATGACAACAGGACTCACTCTTTAAGATGCTGGTGATGAACATTTAGCTGAGCTAACAAAGGAACTGGTTTAACTGGTTCAACAGGTTTCATCTTACATATTCTAACCCAGGGGTAGGCAACCTAAGGCCCGGGGGCCGGATGCGGCCCAATCGCATTCTCAATCCAGCCCGTGGACAGTCCAGGAATCAGCGTGTTTTTACATGAGAAGAATGTGCCCTTTTATATAAAATGCATCTCTGGATTATTTGTGGGGCATAGGAATTCGTTCATTCCTCCCCCCCCCAATATAGTCCGGCCCACCACATGGTCTGAGGGACGGTGGACTGGCCCACAGCTGAAAAAGGTTGCTGACCCCTGTTCTAACCCTACAGATACAATATCTCAGGCCTGGAAGGGACCCATGGATATAATCCAGACTGCCCCCCCCATTCTATACAGTTTACTCAGCTATACAATGTAAGTACAGAGAATGAAAAATTGTGCAAGAACATTTTCTTTATATTAACTTAGAACATCTGTCCAGTATCTGAAGCCGATGTCCAACTATTTCATTTCCAGAAGTAAGAAAACGATAAAGTACATAATTTGACCCATGTGTTTCCCCTTTAGCAACTTTTACTTGGTTGGTTAGGGGTTTTTTTGGCCAAGGGAAGGTTGCACACTTTGCTCTACCCATGGTCCAATCATGTTACTTCTCTGTGTTAATTCTTAGGTTATACTTGCATGGCTGCCCCTATCACAAATAACAGACTTGTTTGTATGGCAAGTTTTTGTTTTGTCCACCCAATAATGAGATCAGCTCCAGCTTTAGTGTACAATATATCTGTTGACCTTTTATAGTAAAACTTTTAACCAAAAACTATTAACCGTTCCACAGGTCCACCTCATGTGGAAAAATTATCCCAATTAGGGCCTTTGTCGCCAGCATTGTGGACTGGTTGTACTGCTTAGTTTTGGCAGTGGAAGGCAGTGGGTGATTTTAAATGTGTCTGCTCCAATTGCTAAAATAGATTTAAATGGTTAACACAGCTACACTTGAGGCTTTTTTGAGATGTGACTTTTATTTCTTCAGAAGGTCAAGCTAGCTGATTGCAAGCAATTTGCTTCATTTTATTTATAGTCCATCTTATCTCATGGGGTCAGGGCAGGAAACAATCATTTTATCAAAAAATGACAGGCATATCCCCATCCTTGAAAGCATAGGAAATTGATACAAATGGCTAAGGGCTGTTGGGGGGCGGTGGCGGAGAATAATACTACCAATAATAATTTGAACACTAGTATGCTTCAAGGTGTCAATAAAAGCTAACCCCATCTCACCCGCTCACACCCACCCATAGCAGGGTGTCAGCAGCAGTTTATAGATAGAGACATAGAGATAGAGATAGAGATAGAGATAGAGGCTTAAGGTATATCTAATATCTATATCTATATCATCTATATCATCTATATCTAATATCTATATCTATATCTATAACTACATGCACTGCTGTTGCCTTGGTCCCTGACATTTCCCTGACAGCCTGCAACAGAGAAAATCATCTAAGATTTAGCACAGACCATAAATTCTGCAGGCAACCAGCTTTCTGTTCCAAAAACAGGGAGAAATATACCTTCCTCTTTAAATAGCTCTTGCATCCACTTTTGGGTTTCACTGTAATCAGACTCAGGCAGTCTTTACCATCTGTATATGTGTTATTTATCAAGAGGGTTTCTTCCCAGCCTCTCCATTTCTAGACCCCACAAGGCAGCTTATGGCAAACTGATTTAAAAATACATAGCAACAACAAACCAACGCTGATATTAAAATGGAGCAAAAATGGCAGCAGAGCCCCACAAAAAGCATATAGTTCAAAAAGAACCTAAAAGTGCGGTGCTGATAAAAGCGAACATAAAAGACTTTGTTACACTACATTCCTAAATCCAGACAAAGGTCATCTGAGATGTGGTATAAGTGCTGCTCTGCTCCCAGAGAAGTACTTGTGAGGCAGTATTCATGCCACCAAGGGTCCCCAGGTATTTCCATGGAAAGCTTATATGAAGAGAACTGTTGGATCAGACAAAAGGCCCATTTTGTCCAACACTGAGTTCTCAAAGTGGCCAGCCAGATGTGTAAAGCCTGCAAGTAGGACTTGAATGCCAAAAACACCTTTCCTCAGCAACTGGTATTCAGTTGCATACTGCCTCCGACAGTGAAGGTAGAACATAGGATGGTTAGTATCCATTGACAGCCTTATCCCCTGTGCATTTGTCTAATCCTCTTTTAAAGCCATCTAAGTTGGTGACCACCCCAACACCTTGTGGGAGCAAATGCCATAGTTTCACTAGACAGTGTGGGAAGAGGTACTTTCTTTCATCTGTCCTGAATTTCTCAACATTCATTGGATGCCCCCTTCCCTTTTGATTTCAATTGTTATGCTTTCTCATTTACAAAGTACCTACATTTTTAATAAACTGCACAGATTAAAAACATGACAGTCCCCGCTCGCAGGCTTACAACCTAAAAGGCAGGACCCAAAAAGGGGTGGGGGGGAAGGGGTGGGGTAGAAAGAGCCAAACAAACATCTCTGGCACCAGTTATTGTTCTTATATTTCCCAGTTGCAACACATCAAGTGAGGGGGTGGGGTTGGCACTGCTCCTTGCTGGGGCCAGGATTCAAATCTCCTCCTCCCTAAAAACCCAGTTTGTCAAGGATCTTGGGTCCACACTAGTAGATTTAGCACGACACCCTGGTTGGGTCTAAAGCTGGTGCTGGTTCTCTAAAGCGTTGTCCCGCTGAGACTGCCTTGAGCAGGGCAGTTTTAGCAATAGGTTTACTTGACACTATAATGCTTATTAAGATCACTGCACAGCAAGTGTAAGTAAGGGAGGAGTGGCTACACTTTAACGAAACGGTGCTGTCATACAGGATAATCCTAACGGATTTAAGCAAATGTGCTCAGGGGTAAGACCCTATGTAGCTAAGAGTAAATAATGCTTGGCCTATATATAGCTGGCCCAGGGCAGGAGGTGGGGGAAGGGCCAGGTGCAGAGGCATCCCCCAGGCCCATTCTCTGGCCAGCAGTGGAAACCACTAATGAGCGTGCAGTTCCTCTCTGGAGCAAAGAATTATTATATAAGCCCAGAGAGATTGGGTTGGCAATTTATCAAGCGATCCCAGTTTAGATCCTGTGCCAACAGCAAGCGCCCCATTTGGCTCACTCCATTGGAATAGCTAATTAGAGGCAAGAGAGAGCAGCTGAGGGCAAGTGCAGCCAGCAGAGAAACGGTGCAAAGGGGCTTACGATGTACAGCAGCGGCAGCAGGCAGGGAAGGGGACGGGATGTGAGAACTGGATGCAAGCTAGTGCCCTTGAGAGCTGCCTGGTGCCAGGGGAGCCGGGAAGGCGCAGGGAATACATTCCCTTCCCAGGCCTCCAAGGGGTAGGGTGCTTGGGGACCTGGGGTGGTGGTTCTGCTGAGCCATCTCAGTCCCTCCGCTGAGGTCCGGAGAAGAACATAAGAGTTGGAGGTAAGAACTGGGCTGTCTGCCCACAAACAGATTAGCAAGGTATACCCTCGGCAGCTATGTGGGAGTTAATCCATGATCCACTTGGCGTGGGGAGGGGGTTCGTGGGACATGTGAGCAACGCCAGTGGTGATTTCCAGAAAAGATCCAGGCTTCTCCTCCAGCCGGCAAGGAAGGACTGTGGTTCAGCGGCAGAGCCGAAGGTCCCTCATCTAGCCCCAGCATCTCCAGATATTGCTGGGGAAGGTCAATACTGGAGAACTGCTGCCAATCTATGCGTAGACCAGCCTTTCCAAACCATCAGCCCAAGCTGGGCAGGACTCATGGGATGGTGGTGGAATTCTGCTCTAGATAATAGCAAGCTAGATGGACCAATGATCTCTTCTTGGACTAAAGCAGCCTTTTATATTTTGAATGAGGAAGCGTTAATCAGAGTAACTGAGTCTTCCGAAGGTGCATATGAAAACCAGTGTGCCATATCTGCTTACATTTGTGTTGAGTCCCCAGCAGGGCCATCTTAAGCATATCTGGCGCTGTGGTGTAAAGCTCCCTCTGGCGCCCCCCGCCCCCATTTCCCAGAGTTTTTTAGGGAGGGCGGCGCTGCCGGCAGGGCTGGAGGAGGCGGGCAGCGGCTGGAGGGTGGCTCCTCTGGCAGGGAAGAGGTGGAGGCTGGCCGCGGTGCCTCCCGGCTCAGCTGGCCGCTGCATGCCGTGGTGGGCAAGGGCGGTGAGCTGATGCTGGCAGGTGCCGCGTCCAGCCTCTGCCTCTTCCCTGGCGCCCTCCAGAACTTGGCGCCCTGGCGCCCGGCGCCCCTAGCCTCTATGGGTAAGACGCCCCTGGTCCCCAGCAAAAGCAGAGTGGCCACAGGCACCAGCCTAGCTTAAGGAGAGAGGGGAGTTGCATGTGTGCTTGAATAGCTGGGGAAAGGGGGCGTAATTGTTACACTGGGTGGTGCCTTGCCTCTATTCCATGGAATCAGAAAAGGGAAGACTTTCCAGTGTGGCTTAGCTGCTCTCCAACAAGACCACTGTACCCCATAACCCAGAATCTCCCAGGCCCCTAGCACATGCTCCTGGGCCCTCAGGCCAGGATCTGGGGGCAGAAGACGGGGGTCCCATGCAGCAAAATGATGAAGGACTCCCAATGCATGACTTTATAAGTGAGCAAAGTCATACAAATTATTACTATCTAAGGATGATGGGGCGGCGGATAGAAGACAGTTAACTGCTACTGAGCACCTGGAAGTAGGGACTGGGGGAGCTTGATGAGACAAGAGCAGAACTTGGCAGAACAGCACTGTGCGTCTGCCGTTCTGTCCAGAGAAAGGCAGCCGCGATTCAGCTACTGGGGTCAGGGATCAGTACAGACCAGTTCCTGCTGTGGCACAACATCCTTGAGAAGTTTGGGTGGGCAAGGACTGCTCTGTACCTCCCCTGGCAATGGATGTAAGGAGCAACTGCCACGGCTTCCAGCCACTCATCTGCTCTCTCCTGCCCTGGGCAGCTCTGCCTGCGGGTGATGCAGCAGTAAGGACTGCCCAGCTTGAGAGTGCAAGCAAACGTCATGCCCAATACTGTGCCACCACGAGGGAGGATGCAGGTGAGAGTGAGTATGTGGGTGGCCCACGTTTTGCATGAGCAGCTGCCTCTGCTCACCTGCACCCTCCCTGCTGTCCCTCCCTGAGAGAGAGAGCGCAAGCCGGCAGAAGCAGCACCTTACTCTGGCTCTCCTTGGGCCCAATCCTCTCCACCATGTTGTCCAGAGAGCGAAAGTGCCCGCAGCCTCCAATCCCCCCACTCTCTGGTGGCAGCGAGGACTAGGAGGCAGAGAAGTGCCTCATGACCGTCGCCAGGGCGCCAGCCGCCCGAGGGCCCCAGGGGCCTCCGCGCCGGTCCCAGGGGCGGCGCCTGCGCCGGCTGCTCGGCTTGGCGGCCGGGGTGGGGTGCGGCGAGGTCCCACCCGTGGCTCTTTCTCTTGTCTCTCGGGCGAGCCCCGCCCTGGGGATCAGGTGACAGCGGAGGCTGGAATTTGACACCAGACTCTGCCAGCCGCGGAGATGGAGCCGGTGCTTTTCTTCCTGCCAGAGGCCGCCTGTCCCGGAGCCCGGCCGGCCGTAGGTCCGCTTCCCGAGGGCCGAGCGCCCCGCCGGCTCCCTGCCTCGCCGTGTGCGGTGAGTCCGGCCCGGCGTGGAGGGGGGTCCCGGGATCGGGGCTGCCCTGCCGACTCCGGCCCGGACGCCAGCCGCTCTAACCCGATCTTTCCCCGCAGGGGGGCGCTGAGCCCACCGGGCACCTGCCGGCCATGCAGGCGACGTGAACGTCGGGCGCCCGAGGGAGCGATCCCGGCGGGGCCGGGCTATGGCCCCCGGGGCCGGGTGAGCGCAGGAGCCGCCGAGGAGCCGCTGCCGCCGCCGCCGCCGCCGGGAGGTAAGGAGGGGGGCTGGCGAGCTCGTGGTCCCCGCGGGGAAAGGGCTGTGGGTGTGCGCAGTTCTGTCCCAGAGCGGGGAGAGGCGAAATCGCTGGTCGTCGGGAAGGGGCGCGGGGGCCCTCCTCTTTGCTCCCTCCCCGGCCGATCCCGGTGTAGGTATTCCCCGTGGCTCTGACCAGGCCGCCGGTGACCGTGTGTCTCCCGTGCAGGGAGCGGATTCGATGCCCTGGAAGGGCCGGTACCCGAGGGCAGAGGGAGGCGCTTCCCGGCCCGGATCCTCGGAGCATGGTCCCCGGAGAGCCGCGCGCAGCAGGAGGCGCCCGATCTGCCGAGACGGAGCGCGCGGTGAGTGCGGCGGGCGGGAAAGCGCGAGCGCAGCGCCCCCTAGACTGGGGCGGGGAGGAGAGAGCGGGGCAAATGCGCGGCTGGGGGGGGGGCGGAGAAGCAAGACTCTGGAGCGGAGCAAGTAGGCAGCCTGTTCGGAAGGGGAGCGGGCGCTTGTCGCGGCAGGGCTGCTTCTCCGCCGCCGACCCGGGTAACTCTTGGCGGACTTCGAGCGCCTTCGTTCTCTAGAGGACCGCTTGCTCGGAGTCGAACCGCACGCTCGCTCGCTCTCTCGGTTCCCCGCAGCCCACAGCTCAGGTCTGCCTCGTGGCTCCAGTCTTAAGTTTTCCAGGCAGCTCCTCTGGAGAGAATCGATGGTTGAGTGTGTTGTACTGTATGTGTGTGTGAGAGAGGCAGAGAAAGACAAGAGAGCCGGATGCAGGGTGTCTCTTTGCCTTTTCCCAGGCGGTCCACGGTCCTCTTCTCTTCTAGAATTTCTCTGGCATTTCTCTGCGTTTCCTCCAGTCCAAGAGTGGCTAACCTTTGGCCCTCCAGATATTGCTGGACTACAACTAACATCATTCCTGACCATTGGTAATGTTGGATGGGACTGAGGAGTCATAGAATCACAGAATTGTAGGGTTGCAAGGGACCTCCAGGGTAATCTAGTCCAACCCCCTGCAATGCAGGAATCCTGCTCATGGTACCTGGGTGGACTTGACCCACCAAAACAGCCAGATGCACTGACCCTACAGAGCCTAACAACTTCTAGCGAGCTCTCTGGGGCTGTTAGACCAGGCCTATCAGGAAGGACCTCTCTGGCTTCCTCGGGCACTTCCAGTACATATTTCCAGCAGCATTCAAAGGAGAGAGAGAGAGAGAGAAGAATTCGACACAATTTCTACATCATCAAAACTTGAGAAATTCAGCTCTTCCACCTCAGTCACTGAGCCTACAATGCTATGCAAACTTACCTGAGAGCAGCGGGACTTACGTCTGAGTAAACGTGCCGAGGATTGCACAGCAGGTCTGTTTTCCACTCCCCATCACCACCGGTGTCCGGCAGCCCACTCCTCTTTTCTGCTGTGGTTCCGATCCTGGCGTGACTTCTCTGTTGCTTCCTAGCAGATATAATTCCTGCTGTTTTTGGTTACTGTTCAAGAGAATGTGGCGTCAGGTTGCGAGTCCTGCATTAGCTTGCTTGCTCACTTAGTCTTTTGACTGTGTTCGTTGTAGACACCGGGGACATGTTGGGCTGCTCCGGTGGCTGAGTGTCCAGAGATGAGGCTCCAGAACTGACACTTTGGCATGCTGTTCCAGCCACAAGGGGTCCAGGATAGCATATGCATGGATGCTTTACAAAGTGAGCAGGATGTTCAGAGTTGTGGGGGTGGGGGTGGAGGAGCAGGAGAAGGGTGTATATTGGCTGCTCATCAGCTTCAAGGAAGACTTTGCTGCCAACATCTCTTTGTTTTGGAAAGTAAACATAAATCTTCAAACCAGCTTCCTTCAAAAACTCCTGCAGCTCTGCAACGGAATGCCTTAGAGTCACCACTTCAGATTGTTATGACAGTTTGAGGCACCAGAAAGATAATATTCTGTTCTCCCCGCCCGTACTAACCCATTCCTTTCTTACTAGCCATTGTTTTGTATATTTCCCTAATTACCCACAAATAGACGATGTGGTCCTATGTGCTCTGACTGCCTATTTGGCTCTCCCAGAACCTGTTCCAAACACTCCTCCCTGATTTGCGAAATGCAGCACAAGCAGCCCTTCATTTCTTAATCGAAACAGCTGCATGACAGGGGAAGATGCTGTTTTGATAATGCCCTTGCCCCAGTGTGCTACTAGGTGGCACATACCAGGCAGGAGTCTTCAGGAATACATCTCAAAGGATTTGTGTCATCCTTCTGACGCAGCTTCTGAATTCATTTTGCAGCCAGCAGTCAATGGATAAGCCTCCCCTCCCTTCCATTCTTTTCAGTCCTCTTGGGTTTCCCTGGGAATTGAACTTGATTCCCCACCCCCATAATTCTGATCCAGGTCTGTGGAAGACTTGCATTAATGAACATGAGTCAAATTCAGGCCTCTGCATCAGAGGAGGCATGGCTTTTCCACCCAAAGGTCTTGGGAAAGCGGAAAGATGTCTTTGAAGCTTCCAGAGTTGTTGCTGGAAGCTGATGACTCCCAGAAGCTCTGCAATCAGTGTGGTTATTACTCTGTGCTGGGTCTCGCAAGATATGGAGGCAAATTTCCACTGGGCCTCAATGTCTGCATGGCTGGGGACTCTGCATACTAGTATGGTTGCCTGGATGGCAGAAAATAAACAGAAGATCAGTAGTATCTATTAGGATGTGCTTGGACATTGGACCCAGAGGATATAATTTCCACATTTCACAGGTTGATCTTCAGAAGCTATTCTTTTCTCTACAAAATCACTGGTAGGACCTCCCCACCTTCCAGGACAGACATGGATATTCTGTGCAGGGCTTAAAGATAGAGATGTATCTGTTTCAGTGGAAGGCTCATAGACTATAGAATTGTAGTGTTGGGAGGGGCCAAAAGGGTCCTCTAGTCCAGGGGTAGGCAATCTAAGGCCCATGGGCCGCAAGCAGCCCACGGGGGTCATTTAACCAGCCCACGAGCCGTCCCCTAACTGAGCAGCCCACTTGGCGAGTCCCCATGCGCTGTGCTAAACCAGCACAGCACGGCACAGGGACTTGCTTTCACAGTGCCGGAAATCACGTCTGCGCATGCTCAGGCGCCGGAAATTGCGGCCGTGCATGCGCAATCTGGCCCACGGAGGGATCTCTGCTGGAGTGAACCGGCCCAGGCGAGGTAAACCTTGCCGACCCCTGCTCTAGTCCAGCCCCCTGTGATGCAGGAATTCTTTCCCCAATGTGAGGTTTGAACCCATGGCCCTGAGGTTAAGAGTCTCCTGCTCTACTGACTGAACTATCCCAGGAAGCCTGTCTTTCTCACAGCTACCCGCACTGCTGCGTCTTTAAATCATTTTGGAACTCTTTGTTTCCCAGTCTGCGGAATCAGGGCTAGGTTCTACCTCTTAGCCACTGAGATGAGATAAAAGGTTCCCCTCTGTGTGTGTGGTATGGGCAGTGTAAAAAACGCAACAAAACTCTGGTTCTCTGTTGCCACCTTGTGGGAATCTGATAAAGTGCACATCTCTGCAAACGACCAGATTTCCCAGATGTTCCCTCATGCAGGAGATGAATCCTGTCTGGTCAGGTCAAGATCAATGCCAGTTGAAGGTAGTCTAATATCAAAGCTAGCTAATTAAGGTGGTGGCAACTTCAGATGGAAGGATAATCAAGAACCAAAAGGGTTTACCTTTGCATCCAGCCTCTACACAAGCTCTTTTAAAAGGGCTCAGCTGTTTAATACTCTGGGGAACCGCTCTCTGTAGTTGCAGGGCAGAAAGTAGTGTGAGGGCAGACTGTGCCTCTGATAAAATCTGGTGCTTCACTCAGTGGGTTAGCTCTAACAATGAGCTTACAATCTAAAATTTCACACTGGGGTAAAACTGTCTGCAGTTGTGGGACAGGTGTGCTCATATCTCACAAATCATAGCAGTGGCATAATAAAGTACCCATGTTGGAAGCACTTACTGTCATAATAGACTCTTCCATGTGAGTTTTTCCTGGTTGCATGCCTGGTGGCAGCCCTTACAAACCCCAAGCCATTTGTGTGCATGTCACCGTAAACATGAACTAGCACAAAACCTTCAGAAATTATCAAGCTAGGTCTCATCAGAGTTGGAACTGGCCAGGAACCTCTTTTGTCCCAGTCCTGGGTAGGTGCCTGATCTTTCCATGGTACCCCTCTAGAGACGACGATGAAATACAAGGAGCTGCAACACTCATGCCTGTTTTATTTCAGCACCAGCATCCACAAGATAGTTGCTTGCTGTGGATATTGGTGGTCTTAGCTGATGCTAAGGAAATGGCTTGTTTTAATTTTTCATTGGCCAAGATACATTATTGGGACAGAGCCATGGGAATGTCTCATAGCCCAACCCTGTTCCTGTTACAGACTCATACCAGATCCTAAACTGCAAACTTTCAGGTCAACTATCTCTTGCAAGGGTCATCTGAACTGCTTTTATTTAGCTCAACTGACTCACTTATCCAGAGAGGCTTGCAGTGCAGGGAGAAGTGTAGATCTAGACAAGGGTGATGTCTGGGCCACAGTAAGGCTGAAGGTGTAGAAATTAGGCTATCCAATTAGGAAAGAAAGGTCCGGTTCCTGAACTGTGTCTTTGTGTTGCAGGTAGGATGGAGTGGAGAGTGGAGGGGCCAAGGCACAGATCGGACAGATCTCCCTCTGCCTACAGGAGTTTGCCTGTCCAACAAGAGCGATACAGGGTGAGTTAGCCTCGCCAGAGGGTGTTTTCAACACAAGAGCAGGAGCCTCAGAAGCAACGGGTAGGTAGAAAGGCCCTTGTCTGCAGGAGGATCCCAGCTCTCCCAATGTATGAGAGATGGAATGGCTTCTTGGTACATCACTTGCCTTGGGTTTCCAATGCATGAATCTGGTTCTTTGCTGCTCTCTGTTAGCCTAGCCCAGTGTTTCTCAAACTTGGGTCTCTAGCTGTGGTTGGACTACAACTCCCATCACCCCAAGTTAGCAGAACCAGTGGTCAGGGATGATGGGAGTTGTAGTCCAACAACAGCTAGAAACCCAAGTTTGAGAAACACTGGCCTCTCCCCTTGTGGGAACCTTGTCTTGGAGGGCCGCATTGTACATAGCAGTTTTTTTACATAGGTTTCATTTTTATGTAGGCCAAAGCTTGTCCATTGCTCATGTGAACTTGCATATGTCTTCTTTGCTGCATGCATCTATAACTGTAGCTTCTCACTTGGCATGCATGTGATGAAATGGATTCCTGGGCACCTTTATCTTTTCACATAATGGTGCAATTATGGCACATATACATGGCCAGCATGTGTTTTCCAGCACAGAAGTGACACCCAGGTTAGAAGGTGAAGTAGCCTCGAGACTCCAGCACAACACATTGCCTCCTCATCGCACCTTCCTTTGTAGGACAGCCCTGCTGCATTCTCTGTGCCCTTGTTTCCATGAGGTGTGCTTACTGAGGTGTGCCATTATCTCTTTCGTAGGAGCGGGGTTTGTGGGGTACAATCACCCTGCTATCATTGTTTGCTGGTGCAGTCATGGCAACCCCGCAGACCTGGCACAACAACCAGACATTGGGAGCTGCCTCTGATGGAAGCATGGGCACTGCCAGCCCTGCCTCTCTGGAGGAAAACAGCAGGGAAGCATCATCACTCGGCACATGGAGCCACTGGCACGGTAGGAACCTGGCATGTCTCATGGGGAAGTGGGTGAGAGTCTGGGGTAGTGAGGATCTGAACTTTTCCCAGTTGGATCCTCACCCACACAGTGGTCCCCAGCTTCCTTTGTCTCAGGCACTGCTGTGATGCTTTGCCTCTCTTTAAATCATTTACCCACCCCCATGTCCTTTGAAACAGGCAGTCCATTTGCAGAGCAAATGGAAATAGGTATATTCTGCCTGTTATCTTTTGGGCAGATTGAGCCCCATGCCCTTTTCCTTGATTCCCGGTGCCTAACATTCTCCCCATGTCCTCCTTTCTGCTCGCCCCTCTTCTTTTTTTCCTTCAGGGGGAAACGTGACCATAGACAGGCTGAGCTCTTCGGAACTGCTCAGGGCTGAGCGCTCCCCAGCCAGCTCCAGCAAGGCCAAGAAAGGATCCAAGAAAGCCGGTCGCAGCAAAAACAGCCGCTTCTGCCGCCTGCACAGCCGCCTGGTGAAGGTGCGGGACCTTGGGCTGGGCTTTGAGTCGGAGGAGATTGTGCGGTTCAAGTACTGCAGTGGGTCGTGCCAGCGAGCCCGCACCAACTATGACTTGGCCTTGAGTAGCCTGCTACAGCAACGCACCATCGTGCCTGGGCCTCATGACCACCCTTCCTCCCACCCCTGCTGCCGCCCCACCCGATATGAGGACTTCTCCTTTATGAATGTGCGCAATGCCTGGCAGACTGTGGACCATGTCTCAGCAGCAGAGTGTGGCTGTGTGGGCTGAGGGGGCTGCCTACTCTGAGCTCGCAGTTTGTCACTGAGGCTGCAGCCATGCCTAGGGCCTTGCTCCATTGGTGGGGCATGAGACACGGAGAGACACGGTCTGTGGTGGGGCTTTCCAGGTCAGGCAGAAGCAGCACATGGACAATAAGCAGGAGGAGAGCATGATGGCCACAGCTCGAAGGTGCCTGGGCCTTCATCTCCACATCTGTGGAACATTTTCATAGGGTACTTTCCTCATAGCAGCAAGATGGTGAGATGGAGGCCAGCCAAGCCTTTGAGGACTGCAAACCCACACGGGGAGGAATTCTCCCCTTTAGGGTTTGGTCCGTCAACCGTGTCGTGCATTTGCTCACCCATCAAGTTGCACCCTCCAGTGGAGAAGCAGCACTGGGATTTCCCATACCTTTACTCAAGGGATGAAGGATAGGGATGTAGCCTGAAAGACCTGTGGTGCAAATGGGTAGGTTCTTGAGCATCACTCCTTGCCACTTTGTCAGGCAGTGGAAAGAATTGGCTGCTCGCTCAGGTCACCTGGCCCTGTCAATTGCAAGGCTGATGTTCTCTCCCACTTTAAGCCCCCAAACCTTTCCCTGAGCAAATTGGTTTGCTCCATCAGAGAGCAGATGTAGTTGAACACGAAGGACAGAGTCACAATGCTTAGCAGCAGCATCAGGGTCAACCTACAACTGGTGAGCTTGTGCTCTGACGGTCCAGCGATTACTACTGCTGTCAGTCTTGTGCTGGGATGTTCGGCACAGTTGTTGAGGACTGAATGGAGCACCTTCCTGGTTTTGTACTAAGATGGTGGTAATTCTTAGAATCTTTGACCTGGTTTGGGGAGCTTCTCCTGGTGAGAACAAGCCCTTGGCAGATGGGAGGCTGGTGGCTGGACCTTGTGGAGATCGAGAAGCACAGCTGATGGAAGTCTTATGTTTCCACAGCGTAATTAAGGCATCTATTGCTATAGAAAATGGTCTTATCCTATAAAACCAATGATGGTGTTAACATCCTGGTTTGCAACATTCCCTAACACACCAGCAGCAGCTTGGAGTTTGGCCACTACAGTTGCCAGGCCAACACTGGAAGCAGCAATAGCCCCTGCCAATCCCTGAGTCAGCCATCACTTGGTGCCAGCAGGGTGGGGAACTCTCTGTCCTAGAAGTGACACTTTCTGAACAAAGTTATTTATTCTCTAACTTATTTATTTATTTGTTTGAACCCCACTCCCCACCCTACCCACCCAGTGGCACCTATTTATGATGCTGAGAGTCGGGCCTGGTGTACCATTGAAAACGGGTGCTGATGTTATGTCCCGGCCTGTGACCAGCAGTTCCTACTCCCTTTTCCCTTCTTGGCCTGATCAAAGGCATTTCCTCTTTTTCCTTTCCTGATTTTTATATTCTCTACCCTTTATTTGCATTTGAATAAACTCTATTTTTGTACAGCAGCAACTTCCTGTAGCAATAAAGCCTGTTAAGGCAGTGAGAAATTGGCTTCATGTGTATCTGTGTAGGAGGGAGGGAAACAACAAATATGCAAACCAGCTTAATTCATAAATATAGTTTCTGAAGCAAGTGTGGGCGCAGACAAGCATTTGACTATGTGCCTTGTCATCTCAAAGTTTATCACCCATGTGCCAAACCTCTTGTTTATTTATACGTGCTTGGTTGAAAGTGAGTTAAAAGGCCAGCAGATTGAACTCTGGCCAGCAGTGCCTAGGAGAATTTACTAAGAGCTGCTTCCTTTCTAGGTAAAAACCTGCAAATCCTGGGAGTCCTCGCACCTCAGTTTGAGGGTAAAAAGAGGGTTTTGTGCAACAAACGTTAAGTAACTTTGTGAAAAGTATTACAGACTAGTCCATCTTAACATGGCAGTTGACGTTCCTTTATTCAAAACTGAATCCGCTGACATCCAGTGTTGGTAAATGGTTGCCAGATATTATAAAAATAAGTTCTAGAAACCTCTGAAATGCTTAGAATATGTTATTTTATTCATTTCTAACAACAGCACAGGTGGTAAAGAATAGATTGTGCTGCTGAGCTTCTCCAATTTGAGCCAAGGTTAAGCTGGCATCTATCAACACATTCCTGAAAGGAAAAAGGGAGTTCTGTTGGAGTGACTTTTCCACACTGAAAACAAAAATTATGAAAAGTAAGACCCCATTAAAACTAGAGACAACATTGTACAAATCACATCTCCCACACTGGTCAGAATAATCTGAGATGTTTTCAAATTTAGCAGGTAGTAAATATCAGTGGTAAGCTATTTTATTTATTAATTAAAATATTTACAACCTGCCGTCTACACCAATCATTAAAAAGAACAAATCCAACTACCGATCAGGATTGGATAAACAAATAATAAAGAATCTTTAAACACAAGTGATGGTAATAACAAATTAGGCACGCATAACTGCATGTACTCCAGCAGTTAGTTATGCAAACACGTTTCACACATTACTAAATCCTGGACTAGTGCCTACCACACAAGTAGCTTAAGCAGTGTTTATACTGGCGCCTGTTGTGCAGTGTTTACTTAGAAGTTAGTCCTGGTGACTTACTCTGTCGAAGAGTGTAGGAGTACATCTGTAAAGTAGCTGCCCCCCCCCTTTTCTGCCCAGGTTCATAAAGACACCTAGTTTTGTTTTTTATGTTGCTGGGACTGGTGTGGTCTTAGGGTTTGGTTGTTTGTTGTTTAAATGTTTAAGCAGGGCTGAGGAACCTCAGGGATGGGGGCTGATTGTAGCTCTCCAAATTCTCTTTCCCGCCCTGAGACCTCCCAGGCCACATCCTTCACTGACTGGCCTATGGGCCTATGCCTTTTAGGGGCCCCTCGACAATGGATCAAAATAATATTGACTTGGTCTTTTAAGAAATTACAAGAAATGTATTAGGAGATAATTTGTGAGCCCTCCCCCAATATTTCAACTGCCATGGGGCCTCCACAGGGTTTAATCCAGCATTGTCACTGACCGTGCTCTGTGCCCCCTTCAGCTTTTTTATCTGACCAGAACATGTCATTGAACTGTAAAAAGTAGCCCACTACGCAAAGGTGAGTCACATCCGATGCTCTGCCTTCTTTTACACCTGACCCCACCCACCAATGCCACTTGAAAGGTTGTCTACCGGGATTGGGAATGCTTGTGTAAATTGCTTTGAGTGATTTATGGGTTACCTAAGCGTTTCCATAACATTCTATTTTATACCTGCTGCAAATTTGCTGCTGCTACGAGGTACCTGGACCAGACTCCCTTACCGGGGTGCCACTTCCAACTTCGTCCGCCCCAGTCTCGCAGAATCCCACTGCTTAGCTGAGATTCACTATTTTTTCCCCGCCACCAGGGGGTGCAGTAGGCAGAGACTCGCCACACTGCAAGAACTACAACTCCCATGAGCACCCCTCGGCCAATGTCTCTCTCGCTTCCGGAGCTGGGAACTACAACTCCCATGATCCTTCCGCCACAAGCTTGGTCCTCAGCGGGAAGCGGCTGTTCTTGGCGCCTGACTGGAAGCGAGCGAGCGAGCTGGCAAGAGGGCTTTTGGCGAAGACAACCCGGCAGCGCGTGAGGCCCTCCCTCCCTCCGCTCTCACTGGGTGCCCCACTGGGTGCCCGGACCAACTGCCAGTCAATTAGTCCGACTGAGCGGCCAGGGAGGCGTCTCGGCGGCGGTGGCGGCGGCAGCGGTTGCCGCCTCAGGCAGATAGAGCGACCCTCCTCGGAGGGCGTTGAGCGGGAGGGGCCGGGCGAGTACGAGACCGGCAGACGCCCTTCTGTCTGTCTGTGTCTGTGGCGGGTGATAGGCAGGTACCTCCTCCGCCATTAAGGGCAGAAGGACAGATTCCCCGCTTCCCCAGGAAATTTGCGTCAGTTTATCAAGCCTTTTCTGTGCTCCCTCCCTCCCAATAATCCCGCTCAAGGCGGGGCGCAGATAGTCCGTGCGCTTTACCGGGGCGGAGGCAGGTAGCTTCCATTCACTCTGAATCTTGTTGGGAACAGGCGGGATATTCTCCCCTTATTTCCCTGCTGAGAGTCCCGTCTCCCCCACATCACCCTGTGGGGGGCAGCTAGGCATGTATCCCTCTTGCAGAGAAGCTGATAAGACATCGCGCCTTTAAAAAAGAAGAATATTGGGAAAGAATCCGGCAGCCCCCACCCCTTTTTTAAAAAAGAAAAACCCCTCCCATTGACAGGCTGAGCACACGTAGCACTCCCCTTTCCTTCGGGCGAGACACAGGCAGAGAGAATTGCCCTTTCTCGTTTGGGGGGCTGCTCTTCTCTTCTTTCGCCCGTCCTTCCACCCCAAGATGCTGTCGCCGCCGCCGCCTACCCCCCTGTAGCTGAGCCCCAGTGCAGGGCGAGGCTCAGACCGTCGGCGTGCCGGCGCCATGGAGCGCCGAGGGGAGGCTGCCGCCGCTGCCCTCCCGCAGACCCTGGACTTCACCGTGGAGAACGTGGAGAAGGTGAGAGGTGGGGAGGAGGGGCCGCTTTAGGGTACCTGTGTTGGGGTTGCGGGGTGGCTTGGGTGGAAGTGCCTTATCCTGCACCCCAGTTAATTTTCGCACACGGGATTAGGAGCTTTCAATGTGCTCAGGCTTTTAGTGTACATTTGTCTCAGGCAATCCTGTCTTGAGTTCCAGTAGTTTTGTACTTCACCTATTCGGTGGGCATAGCTGCTCCCATCTTGATCTTTTTCAGGGGACTGAGAGTGCCCTTGGCATGTTATTGGTCTCTGACATTGGCTTCACGGTTTAATTTGCACTACTGTAGCCTCTGAATCCCACTGAATCGCACACACACTCTCTCTCTTTGGAGTGGCAGTAATATTGGTCCTTATGTTATAATCTGGGAACCTTTCCTCCGCTTACCTGCTTCTGAGAGCGTATCATGATGAGCCTGGCGGGGGGGCTGACACTACTGCTGCTGGCTTGAGGGGGCATTTGCAGAAGTGATGATCTGCCCTGACAGCATACCCAAAGGCATCCTGTTACTCATTGAATCCTTAGCATGTCATAGTCAGAACTCATGGCACTTTGGGCTTTCTCCTTTAGCTTCACTCCTCAGGAGATACCCTCTAGTTGTAGAAAGCAAAGTGGCCTTTAGAAACACACCTGGAAAATGAACTGTTGTCTGGTGACTGCTTTATTCTTTTGGCAGTTGTGTAATCACCTGCCTCTGTTCTCTTTTAGATGTAGGTATAAATGTTCCCTAATTCACAGGAGTTATTTAAATGGTATTGTAATACTGGCTATGACTCCTGGCATCTCCATGTAAAAGGTTCTGATGGCAGGTGATGGGAAAGACCTCTGTCTCAGACCCTGGAGAGCTCCTTCCACTTAGAATAGTCTGTCATAGTATAAGGCAGCTTCCTATATTTACATGAATTTTGTAATGAGAGTAACCTTTTATTTTTGAGGGCCTCATTCCCTTAGCAGTTGTCTGTCGGGGACTGCATGCTGATCATGGGTGGGGCTGCCACCAGCTTTCCTTTCTCTTTTCTGCCACTCCTTACTTCTCTCTCTCTCTCTCTCTCTTTCTCTCCCTCTCTCCTCCTTCTCCTCCTCCTCCCTGGCCAGCAGGCTGGGGGCAGGGGGAGATCACTCTTGCCAGAGATGGCTTGCTGAGGGTTTTTAAAAATTGGTTAGCAGGTAGCCCACCTCTGCTATAGGCATACCACAACTTCACTGGCAAATATGCTAGACTAGAGTGAGTGCCACCACTTGGTTCAAGGCTAAAGAGGATCTTACCTATGTAATTGTTCCACATTCCTTCACTGTAATGCTTTTGCAGCTATTTCTCAAAATTCTTTGTGGTGGCCTTGTGGAAGGCAGGCTGCTAATTAAAATACAATTGTGCTTCAGATTTATACAATGCATTTTTGAAAGATCAGAAACAACCATATACTGTAGACAAGTATTTTTGTTCCCATGTTGCAGATTGAATGTTGAAGCTGATGAATAGTAGCTTATTCAAGACTATCTAGTGAGTTTATGTGTGGATTGAAGATGGACTTCCCAATCAAAGCTCACACTCATAGTCACTACAGTATATTGCAGTAAAACAGCTCTTTATCTGTATCCAGGTAAACTATCCTTATCTCTGGACTGTGATGTGCTGTATAATGGACATTAACAAGGAGAAGCAAGAAGAATGGATGCTGTGGTACTAGTTACTGAAAGGGCACCATATTTCTTGAGGCTCCATCTTAAGTTGTGGGGCAGTCTGTGTTATGATAATAGTGAAGATTTCACTTTGCCAAGTGATTGGTGTCTTAACTGTTGCTGCCTGTTTGTAAGAATAAAATTCTACACTTACAAGATAGAAAAGCATGAGCTTGGAGCTGTTTTTGAGAGGTTGTTAAGGAATGATACTTAGAAATATCTATAACTATGTGTTTTTGGAGATTTCACTCAAGTGTAAGTAGAACTCCAATCTGCTCCCGTTTCCCACATTGGGCATATGTATAATTCATTATAATTGATTATGATGAATATAATTTATCTTTAAATGAAAAGGAACATTTCTAGCCTCCAGGTTTTTGAAGGTGGGCTTGAAAATGTGTGAACAATATCTGATGAAATATTGAAAGCCAGGGATACCTTGTAAGTTTCCTAGGGGCCATGGAACTGGAGCTCTGTGGCCTGCATAGCTCCATGTCTAGGAAAAGCAGAATAAGTGCACTCACTTTGAATAAGTTATACATACTACAGAAATTTTATCTTCCTGGTTGAAACTGGGATACTTTGGCCTGAAAGAAATTAAAAAGCAGTTTAGGGTTAGTCCTGAACAGTTTATTTTTCTCCCCTTCTGTTGAGTAAAGTTCTGCAGGATGGAAATTGTTATTTCTGTTAAACAACACACATCTTCCATTGTGGCTTTGTAGAGTGCTCTTTTGTGGACCTGTCACTATTCAGGCAGCTTTAACCTGCCTTTGCTGCCCATTGTATTTTCAGAAGCACTGGAGCAGCCACTCCCTATTGCACCCTGAATTCTGTCATTCTGCTCGTGTTAAATTGTCACACAGGTTCCAGGCAGCTAACTAGTAGGGATTATGACATTTAGCCCTCTTCCTAGCAAAGCCCAGATAGTGACAACTCACCAAGGTACATCTTTAGCTGGATATGGAACCTGACTTGCTTCCCTTTCTTTGTTTATTAGATCCATAGCCAGGAATGGCAGACTCCTAGTCCAAGATTTTAGGCCATGATGTTAAAAACCTCCCACTATCATAGTGCATATGGAATAAGGGTTTGTGCCTTTCTGCAAAGTTATGTAGCAGCACTAGCTTTTGTGGCCTAATCTGTTACTGGGTAATGCTGCTTTATAATTCCCTCTGGAAGGAACGCACAGGCAGCTTCTTTGTGCGAGCTGACAATAGAGCAAATGTTGACATCAAGAAAGGTCAGTACACCCCAGGTGGTGATTAGCTCAGCAAGTGCTGGGGTAGAAGTTGGAGCCATCAGGGGTGTGCCAGAATGGCTTCCACACTGGCTGGGAAGGGCTGTAGCAGGCTCTCAAGGATGCTTCGGCTCCCCACCCCCCCGTCTGTCTCAAACCTTCTTTGCTTCGCTGCCTAGCACTGCTTGCATCAAGCTTTCCCGTAAGATGCAACTGTTATGCTATAACAGTGGAGATTGGTTGGCTGACTGAGGAGGAAGGGTGTAAGCAGGCGATTGTGCCATAATAGTCTGTATTTAGTGCCAGTTTATGCTGCAGGAAGCATTGACTATTGGGGTCAAGATACAGGTTTTTGAGTAGGGTCAAATCTGCCATGCATTTGACTCATCAGCCCAAGGCTTTTTTTTGCTGCAAGTGACAGAAAGTGGTACTCTGCCAGGGTAGATTCAGACTGCTTTCTTACACACGTGGTGTATTTTTGTAATAACAATCCTCTCTGGTCTTGAGGCTGCCTCTTCATGGCAGGTGCCACAGATCCAGGGAGTCAGCATCTAGCCAAACCAATATGCTCATGCTCCAGTTCAGCCCTGAGGTGACTGAGTAGGCTAACCAGCTTTTGCAGGAGCTCATAGATTTGATTTGTAGTTATCACTGTACCAGACATTTAGACTAAAGTAGTTAATGACATCTTGCTGTCACAGGCAGGGGTTGAACTAATACTAGGCACTTCTTTCGTATTCAGTGCAGAGCTACCCAACCTCACACATTAGTATATGAATAAAGACGCTTAATTGGTTCTGAATGTTTGAATTATCCAGTTCAAAACTTCAGTGAGCAGGGGAAGCTTGGGAAAAGCAACACAAAGGACAAGGAAGTTAAAACAGTTATACCAATTAAAGTGCAGCTTAGATTTTAACCCTAAGGAATATTTATGGTACAGTGTTCAAAACATTGGGGTTTTTTGTGGGTTTTTTTGGGAAAGGTCTTTCTTACTCTTAGCCATAGAGCAAACCAGGTAGCTTTTCTGTTTCTTAGCCTAGACAAGCTAGCTTTTCACACAGGAGTACAGACAGGATGCAAGAAACTCCAATGAAACCAGAGACATGCCCTTACATCTAAAGCCTTTTTGGTCTTGTGATAACACAGGCCCATTTGGCTTAGAGTGAAGTATTCTGGTTGCATTTCACATTGGATAAAGGCTTCAGGTCAGAGGCAAGGGTGTAAATTGCCATTTTGCGCTTTTTATAGGGTGACCCTAAGGAGGTGACTTATCTCCCAGCAGAAGCCACGGGATGTGAAAATGTATAGAGGAATTATCTTATGCTGTGTGTAATGCAACAATTGTTTGGGGTACAGGAAAAAATGGTTGCACTTTCAATAAGAGATGTGTAAAAAATTCATATTTCTCTGGCTTCAACAAGTTGGTAAAAAATAGAAAAAATGAATCTGAAGATGGGAACATCTTGGAAACACCACATTTCCACCACTGGAAGACATTGGGTTGAATCTGTACACACATGCACTCCACTCTTCCTATAGCCATCTTGATGGTACTTAGGCAGCAGTTCCTGTTAACTTTATGGCTTCAACATCAGACATAACCTTTCTGCATTTGTGTGATTGTGTTTGTTCTCAATCCAGTGTGTTTTAATGGTTAAAGTGTTGGGCTATGACTTGGGAGACCAGAATTTGAATCTCTAGTCAGCCATGAAGCTCACTGGGTGACCTTGGATTTCTCAGCCAAACTACCTCACAGGGTTGATGTGGGGATAAACTGGGGAGGGGAGAGCCATGTAGACCACACTGAGCTCCTCGAAGGAAAAGGTGATATATAAATGAAATTAATAAATCAAATCCTCCCACGTCCCCTGCTATTCCCCTTTTCTTGTGGGCATGTGTGTGTATTTGAGGTGAGGGCTGTATCATCTAGGCTCTCTCCCTGGATAAAAAGGTTTTGGTTTCCATCACTTCTAATTTGAGGTGGTGAGCCGCAGGCCTGTGTGATGTGACAGCTGAGACAGCTGCCTTCAGACCAAGATATTGGGGAATAGAAATACAAGTGAATCTGCCTCTTTGACTCTTTAAAAATGCTGTTGCTGATTTACTGTTGTCAAAGTAGTCTGAAGATCCCCTTCCTTGTATGCAACTGGGAGTAGCTTTCCTGACCTGCTCCTTTTCCAGTAAATTTCCATAGTACTGTTGAGGATTTCATTGGACTTTCAGGGTATAGTAGCATTTCATTTCAAATGGAAGTCTGAAGAATGATAGTGGTCGCGAGTGCAAGCCTTAGCTCAAGTTTCACCGGCTGGCCTTGTTTACTTAGAATCATAGAATTGTAGAGTTGGATGGGACCCTTAGAGTCATCACTACTCTAACACCCTGTAATGCAGATATCTCAACTAAAGCATTAATGACAGATGGCTATCCAACTTCTGCATGAAAACTTCCAGTGAAGGAGAATCCACCACCTTCCGATGGAGTCTGTTCCAATTGTCAAGCAGCTCTTACCATCAAAAAGTTCTTCCTAATGTTTAATTGGAATCTCATTTCCTGTGAATTGAATCCATTGGTTTGGGTCCTAGCCTCCAAAGCAGGAGAAAACAAGCTTGCTGCATCTTCCATGTGACAGCCCTTTAGATATTTAAAGATGGTTGTCTTTCTCATCTTTACATACCCAACTCCTTCAACCATTCCTCATAAGGCTGGGTTTCCAGACCTTTGATCATTTGGTTGCCTTCCTATGCATATGTTCCAGCTTGCCATTATCTTTCTTAAATTGTGCCCAGAACTGGACACAATACTTTAGATGTGGTCTTACCAAAGCAGACTAGAGTGGTAATATTGCTTCCCTTGATCTGGACACTATACTTCTGCTGATAACTGGGTTATTTTGTCTTATGCCTGGTCTTATGAATCATAGTACCAGCACATGGCCTCTCCACTTGCACAGAGCTAGCCCTGGAAGTGCTGCTGTTGAGAGCAGCAAAGCAACAGGTCCAAGAACACACCATCTTTAGCTCTAACAGTTTTGGGTTGCCTGGCACAACCCTGTGCTGGCATCAGCTAAAAGTGACTTCCCCAAGGACATGCCTCTGCTTGATTTCCAGGGATAGGATGCTGGAGTATTTGGAACAGAGCAAACCACTACCTGTGCATATTGTGGCTTCTTAGGTTTGCTTTACACTGTTCATTATGAATTGTGTTGCAGAAGGTATTGGTGCTGTGCATGTTAGAAAGAAGTTTTTTGTTCCTGCGGTACAAGATGTCATTACTCATAGACAATGGGGCTTCTGTTTTTTACAGGGTATGTTTGAATTTGCTTACAAAGGATATTGTGTAGCCTGCGGTATTGTGTCGCCTGGTTTCATGGTTGCAACTGTGATCAATGCTGGTCTCTTGTGCCAAGCAAAGAGTCAACCATATATTCTGATGTTCTTGTATACCTCCTAGTTAACAGCAAGTAATAGGTGTTTCCTTCATGACGACAGATGGCCAATCATGCTAGCCCTTGTCTATAGCCCATTTTAGAAAGTAAGTGAAAGAGGCAGTTTGTGATGTTTCAGTTTGAGAGTTTATTTTTTAAAGCAATTTGCTAGCAAGAAGCAATCTCTGACATGGACTGCATATTTCTGTGACTTTTGTAGTCTTGATTCTTTTGTAGGGTTAACATTAACTGGGCATATGATCCCCTTCTTCTTGTAAATTTTGTGTGTGTGTGTACACCCACACCAAGTGTCTGTAGTACTTTCCTCTTGTAAAGAAGCTGACTCTAGTGTACTAGAGGTGAAGAATGTGAATCCTTATGTGTTCCTTTGTCTGGAACTTCAGCTGCTGCTCTAACTGTAGGCTTTCTTTCTCCCAGAATCTGCATTCTTTGAACACTCTTCTGTTCCGAAGATCAGCCCTGGGTCATCACTCTTCTTCTGTCACTCCTAAATGTCAAACTTCAACCACATTGCAGCTTGAGCCCTAGAACTCATGCCCCTTCCCTAGTTCTAGTCAGTAGTAGTGGCATACTCACTGTAGCAAGAGCTATTGCTAGAAGCTGCTCTTTTGTTACTGAATTAGCTTTTTAAAATAAACTTGTTTTCTGTCTTGTTTTAGTTGATTGTACTGTATGTAAGCTGTTCTGCAAGCCTTTTCTGTAAAGACTGGGTACAAACATTCTAAATAACACCATCACTACCATCTAGTCTTCTTAAGCTGTTGGTCTGTTGGTGCTGAAGGCTGGCCCATCTTCCTCTGTTATGTACTTTACTGTCTTTGGGGTGACAGTATGTTGCGTACTGTGGGGGTTGAAGGCAGTGGGTAATGCCAGCAATGTTTTCGATGTGTTGAAGGATGTCATTGGCTGCTGGCAAACATGTCTGGCGGCTTGGTTGGCACAGAACTCTATAATATGGGCCCATCAATATTTGGCTCAAGTGGGTGGGAGGAAAATGCTTGTTATGTTCACGCCTGTATTGTGACAGAACTGAGACTGTGGTTGCAGCTGACTGCGCTCAGTACTGCAGAACCAGGGCAATGCTCAGCAACCTTTCCGCCTTCTATGTAGATTGCCTGTGCCCTCTACGCCATAGTGGAGAGGGCTAGGTCTTTGCTTGAATGAACAGATGATGCTCTGGTTGCTATGGTTCCTGTTGCTTGGTGGCAATTGGCTGTGCTGTTCAGGAGATCAAGATATTGGGTGCTTTGGACAGGACTGAAAGGAAAGCAACCCAGAATGCCTTCCAGGAGGTGAGGAGTGGTAGTCGCTGCAGAGTCAGTAGCCATACAGTCCCTCTTTGGCCCATTGGGGTCATTGGATTATGAGGCCATATCCTGAGTGTGCACAGTGTCATCATGTTGGTCTCCATTCACTTCAGTTTGATGGAGCAAGAAGTATGTCTCAAACAACTGCATCTCCTGCAATTCCAGGGAGAGAGAGATTGTATAGGAACACGGGATGGGTTTTGTGTGTTCACTAACCTGGAGTGGCCTCATGTACTCATGCGATCTTTAATTGTTGATATCTGCTGGAACTCCTCTTCTCACTTAGTCTCTGGGACTTTGAGAATTCAGCTTGCTGTTATTTACATAGTGCTGTCAAGGAGACAAACTGCTATTTTCTTACTCTTCAAAAGCTCAGAGGAGGCCTGGAAGGAGGAAGCACTGCACCAGGGACACTGAGCTTGTGGCAGTTGCTGCTGCTACTTAAGCATCAAAACCTGATATGTCACATTTTCATTCATGCTCCTTTAATAAAGCAAACCCAGTGCCAATCTGCTTGAGAGGTCAGAGAAAAGAAATGAATCCTGTTTTGGGTCTCTGGTTAAGGCTCAGGGTGTCAATAGTGTTGTCTCATCAGTTGAACTACATTAGTATACCATGTGCTGTGGTGTTCATTAGGTGAGTTCTTTCCCAGCAGTGATCCTTTGCTGGCGAGACCTCACTCTGTTGCACTGAAAGTGCCGTGCATGCTGGGCTGCTTACAAGATATAACGTTACAAACTTTGCCATTTCTAATGGCCCAAGAATAGCACAGTATTTCAGGCTTTCTTACAACACTCCATTCTGCATCCATTTCTTTAGTCACCGGATTGGACGCTGTATGCCAACTCCTTATGGTGTTGAACCCATAAAGCTGGTCTGAGGCTTGAGAAACCGTTATTGCCACTTTTAAAGTGCTCGTTTGAAAGATCCCTACAATGCCCTTGCCTCCGTTGTCTAGAGGAAGGGGCATATGTATGCTGGAACTTTAAGATGCATTATCCGGAGCAGGGGTCAGCAACCTTTTTCAGCCATGGGCCAGTCCACTGTCCCTCAGACCATGTGGTGTGCTGGACTAAATTTTTTGGGGGGGAAATGAAGGAATTCCTATGCCCCACAAATAACCCAGAGATGCATTTTAAATAAAAGGACACATTCTACTCATGTAAAAACACATTGATTCCTGGACTGTCTGTGGGCTGGCTTGAGAAGGCGATTGGGTCGCATCCGGCCCCCGGGCCTTAGTTTGCCTACCCCTGATCTGGAGGTTTTGAAGTCTCAGCAGGTCAAGTCATGAGACACTTGTGTAGGGAGACTGTAATATGTTTTAGTTTATGCAGCAGTTGAGCTCCTGTGTGTTTCTGTGACTGTGTTAGTTATGTGCTGACTAAATACAGGAAGTGTGTGAGCAAACTTAAAGCCCGAGTGGTGTAATGTTTATTCATGTACTTATTAATGTTGGATTTCAGCTGCCATTTTGTTGCCAATTCATCCAGCTAGGGACAGCATCCTGGAGCTCTTCAGTCTTGCTGAGATTTCACCATCCTGAATAATTTGGCATCATCTGCAAATTTGGTTGTCTGTCAGTTTGCATCTTACTCCAGACCACAATGGACAAATTATACAGTACCAATCTAAATACAAATGGGCATGGTTTACTGTCCTCCTTCATGAAAGCTGTCAAACTCTGCTTTCTGTTTTGGTGTTGGAGGCTCTTAAGAAACTTGGTGACCTAATGACAATCCTTGCTCAAAAATATAAATAATTTTAACCCTTATATTTCAATAGATTCTGGCTGCATGGGAACCTACTATAAAGTTCAGCAGTTAATAGGAATTTTATGTGTGTTTGTAGTCTGCTTCAGATTTGTACAAGGACCGAGTGCAGTCTGTGCCACATCTTGAGAAATGTCATTGATTACTCTACAATTTGTGGAGAACCTGACACAAAGTCAGGCCATGGCTGCACAATGCACTCGTTGATCAGCAGCCTGATGCTTTTCTTCGTAGGCACTGCTTAAAACATCTGGAGCTATATGACTTCATATTGTATTTTTCCCCTTTGCTACACCTACCCATTAAAATATTTGCATTTATGTTTAGAGACTTCTTGTTTTTACATTTGATAAAACTAATCAGTTTTGTGGTCTCTGTTTTTCAACATTTTGCATTGTTAAAAGCAATGGTTCCCAACCTTTTTATTATGATGATCCACTATTAAAGTCACATGAGTTTTGTACTTTAGGTCTTCAACAGCTGTCGATTTCATGCATTTTAACTGCACGTTTGCCTATTTTATAACCATTATTTGAGGCATCCAAGCAAAAATTTATTTAATGCCCCTATTAATATGGAACTTGTTGAAATATTTATAATACTTACAGAGATACTCAGTTTTTTATGGGAATGTAACCACCAATCACCTGGTTACAGAATATTGCTTCATGAGCTATTAAAAATATTTTAAAAACATGCTATTACACAAGCAGTGTTAGATATTTTGAACTATGAATATTTTAAATAGCTTTATTCGCAATAAAGTCCATTTTGGCAAGTATAAGTGGGATGGCTGAGCTTGCACTTCGCTAATGAGTAGATCAATGTGGGGATTGATGGTTGTCAAGCATAGTCTCATATCGTTATTGATACATAGCCGGCTACTGTATTTATTATATTTATACTGTCTTCATAGTAGTTATTGCTGAAATACCTGTCTCGCAAATATATGCACTATCAAATGGCAGCAGCACAGATTTTGCTTCATTGGCAAGCTCAGGATACTCAATAGTAGCTGAGTAATTTTGGTAACCTGAACCCAAAATTCAGAGAGCCTCACTTCCAAAAATGTATCTTTGAGGGCCCAGTGAGTTGTTCCTTTTGCACAAAGACAGGTTTGTGACATGAGTTGCAAATAGGTTTTGCACCCATTCAAACTTCTCTGTTTCTTCAGCAGAAAGGTAGTGGAGAAATCAAACCACCCTTGGCTTCACTTTTAACTTACTGGCAGTCTGCCACAAGGTACAGGGCGTTGTTTTGAGTGACTGCTATAGCTCGCCTCTGATGGGCAGGTGCACAGCTTTTCTGAGTGAGAGACAGAAAAGAATTTACTAGCTATGTAGGGAAGAATTTACTGTCTATGTAAAGAAAGTGAACTTCAGGGCTCATTCACACTTCCATTGCCCCTCTGCTTCTTCTGGGGAAACCCTCTCGTTGCCACTACATCGTAGCAGATGTCAGTCAAATTTTCAGCAGATTGACGTTTGCTCCGACTCAGCAGTGAAGAGTGGGTTTTCCCAGAGAAAGTGGTAGGGCAAATGCAAAACCGCCTGGACGCATGCTTAGAAAGCATGGGGCAAGGTGAAAACCTTTCAGGCCTGTGCTTTCTAGGCATTGGACATGTGGAGTAGCCCTTAGCTATAACTCAATATATCCAGGAAACAGCCACTACCAAGATGGACCAGACTGTTATTCCCATATGTAAAATACAGAAATAAAAGGTTTTGGTTGGTGGGGAGTATTGCATTGTGTGTTCAGCAAAGTGGCACTGAAAACTGGGTTCACCTAGATGTGACAGCACCATGATGAACAGGTATTAAGTGTGGGGTGGAGGTGATTGTAATGTATTATAGAAACAGGTAATATAAAGGGGATTCTGAATCTTCTGTTTCAGAATTGCCACCCAAATACTTTTCTCTCGTCATGTTTTGGAACCCAACTTAAAAATAAACAGCTAGGGCAGAGGAAGTGTTCAGCAACTTCTTCCATTTCCCCGCTTTCCTCATTAAATTGCTGCTCCCTTATATTTGTTCTCTACCATTCCTAGTTCTAAAACATGAGGCTGCTGCTTTCACATCTAGTTAGCTCTTCATTGTGGAAGGATATTATTACAGCACTAAAGGTTTGAAATACAGTCATACCTCGGGTTGAAGTAGCTTCGGGATAAGTATTTTCGGGTTGCGCGCTGTGACGACCCGGAAGTAACGGAGCGCGTTACTTCCAGGTTTCACTGCTTGTGCATGCGCAGACGGTCAAAATGACATCACGTGCATGTGCAGAAGCGGCGAATCGCCACACACGCAGATGCAGATTGCATTCGCTTCTGGATGCGAACAGGGCTCTGGAATGGATCCCGTTCACATCCACTGTAGTAATTAACACTTTCTGTTCACTGACTTAGAATACTCTTATCCTGAATTTCTTCTGTTGAGGGCAGTTGAGACTTTTACCAGTCCCCAACTGCTGTGTTGTACTTGATTGCATGGTTATCTGTAGTATCGTCTCCACTCAACCATATCTGCCCTCTTCTGATCTAAAGTACGGGAGAGCAAGGGTGTTACTCTTTTTTGTAGTATGGAGAGAGTTAACGTTTCATGAACCAGGTACCTAACAGTAAGGGATCTGGATTTGGCTTTTTACTGTCTTACAAGCATATATAAAATAGTGACTAAGTTGCTATTTTCTACCTTCTAGGCACTCCACCAGTTGTATTATGACCCCAACATTGAAAACAAGAATCTGGCTCAGAAATGGTTGATGCAAGCTCAAGTCTCACCACAAGCCTGGCACTTCAGTTGGCTACTTCTCGATATGGACAAGGTGCCTGAGATCCAGTACTTTGGGGCCAGCGCCCTCCACATCAAGATTTCACGCTACTGGAATGACATCCCAGCTGACCAGTATGAAAGCCTCAAATCACAGCTCTTCAGCCAAATAACCCGTTTTGCTAGTGGTTCCAAGATTGTGCTGACCCGGCTTTGTGTGGCACTGGCTTCGTTAGCACTAAACATGATGCCAGAGGCCTGGCCATGTGCTGTTGCTGACATGGTGCGCATGTTTCAGGCAGAGGACTCTAATGTCGATGGGCGAGCACGCTGCCTGGCACTCTTAGAGCTGTTGACTGTTCTGCCTGAGGAGTTCCAAACCAGCCGCCTGCCTCAGTACCGTAAGGGGCAGGTGCGTAGCGTCTTGGCACAGGAGTGCAGTTCTGTCTTCCCCCTGCTAGAGCAATTACTACAGCAACAAGACTCTCCCAGCTTCATTAAACAGAAGGTGTTGAAGTGCTTCTCGAGCTGGGTGCAGTTAGAGATTCCCCTGATGGAGTGTGAGAACTTGATCCAGGCAGCCTTCACCTCTTTGCGCGATCCAGAACTCTTTGATACAGCTGTGGAGGCCATTGTCAATGCCATTTCCCAGCCTGATGCTCAGAGGTAAGTGTTGGTTCCAAATTGTGGGTCAGTTGTGATTACAGTTGTGCAGCCTCCCCTGTAAGCTGACTGTTTCCACATGCAGCAATCAAGGGGAGAACCTGTATTGACAGAACTTTCAATCAGCTTTCTGAACCACACTCTGATTCCAACAAAGAGGTTATAGAGTGTGCTTGTGTAGAGTTTCATATCCATGGACAGTACATAAATTCCGCAGGTCTTCTTGAAGATGGAGGGCAAGGGAGGAGATTGAGGAACTCTTGAATTGGCGCAACCATTGGCAAGCAAGCATCAACCTTTTGTGGACTTTTTTAGTTACTACTTATCAGCCAATAAAAACAGAATTACCTAGTGCTGAAATTAAGCTAAAACCAACCAATAAGAACAGAATTACCAGAACTGAAATTAAGCTAAAACTAGTATTATTAACTTTTAAATAATCATGCGGTTGATTCTTGTGAGACAGAATTCTACCAAGCTTCAAAACAGACATTCTGTAGCCACAGCCAATCTACAAGAGCATCTGTTGGTTCTGTTCTAATTTCAACTAGGGAAGGATGTCATGCATCCTCTCGTAAGCTTCAAGAGAATTCATGGAGTGACCAGACAGCTCAGCTTTGGGCCCCTACCCATTAGAGTCTTGCATTGTGTCTTCATCCAGGTCTTAAATCACCTCTCTGTTAATTCATTTGCTGTGGCTGTTGGTTGTAGTTCTTTGTCTTGTGTGATATGAAAGGTAGTCATGAATGGAGGAATTCACCTTTTTTCTGTAGAGGTTCACTGGTGTGCATTAATTCAGTAACCCCTCTGGGCACAGTATGGAATCTAAGTGAGTAGGGGAGTTGTCCAGGACTATTGGTCTGTTTCAAAATCTGTTAATGACTAGCAGAGCTAGAATCTGTTGTGACTACATTGGTGTGGTTCTGGGTGCAAACATAATTGGGAAGTTTCTGTCAGCAGACAGGGCCTGTGATATAGTTTGCTTCCTATCTCATTTCATCTCTCTTTCCTTCTCTACTCCCAACACCCCTCCTTCCCTGACTGTATTTGTTCATAGTACAGATTACACCCTTGATGTCTGGGAGTGAGAGACCTTGCCCACAGGCTCATCAACAAAGCTGGTTTTGGTTTTTTTTAAGGAAATGAGTGCTGTGGTTCTTCAGGTGGCAGAACTATTCATGACAACAGATATTATAGGCTTGGAAATGTATAACATGCTCAATTTAGATAAAAGAAAATTATAGGGAACATGATACCAGTGTTCAAATATCTAAAAGGATGGCAGAGTAAACCACTATTTACCAGTGCTGCTGGAAAAAAGAGAAACATTGGCCTTTAGTGGTAATAGAATAGACGGGTTAGATTTCAAAAATACATTTTTCATAAGGATAAAGGTGCAATAGAACAAACTCCTCAGGGTTGAAGTAGAGCAGGAGTTGGGACTTTAAACCTGGAGGCCAAATGAGACCCCCCAGGTCTCTTTCTGGCCCTCAAGATGCTGCCCAGGCCAGGCCCCTTCCCCAGGCCACACCTCTCATCAGCTGTACTCCACTCCTTCCTCAAGTGCTTTTTTGGGGCTGAAATGTGTCCTTGAACTGTGATTGATAATGTCTCTTGCCTGGATGGGGAATGGAGAAATAGGTATGGATGTGTAAAAACCTGACTTTTGCTTAGCTGGAATGTGGTCTATTGTACCAAGTCACAGCTGTTGCTTTGTTCTCTTTTGCCTCTGACCCTATTTACTACTGGCATGCAACCTCTGGAAGGTTGCCTATGAGAGATATGGCCTTTGGGCTGAAGAGGTTTTCCCATCCCTGCTGTAATGTCTCATTCTATGCAGTTCTTATGAGAGAGCTGGATAAGCATTGGCTGTGTGTGCATGAGTTTAGATCTTAGAGTGGTGATCCAATTTAGCCATACTCTTAATAGACCCATTGAAATCAGTGGACAAGCCCATTGATATCAGTGGGTTTACTCGAATGAGTATGGCTAACATTGGATAATCACCTTTATAGTCTCTTGCATTTTCTTAGTGGTTGCCAAATTAGAATTATAAGGTCAGGTGTATAGTAAAGTAATTATTTCACTTGTATTCAAGTGTGTTGTGACACTGGACCATATTCAACTAAACTGTTGCTCCAGCAGGAGCCAGTGCAATGACCACAATGGGACTTCTCCCTTCTCCCCCCCCCCATCATATACCCCTGTGCCATCCCCAGATCTACTCCAAAGGGTTAGAAGAACCCCCACAATGGGGCGGGGGCGGGGCGGGAGATGGTTTGTCGGACAAGCATAAATTCTTGTTCTGATGGAACAATTCCCTTAGCACTAAGTTGATTGCAGCCTATTCAAAATGGACCAGAAAGGGAATTTGTTAATCTTCTTTAGCAGTAATATTAAATTCTGAATTATGCTTACTGCTACAACCCACCATTTATTTAAACTCAATCTGCTGAATGACTTAAAAACCACTAGCAAGGACTAATTTAGATGTGTCCTAGTTACATGATTTGAGGTGGTTCAGCCACTACTAGCTACACCAAAGTGGTACATACAGAAAGACAAATACCCCCAACAACCTTATGCTTACCATGAGGAACCAGCAATGTCTTGCTGGTCCTGATTATGGAGATCACACATACACAGATGTAGTTGCTGTGTAATGACAACAGGGAGCATGCTTTAGTACCAGGAAAAATATACAAGGTAGTCATATCACTCACATTTCATTGAAATCACTTAGGAGGTATCTACACATTTTGCTCATAGAGACTTTTTTTTAATGAAAGCTGAGTCTAGGGCACCTGCCCAGTGGCACCACTGGAAGCCTTCATAGGTGCCATGTTGCCTGTAGCAACCACTACATGAGAGAGGATCTTTTTGTGGTGGCTCTGCACTTCTGGAATATTTCCTTGTCATGGTTCATAAATCATCAACCCTATAAGCAATTACGAGAGCACTAAAAGGCAATCTGTTCTCACTGGCCTTTGCTTAAGACTGTGTTTTGCTTCATGCTATAGCTGGTGATTTTAGACTGTATTTTATGATTTCATAGAATCATACAAGTGTAGAGTTAGAAGGCACCCTGAAGATCATCTAGTTCAACCCCCTGCAATCCAGGAATCTCAACTGAAGCATCCATGACATATGACCATCCAGTTTCTGCTTAAAAACCTTCAGTAAAGGAAAGTCTACCACCTTCCAAGGGAGTCTGTTTAGCTTTGGGTTGCCTGAATGTTCATTATTTTTTAACTAGACTGGCTTTTCTGAAGCATTCTTATCATGGTTGCATTGTGCCTTGAGAGGGTTTTTGTCCTTAAAGGTGGTCTAAAAATATTATAATTCTCCCTGTCCCCCCCCAAAAAATAAGAGCTTAAGCAAGGTCTAAAGAAACTTAAAACACATCACTAGTAAATATACAATAACTGTGCGTTTCAGGGATCAGAATACAGGCCACGGAATAGCACTGGCACTCACTTTCAGTCGGTCAGTCTTTAATGTTTTAACCATAGGTTACAACAGAAGCACTCGCTACCTTAGGGAATAAGTAAACTTGTGTGTAGAAGCCCAAAATGATAGACACTGGGTGCCATTAGGTGGTCACAAGGAAAAATGTGACATAGAGACTAGTTTGAAAATGGGTGGCAGCAGGGCAAGATAGTGGTTGCATAAGCTTTGTAGGGAGGGAGCAACAAGGGTTGTGTGTGTGCATGCAGTGCCATTGTTTTCACTAGAGATCAGTGAGGAATGAGAGGAAGTTGAATAGCAATATGATTCTGGCTGGATCAACAGGATTAAGCTCTGTTTCTCCTTTCAGTCTCTGTTGCTCTTAAGAATCTTCCTTGACCTCTCTGAGTGTGCTGCTGCCCCCTCCCCCCATTGCATTGTCTGTGGATGCTTGCTGGCAGCCTTGATGCACATGCTTTTCTGTTGTCGGCGACCACTGGAGCTGGCGCACTTCCCCTCCTCCACCCACTTCAGTTTTTGCACACAGCAATGCAGAACTGGATTCATTTGAGTTGCCCCTCGGGGCATAAATGCTGCCTTCTTCCTCACCTCCTTCCTACGTTTGCAGCTTATTGAGCAGCCTGATCTCTCTACCCCAGGCTTCTAAACATCAGTGACATGACCACATACTTTTCCCTTTGCAGGATATTATATGCCTAGTGACTGTGGGGAGATGGGCATCTGTCTACTCACTTAGGCTGCTTTCAAACCAAAACCTGGCATTCCGTGATATGTCCCAAGTAAATTGATATGAGGGTGGTCCTAATTGTCCTGAGAGCTTAAAAAAATGATAGAGGAATTGGGTCTCCAGTGCAGAACTCAGCCTTGAAGGTGATGCTAGCATATGGATGGCCTTTGAACTGTTTAGTGCTGCATGCATGCACATTGGTGTGTTCTTCCACCTGTATCTGTGGGCTGCATGTGCGGTGGGGGCAGGCATGCGAGTGCAGAATAACTGTGTCTCCAGATAATATGCCTCAGTAGCCAGGTAACTGACAGCTGGCCGATTAGCCGCCAGCACAGCCTCTCTCTGGGGGCCATCCTTTGCTCTTCCCCTCCATTTCCTCTGTGCTTGTTGTCATGGTTACAATCACTTATTGGCAGCAGCAGGGAGATTGACAGGCATGAAATTGCTTATATGGTGCTGGAATACTGCTGTGCACAGGGAGGCAGTAGCTGCCTGGATGCCCCCAGGAGACCACTGTATGAGCATTGTACTTTTGATTTTAGGAAATGGATATTCAAGGGTCTTGACTCTTTCAGCCTCCCCCCTCCCCTTTACCAACAGATTCTTCAGATGGAATAAATTCTGTGAATGGCATACAGCTTTAGATTTGTATTCCATTCCAGAATATGTTTCGTCCTGAATGCATGAAAATGTTGACTTTGTGAAATGTTGTGGGGTAATGGAACTATACAGAAGGAAGGACAAGTACTGAGCACTGTGAGTAGACCAGGGAAGCCAGAACAGGAAAACCATATGCAGATTATTTTCCCCTGAAGTTTGAGCAGAACACACTCATCCTTAAAATCTGAGTTCAGATTTTAAATTCACCTGTAGCTGGTAAATTCCAGAAGAGTAGTGATGTTGAGTTTTTGCACCAAAAACCAAAGTCCTTTACATTTATGTATTGGTTGAGGTTTAAGGGCCATATCTCAGTGGCAGAGCATCTGCCTTGCATAAGAGGGAGATAAAGAACTACAGAACTTTTAAAAGACATCTGAAGGCAGCCCTGTATTGGGAAGTTTTTAATGTTTAATGTTTTACAATATTTTATATGTGCTGGAAGCCGCCCAGTGGCTGGGGTATAAATAATAAAATTATTGTTGTTATCAAGAAGGTCCCAGGTTCAATCCCTGACATTTCCAGCTAGAGCCAGAAATGTCTCCTTGCTCAAACCTTCGAGAGCTGCTGCCAGTCAGTGTAGACAGTACTGAGCTAGATGGGCCAGTGGTCTGACTCGGTATGAGGCAGTTTCCTGTGTTCCTGCGTGTGCAATTGGGCCTGTGCATGTATGGCCACCCACCTCATATATTAAGTGGTGTGTGTGGTGAGAGGGAAATGAACAGCTGCATCTCCACCAGAGTTATATTTTTTGATCCTGGTATCTAGTGTGTGCTCATTATTTTAAGTGTTTGGATAACCCTCACAAAGCAGTTTGTATAAATCATTTAAAATAACATGCTTCAATTAAAGTACAATGACAATGAACATAAACAGCAGGGGAAAAACAAAAGCCAGATAAAACCATCATTTGAGACTAAAAGACACTAAAGTGTATGGCTGAATGAAAAGATTCTCATTTGGTATGGAAAGTAAGTAGAATTAGCACCAGGCGGACCTCCTGGGGAGAGCATTGCAGAGACAGGGCATCACAGTAGAAAAAGCCCCATTGTGCATCACCATGTTGATTGCCCTCTTAGAAGACAAAGTCCAGCAACTGGAGGAACGTGTAGCTACGCTCCAAAGAATTAGAGAGCTGGAGCTCTTCTTGGAAGCAACAGAGCACACCGTCTCCACCAAGGAGGAGACAGGGGACTCCCCTGAGAAGGAGGCTAGTTCACCAACACAGGAGCCAGATATATGGAGAAACGTGACTCAAAGAAGTAGGAGGCCCAGGGTTCGCTCTGATTGTTTAGAAATACACAATCGCTTTGAGGTCCTCTCCCTAGCATGGAAGACGAAGAGCAGACTCCATTTGAGGATCTCTCCCTCATTACAGTCGATCAGGTATATGAAGACGAGCAGCAAAGTCAGTCCTCAGGGAATGTGCAGGCGACCTTGGAACGGACAGCTCACGGAAGAACCCCGACCAAACCTAAGAGGAGGCGTGTAGTGGTGATAGGGGATTCCCTACTGAGGGGAACAGAAGCATGATCTGTGGGCCTGACAAGATGTCTCGGGAAGTGTGCTGTCTCCCCGGGGCTAAGATCCAAGATGTAACTGAACGACTGCAAGGAATCATAAAACCCAATGACAAATACCCCTTCCTCTTGGTTCATGTGGGAACCAATGACACTGCAAGCAATAGCCTCCAGAAGATCAAAAGAGACTACGAGGCTCTGGGCAGGAAATTGAAGCAATTAAATGCACAAATTGTTATCTCATCTGTCCTCCCAGTTGAACGACGTGGCCCAGGGAGAGAGGGGAAAATAGTGGAAGTGAACAGCTGGCTTCGCAAATGGTGTAAACAGGAACGGTTTGGATTCTTAGATCATGGACTGCAGTTTCTTGAAGATGGACTTCTGGCAAGCGATGGGCTGCACCTCACAACGGTTGGGAGGAATGTTTTTGCCAACTCTCAGAAACCTCCTCAGGAGGGCTTTAAACTGCCTACTGTGGGGGAGGGAGACAGTGCTCCTGAAGGTAGGAGTCTATCAATTGATGAAGATGATCATCCAAATGTCATAGACCAAATGGAGCAAACAGCACGCAGTGGTGGGAGGAAAAAATCCTTAAATAAGAGACACGGGGGAATGATTAATGGACTTCAATGTCTGTACACTAATGCGCAAAGCATGGGAAATAAACAAGATGAACTTGAGCTCTTGGTACAGCAAACTAAATATGACATAATAGGCATCACTGAAACCTGGTGGGATAAGTTCCACGATTGGAATGTAATAATGGAGGGATACAATCTATTTCCGAGAAACAGACCAGACAAGAAAGGAGGAGGAGTGGCATTATATGTCAGGGATGTGTATACCTGTGAAGAGATCCAAGATTTAGAACCTCAAAGCCAAAGTGAGAGCATTTGGGTCAAAATTAAGGGAGAGAAGAATAACAATGACCTCATTGTGGGAGTTTACTATAGATCCCCAAGCCAAACGGAGGACATAGATGATGCCTTCCTGGAACAGATGGCCAAGCATGCAAAAGGAAGGGAGATAGTAGTAATGGGGGACTTCAATTACCCGGATATTTGTTGGATGTCAAACTCAGCCAAGAGCATAAGGTCAAACAGATTCCTCACTGGCCTTGCAGACAACTTCATTGTCCAGAAAGTGGGAGAAGCAACAAGAGGAACAGCTATTTTAGATCTGGTCCTAACCAATGTTGATGACCTGGTTAGTGGGGTAGAAGTGGAAGGATCATTAGGCGCGAGTGATCATGCTCTTCTGAAGTTTACTATACAGCGGAAAGGAGCAGCCAAGCATACTCGGACTCAATTTCTTGACTTTAAGAAAGCCGACTTCATAAAACTTAGGGAAGTGCTGGGTGAGATCCCATGGACAGTAATACTAAAAGGAAAGGGAGTTCATGATGGCTGGGAGTTTGTTAAGAGGGAGATAGTAAAAGCACAACTTCAGGCAATACCAATGAGACGGAAACATGGAAGGTGCCTAAAGAAGCCAGGGTGGCTATCTAAAGAACTTTTAATTGAGTTAAGATTAAAAAAGGATGTGTAAAAAAAAATGTAAAAGTGTTGTAAACCACCAAAGAGTAATTCAAACAAATAACCAGCACGTGTAGACACAAAGTCAGACAAGCTAAAGCACAGAATGAACTCAGGCTTGCTAGAGAGGTTAAAAGCAACAAAAAGGCTTTTATGGGTATGTTCGTAGCAAAAGGAAGAACAAAGAAACAGTGGGGTCACTCAGAGGAGAAGATGGTGAAATGCAAACAGGGGACACAGAAAGGGCTGAACTCCTCAATGCCTTCTTTGCCTCAGTCTTCTCCGATAAAGAAAACAATGCCCGACCTGAAGAATTTGGAGCAAATGATTCAGCAGAGGAAACACAGCCCAGAATAACTAAGGAGATAGTACAAGAATACTTGGCTAGTTTAGATGTATTCAAGTCTCCAGGGCCAGATGAACTGCACCCAAGAGTATTAAAAGAACTGGCAGATGTGATCTCAGAACCACTGGCAGTCATCTTTGAGAATTCCTGGAGAACAGGCGAAGTCCCGGCAGACTGGAGGAGGGCAAATGTTGCTCCTATTTTCAAAAAGGGGAAAAGAGAAGACCCAAATAATTACCGCCCAGTCAGTCTGACATCAATACCAGGGAAGATTCTGGAGCAGATCATTAAGCAAACAGTCTGTGAGCACCTAGAAAGGAATGCTGTGATCACCAATAGTCAGCATGGATTTCTGAAAAATAAGTCATGTCAGACTAACCTGATCTCGTTTTTGACAGAATTACAAGCCTGGTAGATGAAGGGAACGCAGTGGATGTAGCCTACCTTGATTTCAGCAAGGCATTTGACAAGGTGCCCCATGATATTCTTGTAAAGAAGCTGGTAAAATGCGGTCTTGACTATGCTACCACTCAGTGGATTTGTAACTGGCTGACTGACCAAACCCAAAGGGTGCTCATCAATGGTTCCTCTTCATCCTGGAGAAGAGTGACTAGTGGGGTGCCACAGGGTTCTGTCTTGGGCCCGGTCTTATTCAACATCTTTATCAACGACTTGGATGATGGACTCAAGGGCATCCTGATCAAATTTGCAGATGACACCAAACTGGGAGGGGTGGCTAACACCCCAGAGGACAGGATCACACTTCAAAACGACCTTGACAGATTAGAGAACTGGGCCAAAACAAACAAGATGAATTTTAACAGGGAGAAATGTAAAGTATTGCACTTGGGCAAAAAATGAGAGGCACAAATACAAGATGGGTGACACCTGGCTTGAGAGCAGTACATGTGAAAAGGATCCAGGAGTCTTGGTTGACCACAAACTTGACATGAGCCAACAGTGTGACGCGGCAGCTAAAAAAGCCAATGCAATTCTGGGCTGCATCAATAGGAGTATAGCATCTAGATCAAGGGAAGTAATAGTGCCACTGTATTCTGCTCTGGTCAGACCTCACCTGGAGTACTGTGTCCCGTTCTGGGCACCACAGTTCAAGAAGGACACTGACAAACTGGAACGTGTCCAGAGGAGGGCAACCAAAATGGTCAAAGGCCTGGAAACGATGCCTTATGAGGAACGGCTAAGGGAGCTGGGCATGTTTAGCCTGGAGAAGAGGAGGTTAAGGGGTGAGATGATAGCCATGTTCAAATATATAAAAGGATGTCACATAGAGGAGGGAGAAAGGTTGTTTTCTGCTGCTCCAGAGAAGCGGACACGGAGCAATGGATCCAAACTACAAGAAAGAAGATTCCACCTAAACATTAGGAAGAACTTCCTGACAGTAAGAGCTGTTCGACAGTGGAATTTGCTGCCAAGGAGTGTGGTGGAGTCTCCTTCTTTGGAGGTCTTTAAGCAGAGGCTCGACAATCATATGTCAGGAGTGCTCTGATGGTGTTTCCTGCTTGGCAGGGGGTTGGACTCGATGGCCCTTGTGGTCTCTTCCAACTCTATGATTCTATGATTTTATCCATCTTGCTTCAGATGGGGGAGGGCACAAAAAGCCTCAGAGGATCTTAAAACCCTGGCTGGTTCATGTGGGAGGAAGTAGTTACTGAGGTATCTTCATCCCAAGCTGTTTAGATCTTTAAATAGCACAGTGAATTTGCTCTGGAAATCAATGCAGGAGCCAGTGCAGTTGTTTTAAGACTGGCAAGATGTGTTCCATATATCTCATCCCAAGTAGTGCAAAATATGGCAACTAGGTTACTAACTGACTTCCAAACTCTTCAAGGTCAGCCCTATATACAATACATTGCAATAATCTGAATGGGATTTTCCTGGAGCATGAATAATGTGGTTAGCTTGATTGTACCAGCCTAGAGTAGTAAAAGGCATTTCATACTGCTGAGGTTACTTGGGCATCCAGAAGTAAGGCTAGATCTCATAGCACCTCCAGACTGTGTATCCAATCTACTAAGGCAGGCAAACCACCTACCAATAGAACTTGTCATGATTGAGCTTCAGGACATTGGTCCTCATGCAGCCAATTACTGGTTCCAGGCACAAATTCAGCACTTTTAAAGGCCACAGCACCAGCTGAATTAGAAGGAAAAATGATAGAGGTGGGTGTCAAGTGCACCCTAAATTCTCAAATCTCACTCAGTAGTTTCATGTAGATCAGAGATAGAGAACACATGACCTTCCTGATGTTGGTGGACTCCCAACTCCCATCAGTCCCAGCCAGTGTGTGTAATAGCCAGGGATGATGGGAGCTGTACTTCAACATCTGGAGAACCACTGGTTCCCCATTCCCAAATAGATGTTGGTATAACATGGGAAGGGCAGACTAGGGTTGTGTGGAACAACATGACATGACTGTCATGGGTCACAGCAACAGTCCAGCACCATGACCTTCTAGAACTGATGATTCAGGTTGGTATGGGATCGCCCAAGTGTGGTTCCCCTGTTCTCCCCCAGTGCAGCCAATCTAGAAGGATAGCAATGTCAATAGTATTGAAAGTCATGAGGTGTATAGTTGAATTAGCAGGGTCTCATTCCCTTGGCATAGGTCACCCATAAGGGAGACTGACAGTTTCAGTTCCAAAACCAAGCTGGAAACTAATTTGAAATGGCCTCAGAAAATTAATGTTGCTCTGGGGAGCTCCAGCCCTTTTCAGCACCCTATTTTCTAGGTTATAGCATGTGCCCTAAACAGTTACTCTTCTAGCATGCAGTATAATAATAATAATAATAATAATAATAATAATAATAATAATAGTAATAATATAATCATCATCACCAGAATCATGCTAGAACGTAACAAAGTAGACTGAGTTGTGAAGCCTACCTCTCACAACATTGTTATCAAGGCCTCTTTCACTTGTTCAACCTTCATGAGATATGTTCTGTCATCTGCCTACAAATCTGTATCTGTTATCCTATGTAGAAAATAACAGAGGATTCTTAAGATGGCTAGGACATGATGTTTGTTAGCGAATTTTACACTTTACATTATCTTTTGGTATAAAAAGGGATTGTTGATGGCTACCTCACTGCATCCCATGAAGTGTTACAATCATGGTTTCATCTTGCACAGACAGGACACAACTTAGTGTGAGCTGGTTCCTTTGGCATTCATCTGGGGAAAAGAATGCATCTAACTGGGTTATGTGTTCATCTGCGCTCAGCAGATATTTCTACACTTAGGCTTTATTGGGACCAGGATATGTTATATTTTGTTGTCTTGGCCTTACTGTAAAATACTTTCTCTTCCATGGTGTATACAAACCTGCTTCCTATTTCAGGTATTTCATGTAGGCTCATGTCATGAGTTACAGTGGTACCTTAGGTTAAGAACTTAATTCGTTCTGGAGGTCCATTCTTAACCTGAAACTGTTCTTAACCTGAGGTACCACTTTAGCTAATGGGGCCTCCTGCTGCTGCTGCGCGGCCGCCACACAATTTCTGTTCTCATCCTGAAGCAAAGTTCTTAACCCGAGGTACTATTTCTGGGTTAGCGGAGTCTGTAACCTGAAGCGTCTGTAACCTGAAGCATCTGTAATCCGAGGTACCACTGTATTAGTCTTTAAAGTGCTACAGGACTCTTCATCATGAAAGTTCTAGGTATGTTCTCTCAGCAGTGTTTGTTAGCTTACAAGACCTGTAGATCAGGAATTTTGAAAGGTTTGTTGTGGAAGAGAAGGCCATTTAATGTAAGTTATCAATATTCTGTGCCAGGAAGAATCATTTAAGAGGTATAGCAAATCTCATATCTGAAAAATTTCACTTCCAAGAGGCAAAATGGGGATTGATGTGTTGGTTAATGTGACAGTAGTTTGCATGCGACAAGCCTAGAGATAACAAAATACACTCTTTACAGTTGGCTTGGGTTTCCTGACTGATGTTGGCACTTTTAGAGTTGTGGAGGAGGGGTCTGTGTAAGATGCCCTTGGTGTTTGGGGCTTTTATATTTAGATAAAAGACAAGAAGAGGATGATAGAGCTTCAAAAAAATCATGAGTTATGTGGTGGAGAATTGTTTTCTTCCTCCCAACACTCAGGGTCACTCACTATTGATTGGCAAATTGAGGATAGACAAAAAGAAAATAGTTCTTCACACAGTGCACTAACTAACTGGTGCAAGAGATAAGCCACTTTATGAAAGGTCAGTAGCAACAGTATTTACAGAAACTCCAGGTTCACAGATTATAGAACTCTGAGTACAGTTGCTGCACAGCAAATTGCAGGACAGGACTGTTACCTTCATCCCTTGCTTACGAGCTTCCTGAAGCATCTGGTTGGGCAGCATGGGGAATGGAAGGCTGGACAAAACTGATATCTGGCTTGATTCAGCAGGAGTCATCTTACATTTGTGATTGACGGTTCATTATTTTAGGAGGCTATATAGGCATAAAGCCTCCCATCTCCTCTCTCCCTTGGCAGGTATGTGAATACTCTTCTGAAGCTCATCCCACCTGTTCTGGGACTCCAGGAACAACTACGTCAAGCAGTTCAGAGCAGGGATATGGAGACATCTCATGGGATCTGCCGCATTGCTGTTGCCCTGGGGGAGAATCATTCCCGGTGAGGAGAATGGTGATGGAATCTGATAGCAATGATCAGTAGAAAATGGAGCTATTTTGGGGAGTGTTCCCTCTGCCCTACTAGCTTTCTTTGTAGCTAAGCAGCCTATAAGTCTCCCAAACCTCATTCTAAAGCAGCTCAAAGATCCAAAGGGTCATATGGACGCTAATGTATCTGTGCATGATAGCAGAGATACTATACCAACTGTGGCCAAACTTGGCCCTCCAGCTGTTTTGGGACTACAGTTCCCATCATCCCTGACCACTGGTCCTGTTAGCTAGGGATGGTGGGAGTTGTAGTCCCAAAACAGCTGGAGGGCCAAGTTTGGCCTTGCCTGGACTGTACGGAACCCTTTTCCATCTGGAAGCCATTGAAGATCCTAAACCTACTGTGTCTAGTCCACTTGCTGGGGTATTTGTTCCATGAGTTGGCCGAATCCCTTTCAGTTTGCTTCCTAGCTCTTTTCCTGTAGAGCACGCATCCCCAAACTCTGTCCTCCAGCTGCTTTGGGACTACAATTCCCATCATCCCTGACCACTGGCCCTGTTAGCTAGGGATAATGGGAGTTGTAGTCCTAAAACAGCTGGAAGGCTGAGTTTGGGGATGCCTGCTGTAGAGGGTATAGTGCACTGATATACTGTACTGTATTATCCCAAATGTGGGGTGACTGCTGTTTCTATGCACCTGCAATGGCAGAGCCAATTCCTGATGCAGTGTGCCTACTATCTCCCACAGAGCTCTCTTGGACCAAGTGGACCACTGGCAGAGCTTCCTAGCACTGGTTAACATGATCATGTTCTGCACTGGGATCCCAGGACACTATCCTGTCAATGAGACCACGAGTTCACTTACACTCACTTTCTGGTATACACTTCAGGTAAGTGTTAGCCACCTTCATGAAGTGGACTTCTTCAGTGCCATCTTTATAGGTTTGTTCTCTGGCTTGTACTTTGGTTGGTGTCAGGCATGTTCTTGTACTAGTGGTTCTGCATGCCTCTACATGAAAAAGTTGGCAAGGCTAATAGCTAGCACATTAAAGTTGTTTATGACGATTACACTAATTGTTCTGCATATGCAAGCACTTGTCATGTAGATTGTATAGATATTGGCTCTGGATTGAGTATAATGGAATGTTCTGGAATTGTCCACTAGAAGCTCTGAGGCCCAACTTGATGTATATTCTGTGCTTAATAGAGTGGAAATTCTTGCATTTTTGCATACATATATTGAAGGCCAGAGTGAGTGACAAGGATGTATAGTAATTCTGCTTACTGCATAAACATGGTGTATAAACATGGTTGTGTTCCAGTAATATGTTCTGTGGCAACAGAGAAGATGCTCAGATATACCCGTGAGCCTTAAATTCCCTTTAGGTGCTGCAGGTATTTATTTGCAGCTCAGACTCCACCATCTTCGAGAAGTGTGTAAACTAAACACCTCATTACATGAATCAAATTATTCGCTATGAGGTAGATTTATCATCTTCCTCTCTTTCTGCTAGAGAACAACTTGACTGTGAGTACCCTGTTTTGACAGGAAGAGAGCTCCATTTAGTTTGCTGTCTAGTGGTGGCAAGGTGTTTCTTTACTAGAGTAACCCATAGTGCATCAGTGGCCTTATTGGAAGAGCCTTACAGATAATAGCTCTTTTCAGCTATGGAAGAAGACCAAGTTTGTTCTCTGTCTTGACAGGCAAAGTGCTGCTATTCCCAGTTGCAAGCACAATTAATGCAGATGCAGATTTGTCTGTTGTGGTGTATGCTTGCTGCTATGCTGAGACACAGTCCTTGAAGCAGTGCAGCCTGGTCTGACTTGCACTCCCCACCCCCACACTTCCTTGGAGCCCAGAAGCTTCATTAGCATGGCAAATTAGCCTGCCCAAGAGCAAGGCTAGCTGTTGAGCTGCTGCTTCTCTGGGTGCCAGCTTGAAATGAGTTGAGGTCATGCATTGTCTCAGTGTGTGACTGGCGCAGTACTTGAGTCCACAGGCACATCGTTCCTAATGAAGGGAACAAAACTGAAGCAGCATCTTTTATAGGCTGCTCAAGAACAGAGAGACAGCAGAAGACTTTTTCTGCATGGTCTAACCCACACCAGTACACACCTTTGCAGTTTCCAGTGGGTTCCCAAAACCTTTGGTAATTTTGTGCCAGGCAACCTAGGATCATCCTTTTCTATTTCCTTCATAAGCTCTGCCTAGTGTGAGAATCTTGAATCAGAGGTTTAGTGAAGCTCCAGGATTGTATTCAGTGACCCAGAATCCCTTCTTACTTTTCTTTTCTATACATCTGTTTTTGCATCAACCTAGTTTATAAGGTAACCTTGTCCATGCCAGCCTTGAGCAGCATAGGAATACCCAGCTTTCTTCTTGGAGCAGACATTGCTATACTGTAGGGGGTGGATTTATTCCTTAACTGGCTAAAACTGTCTCTAAAGGAAAGAACAAGGTGTTGGTCACTAAAAGTAGAAGAAAGCAGACGTGGCCAGCTGCTTTACCAGCCTGTGATGGCTTCTGTGCTTGTCTAGTTGGTGTCAATGTGTTGAGAAGGAATGATACTACAGAGAGAGTGACCTGACAAAGTATTATGTACAACTGCTCCTAGAAGCTAGGAAGGATCTTAGATGCATTAAGGAGAATATTTGAGTGGAGTAACTTGACTCTAAAATGTCATTTCTGGGTTTCCCATATAGAGATTCAACAGCAATGAGAGGTGATCCCCCCCCCATCACATCAAAATGCTTGGGGGACTGATTGTGTTAACATCAACATGATTGCTGGAGTTCAGGGCTGATTTTTCCAATCTCCACTTGATGAATGATCTTTTTCTTTGCAGGATGACATCCTCTCTTTTGATCCAGAAAAGCAGGCCATGTATCAGCAAGTGTATCGGCCTGTCTATTTCCAGCTGGTGGATGTGCTCCTGCACAAGGCACAGTTTCCCTCTGATGAAGAGTACAGCTGCTGGTCCTCTGATGAAAAGGAGCAATTTCGGATATACCGGTATGACCTTTTGCCTAATCATATCCCTTAGCATTCAGTTGGTGTGCAGTGCTTATAATCTGCAGAAGAGGAAGTTGATCATGCTTCATTAATGGGAGTAAACATTGAACTTGCCCTGATTTGGCTATGGGCTATAACTGTTTCAGCAATTTCTATCTAGCTGCTATTTGGTAATGTGGGAGTGTTTTGTAACTCTTTTTTTTCTATTGCTCATTTGCTCATTTCCTCAGAGTGGACATCTCTGACACCTTGATGTATGTGTATGAAATGCTTGGAGCAGAGCTGCTGAGCAGCTTATATGACAAACTAGGTCGCCTCTTGACCAACACAGAGCAGCCATCCTCATGGCAGGTGAGTGGAGAGCTCCACCCTCAAATGGAACACCAAGCTAGAGGAATGCAGCAAGCACAGAGGCTGAATATGCTGCAGATTTTTAAGAAAGGATGGTACTAGTCCTGGTTAGACCTGGGGAGAGAGCATTGTGGAAGAGAGATGCTAAGGTAAAGTGAAGGTGCAGAGTGTCTTGGTTAGAAGAACCATCTGTTAAATCTCAGAGCAGCATGTGTGGAAGGGCAATCCAGTCACAAAGCTCCAAAAAGTTGTTAGAAGTGTTGAATGGGTCTGAAATGTGTAAACCTCTTCCTTTTAGTGTACGGCTGAGTTGGTGGTTTATAAAATTGGGACTGAAGGATTGCTTCGATGTCCCAACTTCCAGCTTGCTGATTTCTCTCCTAGTGTAAGACAATGCTGGTGGTTTTTGCAGTCATTCTGGCACACCTCCCATCACTGTGTGGCAGCAACCAAATTATGCAAGATACCTGACAGCAGGATTGCGGACTCAACAAATGCATGCTCAATTACATCTATTTTTCCTTATCATAGGGTTTGTGTTACCACATGTTTTTATCACTAGTCTACAAGTTAGGTTTCTGTACTGGGAAAACTGAGGAGTGTAGTTGTCCCACTACCTCCAGTGTTACAAAGAAAATATGCCTTTACAGTTTGCTGAAAGATGCTGAAAGATTCTTTGATATGTCTCCTGTGCCATGATGGGTGGTAATGCCAGGCTAGAGGTCTCTGTGTGGCAGCTAATCAGAATGTATCTGTTCACCTTGGCATGTTGACAGTGTGTTACTGGCACAGCAAACAGTGATGGGCGTCAAGGACCATTGACCGCAGGGGCTCCTCGTTCATCAATGTGACAGCCAAGCAAAAACCCAGCCTAGCCATGATTTACAGTCCACGCACCTGGAAGACTTAAGACAGTAGCAAACATACCAGCACTCCAGCATACTAAGTATGCAGCCTCAGCAGTCCATATCTTGCTAGAATAGCCCTTGGTGAGAGGGAGCATGGATGCAGGTGTATCCTGCCTCCTCTTGCGGGTGCAGGAAGGGGAGAGACTACACAATGAGCTCATCCACACTTGCACTTGCCCCGCCCCTTTCTCCCCAGGAAACCCACTTTTTACTGCTGAATCAGAGCAAACGCCAATCGATTTTTCTGCAGACTGGTGTTTGTTCTCATGGAAAGTGGTGAGACAAATAGGACAAGTGGAAAACCTCTTGGACCCATGCTTTCAAGGTATGGGACAAGTGGAAGTGTGGGTGAGCCCTGTGTGTTATATAGCCCAGCGGTTTCAGGATGTCTAGTTGGGGTTACACTGAAGGATAGCAGGTGCTTTATGTTGCTGGGGAAAGGGGTTCCTTGACCTGAAGAATTTGACTCACTAGATACGATGCCCCTGCAAAAAGCTTACTGGTGAAAGAATTATTATTGTGCTACTAAGTGTAAAGGATCAACAACTCATCATAATTTTTTATGGAAGTTAGCCCTGCATATTTTTTGTAAAAATGAAATCTAGGTTGGGGACTTTTTCAACATACTGTGTCTCTGCCTTCATTGCCTTCAAGTTTGATTAAATAAATTTAAAATATTTATATATCACTGTTCATTTGGGTAGTGGTGTTTGAACCACCCTTTGTAAAATTCAGCACCAACATGCAGTCCATGTTGCAAATCAGATGAAGGGAGGTATATACATTTAATAAATAAAAAAAATTAAAATATCTATGTGGGGCATTAGAGTTCGGCCTGGGCTCAAGAATGAAATCTTTTTTCTCTGGCAGCACACAGAAGCTTTGCTTTATGGGTTCCAGTCCATCGCAGAAACAATAGATGTAAACTACTCAGATGTAGTGCCTGGCCTCATTGGGCTCATCCCTCACATCAGCATCAGCAATGTGCAGCTTGCAGATACGGTTATGTTCACTATTGGTAAGAAGACTGGGTATGGGGAGGGAATGGGTGCTAAAAGGGAAGGTTAACCCAAAGAACCTCAGGCTGTTGAGGTCTTACAACACTATGGAACCAGCAGTCCATAGGCTGGATGTGGCCTGTAGGGCCTCTTCATCCAGTCCACAGTACCCTCTCCTTGCCCAAGCTTGTGCTACAATTAGGCTGCAAAAAGCCTTGTATTGTCTCTGCTATGTGTATATGTGTGCCAGTTTTGAGTGTGGCCAAAACAGAATGGGGCAATTTATTTTTTTACTCCCCCTCCCCAGCATGTAGCTCCCTGAAGGTTGGCAGTGAGGAAATGTGGCCCTTGGAATGAAAAGATTCCTAATGCCTGAAATTGGTGTGCATTACAGTAGTCCATGTGGGGCTTCTTTGAGATGGTTTGGAAGCTATATCTGGTGGAGAATGTTACAGCCAGTTTTTTGAATGGAGCACCTTGACGTGCACATAGTGCACCTGTGCTGAGGGAACTGCACTAGCTGTTTTTATGATCCTGTTTATTGCTGTATTTTTGTACGTTGCTTAGACCTTTACTAAAGTGGTTTAGTAATGCTTTTAAATAACTAAATACTGATGGGTGCTGCTTTGCTTTTTGTGGGCTGTACTGATAGCATTTGGCACATTAAACAGAGCAGCTCCTGACTCTGCATTTTCTATCTTTCTAGGAGCACTTTCAGAGTGGCTGGCTGACCACCCTGTCATGATCAACAATGTCTTACCCCTGGTGCTACAGGCTCTGGGCAATCCTGAGTTGTCCATCTCTAGTGTCTCAACCCTTAAGAAAATCTGCCGTGAATGCAAGTATGACTTGCCTCCCTATGCTGCCAACATAGTTGCTGTCTCTCAGGTAACTGAAATAATGGGCTAAGGATACATGGTTTTATGAGACAATGGAAGTTTAAGTGACTGACTAGTTTTGAGCTGTATGTAAAGGAGAGATCATTCAACAGGGCTTAAAGCAGTAGGAACATTCTGAGGAGGATATCTGCGTGTGTATGTGAGATTTAGTGGGGTAAATATTTATTGCACATTGTCAGAATGGGAATTCTGACTGCATGTATCAGTTAAAATAACTTGAATCTTATCAGTTTGAAGGTATGTGTGCATCTGTTTTGGCAGCTGGCAGGGTGGGTTGACTTTGAGCTACTTCTGCAGTGGAAATTTGGTCAAGATTCAGCTCAGCCTTCTGCTTAACTAAATGCTGTCTTTGGTTTCCCCTTCACATTTCCTGCTAGAAGAGGAAAAATTATGCTTGCAGGGTGTGTGGAGGAAACAGAACTGTTGACCCTTGTTGCTGACATTATGGAGCTTGGGAGACAAGCTATATGAAACCGCTGCCTATAATGAATCACTGATGACTACTTATCCATTATGAAGCATCCTTGAGAAGGGTTGGCTTTCACTGTAGGAGGGAGAGGGTGCTTATTGATTATTTATTCAGATATTTATAAGCTGCATTTTAAGATCAAGCCCTCACCGGTATGTAAAAAGATTGATGCAAGATAACAATAGGTACATCAGACAGGTGTACAACTACTATGAGAAAGCTGCTCTGAATCATACAAGTCTTTAACACTCTTCAGGAAAAGCAGTAGAGAGCTTTTCAAGGCCCTCTTAAAAGCATGTATGGAAGGGGCCAAGCTTAAGTTAATCAGAAGGGAGTTAGCCTTCTCTTGCTTATCCACTTTTCCTTGAAATTTCATAGCGCCCATGCTCCAGATCAGTGTTTGTCTCCCAGAGTTGTCAGTTGATATTGTGGTTGGAGCATTGTTAAATGTTTCTGCTGTGGGGCGAGTACTCACTTTCTCACATCTTTCCTTCTATAGGATGTGCTAATGAAGCAGATTCACAAGGTAAGATACTTATACTCCTCCCTGGTGCAGAGGGTCAAAGAGTGTACGGAATATATGATTACCTATCAAGTTATTATTTCCGAAGTATTGAGCATTCCAGTCAATGAGAGGAGGATTAGAGGAATTGGTGAAATTGGGTGCATGTCTCCCAAACAGAGTTTTGATCAGGAGTGGGGAATCTGTGACCCTCCAGAAGTTGCTGGCCATTGGCTTTGCAGGCAAGAACTGTTGGGAGTTGGAATCCAAAAGCATCTGTAGAGTCACACATTTTTCTTTCCTAGTTTAGATAGACATCCATTATGTTTCCAGGCATTCCAAAGCTGCATGAAAGAGTCTTATTTGTGTTTATCTGTGACTCAGGGCTCTGACAATGGCTATTTTGGTGCTAAGTTCTGGCACTAAACACAGGTTTCTGTGTTGAGACTTCCAGAAGGCATAGCTAAGACTTAAGCATTAGAGTTGACGAAGAATAGAGGGAGAATAAACTCCAACTGAGATGTAGTGTAGCATGAATTTCTGAGGATAATAGGAGAAACTAAGAATGTTGTCCATCTTGTTCTGCCCCCAGACAAGTCAGTGCATGTGGCTGATGCAAGCTCTGGGCTTCTTGCTCTCTGCCCTCCAAGTGGAGGAGATTTTGAAGAACCTGCACTCACTGATTACTCCTTACATCCAGCAGCTGGAGAAGCTGGCTGATGAAACGGTGAGCTACTTCACTTGCTTGGTGGTGGCTGTTTGCCAACCTTCTTTTAAGAAAGAATAGAGCCTGTTGTGTGTAAAACTCTACTCTTCTTCTTGCAAGTTGTGCCTTGTTTTAACCATACCTCCCTGGTCTTGCAAGCCTCTCATTTCTTATCTCTGTCCTCTGGTTTTTAAATTCCTTCCCCCTGCCCTGTTTTCCATTATGCTTCTGGAGTCAAGAACGGAGTGGGTGAGAATTGGCTGGGGTGGGTGGGAATCAATCACTAGACTATGCTTCACAGTTGTGCTGTCCATTCTTGCTGCCAATCTGGGACATCTGATGTGAGTGGCCCATATCCTGGGTCTACTGTAACTGCTATAGTGATGCCTTGCCTTGCAGCCAAACCCCTCCAACAAGCTGGCCATCATCCACATCCTGGGCTTGCTCTCCAACCTCTTCACCACATTGGACATCAGTCATCATGATGATGATCATGAGAGCTCAGAGGTCAAGAAGCTGCCGGTGCCTCAGGGCCCCAATCCGGTGGGTGTTACATGTGTCTGAGTAGTTCTTTTTATACATTAGGGCATACAACTCCATGTTTATTTGGCTGTGCCTCTTCCCTGCCATGTAACTGTAGGCAGCTTCTTCTAACTTTTGAAGGGCAGTAGCATAGAATGGTTGAAGGGTTGTGAAAATAGGTGGTGTACAACATAGCACTGTGTGTGTGTTACTTTAACTATTGGAATGAGCCCGTGTAGATTAGCCACTTCATCACCGCAGATTGTGAGCTTTTTGACGTGACTACTGAGTGATCAGAAGAGAGCTCAGAATGTCCCTTCAATTGTGTATATTTTCTTTGTGTTCGCTTTTAAAAAGAAGTGAGGGCAGCTGCACATCTGGTATTGTGAGACTTTTGAAAACTACTCTGGCATAATATGAGTTGTGGAGCAATCTCTAGAGAGGCCTCTAATACCATCTTTTCATCCCTGGATCTGAATGGTTGTGAGCTGTCTCCTCCTCCTCAAACTGTAGTAGACCAAGCCAGTTTCATAATTATCTTCTATCTTCTTCCTCTAGGTAGTGATGGTGCTGCAGCAAGTCTTCCAGCTTATCCAGAAAGTGCTCAGCAAGTGGCTGAATGATGCCCAGGTTGTGGAGGTAATGCATCTTCTAGGTTAAAAAACAAGCAACACTTTGCCCACATAGCTATAGCTAGATAGGAGATTCCCAGGTTGGCACTGGTGGTTGTTGGCAGAACTTGAAGAATGTATGTTTGTGATGTTGGATAAGTCTCTCTTTTCAGTTGATTCCCACATTGTGTTCAATTTGGTATTCTACTTTTAGGGTTAGGAGTTTGGCCGACCACGCCAAACTTGCCTCACAGAACTGAATTGGAGGTGGGTGGAGGAAACTATATATGGCACCTCAGGCTTCTTTGAGGAAAGGTGAAGTACAGAATCAATAGATATTTAGCTAAGGAACAAGTTATTTAACCAGTCCTCCCTTGATGCAGCCCTTCCTCTTCCCACAGTCTGTGTGCTCCATTTTTGAAAAGTCTGTGAAGACCCTCCTGGATGACTTTGCACCCATGGTGCCTCAACTGTGTGAGATGCTGGGCCAGATGTATAGCACCATTCCTCAGGCATCTGCCATTGATCTCACTCGACAGGTAAGTCTAAGTACTAGAATTCCTGGAAGCTACTAAGTTTACAATGGAGGCTGATTACTCAACAGATTAATTCCTACCCACTTAGTATCTTTAGCTTGTCTCCTTTGTTTTGTTCAAGCACAGATATTGCTCAAAATGTGTTTTCCCCCATACACACGAATTGTGTATGCACATATCTGAGAAGCTACTGTAGTGTTCCTATGCCAGCTGGTCTCTGTCTCCTTTGCTGTGTTAGCAGCAAGGGTCTTGTTGATGTTTTTAGGCAAAGAACAGGCAGCTAGACTTACACGGGGGATAGCTAGGGGCTACAAATATGGAATGGAATGGGTCAAACCAGACTGCTCTGGCTTCAGTCTCCTTTGTATTTTATATCCCCAGCTGGTTCACATCTTTGCCCATGAGCCTGCCCATTTCCCACCTATCAAGGCGCTCTTTCTGCTCGTCACATCAGTTACGCTAACACTGTTTCAGCAAGGTACGTGTGCTTGGGCACCTTCAGTCTTGTGAGGCTGCCACGTTGAAAACTGCTGTTCCTGGTTTCAGCTGTTCAGACTCGACTATAAGGTGTGTGCAGGTGGGGGGGGGGAGGGAACACCTTCCTCAGGTCATGGCTGTGCTCATTCAGTTCCAAAAGCTTTTAGCTGGTACAGATGAAGATGAAAAGCTCTTGCTGAGGTGGACTCTCTGGCATGCTTCTCCTCAGGTATCAGTGCCTGAGTGGACAGTAGTGCTGCCATTTCCCCCTCTTCTCCTGTCCTTCATGACTGGAAATGTGCCCTCCCCGTGTCAGATTCCTGGGTTAGGGCCCCAAGAGGAAGATGAAGCGAGCAATCGGCTCTGAGTAGAAAGCAAGAATCACTCAGGAGTGTGTTGTAATGTCTTTCAGTTAACCCCATCATGGCTCTTTATGGAGTCGACCATATTCATCAGGGTTGTTTTTTTCCTGTGGCCTAAATAAAACATTTGTCATGTGGACTCTGTATCCTATCTCCCTGGTTCTCCAGCTCAAAGGATTCCTTTTACAGCTTTGTGAAATTCCCAGCAAGTGTTTGGACTTGCCTTTGCATGGAACTGCCCTATTGACTCCATGTTGACCCCAGCTGAGATGAAAAGCTTGGAATACATGTACAGATCCAGTCAGCATGGTTGGTGGGGTATCTGCTTCCTTCTCCAGGTTCTTGTTTGAACTCAGAATTGATGGGGAGCAACTAGTACTTGGAGTGATGCCCTGTTACTGCCTGACTGGGTCAGGCATAGCCAACATGGAGGAAGAGAATTCTCAGATCCAGGAAAGCTTATGTGATAATAAATTTGCTAAATTTCTAATGCCACAAGGCTTTCTGTTTTGTGGAATGGAAGTATGCTTACCAGCAACCACACTGGCCTTTCCCTGCAGAAAATGCCAGAAAGTTGGGTTCTTCCCAACTAGGCAGGCATGTGGACATGGGTGTTAGGAAAATACTGTGTTGGGACTGTCCATCCGGCACTCTAGTGGATTTCCAATACTTTGTGCCTACTCCATGTCAATACTGGATTTGTTGTTTGACTCTGGAGTTGTCTTTCAGGACCAAGTAAATCATGATAACATGTATCCAGTTCAAATGTGCTCGTTCTCCACATGAAGCTGGTGTCCAGTTAGCTCCTGCTTCTCTCTTCCCTTGCTAGGGTGCAATGAGCTCTCCCCTTCCTATCCTTGGTGCTTGGCAGGGGACTCTGGGCACAGGCCTATTCCTTTGCACTTTCTTTCTGTTCTTGGGTTTCCAAGCTCCATGATTTTTGTATGTTTTGTTTCTTTAACTTGCTTCAAGCTGCTCATGTGCCTGCCCTCCTCAACCCACCCCCTTGCACCCTCCCCTTCCTTCCCTTACTCCTGTTTTCACTTGTAAATTCTTTCTGTATCACATAACTATATGATGTTGAGTTGCTGTTTGTATGATTTTTCTCTTCAGTTACATCTTTATTATATTTTTAGGGCCCAGGGATCATCCTGATATTGTTGATTCATTTATGCAACTCCTGGCACAGGTGTGTTTTAGTTTCTTATTCATTCACTTTCTGTTCTCTCTCTTTCTCTTTTTTAATTCAATTTAAACCTATTTTTAGCTTTCTGTTGACAACGTTTTTTCCTTTTAGTTGAATATCGAGTTTCTCCATCTGTTTCCGTGGAAGTTGAAAACAAAACATTCTCCTTTTTCATAGGTGTGAGTTTGCCCTTTCCATTCCCCAAGGGGCAATACCTAGTGATGCAACAAGGCTTGTAGGTTGGGTTTGTTTTCAGGTCATGTGGTGTGGCCTTGCCCAGGAGGGGGCTGCTGAAAAATTGGTAAATGTAGTTCAAGAGTTCTGGCAGCAGCATTCCAGTCCTGGTATAGATCTGCGTGCTTTTCTGAAGTGACTCTGACTTCTTTACAAATGCTGGCAAGTCCATAGTTTCTGTTTATTAGGTAGGAGTGATGTATTCAGTAACTTGGTGGATCTGGGAGGGGCAGCTGATCTAATGGGCAAGGATAGCAGATGAGCCTTGTCTCCCGTGTTTGACCCCAAAACCCTTCTGCACTCCAGCATTTCTGCCAAGGCTTCCTGTGTCTGGTGTTTTGTTTTTCCCCCCCAGATTGTGCATCTTCCATAGAGCTCTGTCTCTAATGCTGTAATGACATCATGCACAGGGCAGGGCAAAGCAGTGGTGGTGGAATACAAACAGAGGCTGGTGGGTATCATTCCCTGGAGTAAGTGAAGGATGAAGCACCCCCAGCAAGTGGATTAGAATGAGCAATCCCTAGACTGAAAATAAGCTGCAGCACTAAGAACTGATGGAGCAGAATGGGGTGGGATCTTATATATTGATCTCCTGACTGTAATAAGATGCTCTCTCGTTGGCTCTGGTTTATTGTTGCCTAATGGGGTTTCTGTATACTGTGATGGGGGAAGTATCTGAGTGCTTAGCTCCCCCTTGTGGCAGTTAATACAGATGCAAATATGGGAGGCAATGTTGCTAATAGGTAAAGGTAAAGGGACCCCTGACCATCAGCTAATACTCACACTTCTCTTCAGTAACACAGTAACAAACTTCCAGAAAATTCTGAAATTTGACAACAGCAAATCACAAAATTAAAATGCCACCCTTTAGAGTTCTTATTCTTGTTTTGTCATCATGTTAAGGGGATGTCAGCTATCAATGTACAGTTAAATATCAAATACTGAAATCAGTTATAATTATATAGGTGGAGCCCTATGGTGGATCCATGTTCTCAGGAAAGGGTTGGAACAATCTCATCCTAGGAGGGGGGGGTAGGGAGTAGCTTTAGCCAGATGAAGGAAAAGGAGTTGGAATGGTAGATGTGAAGAGAGGGACTAGGAGAAGCCCCTGGGGCATCCAGACACAGTTGAAAGCCCCACAGTAGCTCATGCAGTTCGACATGGAACAACTTGGGACCCCAGATCTTCTGACTGACTGCATCCAGATGAGACCTAATCACCAGCCAATATTCATCCTGAAGAATTAAAAAATGCAGCACTGTGTCTGGGACAGTGGGTGTCATAGTTTGGCCCATGCTGGAAATTAAAGCAGTAGTGTTTCAGTGGACTCAAAACAACACTATTAATACTTTTTTATATTGTATGTCTTGCTCTCTTGCATATATACACACATATATATACACACACACACATACACACACACTTTCCTCCCTTGGTTGAATAAATATTGTTTGTTTGCCTCCATAAAATTTGAGAGAAGCTCAAATTAGAAGTTGCCTAGGTTTGGGCTGATTTAGCTACTAGTGCCCAGTATGTTTTGTTCACCACTTCTTTTGGAGATGTGAAAGCTGGTGGTCTGGAGACACTGCACCCTACATCTTGGGGTCACTGGCATTCTTATTGTCTCTTATTCTACTTCATCTGTGAGCCTAAGTCCCATTGCACTTTTGCTATCTCTCAGCATTCACATTAAAACTTAACACACACCCCAAAAGAGGAGAGAGAGGCAGCTGATATACTGGTTATTCCCCATATTGTCATTAGCACTTTCATTCTTTCTTTGAGTAAAAAAAATAAAATACTACCTCCTGGTCCGCCAGTCCCACAAAACAGCTTACAATAAGATACAATAAAATTCTGAAGCAATATTCAAAACACTTGTAACTAAAAGATTAATTACAGTAGTCCAGCATTTGAAACTCTTCATCTTCCAACTGCCTTGCTAAAAATATGTTTGGGCCATGCACCAAAATGCATCTTAGCAGACTCTCTAGAGAGACACTTCCAAGGGCAGGCTGCCATCACTCAAAGAGTCATGCTCTTTGTGGCTACCAGCCTACATACACCTGTAGTACTTGGAGCAAGAACTCAACTAAAACAAAAGAGGCAGAGTGGATTTATATGGGAGAATATGACCCTTGAGGTAACATGGTTCCAAACTATGCATGGTTCTGGATTCTGTATGAGGCAAAGAGGACTGGGTTGCATTTGAAAGTGCAACTTCTGCAGTCTGCCATTTTCCTATAATTTGCTGACAGTGTCCCGTTGGCAGAATGTCACCTATACCCTTCTCTCTTGGAGTAAGCCTAAATTGGCAATGCCCTAGAAGACTTATGTTAACATTTGCTGTGTTTAACTTGCCCAACTGGTGGCCCATGTCCAGGCTCGTTCTGTCCCAACAACCAAGTTAAAAGACACTGGATATAGGAATATTTGAGAAGTCTGAAATCCTAGGGGAATGTTCTCCCCTCACGCTTAGTGTGGAGACAAATCAGTAGGAAAATTCTTCACAGCATCAGCATCAGGCATGCACTTTCTTTGAAGCCATCTAGTGAGACTAGAATACAGGCCTAGCAGAAGGGTCAGTTTGCTAAAATGAGAAGACCATTGAGTATGTAACAACACTGCTTGTCCATTCAAGTGGACTGGTACATTGTGAAACATAAATGTTGTGTCTGTGGGCAGAATTATGCAAGAATATATACCATTTTCCTTTCTTTGTTCAAAAATCAAATCATCTTGATTTGCAAGTATTGCCCCACTAATGCCTATATTATCCCTAAATCAAAAGACCAGCAGCCTAGGCTTAAATATACATTTGAGCTTTCCTGAAATTGTGTGTGTGTACTGCCATGTAGAAGAAAAAAAGAAGTGAAGAGGAAAGGGAGATGCAAAAGAATGATCTTTTGTTGGAACAATTTTAATTGCTTAAAATGTCAGAACACTAGAGTCATTCCTCTAGCATAGGTGTTTACATGAAAATTTTAAATATGTTCTTAGAGGTCCTAGTTTTAGCGCACCCCCATAAGGTTGCTTTGATACAAAGGTAGTTGTTGAGAGACAAAGGGTTAGTGTCAAGTCATGAGCATATTGTGAGCTAGCACTGAGTTTCCTTTAACTCGCTGTCATTATGTGGTATATTGGCTAAATTGTTTATGGAGACCTGTATAGGTATTAATATAATTTATTCTGCATGGTTTCATTTGCTTCACTTTGGATATGAGCAAATGTTTCAGTAATGGAATACAAAGATGTGTGGGCTTAGACATTTGATTTAATTGGCCTTTTTATCTATTTCTATACTGATGGCTCACAATGCACTGTGTACTAAGCAAATCTGTTTCCACTTAGTTGGCTGTAACACATTGTGGGAGGAATTCAACATAGCACTATGGCAATCATTCTGTCAAAGCAAGCGCTTCATCTTGCCATATGGAATGATGCCCCTCTCTTCCTCCTGCAGGCTGTTTTGGGGGGCCTCCTGGCCCTTCTCCAGCCAATTTGGGTGCAGGGAGAGGGAAGAGGGGAAGCCCCATTGCGCTAGTTCTGCTAGTGGGGCTCATTAGTTGAAACTGGCCGTCAATATGTAAAAATGTACTTGGAGGGATGCAAACAAACGAAACATTCTTTACTAGGGTGATGGAATAAAAATCATTTTTAAAACTTTAGAGTATTAGCAACATTCCGTAGCAGTTTTAACAGTAGCATTTGCAATACAAGAGCCATTGAAAACTCTGCAGATTAGCACCAGGCAGATATTTACCATTGCATGACAGAAAGGGACATAACGTTGGATCATAGGAAGATGCCTTACACCAGGTCAAACCATTGGTCCATCTAGCTCAGTATTGTCTACACTGACTGGTAGTGGCTCTGCCAGGTTTCAGGCAGGGGACATCCCTAGCCCTACCTGCAGATGTCGGCAATTGTACCTGAGAGCTTCAGTGTGCAAGGCAGATTCTCTGCCACTGAATTACAGCCCTTCCCTTAACTCTTTTTGCTCCTTCCACCTGGGTGATGAACAAGTGGACAATCAAGGTGTGTAGAGTGGAAACTGAGAATGCAAAGCTTTGGAAGCTAGTCATTGCAGCAATTGGTATCCAGTTGCAGGTACAACAAGCAATACTTCTGCAGCCCCGGAAGATCGTGCTTCATTGACAAAGCACATACTTCACATAGCTATATGGGAGTATAAGTTGTTTAGGGCCCTGTTTGTTAATAGGTCTCACCTTGTTTTGCGAATGCCATGGTGGAGCAGATGTTTAGGTCATTCAGGAATGGAAGTAACAGTGGGAACTGCTGTCCAAGGTGCTGAAATGGATAGGCTCGCAAAATTCTTGCCTGTGCTTGCTGTCTATGGTGCTGAAATAAGCTGCCAGGCAGCAATATTTATATTAAGTCACAAGTAAAATCAGCCTTTTTGTAGTTTAACAGGAATATTGAAACTAGATGAGCCCCCTTTCCTGACGGTGTAAGAAAGGAATTCCCACATATCTGGATTTCTTCATTTGTAGCAAAGTAGGAATCCTAGTAGGTTGTTTCTAGGTAATGTTTCAATTACATGTGTCTTCAGAGGCTCTTAATTACCTGGAGTCCTTGATGCCCTTGACTTCAGAAGTGTCCTACTTATGTTCTTTCCCTTCCTGCCATATCTGACTTACTGTGCACCATGGCTGATGGCCAGGTAAGTGCACATGGGGGTCTTGGCCAGGGAGCTATTCTGTGGCACTTTTTTGCCCCGGCTTGCCAGAGCTGTGTTTATTGTCTGTGTATGTGTGTGTACCTTGCAGGCACTCAAACGGAAACCTGACCTGTTCCTGTGTAGCAGCCTGGATGTCAAAGCAGTATTCCATTGTGGTGAGTAGGCAGGCCCCGTAAGACTAAGCTATCAAAAAATTGAGCTCCCTTGATGCAGTTGGGAAAGCTGATTTAGCCAAATGAGGCAGTGTTTCTTAAAGGTTCAGATATATGACAACAGCCTGCATGTTTGATGTAGAAACACCCCTCCAATCAGACCAGCTGAAGCTCCATGTAAAGTCCTTATGCTTGGAGGAGGGAAGGCTCCTTTCCTTTCCGCTCCTGTGGAAAGCTTTGAATTGTGTTAGCTGAGTCCTGAAGTGTTGCTTTCCCTCTAGGTGTGATCTCCTTGAAGTTCCCTGAAGCACCAACTGTCAAAGCTGCCTGTGGCTTTTTTGTGAGTGTTTTGCTTTTGCTAGATCTGCCATTGGCCAATGGTACAGGCAGAGTTGCGTTTGGGCCAAGTGGCTTGGAAGCACTTGTGCTGGGACAGGATGGAGAAGAACTCCCAGAACTGGTGAGAGGGAGCCTCCTCCAAATTCCAGAAAGGAGCTTCTCCTTTCATAAGTTGCCATTTGGGCCTTTTTATTTTCTTTTGCAGTTGGGATTTTTTGTATGGAGGCATTTTCTCCTAACTGTATATGCCTCCACTCTGTTTGGACATGTATACAGGAATGTGCTTGTCTCCTACATGGAACTGGAGACAGATGGCTATATATCTGAGTTCTAGCAATACAGTTTGCATCAACTCCTTCTCACTGTTTCTTACAGACTGAGTTATTGCCACGTTGTGGGGAGATTCCACCGGTGGGACAAGTGGTACATGAGAATGGCAAAATGCTGCTGCAGGCTGTGCTTGAGGTAAGGAGTGGGGCTTTTCAAGCTAAGTCAGGGACAATTAGAAGGAATAACTGGAAGGAGCCATGCTCACAGATAAGCTGCACTTATTCCAGTATGTTTTATTAATTCAGCTCCCTTCTAACCAGAATATCCCTGAATGATTTGCAGCCTGATCTAGTATTTCATGTCTTACTTGGAAGCGTGTTCCACTAGGTTCAGTGGTGCTTACTCCCAAGCAAGTGTGCCACCTTGGCCACTTCCTTTTTAAAAACACTTCCTTGATGCAATCTGCTGGAGCCTTCTTAGGTTTGTAATGTAATGTTCCCTCCTGCAGTGCAGTCTCCTGGGAGGATTATTGTCTGGTGTTAACTGGATTTGCTCCATCTGCAGGGTGTAGGTGGCCAAGCCGCACGCAACTTGATGGATCACTTTGCTGAGATCCTCTTTGCTCTCAACAAGCACTGCTTCAGTTACTTGAGTGTCTGGATCAAGGAAGTGATGCAGCAGGATGGTTTTCCATCAGCCCGTGTCAGCCCTGAACAAAAGGAAATCTTCAGCCAGCAAATTCTCAGGTGAACTTTCTCTTGAAGACTTTTCTGGAAGACTGAGTTGGGGAAGATGTGTGAGCGGGTTTCTTGGCTCTTCAGCTTTCTATCTGTGCCCCCAAATTGTCATGAGTGATCATGATAGATACTGAGCATTTCTCCAGGTTCAATAGTCCTCCCCAGAATCTTCTACAATAAAGAGCTTGCTTATTTTTTTATTTTTTAGTAAATTAATTAAGATGTTCAGAAAGGTTCAAGGTATTTATATAAAGTAGAGGTAAATAGAAAAGGGCAGCACAGAAACTAAACATGAACTTGAGTTTTTATCCTTGTAGAGACATGGTACCTATCTTGGTGTTGCTTTGGTTTCTCCTTTAAGCCCCTGCTACTCCATGTAAACACCCATGAATTCACCAGCATTTAATAATTATTATAACAGGAACATAAGCAGAGCCTGCTGAATCGGGCCTTTGGCCTGTTCTGGCAGGTTCTTCTTGTATTGTTATGGCTGGAAGAGCAGGATTCACTAGTTTAATCCAGCCACCGATGAACTGAGATGCACTGGTGAACGATAATTTGCAGAACAGGAACATGAGTTATTTGAAAGAGGATGTCTTAATGGAGGGCAGCAATGATTATAGTAGCTGTGCGGAGCACGTCTGCAGTACCCAGCTCTCAGTGCTAGGGATTCCATGGGTTTGGCACTGGGTGGTGCCCTTGTGTATGGGAACATCCGACTCAGCTCTAGCTGGTTTTTTTAAGTGACTCATTCACCATTCTTCTATATCAGCCTTTTATCATTCTTTTTCTGTGTTATCAGAGAGCGTGTGAACAAACGGCGTGTGAAGGAGATGGTAAAGGAGTTCACACTGCTGTGCCGAGGACTGCATGGTACCGAATACACAGCAGACTACTGAGGGGCCATGTAGCAAAACAGGAGCATGAACAGATCTGCTGGCTACCTGCCACTGCCTAATGCTGCTATTGAACCAGCTCATAGGACGATAACTGCAACTAACCTGCTGAGGCTGCTCCTCTCAAGAATGAGCTGTTTGTCCATCCCTCCTGCATGTTCAGAGGCAGCAGGCTACAAGGACTTGGAGCACAGGCTGGAGCTGAGGAGATTTCCTCCCCCTGCTAGACTGGTGCAATGATTGCCCCTTGTTTTCCCAGCACACTCCTGTAGACATATCTGTGGTATTGTCTGTTCCTAAAGAGTCTGCCTTTGCCCTGCATGAGGCAGCTTCTGTCTGACTGAAGTGGAAGGCCCTGCAGCCTTGAATTATATTAAGGCTTTTCTAAGCTGTGGTGTTTGATGAATTGGGGGAAGAGATGTAACTTCTGGACAATATTGGGCAGGGGAGGGTAAAAAGCTGTAGCAGCTGCAGTTGCACTTATAGCTGCCCTAGCCTAACGGGTAATAAAGAAGAGTATGATGTCGTTTTGGACAAAGAAGAAATCCAAATTCTGCAACAAAGTATTGGAAAGAATCAAAGTTAGCTTCTCAGAAGGAAGCATACCTGCCAGCCTTTGCATTTCTTGGTGTGCTGGCAAAGTTGCGTAACCAGTTCAAATTTTCTTTTTGCAGTCAACAATCTATAGGAGCATCCCATGGAAGGCATATTATCATACTAGCCTGTAATATGAATGATAGTTTCTAGGTTCATTTAAAAGGGTTGCAGCCACCTTTACACGCTCTGATGAAAAATATCCCTGGTTGCTTCTACAGCTGAAGATCAAGATGTGACAATGGATCTGAGGGTGTGCTACTGTTTATGGTGGAAGGATGGAAGAGGAGCAAATAATTTTCATATGGGGGATTGTTGGTATTGCAGGTTTGGAGACTAACCAGGTTGAGCAAATGTGCAATTTAGAATGACTCCAGGGCCAGTTTCAGTCTTACCTCCCCATAGAACATGAGTAGGTTCCTAACTTGGGACTTGCTGTAATGTTTCCTAACCCTCGGTAGTGAAACTCAGTTTACATAAGAGCAGGTTGGGATGGCTTGAACCTTAGTCAATCCTTTCTATTTAACAAGAGCTTACCAAAGTAACCGTTGAACCATCTAAATAACAATAGCAGATACCGGTGTGGTAGGTACTGGAGCAGAAGTTCTCAAACACATTTGCAGGCTCCATTGAGGTGGTTTGTGGGGTGGTCAAAAGTATCTGTACTTGGCACTGCACTTTATATTTTCTGATGATGGAGATGGACTTCACAGAACGTTGCTCACAAAAAAACAGGCATATCCATCGCATTAGAAATAAAAGACTGCAGTTGTTTAGAGTATGAGTTATAAAACAAAAAAGTAGCTGGCTGAGCCCTGCACCATCCACAGCATTTTCCAAGTGGTCTATGAAAAAATGGTTTGAGAACTGCTATACTAGAGGTTTATGTAGACATCAGCTGGAGCTTCTGCATTTCCAAGGCAAAACATGTTCTTGGGGAAGAATATGCTTATGGGACAACAGAAACTGAAACAAAATCAGGCATCTTAAGTAAATGCAAAAAGTAGCATACTGACAATGCACTGTTCTAGGTCAAGTCTTGAAAAGTGAATAGGGTATACCGTATTTTTTTCCAAGTAAGGGTTGTTCCAGTTCAGGCAGATGAAGTACTCTGAATCTGGAAACAAGATAAGCATTTTGTGTAATCCTGGCTTGTTAAGTAACTGCTTTCACTGGTTTAAAAAGTCAAATTACATCAGAAACCTTCACATCAAATGTGGACTTAATGTTTAACTAATCAGTGCAACCAAGTAGTTTATGTGTTTTGATCAGAAATTGGAGTAGTGATCTGTAATTAAGTAATCTATAAGATGGCTTGGTGGCTTATCTTGAATAGCTGTGAAACCTTCACATTGCACATGGAAAGAACAAAGTACAGTTGGCTATATTAGGGAAAAAGCAGTACTCCGGTATTTCTATAGCAGTGGCCATGATTACACCCCGGTAAAGAGAAGTATCTACATTAATGCACAAAATAAGCAGTACTTGGCAGAGAATGTGCCTTCTAGGTTTGGGCATGTGGTACATTGCTGCACCTTCTCTCTTTCCACTGATTTCAGTGTTTCTGTCTGGTGTTCTTTGCACTGAAACATTCCTTTAAAAAGTAGCATTTTGAGGCTGTGTGCTATACCTTTCAGTTATTTATTTGAAGCTCTTACTTCCATGCTGCTTATCTAAGCACTCCACACTTTGCCTTATTAGGAAAGGTATTGATCACTGGTGTGGTCATGGGCTGCTACAGGGCTTAGCATATGATGTTGCTGCTTTCTGGAACCTGATACCTATGCAACTGCTGTCCAGGACCTTGACTGATGAGCTTGCATTGCACATGTCTTCATAGGTGGTATAAGTAGAATAGAAGGTACAAGCAAGAGACTGTAAGAGGCCATGGAACTGAATCTTACTTTGCAGCATGGAGCAAAAAGCAACATAATCATTACTAGCTTGTGCAAAAGACCGCCTGTTATACCTTTCTTGTGGTGTGTGTGTGTGGTTTTTTTTTTTTTTTTTTGGTCTGGTATGGCATGGCAGTTGGAGAATGGAATGTGGAGGTGATGTTCTGAAAATAGTGTTCAGAGGAAACAAACTTACGGAGATTAGGAACAGTGCTCATGTCTAAACATGGCTTCTCCACAGTTATGCTGCATTTTGTAGTATGGCTTATGGAGTTGCATACTTCCTTGGTTATTCAGTATTCTTGTTTGCCCCACTCCTGTCTATCTTAGCCTTTCTGTCTATAACTCTTAAGCTATTGCTATGCGGTGGTCTCTTTCTTCACTTTTTGGACCATGTGTGAAGGGTAGAGGTGTGTGACTTCTCTACATTGCGGGTGGCCGTGTAAAACAGGGATAGCCAATGTGGTGCCCTCCTAATTATGATGGGCTACCATTACATCTAACTAATGGCCATGCTGGCTGAGGCTTGTGGGAATTGTAGTTCAGCAACATCTGAAGGGCCAATGGTTAGCCACCCTGGTGTAAAATAACTCACCTGGCTGCTTCTAGGGCCTTGGCCTGCTACAGGATGCCCCTCTCATTTCAGCAAACTATTATAACAGCAGCAGAAGGTGAGCAGGAGCACCAGGAAAGCAGCTATGATATGGTATAAGCAGTGTTATAAACAGAATGGGCGCAACAACGGAATGTCTAGGCACACTTTTTTGTAACAAGATTGCAAAGCTGAAAATGAATGAACTGCAGCTAAAATATTATGTTCATTTTTCACATGGTCTATCCTTCTACTGCTCACCCCACTAATATTCTTGAGGGTCTCTTCTCCAGTCTTCAGAGAGTAGCTGGAAGTGGAAAGGTAGAAAAGGGTCCTTTCCTTCCACTCTGCAGTTTTAATCTGAAATCTTAGGCACAGTACTGCACCCAGAGCTCAGAAGCTACTTGCGCTAATGGAATTCCCTGTCGCAAAATGTGCCTAGAACAATGGGAATTTTGAACACTGGGTATAAGCTAGTCTTACTTCTCTGTACTACCCTGTGCTATTTTATGCTGTGCTCATTTCTGGAGGTTCCCATTCTACCAGTTACTATCTCTCCTTCTCCCACTCCCATGACTTTTCTTTTTTGCTGGTATGTATCACAAGCCCCCACCCCAGGGATCATACATACGCAGCCATATACTAAGAGCATTGGCCAGATGGGCTGTAATGTGCATAGCATACAGTGGCCCTCCTATTATCTGATAAACAATTATGACGTTGATTTGGGTGTATTAATGCTTCAGAAAAGTTGCCCAAATAAGGAGAAAGGAAGGATGCTAATGGATTTAAAATAGAACTTTATTTGGCATAGCAAGGTCTACAAGTAGAGTTTAAAAATGGTTTTTTTATTGGCAAATTATTCTAAGTCTTAAAAATGTTACTAGCTTTAACTGAAGTAGGTTCTTGACTTAAGGGATGTATATATCCCTTACTTGGTACATCTTGTACCTTGTGCTCAATGCTGTTTTGATTCCTGATTGGATGGCAGATGTTTACACAACACAGTGCCAACTGTGTTATATTTTTCTTCTCTATTAGGATATGGAATGATGTTTCTCCTTTCTGTTTGATAGGCAGTGTCATATAGTCATGTTCAACAGAAATAACTTTGAGCGTTATATTGGATGGTACACATCTAAGGATGTCAGTGACTTATGCTTGTGGGTTGGAAATGACAAGTGGATAAACATATGCTATCCTGCTACTGGGAGGAAAGATGCTAGTACAAAACTCTTTCTCCAACACAGATCAACAGCCACCCCTTTCTTCATTCTGTGCTTTTAAACTCCAAAGAGCTACAAAATATGTAACCTCCAGCTGAGCAGACAATGCATATTTTGTAGGACTATAACTGTATGGAGAACTATTGGGCTCCATTTCTACTTGTTTCTATAGGATGCCATTGCCTCTCATGTTCTTGTGTGCTTCCCATAGGTGTAGGTACGTGGTTGCCCACTGTGGGAAACAGGATCCTAGGCAAGATGGGCCTTTGGTTTAATGCAGCAAGGCTGTTCTTATTTATTTACTACATTTGTATCCTGCCTTTCCTCCAAAGAGATATCAAGGAGATATATATACTTCTCCCCATTTTACCTTCAACCCACCTTACAGGGTTGTAGTGAGTTGAGTGGCCCAAGATCACCCAGTGAGCTTCATGGCTGAGTGGGCATATGAACCCTGGTCTCCAAAGTCCTGTTCAACACTCTACCCACTATACTGGCTCTTTATCATAGGATTCTTATACCCCAGCTATTCAAAGCCTGGTTCTTGCTTCTGAGTCCTAAAATTCAATTCCTCATGCTATCAGCAAATCTAACTCTTCGAGGATACAAAATCCTAGCTTCAATAGGAAAACTTTTCCTGACTTCTAGTTATACCTTTAATACTGGACGGTGTGGATTAGATCAAGGTTCAACCAGAGTATAAAAACCTGCCCTCCTTCCTCAATCACACTCTTCTCTGCTTTTCCCATGTATGAGAATACGGCAGAGGTTGAGCCTGGGCATGTAGGGGCACGATTGGCTTCCAAGAGTGCCCTAAGTTATAGCTAACTATAACTTCAACTTCCCAGTGGAAGCTGGACAAATGGGGATCTGTGGTATAATTCCACATGTGAATTAAGCTGCAATGCTACACACCCCTGTTCCCCCAACAGAACCCCAAATCTACTGTGCTGCCACTCTTAGCCCAGGGCTGCTTTATGTGCACAGATAAACACCAGCACAATTGAGAGCACAGTGAGAAGAATAGGTTTACTTAGCTTCTTAACATAAAAAACACCATTTGGCAGAACTACTGTATTGTAGATGTCAGCCAGTTAAAATGTTGATCTGTCCATCCACCAAGAGGAATGTCCAGGCCAGGGAAAGTGATATTCCTTGCCTTACACATGTGGGTAGGAGGGAGAAGGTTGTGATAAAAACCATGTTTGGTTATCTCATCTAGATGCAGAAAGGGAAGGCAACTTTTTCTCAGCATGGCCCGGCTGGAACTGTCATCCAGAAGGCTCATCTTCATATGCAATGGCAATCCCCCGTCGTCCAGCCACGGCTTTTGTGACTGCTGACTGCCCCAGCTGCTGCTCCAGACCCCGCCAGCTTCGTGACTCCAAAAATGAGGCTAAGACAAAAAAGCAAACAAAACAGAAGAGCAATGATCATGGCATAAATGATTTCCCCAAGCTGAATTCCAGACACCACTCTGGAAGAGAACAGAGCTTACAGTATATTCAAGATTATGGATGAAAGAGCCCATGGGGCCCACTGCCCCACTCATTACTGTAACTGTAAATGGAGGAAGGTGACTAGGCTGCTAATTGCTATTCTGACACTAGCATAAATCTTTGAAACATTCACCACATAACAGACTTCAAAACAGCCATTTTCATCTCCCAAGAACAACCATTAGTCACAAGAAAGGTCCTAACAGATGAGATTTGCCACCATTTGTGTGGACCGTTAACATAATCCGTTCCCGACCCCTCGGACACATACCTGCTGGGCTACTCTCAGCCATATGCATATGGCTGCGGCAGGTCACAGAAGTGCCAGAGCTTGGCTCTGGGTCTGGTGCTGTATAAAGACAAGTTGAGCGTAGCTCGCCGGTGATGAGTGAAATGCTGGGTTCACTGTCAGCCTCTGAAACCTTGTCTGGGAAAGGGGTGTGCGCACATGCTCCTGCAGGCAACAGCAAGGGAAAGAGTAACAGCTAAGCTTGGCCCATCCAGAATCATGCCCTGCTTTTACCCACCTAAGGATGATCAAGATGTGCAGAATTAGCACATGGAAAAACAGCTGTGGGTGGGGTTGGCATTGCTCGCCTGGCTTCCCAACATTCCCAACTTGATAAGAGCATAGCTTCTCTGATGCTTCCTTTCCTGCACCTACACCACACTGAGCTCCCCACTGCCTTGCCCTTCATTGACCACCATTTCATATGGCAAATGTGGAGAGGACTATGGGAGGTAAGCATAGCCCAATTATATCTGCTTGCACAATGGAACTTCCCCACTTCCTCCTTTCCCAAATCAGCTCTGAAGGGTTAGGGGAACCCCTAGAATAGATTCAGGGCAAGAGGAGGGGGGAGTTTCAATGCGCAAGTGAAAGTCTTTGCACTGACAGGACATGTTACTATTTTGGATACAACCCTATGTATTTGAATTATCCCCAATGTAGAAATTGTTCCCTGCCGCTGGTCTGTCTTTGTGTGGGTGTAGGGAACTTTATGGTCATTGCTGCAGCAGACTATGCCTTCAGGGCAGGCCCAAGAGCATTGGTAGAGCTGTGCAGCTTTTATGAGTCTGAAATTGCAATTCATCGTGAGACTCAAGTTATCATTATAATAAAGCAACTTTCAAACCCTTAAGCCTGCAGAGAGAATTTTGGAAGTGTGTGACCAAACATAATTTCCAGAGTCTGGTGTGAAAGGAGCTCACTGGTTGTTGCCTCTACTCATTTCTCCAGTTACGAAGCCTAGTATTACCTGGTAGGAGGTGACGGAAATCTGTGACATAGCTGCCTGTCCAGGTCCGTGCTGGATTGCATGCCATCTCCAGCTCGTAGGGTGTGACCACAGGCCGGTAGAAGTCAGCTGAATCAAGCAAAGAGTTCTGTGGGCAGGCTACCAACACAAAAATGTCCACCTCTAGAAAGTTTGCCAGCTTTGCAGGGTTGGGTTTACCCACAGCCAAGGTATAGGCCCGTTTGCCTGCCCGCTGAATGATGCCACGCAGATGCTCCAGAACAGACAAGTAGTCTGCCACACCAAGAGTGCCCACCACAATGCCCACTACTTGGGCATCCCGTGCCCGCTCCACTAGATAGAGGCGTCGCCTCAGGGCCCGGTTCACATCCAATGTTTCCCGTCGGCCTTGTCCTGTCTGAGGATTAAAGGAGCTGAAGGGACACCGGTTCCAGCTCAGCATGAAGTTTGTGAGTTCTGGGCCTTCACAACCCACGTAGAACATGGCGTAGTTGTCAAGACCATGCTGACTGTCCACTACAAAGTGCCGCCCAAATTTCTTCACCAGCCCGGGAACTGGCTGAAGTTCCTTGTTATCCAGTTGAGAGAAAACTACATTAGGATAAATGGGGTGCAGCAGAGCGGCCAGGCTATCTGAGGGGAAGAGAAATGAAAAGTCATTCAGTTTAGAGACAATAACTGTCACATACGCCTCACTGTTCCAAATACTCAGCAGGCCTCTTCCATGGACAGGGAAGGGCCCTTGTGCTAGACACTAGGTTTAAAGCTGTGATGGGGAACTCCTATCAGCCTCATGCCGCATAGCCAGTGGTCAGGGATGATGAGAGTTCTAGTCCAACAGCATCTGGAGAGCAATAGGTTCCCCATCCCTGATTTAAAGGATGTAAACAGAGGGGAGTTAACTGAAAGCGAATATTACAAGGAAAGATTACTTCTGTGGTCCTTTAAAAGAGAACAACCCCTCCAGCCGCCAAATCAGAAATATAAATTGGAACATTCACAGGAGTATTGTTTTGAATTTTCTCACTTTCATAGAATCATAGAACTTATAAAAGCCTCTTTGGCAGGTATCTGTGCATTAACTGACCACATTCCTAGTTCATTCAAACTACAAAGGAGTAAACACTGATTAATTGATGTGGTTTTGCCTTTGAACATTAGCATGCAGGTCTATTAGCTTTGCTCTGAAGAATGTTATTGTTGAGGAAACTGCAAACTAGTATCCTAGTGGCAAATGAGGTGGGGAGCACGGAGAGAAATAGGCATTTCCTGGTTAATCCAGCCCTGAGGATAGTAGAGAGGGTTAAAAGCTGGGACTGAGTAACATTGGAAGGCAGATAAGACATAAAGGGCAGGACTGGCAAGGAGAGCACTGTTTGAGGTTAGAGGATGCCCACTGTAGCTTTTTCCCATCCTGGCCTGATGTATCTCTTGAATACCACCCACCACCCACATTGTGATCCCCATGGTCTCACCAAGAGAATGAAAATAGGCCACTTCACTCAGCACAACCACATGAGCTAGAGGGTCTGGATGCAACTCCCGGAAGACTTCTGTGCAGCGCGCCACGTCTAGTTGTTTGCGGCCAAACACATGGAGCACGGGCAGCTTGCGGCAGGGACTCAAGCAGGCAGGGCCGTAGTGCACCACAGCCTCAGCACCCACGTGCTCTGCTGCCACTTCATCCACGCAACAGCTAAAGAAAAGCAACAGCATTAGCTATGGAGGGCATCTTTCCTCAAAACACCTACCACCTCTATCACACAGAAAAATGCTTCCTTTGTAGTAAATGGGTTACCATTGTAGAGACTGGATTTCCCCTGTCACCAGCTCAGCATGCAAGGAGCCCCAGGCCTGACAGCAGATGGGAAAAATACTCTGTTACCAACACCCAAGATGCAGGAACTGGGGAGCAACTAATGATCCCAAAGTCCTACTCTCTTGTCATTAGTACCCCCACCCCAGCAGAGGCAGTCAAGAGACTGCTGAACATCCAGAGGCTGACATATTACTACAGAACCCCTTGAAAATGCAAGCCTGCAGTATAGTCCTATGCATGTTCTCAGCACTAAGTTCCATGTTTTCAATGAGGCTTACTCCCAAGTGTCTATAGGACTACGGGCTGAGCTTCTATCATGTGTTTATGTGGAAGGAGGTTCCTGCTGTGACCTCACCTGCCGTATGATGTGTCCCCCAGAATGTACATTTTGGCACCAGTTGCTGCTTCCATCTTGCTAGCAAGGCTTGCTGAATCTGGCAAGAGTTCATCGGGAAACTGAAGAGCAACCTACAAAACAAACCCAAGATAATTATTCAGGACATGTCCACTGTACACAGCTGGCAGTACTGTGGGTTTCCTGGGGAATTAGGCTTTGAAGAAAAAGGTCCCATCCACATGGACAGGATTTTTTCTTGTAAGTCTAATTACCATGGGGGGAGGGGTTTGAAGGGTGAGGGTGGCAGCACTGGGGAGAGGGTTAATTTACCCCCCCCCCCAATCTGCATTGTGACTCCCTCAAAAACCTGCATACTGAGTGAAATGAATTTCCTCTAAGCTTAATTGCAACAGGGAAGGGCAAAGAGCAAAAGCAAAAAAAGGAGGAAGAATGGGTGGGGAGAGAGAATAGAATGGATGGACATACATGTGTAAGCAGTGATGTGGGCTTGCCAGTCAATTCTGAACTGGAACAAAATCCTTCGAAAATTAGGATAGTGTGAACAGGGCAATATGTGATGCCCTAGAACACTGGCCTTCAACAGGTGGACTTGGGCCCACTGGTGGGTCACGGCCTGATCCAAGATGGGTCACAACAGGAGCATAACCACCATGCAAATATATGATAAAAGATTAAGAAATAGTTTTCCATATGTATGTTGGGGTTAAAAGTGGGTCCTGGGTCTGAAAAGGTTGAAGAATACCTGCCTTAGAGAAGGGTCTAATTTGGTATTTTTATTTTACTTGTATTTAGCAAACAAGAGCTAAAAACTTGAAACTGCCAAGTTTGCCTAATGCTGTATTTGCAACTGGCATCCATTCATTGTTGATCGTGACCTTATGAAACATATTTTTTCCTTGTGGAAAAATAAAGCACCAGAAAGTCCAAAATAAAGCACCAGAAAGTCCACCTCACATCACTGGTGAAAAGGAAAAGGTGGGGGGAGAAGAGATGTGCCTTGGGCAGCCTCAGCTCTCCCATCGCTGGCATGTTCCCCCTGGGAGATATGGCCCTTGGGGGAGGATTCCACATCTCTGCCTTAAATACTGGAGTGTGTGAGCTGCTTCTACATATTTATTTGTTTGACATACTTTTAAAAGTCCCCCATATTTAGTGCCCCAATACTTGATTATTTGGGGCGGGGATGTCCACTAACTCTAGGGGAAGAACTGACATTTATGCCTGTAGCTTTCTGGCAAAAGGGCAAACTACTGTCTCACCTTAGTGAAGCCATTATCAGATACAAATGCAGCTGCTCTCTCCAGTTCATAGAATTCTTCCAGCCTGGTGGTTGGGGAACGTCCACTTGCTTCTGCAGGAATCACGGCCCGCTGCATAACCTCAGCACCATCACTGCTGAATGCTGTTGCCATGGTGGCCTATATCCAAACTACAAAAATACAAGGTGATGCTCGTCCGCATAGCAATATCCCACTACTAGCAAGATGCTGGATGAGAATGGTCCTGAGCGTCAGTTCTCCAAGGTCACATTTACAGGATCATATTCTATATTAATCAGTAGGGAACCGACATAGCTAAAACCCTTTGTATCCATGCTTCTAATCACTAACACTGATTAGAATGCCTCCTTCATTCAGAAACATGCACTGAAATGGGTTTGGAGAGAGACAAGAAAATGGCACTGAAGCGGCTTGGGAAACAGAAGAACTCAGGAAGGCTCCTTACACAAAGACAGACCACCGGTCTCTCTAGTTCAGGGATAGGCAAACTCGGCCCTCCAGAAGTTTTGAGACTACAATTCCCATCATCCCTGACCACTGGTCTTGCTAGCTAGGGATGATAGTAGTTGTAGTCCCAAAACATTTGGAGGACCGAGTTTGCCTATGGCTGCTCTAGTTCCATGTTGTCAAGAGGACTGACTGGCATTTCGGGCAGAAGCATTTCTCAACCTTACCTGGAACTGCCAGGAATTGAATCTGGAACCCCTTTGCACACAAAACAATTGTATCCCCCCGCCATAAGAAACATTAACTACTGTGCCCCATTACTGTCACTCTACTCACCTAGAAGACCCCCCAACATCCACCACATGGCCACCAATACACTTCCTGGGTGGGGTTAAAGGCACCCAATGAGAACGCCACGCTCCTTTCCCTATCGGAACGCGTCTTTTTTCTATCGCTTCGCTTCTCTTTCTCTCTCCTACGTCATTAGCGGGAAGCTTTGCAGCCAATAAAAGATCCCGACACAGCAAGGCCCTCGGAAAGTAGAATAAACGGGAAGCCTATCAGCGCGGTGCATTGTGGGGGTTGGAGTTTCGCCTTCCTCCCATCCGACCAATCATCCCAGCCGGCGAGAGGCGTCAGATAAACTTCGTCTGGTCACGTGGAGCGTGGTTCCCGTCATTCTGTGGGTCAGGTGATTCCCGGTCGCGTTCAGTCCGTGCTGAGGACTCGCCGCCGCCATGTCCGGGCTCGCGCTGCTGTATTCGGGACTGGGGCTGACCGCGGCCGCCACCATCACCGGCATCGGTTAGTGCTTTGAACGGGGAGCTGGGAGCGCCGCTGCGAGGGCCAACGCCGCTTTGCCGAAGTCCTCCTCTCCCCTCCCTTCGCCGGGGCTGTGTGCGGTTATCCGCAAAGGAAATGGCTGTGGGAAATGGCTTGTCGTGGGCGGGCGGGGGGCGCAAGGCGCGAGGGAGCACACTTGGGGCGCTGGGGGTGGGATGCCGCCCTCCAGGCTCAGCGAATGTTTTTGGGTGCTTCTTGATCCGCGGTGCTGCCTTGCCCTACCCTAGTTTGCCCGTCAGGCTGTTCTCGGGGTTGGGGGGCGAGGCGACATCCCTGCTGAGGGGAGACTCGCATCCTCCTGCTTGCGCGGGGAGAGCCGTTTTGTCTTCAGGGGGTGGTCCGGAAGATACTGTACTCGGTTCTCCTTGTCCATGACCTTCTCATAGGGAAGGTTTCCGGAGGGGCCCTCGCATGTGGGTTTCCCACGGCAGGCCCACCTCTTGTCGTTCTCCACATCCTTGGTCTCAAAAATAAAAATAGTTTAAGAGACGACTCCAGACTTCCACCATATTGGGCTCTGTGGTGCTCAGTTTGCTTCCTCATCTGTGAAAGCAGCGAAAAGGCGAGGGGTGGGGAAAGGCTTTCTTAATGGCTGTTCAGTGCTAGTTGTGAATTTTGATGCTGTGCACACCAATGGCATTTTTGATGTCTGAAAGTAGATCAAAAGAAGTGCATTTGGAGGAACTTTCTAAAAGTGCAGTGTTGTTTCCGTTTTTTATGTGGTGAAATTTGAGCAAGGCCTAGAGGGTGTAGCCTTGGAACCAGGGGACCTGTGGCAGAGTCTGGAGCTGCTGTCCCTTGGTTATCTTTAGTATCAAAACAATTGCACTTTAATGAACTCCTGACTAGCTACGTAAATGTTTATACATTGACAGGATTACTGGGTCTTAATGTTGATATATATCTTTTCCTTCACTACCAAACATTGATTTCATTGTTCATCATGGTTTCGATGTTAACCATCCTAGCATTGGTAAGAAGTTCTGCATGTTTTTGGGTGAAGGAGACTTGGCTCACCAATAGCCTGGATTCATTCTTGCTGGAGAGATATTTGCATTTTCTGGTAGTCTCTACATTTGTTCAGATGATAATTTGTTCTTGGTGAGCCCATGCAGGTATGCTGTGTCCTTATTCTAAACAAGGAACAATTCAGAAAGTCCTCCATCATGAGTTGAATGACATATTTGTTCTTGTATTGTGTGGTTGCAATTTATTGGGAACCAAAAAAGCGTTAACACTGTTGGGGGAAATGTGATGAATCATGCAAAAGGTGCACAGTGGACTCTCCCCCCTCCCCTTCAGTTTGTTTTGTCAACAAGCTTTGGAGCAGTTGTCCTACAACAGTCCTGTCCCAGCTCTCTGGGAGCTGTTGGTGGCTTCAACTGGATTAGCCCAGCTGATTTGGTTAAGACTTCACCAGTCAGGGTTGAGGAATGACAAACAGCAAACTAAGCTCTGACCTTCTGATTCAAACTCAGTTTCTTTAAGGTCATTTTACCAATTGGACACAGACCTTGCTTAGAAGCAGAGAGTTTCTTACTGGTTCCTGTTGGGACTAAGCAGACTAAGCAGTCTACCACTCTACTCAAACAGTACTCCATTTCCTTTTCTCCTTCATTATATCTTATTTGCAGCTAGGGTTCTTCTGCCCCTCCCCTCCTCTTTTTGCTACTTTTCCAGTGTTAAGTGTGACTCTTAGTTCCCCTTTCAGATCAGCATGGATGGGAAGAACAGAACTTCTCCTTTTCTAGCCATGATTACTACAGCTGTACCAGGGAGGACATTAACATTTTCCTTTCTTTTCAGTAGGATGTGAGCATAGATGCATCATGGTGGGTCTCTGAGTATCGCCCTGTCTTGGCTTCTGTGGACCCTGAACCAAGCATGATTCTGTTATTACTCTGGGACATTCATGCACCTGAGCTAGGGTTTGTCAGACTGGTGGCTGGGGACTGTGGCCGGAAGGAATGTGCTCCAAGTCATGAGACATCTGTCCCAAAATGTGAGAAGCTATTTGACCTATAGATGGGCTACATAGGTAGAAATACCTTACCCCATCCCAATATATATCTGGAAGGGACAATGAAGAACTCTTTCCTATAACAGTACTTCAGTGTTCTGCCTCATGACTAAACTTATTGGAGAGGAAGCAGAGCGGAGCACCACTTGAATGAATAAATGATGTATGTAACCGTACTCAGGGGGGGGTAGCCTGTCATTTGACCTTGCTACTATAGGGAAGAAGCAGTGTGATGAATGGAGGTTTATTCACTGTGCTGTCTCTTCTTTTTTATGGTAGCTTTGGGTAACTGTTGTTGCAAAACAGTGACTTAACTTCTCAGATGTGATTGAATGATTAATAACTTTGAAGAGTCTTAAAGGTTTTGGATCTTAACCTTTAGGATAACAATCTTTAATGTGAAGGATTTACTGAAATATTATTCTCTCTAGGTTTTATGCTCGAAACACTGTTACATTTTTATTTTTTCATCATTGTTTAACGATTAGTAAGATCAGTTGTACTGGCTAATTCTCAAAGCATCAGCAGAATCATGGCTTCACTGGTCAGTTTGCTGTTGTGCCAACTCTACTTTGTGTAATAAACTACACTTAACTTGGTTTTCCATAGTGTCTGCTAACAATTTTGGGACTTTGTATGGGTTGCTTGGGGGGCGGGGAGTTAATTTCCCCCAAGAATTCTTGTAGCTTTAAAACTTTTTACATGCACTGCATACAAGGGTGTCACTCATGTCTTTTTGCAGGATGATGAACCATTTGGTCTTGGACTTAGAGGTAGGATAGGTTTGTGTTGCATTTTATACTATCTGGCCCAAATTTTAAGAGGGCTCCTGTACCTCTAGGAGTTTTACAGAAAGTAGTGTATTTTCATCAATTGCTGCAGCACTGCATTGGGTAAAACAAATCTGAAAAAATGCTACCTGTATTCTGAAATAATGCATTCCAAAATAGTATTGGGCCTGAAAGTGGTAGTTTGCTTCCTTTCTTTGCAATTGCATATTCCATCCTTGCTATGTGTTATATACTTGTAATATAAATTAAGGAGGAGAAAAGTGAATGACTACTACCGCAAGGGTAAAAAACATTAATTGTGACACTTCAAGCAAGAGACAAAAATCTGGAGCTGGTCCTATTGGAAGTAACATATCAAGATCAGCATTGTGGATCTGAAAAGTAAAGACCAGAATTCTGGGTGGGAATCTTTAGCCCACTTCCTGTTAGGCCTCACAGGGTGCCATGGAATTTTCTCCCCTTCTGTTTTTTTTTTTTTTTTTATAATTGATATTTATTGAATTTTCAAAAAATAACAACAAAAATTTCCAAAAAAAAAATTTTAGGATACAAAAAACAAAAATAGTGCATAAACAAAAAGAAAAGAAAACCCAGCCGCAAAGAAAGAAAAAAAAGAGAAACAGAAAAACAAAAATATAAAGTCCTTTACAATTTCTATTGACTTCCTTTCTAGACTTCCTCCTCCTCCCCTCTTTTGTTTCTTAATTTTTAATTTTTACAGCAAATCCTTTCTGTTTTTTCATAACAATCTGTCATTACATTTCCTTATTCTATTTTCCCTCTTGTCATATAAAAGCTTTAAAACTCATAGCTTATATTCAATATTTACCAAGTTCTTGCATCATTACCTTTTTACAAATCATTTACCAATCCTTACTTAAGCCATGTAATTTCATTCAACATCCTTCAAACATTTGTAAGCATTCCCAATATTAAAAAGTAGAAAAGAAAAATTAATAAGTCAAATTCAGTCCAGTCAGCTTCCAACCTCCCCTCCCCTGGACCCGGGATTGTCAGTCCTTTTAACCTCCCTTAACCTGGTTGTCTCGTATCCGAGGCCCTCAAGTCTCTTTCTTGCCCCTTTCGCCACTCTTGTTGATGATTCCTTTCCAGTCGTGGATGCTCCAGCAAGAAAATGCTTTTGACCCTTTGCAGCAAGTCCATCCCAAACCCATTGCCCAAGCCAGACAGCAAATAATACCACTTCAAATTTCCACAAAGCTTGGAGACTTCGGCTACTCCAATCCTCTGATAGCCCATCACCAGACTCGGAAGGTCCAAATAACCATATGGAGGGGGGGTCGATCCATCCCCCCATTTCCAAATCTGACCACATTTCATCTTTCCGAATCTGGTTTGTCCCAAGTTCATTTATCAAGTTCAAAGGCTGATCTTGCCTGTCCAAAGGTCCCTCCATCTCTGAAGCCTCCATCACTACAGCAGGTTCATATGCTTGTATAGCCTTTAACTGAATTTCATTTGTTTGCTGCTGTGCTCTGGTAACTTCCATCCTCAAGGTCGTCTCCTGACGCATCTGGTCCAGCTGGGCACTTAGTTTTGAAAAACCTTCCAGGAACAATTGTTCAAGCCTTTGTACTAGCATTGTCCTTCAAGGTCAAAGAAAATTCTTTCCCACGAGAGTAGTCCAATAATCCTTCTCTTTTAATCTCTCTGCGTTGCAATTTCACTAAATTCCACTAGATGGAATTTTTTTTTTTTGTAAAGGAATAAAAGCAACAGCAACAATCTTTCTTTTTCCAGAAACACTTTATCCAGAATTCCCCCTTCCAAATTCAAGAGGCAACAGTAGAATCAAAATGTTACCCTTCTTTTAACTAACTGTCGAGCTGGATAAACTTCAGAACGTCAATTCTGACAGCCCGCTCCTGGTTCAGGGCGGTGGAAAATTACTTTATTTTAAACTCACTTCCGCAGGATTGAAAGGTCCAAATACAACCCCTTTTTCTCCTGCTGTCAAAGGGGGTTCAGAAATCTTAGATGTTGAATTCTAGTTCTCTTAAAATTTAATTTTCAGGCTTTAGTATATTTTGTCTTTGCTTTCTTCACATAACAAAAGAACGGAAGGCGACTTCCTGTTTAGACCTTCCCATTCCGAGTCCCAATTAAGTTCAATTTCAAGTCCAATATTGTTTGTTTATTCACCAGTCTTAAAAGTGGTTCAGCTCTTCTAAGATCAGGTACTCACGGATAGATGTTTTAGATGCCAAATTGTCCAGGAAGAAGGCAGCGCTCTCCGATAATGGCAGTGCGGCTTTGCTGCACGGAGGAAGCAGACGACTCACAGCACCACGCACCTCCCACTCCGGAGCCCGTTACCGGGCTCCTGTACAGGGGAGAGAGCGCTCTCGGTGCCCGCCGAGTCCCACGTCCACAGGCTTCTTCCGCCTGTGGTTTTTGCGGGTCCCCGCTGCGCCGTAGCGGCAGGACCCAAGCCTCCGTGCAGCGGGTTCCCTTCAGTCCGAAGGGAATTCCGCCATTTTCCGGAGGCGCCACCCCGGAAGTGGAATTTTCTCCCCTTCTGAAAGTATAGAAAGAGACTCTCCAGTCTACTGAGTGTATTCTCTACTGCTTATAGTACAAATTGATTTGGAATATAGAGAGGGATTGTCCTAGCCAGTATCCACTGAGAAAGCAGTGAACAAACCCACATAAGGACAGGAAGCTTCTTTTGCCAGCTCGCTTCACACTTTTCTTGTGAAGAAAAGTAGAGGTGTCCTTAGGGTTCATTTTTGGCCCTTGGGTTCTCCTGCAGTATGTAAAGAAGATCCTTCAAGCAGTGTGAGTAAACTACCGTTCAGCTGTGCTTTGTCTTATTATGCCTTTCCATTCCTGTATTCCTCCATTGTTGGGATGCCTTCAGATACCTGATTGCTGACTTCAAAGTTCACATTGTGTACTGTTTCTGAATGATGCTGTTGTAGTATGTGAGGGTAGCTAGAATTACTGATATGTTTTCCTACCATGTTGTAAAGACTTGGGATGGATTACAAGAACCCCTCTTTTTTAGTAGGGTTCTTGCACTCAGTGGGATATGCCAAGGTTGCCCACCGCCCCAGGATGGTGTAGTGGTTAAGAGCGGTAGTCTCGTAATCTGGGGAACTGGGTTCGCGTCTCCGCTCCTCCACATGCAGCTGCTGGGTGACCTTGGGCCAGTCACACTTCTTTGAAGTCTCTCAGCCCCACTCACCTCACAGAGTGTTTGTTGTGGGAGAGGAAGGGAAAGGAGAATGTTAGCCGCTTTGAGACTCCTTAAAGGGAGTGAAAGGCGGGATATCAAATCCAAACTCTTCTTCCCCTTCTTCTTCTTCTTCTTCTTCTTCTTCTTCTTCTTCTTCTTCTTCTTCATGCTGCTTAGCATGAAGCCATTGGTAAGGAGAATTTTGAGCTAATATTTGCCAGATTTAAAATTTACTTGTAAATCGGTATGCATTAAAATATAGCTTTGGTATAATATAATAAAAATATAACTATATTTTATGCAATAAATTATTATAACCAGAGAAAAAGCTTTAATTTATGCTAGTTGATCTAATTTTCTACATTAGAAAGGGGGACCATAAGTTCTCAAATTGTCCCATTTATTTGTCTACTTTTGCTTAATTGTACTATTTCTCTTTAATTTCGTTACTGTAGCAAGATACCAAACCCTATCAAACCATTCTCATTCTGTTGAAATGATTGGAAAATACCATATCACTTCCAAAATATATATTTTGGCAGCAGCTAATAAAACCCAAATAAATTTCCATGTTCTGATCTCACATCTTCATTAGGATATTCCAGAAAAATTATTAGCAGATTTATAAGTATGTGATATGCAATTATAATTATATAAATGCATCTAGTGGTCTTTCCTACCAAATTCCTAATTTTGTCTCATGTCCATCAGACATTAATATAACCCTCAACTGTTTCCCCACATTTCCAATATATTCCATTAATGTCTTTGGTTATATGTTTGGTGAATATTTGAATATAATTTGATGTGGTATCTTTTATAAAAAAAATATATTAAATTGAATATAATCTGGAGCTTTGGGCAGTGATGTTATTGACATAACACCAAGCTGTATATGTTGTTAACTAAATGAACGGGTACTACTATTTTGGTTTTAGTTAACATTGACACATTTTGGTGGAGTGGATGGTTAAACAAACTAGATTTGAATTTAGGCAAGTTGAAGATAGTTCTGGTAGATAGTTCTGGACTGGTAGCAGCCCTGCCTCTATTAGACAGAAGTGACAGTCACTGCATCAAACTAGTTAGGTGTCTAGAAGTACCGTACCCTTAAACCCTGTCTTATTTTTTGACAGGCAGGTTTGGGGGTTTCCAGGAGCACCTTTAATCAACTACATCTATTGTGTAGCTGTGTAGCTTTCTGGAGAGGAAGGCTCTAGCTATGCTTTTTGATATTTTGTAACCAGTACTGTAGTATGGATCTTCCAGAAATTTTTGAATTAGATACCTTTCTGGGAAACTTTCTTACGCTATTAGGCTAATTTACACTGTAGATAATTCAGTTTGTGTTGGAAACTTTTATTACACTCCCAATTTAGCATGTTCATTTTTCTAATATTTTGTAAACAAAGCAAAAAAACTTGGGCATTGGCAAGCTTGCCTGTGTTTGCAGTTGGCATCCAACTCACAAAATGGGGGGGGGGGGGAATTCCACAGCAAAATAAATCACTGGTAAATTTTCCATTCCACATCTTGGTTTGTAACTGCCGGGTTTGACTACTTTTTGTAAGGAAGACTGCAAAGTGCAGTTAATACAAAATGGCATCAGATTATATCTTATGCTAACTCTCTCAGTGTTGGTGGCATGGCTTGGCAAGGAAGGATGCTATGCCACACTCCCCTCTTCTCCAACCTTCACCTGGGTTGCTCCAAAAGAACACTTTGCCTTCATGGGGCCCCGTTCCCCCCTTGTGCATAGACTATTAACCTGCACAGCATACAAATTTGAATAGATTCTGCTCCTAGTTCTTACCTAAATGTCAGGAAGAGTGTAGCTCTCCCTGGGTGTATATGCCCATTATCTCTCTCTCTCCAGTGTTGCTTTCAAAGCCTGCGTGTGCAGGGAAAGGCAGCAGGCTGTCGGCTCCTGGTGCCAATTTTTTCTGAGATCAGAGTCTGCTGCTGCTGAGTGAAGGGTCCGGAATTGGCAGTGCCTGGGGCTTAAAGCTGTCGCTTGGAGCAGGCTGCACACCTATGAGCAGATAGGCTTCTGCTCACTGGGATGTGAATATGACCCTGATGAGCTCTGAGCCATTGAATAGTCTTCAGTTTCCTGACCCACTTTCTTCTGCTTCCCCATACATGGTTAATTCTACCAGACTTGTTTTTGGTGTGGTGTATTATATCTACAATGTCTACTGATAGGGACTTCACACCCTCTGTTGAACTGCCTTGTTGTCTAACACTTTCTAATGTCAACGCTATTTTTTAAAAATAGATCAAAGGGTCACCCTACTTGCATTCTCTCTTAAGTTATTCTCCATGGGAGCCAATCTATCCTTTCTTCCCCAGTTCTGTGGCTCATTTGTTCTCTATCCTGCCCCAAGATGCTCTGTTTCTGCAGCCTTGCTCTTTCTTTCTCAGCTCCTTCCCACCTCTGTGTCTGTGTCTTTTTTCACATTGTCAGGCTCACAGGAGGATAGTTCTGCCTGGACCTTGCAAGTGGAACATTTGCATCCTGTGACTGTCCCATCATATTCTATTCATATATCCCGAAATACAGTTCCCATCATCATGTCATTGACTCATCTTCTTCCACTCTGCTTCCCAGTCTGAGGTTGTGGGGTGATTTTCCCTTCCTGTCTGCAGTATGTGATACTGCTAACTTTTTCACAGCTGGTTTTCTTCCCCATGCATGTTCTTCATCCAGCCCTTTAAAAGGAGAAAATGGTTTTTGGATGAAAAAAGGCCCCTAGAGCCAAGATTGCTGTGGATGTGAAGGTACAGCATTCTTGCTTATCTAAGAATGAAAGCTGCTGGGGATCCTTTTGGTATTGTTAATAATAATAATAACATTTATCAGTCACTTTATGCAATAAAAAGTCTCAAAGCAATTTGACAAATTAAATTACAACACCATTTAAAGCCAGAAAAGTTTAAAACACCGAGAATATATAGTACATAAAATGCACATTCATCAACAAATTAATAAGGACCAAGTCCTACCCACCCCACTAAAAGATGGGCACCACCGTAGGAGGCAACATTAATTAACCAAAGGTCTTGGCTTGCTGCACCTAAAAATTGAGAAAGATGGTGACAGGCGCATCTCCCTAAAAAGAGCATTCCACAGGTGAGGCGGTTGGGAACATCACAGAAAAGAATGACTGATTATAAAAAGACTTCATGAATAACTTTGCTTATTTGGGTTGGTCACGAGTAGTGTCACAGATGGATGTGCTTCAGACTGCAGCAGTTAGATAACATTTTTCATAGCAATGCCCATTAGGGCTACCACAAAGGGGTCGTGCCCTTCCAGTTAGCTGTGTGAACATGGGGATTTTATTTTTTATACATAAACATAATATTTCAATGAATATTAAACTAAGATTTTCATTTATACGTACAGAAAAAATGGGGCGGGGGCAGAAAAGCGTTTCCATTACTGCACACAGTAAAATCAGCAAATCTATAGACATAGATTCATTAAGCATTATATTAAATCACCCTGCTCCATATTTATTTTAGGAATTGCAGTACATCATTTCTCCTGAAAGCCGACATTTTGGCTAGATAAGATGATTGCCAGACTGTCACTGATCCTTCCCTGATGATATAGATTGTCCTTCCCATTGTTTGGCATAAATCAACTTTGCAGCAACCAATAAATTTGAAATCAGCTCATGCAATCTTTCGCATATTCTTCTGTTACATAATTCAAAAGAGGGAGGATCAAATGGCAGCTACATTTCATTTTATCAGTCCCACTAGCATTTCCCAAATTCTCTAGTTCTTATACAATTCCACTACCTGCAGAGAAAATGTTTTTTCCCCTGATGCTAAAAAGGTACCCAGTATCTGGTTTACACATTTCTGTGGCATAAGATGCCACTGAATTGCCATGTTATAGCAGTTTCCCCTTAAATTCAAGCACAACGAAAACATTGACCTTTCTGTAAATAAAAATGTCTGCACTTCCACAGAATTTTTGTAAGTTTCTTTTTCAGTTTGTCATAAAAGAATTTGGCCATATGCACTAATGGAAGATGAAACAAGGGTGGTTGGTTTTTTTTTAACCGGAGTACATAGCCATTATCTCTCTGAACATTGCATTTTCTTTTTGTAGAGTCAAATTATGAATATAGGGATAAAAGGCCATATTCTCTGCCTCCAAGATACCTGTGACTTCTTTATAGGCGATCATAGGAGATCTTCGTTACATTTTTCCAGTAAACTGAAACTTTCTAAATATTGATAAAGATCTAAATCACTTGTTACCCAAGCCAATGTGTTGTATCAGGAGCTGTTGTTTAGATTTTGAGGATAGACATAGACAAAGATACATTAATGATAGGTGGAATGGTTACATCTCTTGAGTTTTTCTATAACTGCCAATTGTGCCATTAGGAAGCTTCCATCATAGCTACACAGAACATCCTGCCCATACATTGGTGGCTGTTATCTTGCCTTTGGCTGAGCCTGGCTTCTGCACGGGCCTGGCAGAAGTCGAAAGTGATTGTTTGAGGTCCAAGGTGTTGTATTCCTATGTGGGTCAGTGCTGCAGCACTCAGAAGATAAAGAGTGAGGTAGCCAGTATGGTACCCCAAATGCTATTTTTGCACTACTGACTGGAGATGATGAGAACTGGAGGTGCACAGCATCTAGAGGATGCTCACATTGGCTACCCTGGAACAGAGAGGGGCAAGACTTCCTGTTAGTGCTGAAAGGATTTTAAAAAGTGTGCTGGTAGGAAGCCTGTAGGATAAGAGTCCTTTTCTGTCTCTTATTTCTAGTATGTAGTGACCTTTTGGGTCTTGTTAAACAGAGCACAACAGAAAGGAATAAGTGATAATTTCCCCATGAAAGAGGTGATTTGGAAAGGGGCAATTTGTGGTGTAAGCTGTATGAAGACTATATAAACCCTTTCTGCTCTCCCTGTGGGGGGTTCAGCACTGGTGGCAAGGTGTGAGCATCACAGATTGGGCTTTGAGGAGACCAAGCCAAAAAGTGGAATCATTCTGTGTTTCTCTTGTTTTTCAGGAATCTGCTACACAATATTTGACCTTGGTTTCCGTTTCGATATAGCATGGTAAGATGGCACTTTTTCCTAGAGGCTGGGGTTGGAGTAGCATGGGGAACAGTGGCTTATTGGTGTTTTCAGCAATATATTGGGGAAGAGAGCATGAGGAAAAGCAGTAATTTGCCTTCGCGTTTTCTTTTCCATGCGCGTGAATTACAGAAAGCCCAACAGTGCTCTGCTCTGAGGAGTGGTAGGCAGGCAGATGTTTGCATGGTTGCTTCCACAGGCAGGCCGTGTCTCCCCCCCCTTCCCCCGTTGGTTGACAACAGTATTGATGGCAGTGTCCTATTTCACTAGTCGATGCTGCTAATTGCCTCATTTTGCCTGCAGGTCAGCTGGCTGCCTCTCCTCTTCGCCTGCTGTTGCAAGCCACTTGTCCCTGTGCTTAGCTAGGTTATAGGCCCTGTGCTGCTCAGATTCTGTTGGCACATCTGCGCACACATCTTGAACATTTTTGGGGCACTTTTTTCTGTGCTTCTGGACTATTGCTTGGGCCTGAAAACCCACTTCTCCATGCACCCACTAGTCTTAATGGTATAGGATTAGTGGTCTTGAGGAGTTGCCGTGACCCATATCCTGCTTCTGCTAGTTCAAGAGCTAACCAAAGAGTGCTGTATTGAACAGCATCTTAAGCAAGTCTCTAGCTCACCCTGCTTTCATGGACCTCCTTTCCTGTTGGCTAAACTAACCTAGGGTTGCTTGAGCTCAGCACAGCTTTTCTACAGTGTTGTTTTGTAGCCCAAACTATAACAAATAACACCTTTCCTAATGGGTTATGAAGTCTCCTAGTTACTGCTAAAGAGGCAAGGCCTTCTGGCTGCCACCCTGGGCAGCAGGCGTTAGTTCTCTTTTACCACTTACCAATTGTGCAGGATGGGTAGACTGACCTGACCAAGTTCTGTCCAGAAATGGGATGGATTGGTTTGAATAGGGCTGCTTCTCCCCTGCGGGTGCTATGACTTGATGCTATGATGGAGAAAGGAATAGAGTATTCATAAGGTAATTCCTCCTATCTACAGGTTCCTGACAGAGACCTCGCCATACTTGTGGTCCAACCTGGGCATTGGACTGGCCATCTCATTATCAGTGGTGGGTGCTGCCTGGTGAGTACTTCATCTCTCCCAGCCCCTAGCGATCTCTTAATGGACATCATTCCTCAACCAATACTGCTGAGCCCTACTTTGGGCTTCCATTTTGGGGGGTTAGTCCCAAGGCACAGTCTGAGGGCACATGATGCAGCCACTTCACCAAAGGTCTGTGTCTGGTTAGTGCCTGGAGGGAGATCCCCAAACTCTGTCTGGACCCTGGGATTGTCATCTGAGACCCTTTTCTGCCTGATGCATCAAAGGCAGACTCAAAGAGTGGTGATGAGAGAACAGGCCTTTTCTGCAGCTCCCCAACTATGGAGTGTGGCAGCAATTCTGTCATAGTTCAAGTACCAGACAGATACAGTTTTTCCCCCTGGGCATTTGGGAAGCACCAATGATTGGATATTCCCCTTACTCTGCCTGCATTTTTAATATGCTTATGTGTTTTCATTACTGTATTCTATTATTGTTGTAAATCACCCTGGGAATTTTGGGATTCAATAAACCTAACCTAACTTCATGTACACCACCTTGACTTCTATGATGGAAGAAAGTCAAGATATAAGTGTACTTAAATAAGTGTAGTGCTGGGCATTAATGAATAATAAAATGATTTTGGCAGGGTGCAATCTAAGCAAGCCGTCCCCCCCTCCCCTTTGCTGCCTATCAAGTACCACTCCTCTAACCGCTTCTGTAACTATTTTTTCAGGGGCATTTACATTACTGGATCCAGCATCCTTGGTGGCGGTGTCAAAGCACCTAGGATCAAAACCAAAAATCTGGTCAGGTGAGAGGACCCCCTTGTTCAGCATATATTCCACAGGTATAGGTACTGCAAAGTCCAAAAGCTCACTTGCCCATCCTTGATATGCCTTGTTTCCTGCTGCACAGATTTTAAAAAATTGTACATTCCTGAATTGGCTTCTGTGTACCGTAAAATCCTTGTGAGAGCTAGGCATTGAGTTTGATCCAGCACAGGTGTGGGGACCCTCAATGCTTGCAGGGCAAAAGATGGAACTGGGCACAGCAAAATACAAAGAAAAAGCAAATAAATAAAATCCCCTCTAGTTCAGTACATTACCTGTTCCTCACCCCTGGCTTAATGGGTGGGGTGTGAGAATAGGGGTGTGAGCACCTTGTGGAAGGATCTGCTTTGGGCCGGCTTTGCCTATGCTCAGAAACACTCTGCCTTAAGTGTCAAGCAAAGACTTTAAACAAATGAATCAGCTTTACTTTTGGGGGAACAAGGTGTGCTCTGAAACTTGCTGCTTCCTTGGTTGCCTGGTCCTTCTCAGGCTGCTGCCTCATCTGCAAGGTTACCACCTCATTCCTAGCTAGCCAGGGGAAGGAAGGAGGTGGTTGGGAAGCCAAGGAGGGTCCCAGTGGTAGATGTGCCATTGGAGGCCAGCCCATTCCTCCCTCTCTCGTTCCCTGGTCCCATGCCCACATTGTCACCCTTGAGATGTTGCAGCTGCTAATCTGTGTTTTCTCCTGGCAGCATCATCTTTTGTGAAGCTGTGGCCATCTATGGAATCATCATGGCCATCGTCATCACCAACATGGCTGAGGTAATGGGGGGGGCAGGGGCTGGCTTGTATGGGAGGGACACGGTTGTGTGCCAAGTCTCGCTCTTGGCCATGCTCCACGGTGTCTGATTTGAAGGGAGCTGAGCTGTTGCCAAACGGAGGAGGGCAAAGAAGGTAATCAGAGAGGTATTGATGGAGTCCAGGCAACTGTGGAGCCAAGTGCTATGCTGGGTAGAAGCCCAGTTGCAGGAGGCAATCCTGGCTCATGCCTCTGAGCAAAAGTTTTCTATCCTTGTAGGGGAGAACAAGCCCTGACTAATTGCTCTTGAAGCAGGGGCTGGTATCGACACAGGGACATAGCATTGACATAGAGAGAAATAGGAGTTATTTTCACCTGGGATAAATCCCACTACTGAGCCATAGATTGCCCAAGACCTTGGAGCAAGGTTAACCTGCATCTGGCAGATGTTTAGAGTTATGAGCTTATGAGGAATGAGGCACCTTGGTGGGCCGCAGTCCTCTCAGCTCCCTTTCCCCCTGCTGTAATTCTGAAAAGGATACGAGTTTATTTCAACTCAAGTCTGGATAGTTCCTATCTACAGTGACGTGCCTTAATGCCACATCTAATGTCTTTGTCAGAGACTTGCTTATTAAAATCCTTCCTTTCCTTGCAGCAATTTTCGGGCAGAACCCCTAAGGCGATTGGCGCCCAGAACTACCATGCAGGTAGGCTGGGTTTGTGGGGACTGGGGATAGGCAGGCATAATGGTTCTTGCCCTTGCGATATCATCAGGTGCCCCTTGTTACGTAGGAAACCTAGGAGGCTGTCTTATAGCAAGTCAGCCCATTGGTCCATCAAGGCCAGTGTTCTCGACACTGACTGGCAGCAGTTTCTCAGGGGCTGCCAGCCCTACTTAGATGCACCAAAGATTGAACCTGGAACCTGCTCTATCTCTGAGCTGCAGCCCTTCCCTAGTTGAATTGTGTCTTGGCACAAGTTCACCTGCAGTAGGACAGCTTTTTTCCAATAGGCCACCGAACATTGTCTGACAAGCAGGGGGTATATGTATTATCTCCAGTTGATTTTCTGGCTTTGCAAAGCTCCCTACCGCCATGTTGCAGTATCTGATGTGCCAACTATATCTGTGCTGTCACCCTGGGGTGGTGGGTATATCATCTTTTGTCATCACAGAAGAGACCGACACATCTTGACATGTTTGCTGGCAGCAGCTGTCCTCTTGGATGGCTATAGTGGCAATGCTGTTCTTGTGGCATGCCACAGATGCAAGCCTGAGCGAGGTGTGAGCTGGGCCAAGATGCTGTCTTTGGCTGTATCCTGTCCCAAAGTCTTTAGAATTGTGACATCTAATACCACCCTGTGGCCTGGGAGGCTTTCTAGTGCTCCAGAAATAACTAAATAAATAGTATATAGCCATTGTTCTGCTTAGATAGTGTTACTGTCACCACTCTTTGCTTTGCTGCATTTCCCCTGAGTGAGTCAGGAACACCTTTAAACTTTGTAAATCTGAACCCAGTAGTCTGGTTCATGATTAAGGTGTGGCGAGGGAGGGTGACAGGGAGAGCTTTCTCCAATAAATAAGGAGCCCTTGCACCAGTTGCACTAAATTCCTAAGAACTGGTTTATTTTATTTGTGGATTAAAAGGTTTGCATATAGAAAGCAAGGGTTAATATACATAACATGCACCTTTTCTTCCTAAGGAAAAATCGGTTTTTTGTGTGAGTTTGGGAGGGAAATTGTTACAAGTTCTTGTTACCTTATTTCCATCTGCAGATAATGCATAACAAGGACAGGCTTAGAAGAAAACACAAGGGCCTTCATCCTAATGGTCTCTGAGGCCAGTCTTGTCAGGCCTGCAATGATCATCAACTGAAAATATAACTGGGTGCCGCCCATTCCTAATACTCTTTCCTCCCATAGGTTTCTCCATGTTTGGGGCAGGCTTGACTGTGGGCCTGTCCAATCTCTTCTGTGGTATATGTGTGGGCATTGTGGGCAGTGGTGCAGCATTGGCAGATGCCCAAAATGCCAGCCTCTTTGTCAAGATCCTCATCGTGGAAATCTTTGGCAGTGCCATCGGACTCTTTGGAGTCATCGTGGCTATCCTGCAGGTGAGTCTCTCCGGCCTTGCTATCCCCAGACAGTCTTGCCCATTCCCACCTCCCAAGCAGAGGTAGAAGGAAGAATTTAGAGAGGATGAAGGTTTGGAAATGCCAGTAGTCATGCCTAGACTGCTCTTTGCAGATTAGCGAAACAAAAAAGAATTTCAAAAACTAATTTGTTCCTTCAAAGGGGCTCTCATCTACTCTTAAGTTGCGCCCAATATTTACTGGTTCGGTAGGTTAGGTAGTTATCTCGTGGTGCTGGTGTTGCTTTAAGGAATCCCCAAGCCATCCCTGCTTCAGGGCAAGGAAGAGGCAAGGCCTTTAATGGGTGTGTGTGGCTCAACCTTCAGCCTTCTTCAATGACAAGAAGCTTCCCTGTCCATAAGATCTACTATGGCTTTGTCTCTTCAGCCTGCGTCTCCACAACTATTGCCCCTCACTTTTGGCTGCTGCTCTGTGCACCTGTCCTGAACAGCCATATTTCCTCATGATCATGTACAGGTGGATGCATTTGCAGTGTTAAAAAGCTGCTACATGCGACAAATATGATAGCATGCCCAGTTTGCATTTCACAGTCTGTAATCGGTAGTTAATGGTTTACTGTGAAGGCACAGAAGGCTCCCAATTTGCTCCTCCCTTCTAGTCAGCAGGAGCAACAAATCACCATTCCTGGCCTGGGGGTTGCTGTTTGTTTCACTCCAAACACTCTTAAGCCAAAAACAAATCCTGGCATTATTCTTGGCAATAGTGGGGGTACGTAGGGGAGCTTAATTCATGGCGCCTGTGTTTTCTTACCTTCTCTCCTTTTTGTCTTTTGCAGGTGTCTAAAGTGAAAATGGGCGACTAAGCCCTTTGCCACCAGCCTGTCTGCCAGCTGCAGACTCTGTACATATTTATTTAATGTCTTCTGTTGGCTTGGGATGGAGCTTGGTGTATAAATTTATTCCCGTGATCTTTCCCTGCGAGGCCGTGGAAGAACCTGACCAATTGATGTGTGTGTGAGAAAGAATCTGTCCTCCTTTCCTTCCATCCTTTCCTGCTCCACTTCCCCTGAAAGAAGGGGCTGGATGAACCTAGGAGAAGGAGCCTAGAGTCTTCCAGCCCTTGCACTCTTTGTGGCAACCACTGCCAACAGCAATGCCATGTTCTGTGAAATAAACTTATCCGTGTCCCAGGTAGTTTCCCTTCCTTGTGCGCCCCGTGCTGCTGTGCCCCTCCTGCTGCCCCGGCTCCTGCTGCCTCTCACAGTCCACATTTTCTGGAACAGCCAGTGGTACTGGCTGAAGATTTGGCTCTGCAGGCTATGGGAGGTGCCCTCCTAGGCACATCTGTTCCATACTGAAGGGGTGCATAGGAGCTAAAAGTTGTGATTTTTTGAGTTCCCTGAAACTTCACAAATGATTGGTTAATTAAAATTAATTATGGGAAATGTCTTGTACTGTGATTAATAGTTGCTGTTTCTCTGTGGTGTGCCTGCTGTTCATCAAACTGCTCAATGCAGGGGTGGGCAAACTTCAGGCTTATCTGATTGTCTTTGTTTCTTTAACTGGAATCCAAAATCTACTAACCAGGGGCAAAATATAGATTATTTTTTTTAGAAGGGGTTCCTCTGAGCCCAAGTCTTCTCCTGCGTAACTTTCATCATTTCAGCGGCCAAATTTAGATGGGAAAGGTCATTTTGTTATTTCCTTTAGACAACTGATAGTTGAAAAGCCCTGCTGATTGATTGCAAATCACTCAGAGGTTTGATAGAGCCTGTGAGGTAGGTGCAAAGGCTGTAACTGGCCCAAGGTCACCCAGTGAGCTTCATGACTTGAGTGGGGATTTGAACCCTGAAGTTTTAAAGTGTTGTAAACTTTAAGGGTTTTTTTTCCTTTATAATGTGGTATAGAAATGAAATTAATCATCATCAACATCATCATCCCTGAGAAAGAAAATGAGACCTGGACATTCCATTGTGGCAGCCACAACCTAGGTTTAAATTACCATTTAGCGATTAGCTTATATATCTGAGTTTCTACACTGGACCCCCATGGATTGGAGGTTCCCTCTCCCAGGGTAAAGAGTATTCCTGCTACCTCTTCCCAGGGGTGGGTAGTTTTGCAGTCCTAGGACCATGAAGCGTATTAATTTACAAAACTGTATTTATATCCTATCTTGGGAGTTGCCAAAGGCAGCTTTAAGTTAAAGCAAAACTTAGCTGAAAATTAGAAGCCAGAGAGTCACATTGCAGAAGGGGAAACACTTCTTATGGTAGGATGAATCTAAGGATCTTATAGCTTAAGCCCTGAGCAGCAGGATTTGCCATCTGTAATCCAATCCCATGCCAGCCTTACCTGGTAACTGTAAGGGTGGGAGGAAAGAGCTGGATTCCAGGCAGCAAAATTTGTTATTTTCCCTGCAAAGTTTAGATAGTCAAATGGGGGGGGGGTGTTATTGTGATATATTCTTATTTTAAGGAATATATAAAAAAAGAAAACTGATTCTGTTTGTTATTTCATTATTTACAGCAAGTCTTCACTGTTCTGATTGGCTCAGTGCTTTTGGAGAGCAACAGAGCTGTGCTTATTTTTCTACAGGAACTTAAAAAATTATGTGGCAGGGTGTTTAGTGTCACCTTTTGGGTTCCTTGCTGGGACAGAGCCCCACCCCGGGAGATTTCCTGAAACACTTTTGACAACTGTATATTTAGCCTCTTTTCCACGTTTCCCACTACTCTGAGTAAAAACACTTGAATTTACATGTGTGAGCCATTCTGCTGTTTGTTCTGAAGGCAAAGATGTTCCTTTGGGACACTCGGCACTTCTCAATGACATAACTGGTGTTCATCTAAATAAAGCTTTTAAGAACATTGCTAGTGGGGCAAGATCTGACCCATATAAGCTAGAGCAGGGCTACCAGATGGGGTTGCATGTTCCCTTGCTCTCCATAATTTGATTGTCAAACTGTAGCTTTATCAGCATGTGGTTATAAAAGTCATCAAAGGATAGAGAACATCATCTTTATGTTGATGATACCCTGATGCTCTCTCATAGGCTGACTGAAATGGATTCATTTAGTGTTTAAAAAATGATGTAGGTCAGGTGGTGGAAGAAGCCCTCCAGTAAATGGCTCTGTCAAGGACGTTTCCTTCAGTTCAGATCTGTACATGTTTTGATAGCTAGATGTGATGGCTTGTGTAAATTTAGAGGACATAGAGCCTCAAATTTCAGTTCAGCTTGATAACTGACAAGCCTAACATCTTGCTGTGGGGCAAAACGGATTTCAAAAGACAAACATTGTTTTGTCTAGTGCCACCTACATTCTTTCCTGGTGATGTATTTACAAAATCTTTCCTATTTAAAACATATAGGACTATAACAATATGTCCAGAATAGCCTTAACACAAACTGGAGTTGCTATAGGTGGGGATGAGGGACTTATTTTCCTAACCTTTAAGCTGCGCTACAAGACTTACCTGCTTTTGAATGCAGCCCGGTGGTCCCTACACAACATTTCTTAAGCACTGAGATATGTATAACAAGTCTCTTCAAGGTCTGCATCTCAGTTACTTGTGATGGCTTCGTTTGCCTGCAGTTCATACTCTTAATGTTCTTCTCATTGTGATTGCAGCTCAGGGGGGGCTTTTCTTTACATAGATAATAACTCAAAATTTGACCTGTACACGTAACCTCAGGTCCTTGATTTTGCATACCCCACTTCTGTGTATTTAAATACAGTCATTGGGTGCGCAGTCAGTATCACAAGATGAATCTTGATCCAAACAAAACACCTACATTCTGATTGTCATATGTGAAATCATAGTAACTGTCACTGTTCCAAGAAATGGGCTAGTTTGGCTTTATTCTCATTGGAAATATGCTGGAGAAGTTGTGAGGGTTCCTTCAGATCAGGACAGATTGCTGTTCTGTGGCATGAGTAGGGCCTGCTACACTGTAGCTCCACATTTCCCCCCTCAAAACATGTTGTGGTTACTGCCTTGAGGTGGCTTATCTTGCAGAGGCATAACCCTGGCAAGCCCATTGCTTTTTAGGAACCTTACACTGGCCTTGCGTGTTTCTGTGCTGCAGATAATTCTCTCTATTTAACAAATGTGTGTCCTGCCCTGTCTGCTATGTGCCAGGCTGATGGTAATAAAAGCAGCTTAAAAGAAGAACAGATTCCGACTAGTGAGCAATGGAAGTGGCAGCACAATCAAATGCTTGAAAATAAAAACAGCAGCAAACTACAAAACACTTCAACTGGTATTTAAAAGGCTAGGAAAATAAAAGTCTAGGAAATTAAAAGGCTATGTGCGTCACATCAAAAAGGCATTGTAGTTGGCACTAGGTGTGCTTTCTTGGGAAAGCATTCCAGTGATGTGCTAAAATGGTGAAGGCCCTTTCTGTAGTCCCCACCTGCCACCTGCTGTGTTTTTTCCTACACTGAAATGGTGTTGCTTCCTAGCACTATGTTAGGAGCTGTTGTCCTCAGGAATCTTGCCACACCATTTTTCTGAGGGTGTTTCTTTCCTTAGTGCCATGAGGTCCTGTGTCTCATGTGGATGACCTCTGAGGCGGTGCAGACTGGGCCTGAGCCTACACAAGGAGTGAAAGTGAAGTCCTCCATTTTTCCTCTCTAGGAGGCTTAAGTACAATCACAGTGCTTTTGCTGGCTTAGTGTTGGCTCCCTGGGTGATTCTGCCACATCCCTGCAAATCTGCTGTAAGATGCAGAAAATCCACTCACTTTGGATGTTTGTAGAGTGCCCGGCATAAGGAGCCAAGCTGGCTCATCAGACTAATGAGCTGGCAGGGATCCTTGTAGCATCGTGGGTGGGTGTTGTGGGGAGAGTCTTCCAGGATATTTGTATCCTGCCTCCCACTTAATGAGCATGCAAGTTGCTGGGTGTGGTAGGAAGGTAAAGATTACCAGATCGAGGCTCTAGGCTGGCATGCAAAGCTGTAAAGAAGAGCTGGGGAGCTTGACAGCTCTCACACAGAGAGAGAATAATAAACACATGAGCCCCGCAATATTGCACTGGGACTGAAGGAGCTCAGATGTGCTTGGGCAAGAATGTTGGCATGGCTTGCAGAGTGCCTGGAAGCACTGAACTCATTAGGTTACGTTACATGATAGTTGGAGGGGAAGGCTGGGTGGAGCTGGGTGGCTGAGAGGGAAGAAAAACAAAAGAAGCTCTTTGTTCAGAACTTACAGGGTTCTCCAAATTCTAGACAATACTTCCTGATGATTCTTGAGGGTATGAGGGTGTGGAGATTTTGGAGGCTAGTGTTAATGGCACTGTCTTGGCAACAGCAGCATAGTCCTATTGGCAGAGGTTATAGTTCCCTGGAGGAAAACGTGTTTTGCATGCAGAATGCCCCAGGTTCAATAATTAGCATTTCCAACTGAAAAGATACCAAGTGGAGAAAAAGAAGAACCTTGGACTGCCACTGCTAAGATAGGCAGTGCTGTCTATTGTGAGTTCTTCCCAAGGCCTACCTGTGTAGTTGCAAGAACAGCCATTCTGAAGTGTAACATACAAACAAGTGGCATTTATTTGCTTGTCTCAGCTCAAAAATGTTCAGAGAGGGTTCCATCAGCCCTGCCATAGTTTACCCAAGTTAAAGTTCAATCCTATTTATTAAAGAAAATGATACAGAGATGAAATAAAAAGAAAGATGCATTTGTATTAAATATATGTAACTATGACAAGTTCATCGTTCAAATTTCCTGGGCCTCTCACCACTGTTAACATGTAGCATGTCTGCCAAACCATATTCTCATTTAATGAGCTCCTTCTCTCCTAGAATGTCCTTTATGAAGAAGACTCGGTTCATTTCACAGTTACCTGGAAATGTATCCCAAAAGCATTCTATAGTACAGCTGGAAAGAGAAACTTTGGGAGGAAGGAGTCACAAATTGAACTGAACTGGCGGGGGGGGGGGGGCGGCATACAGACAGACCAAGACAGAGAATGTTTGAATGGTCCATGCCAGGTAGGAAGGTGACAGTGCACTAGCAGACACAGGTTGGATAACAGTCTCCTAAACATATGGACATTTTGGGAAACCCTAAGCAAGTTAATACCTTGCTATAGCCGATGAGTTACATTTTATGTACGCTTTATTTTTATTTATTTTGCATATTTTGATTACTGATGTAGTGCTGGAAATGAAGAGCCCAAATCTCTGGTGTTAGGCACATCTGTACCCTACCAAATTCCATGGGTCTGATTATGCACCCCCTTATCCAAGTGATAGCCCAAAGTTCTTATTAATACAGAGCTTGCTTCAGGGAGAGGCAACTGCCACTTGCTGGGCTCTGTTCTACTCCAGCATGCTAGAAGTGTGACTTCTGTGTGCCGCTTCTGTGGGCAGCATTGGCATCACCCTATCATACCTTCGGCAGCATGAATTTCCCTTGCATCTCCATTTCCAAGTTGCCTAACCAAGCACCAACATGGTGACAGCCACATTTTACATTTCTGGCTATATAACCCTGCTGAGAGGCGGGTCCTGTGAAGCCACATTTAGTGGAAACATTCAGTTAACACTGTCCTGGGGCCTCAGCAGATGTGCTTATAAATTTGCCACCTGACCATTTATATGCCAAATTCAGAGAAGAGTGGAGAGGCATCAGGAAATGGAAGGATCTTCCCCTTTGCTTTTGCAGAACCCTAGACTTGAAAGGAATCTTAAAAGTGAGTTTGTTTTTTTAATTCTAGAGAGCTGCAGATTGGAAGGAGGCCCAAACTTCCTTGTTTGTTGCATTTCACCAGTTGGGCTCAGGCTCCCTGATGGTTTTGGTTACCCTAAGTAACACCATATTCTAGCTTAAAACATGGCGGGCAGGACTAGTAAGTGGCCTATGATGAACCACAGTGCCACAGAAAATGGGTCAGGGTGGCGAGCTCTGTGGAAGGGACAGATGGGCCACCACCCTATCTTGCATGTCAAAAACTCACAACCACAGAAAACATTAATTTTGGAATACCAACTAAATGCTCCTCCTTTTTTTGATGTGGCAACCCAACTCCTCCTGTTTGGTGTACCTTTGTAAGAGTGGGGCCTACATTTCTGCGTGCCTGGACCCTGCGTACCTGGGAGCCCTGTTGCTAAGTTCAAAAGTGAGAAAAAGGAGTGGGCTATTTAGAACGGAGGGAGATGCATTCTGTATGCAGTCAAACCCGTTCCCTTGTTGCATCTCCACATGCTCCAGAGCCCACGACTGAAAACGTGTGTGTCCCATGGAGCTGAGCCCACAACGTTTAATATATGCGATTCTATTTATTTTATTTGCAATATGGTGTGTACAGTTGACATTATGGGAAAATATCATGGCGACGAACAGCATAAAATCAACAATAACATGAGATTCACAAAACAAGTACGAAATACATCACAGATCGGCAGAGGAGGTCAATACATCGCCGGTTCACCTCTCAGGTGAGCATCATCACCACTGGGTGATGAGATTCATGCCTTGGCTGGAGTGCGTGTGTGATGAATGGGTACTCCCCACCCCACCCCCTAGGATCTTCTCCTCTGATCGGGACTGAGAGCCGGCGAGGAACCTGTGATCTCCACCAATCCCGAAGACGCTCTCTCCGCGTTCCCTAATCTCCCACGTGACTTCTTGGAGAGCAGCCCCCCGTCCTGTTGCACTAAACGGGGCTGACGAGGGCGGCGGCGGCGGCGGAGACGGCGGCCCGGGGAGCGGGCTGGCTGGGAATGGCTGGCCGGAGCTGGCAGGGGCGGCGCTGAGCGCGCAGGAGGCGGAGCTGCCGGCGCGCCCAAGCAGGCCTGATCCGCTCCCCGGTGTGGGCGCCGCTCATCGTCCTGCCTGGGCTCCGCTGTGCTGCCCGGGATGGGGCGCAGGAGCCGCTCTTGCAGCTGGCCGGGCAGCCGCCCGCTCTGAGGCCGGGCCGGGCTGGGCTGGGGCCGGGGGAGCCGCCGCGCCGTCCCCTGAGCCGCCCGGCCCGGGCGCCGAGAGACAGCGGCACCACGAGCGCACGGCGCGGCCGGGAACGGGCAGGCGGTGAGCTGGAGCGAGCGGGGCCGAGCCGGGGAGGGAGTCCGCTGCTCGGGCGCGGGGAGCCCAGAGGGGCTGCACCCATCGCGGGCGGGCGGGCGGGTGGGCGAAGAGAGAGACCCTGCCTTTGCGGCCGCCAGCCTCCTTTTGTTGTGGAGAAGGGGCTGGGTGTGTTCCCAGCAGGTCTTCCTCACACGGCTCCTCTCGGCGCCTCCATCACCTGCACCCACCTCCGGGGTTCAGGGGCGCATCCCCAGGCGGGGCGCTTCCTCCGGCACCTCAGCCATGTTTCGTCTGATCACCCACTCCTGGGCAAACTGGGCATTGTGTGGACCGATGGGCTTGGGCATAGGTGTGTCGAGAGGCGCGGATGGATGCTCTCGCGTGTACCAGTTCTCGGTGGTGTGCAGCGTAGATGCGTGTCTCTAGATAACAGTTGTGCACGGATGTCTGTTTACAAGCAGGTACGTGGGCGAGAGTAAAGGTGTGCCTCTGGCTGTCTGTCTGCGCGTATCTCTAGGATGCTGGCACTTGAGCCCCTCCCCCAGCCAGCCTCGCTCCCCCTCCCCCAAGATGGCTCCTGCACAATCCCCAAGGCGCTTCTTCGAGCAGAGAAAGGCTGGGGCTGTGTCTGGGCCGCCTGGGAATTGGGGAGGGGGGGCGCTCTGGCACCTGCTGCACAAGCTTGTTCTCAGCCCCTCCGCCTCTGGGCCGGATCACTTTTGAGGTTCTTCTACCCGTTTGAGGTTCCTGACAAGACGGGGGATTTCCTGTTCCAGGCAGGGGGATCCGTGGAGAAACAATGTAGCCTTTCTCTTAGGAAAAGGGAAGGGGCAGCTGCTTTTAGGAACGAGGGGCCTCACAGCCAAGGCAGCCCAGGCGGAAAATAATGGAGCTTGTATATGTTTACCAGGCTGTGTGCTCTGTGTGGAACAGAATGGCCTTGTTGCTGTCTTTTGGATCAGTTTTGCAAAAAAAGAAGAAGAGAGGAATAAACACACACACAACAGCAACCCTTGGCTGGCATCCACTTACCTTTCCCAGAGCTTCCCCATGGGCTTCTCTTCAGCCAACTGGTTTTGTTGCCCCTTGGGAGCCCATATGGGACTAGGGGCTAGCACTATATATAGCCTAGAAATGTGTGTGCCTGGGAAGCAGGGGGCTCTGTGCTGCCTGTGCCTTCCTGCAGGCACCATTTACGAATGTTTCACTTTCCTGTTTTCATAGATAGGTAACTTTCCAAAACAGGTAACTGTTAGGGATGCTTATGCTAAGTCAGGTCAGCAAGGAACATTATTGACCCGAGACTATGTTTTCTGACTCCAGTTAAAACCTGGATATTTTTTAATGCCCACAAATTGTATAAACATTGGTGTCTGCTCTCTGGTGATCATCAGGCAGAAGACAAGACTGAATTTCCAGATAAATTATTCACAGCCAAGGAGCAGCCCAGCTGCAGTCTGGCTCCATTAGTGGATTGTTAACATTGCAAAAGCCCATCTCTCCAGCTTTGCTAACTTGTATTTTGCACAGCTTGCCTGCACTCTGTTTGTACAATGGGATATCCAGCTACATACTTAATCGAGGGGAAAGGAATGGAGAGACTCCTGTGAGGGAAAACACAGGCAGACCTGGGATGCCATCTCATTTAAGAGGCTGCTGTAGATAATATCCTAGGAATAAGATGGTGGCTAATGGGCTCCTGCAATGTGTACTAGCTTCACAAATAGTCTTTCTTGCCCCAGAGATGAGCTGTCTCTGACACACGGGCCAAGTTGCCACTTAAGCAGTTTCTGACTTCTGCCTCTGTTTCTCATCCTCTTGTGTGAGAGAAGGCCAGGGGTTTTCTTGAATGCAGTGGATGTAGGTTGGCAAAGGAAGTATCTGAGGATGAACTCGGGGACCAGCAAAGCTCCTGGGAGGAGATAATTATATTCCTTTGGCACCCACTCCACTAGCCAGAGTGCAGCAAAGCCATAATTTTGAAGGAATTACATGATGGACTACAACTTTACCAGGCCCAGCTAGCATGTGCCATCTAGGGCTGTTTGGGAGTTATAGTTCAAAACTTTGGAGGGTGCTATGTTGACAAGGGCTGCTTTAGGACAAGAGACATCTGGTTGACAGGTAAAACATAGTGGTTCTAGGATGCCAATGTGTATCCACATATTCTGTTTTGAGATATTTTGTTCCTTAAGAGGAGCCATCTTATTGTGAACAAGGATGTGTCTGGACTGGTTTTCTTAATCTTCAGGTTCCCAGTGGCAGACTTTGGATCCCCAAATTTCAGTGGCACCCTGTGTGATGCTAAACTTTGGTGCCCCCCTCTCATGCCCCATTCTACATCACTGTTGTGGTGCCCCCCTGTGGTGCCAGTGCCTAGTGCGGCCAAACTGGCTGCGCTACCTTAAAACTACCTCTGAGGTTCCCCACACCCTTCCATTTAAGCAAGGCCTTGTTATCTTCACCACGAATAGAGCAAACTCTGGTGAGGTTATTCATCCAGCAGACTCAGCAAGGCACTGGGATGCTGCCCTGGCACACGTTCTGAGAAATGGCTACTTTTGAGATTCCAGCTCTGCAATGTGGTTGGAGTAGAGCAAGTGCACCCGGCCCATTGCGAACCGTTAGGAAGCTACATGGCCCTGAGACCAGTGTGATGTGCTCTGCAGCCCGCTTCTGCTTGGAGCATGACCCATATACAGCAGTGGTGCTCGTGTCAGTTGGTTTGGCAAGGAAGCTGCAAATTTGTACGGGGCTTCATTCATTCCCTGAACCATCAGAATGCCCCTGGCTATGTTGTCTTCTGCTCTTGAGCTCTCCTTAGTGTATGCTTTGTTGGGTGTGCCGTAGTGGCAGGTGAGATGTGTGAATCTCTGGAATGGGAATTGTTGCTTCAGCTCAGATGTTTATATTGTTCCTCTCATTGCACTTTCCTCACTGTGTCCTGGAGCAAGTAAGTAGGGTGTTTGGGACATGCAATGTTAAAATTAAATGAGAGTGCCTTATAAATCCTTTTTCCACTCTGCTGCATTCACAATAAACATACTTAGGGGCATTACTAGGACCTTAAAATACTCAGGGCACATGCCCATGATATATATTTGCATATGTTAATTTCCGTTCATGTGTAGGTGTAAATTTAGGCTCCCTTTCAAAGGGAAAGCTAGCCTGCAAGCAAAATGGTTTTGGGAAAAAAAAAGAGGGGGGGGCAAGAGATCTAGGACCTAGTGCAAAAGATCCAGGACTCAAGACTTCTGTTCTATCCCCCATATAATGTCCCAGCATGTATTTCAGAAGTTGTGAAAAGCTGTGGTTTGTGTGCCAGGGTGAACACTGTCGTTTTAGTTCAACTCTTTTCAACCCCTAGCTCACAGCTGATATAAAAACTCCCTGCACATAGAAATGTGGGTGTTTGGGAGAAATCCATGCTTTCCCTGACATTTACATTACTTTGTGGGTGCATTTTTCCCCATGGGAAAGCATTCAACCTCGCTCCAAACCTTCAGGTCAGATGGTAGATCTTTAGGAAGAGTGTTACAATTTAATCTGTTGGTTGTGTGATCTAGACCTGGATGAAGTGAAGATTCCTATACGTTAGGGTTGCATCCAAAGCAGCATCAACAGAGTCCTGCTGGCAACAGTGGCACTTCTGTTTCTTCTCCTACCCCTGGTGTTCCCCCAAAATCTTCTCCAGAGGGTTCCCCAATCCTCCAGAGCTGATTTTGAGAGTGTATGTGGAGCTGAATGGGAGAGGAGGTTCCATTCCATTAGCACAAGGTCTTTTGTACCAGTGGAACAGGAGCGTTGGACACTGCCCACAGTCATTGTGAATTTGGAGGCAGAAGGAAGTAGTGATGATCAACTGATTGTTGTAAAATGAATACAGGAGTGTTTTCTTGTGCATACATATTTTGGAAAGAGTGACTACTCCCACACCCACCACCAAAAATTTATTCTGACAGCTCAATTAAAAGAGCATGAGACTCATAATCTCAGGGTCATGGTCAAGGGTTCAAGCCCCATGTTGGGTGAAAGATTCCATTGCAGGTGGTTGGACTAGAATAGATGATCCTCGTGGTCCCTTCCAACTCTACAATTCTATGATTCTGTTATTCACTGCCTCCCCATGTAAGGAGAGAGTTATTGGCCAGTGTGGTGTAGTGGTTAAGAGCGGTAGTCTCATAATCTGGGGAACCGGGTTCGCATCTCCGCTCCTCCACTTGCAGCTGCTGGGTGACCTTGGGCCAGTCACACTTCTTTGAAGTCTCTCAGCCCCACTCACCTCACAGAGTGTTTGTTGTGGGGGGAGGAAGGGAAAGGAGAATGTTAGCCGCTTTGAGACTCCTTAAAGGGAGTGAAAGGCGGGATATCAAATCCAAACTCCTCTTCTTCTTCTTCTTCTTCTTCTTCTTCTTCTTCTTCTTCTTCTTCCCTTTTTGTGAGGGTCATAGAACTCTATAGTGCAGTAGTAAGGCACAAAGTCTGCTGTTTCAGTCACAAAGGATGAAAGAGATTTTATGGGATTAAGGTATGTGGGTGAATGTACTGAATATGCAGCTGTCTGACGTGCTAAATGCTTTGTGATTAGCCCAGCATTTGCCTGAATGAAACAGCTTATTATAACTTTCCTCTGTATTAAGCTGAGAGCCAGATGCTTTGTCCTGGTGCCTGAAGTAGTTACTTGAAAACTCCTATTTCCTTCCATCAATGGCAGTGAGTGCAGTGAAATGTTTGACTTTGGCATAAGGTAAGACTCCAAATAAATAAATCTATTGTTATAGAGACTTTATTCTTCTTCTAACACAGGGATGCAGAACCCCTGGCCCTCCAGATGTTTCTGAACTACCCATCAGCCCCAGCGCAGAAATGGACAGTGGACAGGGATGATGGGTGTTGTATTGCAGCAACATCAGGAGGGCCAAAAGTTCTCCACCCCTGTTCTAACAAAACCTACTTACACACAGTCCCATGTTCAGTACTTCCTAACATTTCAAACAGCTAGAATGAATTAAAGGAGCAGGTTTATTATTATTTTTAAGCTGATATTTCATGCACAGTAACTTGAGATGATGATGATCATAGAATCATAGAGTTGGAAGAGACCACAAGGGCCATCGAGTCCAACCCCCTGCCAAGCAGGAAACATGATGATTATATATTTATACCCTGCACTTTTCCCTCACAGGGATTGTGAAGGTCTAGGCGGGGAAACAAAAATATTTGGAGGGGATACCCAGTTCCACACCAAAAAGCCTTACCCTGCCCCCTAAAGTGAAAAAATAGGCTTATGAAACATTTTCTTTTGGAATGGTGGATAGAGTTTTACTCCCCAAAATGATTTCTAAAAACTTCATAATAGGAAGACTTTTATGTAAGACTTTGTACAGTACAAGATCCTTACAATATTATTCCTGTACACTTAGAATAAGCAGGTCATGAGTTGCACACTGAAAGCACAATTCTCAAATGCAAAAGCAAGTTGCATTGCTACCTCTGTGAGGCACTGCAATTGACATGTGAAAGATTCAGTTACTTTGCTTGTGGGCTTCCTCTTGTTGGCACAGTTGTTGGGTTTGTTTCTGTGCTCTTGCCTGGGCCTCAAAGGACTGTGGGTGTGAGTGGAGAAAGTAGAGGTTTTAGAAGTCTCTGATAAATATGATGACAGATATTAAGAAGCGGAAACTGATGGCAATAGCTCTGAAAATGAGACTGATTAAATTCCATGGAGTATCCATTGAGTCTTGGTCACCCTCTTTTCCCCTCTCAGTTCTTTTTATGGAATTGAGTGCTTTATGTCTGCTTGACACTGGAGGTCTGGAGGAGACAATAATATTCTTTGTCTTGCTATAATGTTGATGATTTATTCTCTCTGTATAGTGTTTTGCCTGCTCCTCATAAACTGGTAGAACCAAAGAGGTGCTAGGTTCCTTACAGCCTTCTTGACCATTTGGCCCACTATTGGTCTCTTCTGCTGAACATATTGGAGCCTGTCTTTGCATACAGGGAAAGTCCTTAACTTACTGAGGATTTGAGATCCATTGGCCACCCTTACCTGGTTTAGCCAGCCAGTTGAAGCCATTTCCTGGAGTGTGCCACTGTCACATTCTGACAGCCTATAGGAGCCACAGGCGAGAGCTGAGTGCAGGGTGGGAACCAAATGTGGACAAACTTTCCCAGAAAGAGCTTTACAAGTCCCCTGCCAGAGGTACTCCTCCTCCCCTAACACCCCTCAATCTGCATAGTGCATTAAAAAAGTATTGCAAATGTTTCAGGGTCCCCAGAAATGTCTGTTTTGAGGTAGTGGTGGGAAAAACCCTGGGTTTTTAAATCATGGCTTCAATATTTCCAGAAAATTTACTTCTCTAGTTAGACCTTAGACTCCTTGGGAATCCTGAGAGTGCCATCCTAACCATTCCTATTCAGAAGTAAAGGTACCCTTGACCATTAGGTCCAGTCGTGTACAACTCTGGGGTTGCAGCGCTCATCTCGCTCTATAGGCCGAGGGAGCCAGTGTTTGTCTGCAGACAGCTTCCAGGTCATGTGGCCAGCATGACTAAGCCGCTTCTGGCAAAACCAGAGCAGCGTAAGGAAAGTCGTTTACCTTCCTGCCGGAGCAGTACCTATTTATCTACTTGCACTTTGATGTGCTTTCAACAGCCTATAGGAGCTGGAACCGAACAACGGGAGCTCACCCCATTGTGGGGATTCAAACTGCCGACCTTCCGATTGGCAAGCCCTAGGGTCAGTGGTTTAGACCACAGCGCCTCACGCGTCCTTCTGTTCAGAAGTAAGTCCTATTAAACGCAGTGGGGCTTACTCAGATAATTGGGGCTAGGAGTGCAGCCCTGCTCTGCGTTCTGTTCTTTCTGCCTGCTTTCTGCTATTATCCTACAAATTCATTTTCACAGATGGGGGGGGGGGGAGATCCTGCTGATAAGGATAAGATCAGATACTCTTCACATGTGTGCAATTGTGCCTTAGATCCAGCTTGCCTTTTTTTATCCCCTCCACACACACAAAAGGGACTCCAGCATGGGATGGCAGGATTTCAAAGTGAAAGTGGAACAGCCCCTCTTAAATAAAGCTCCTGTTGAGAATTGTTCCCTTCCAAATGCTGTGGAACTGGTGCCTTTTTATGATAAGAGGTGTCATGATGGGTGATTGATCTGTGTTATCTGTCATGTCTGTGTGTGCAGGATGTAGGTCTTTGAGGGAGCAAAGGATAATTGAATACAGAAAAGGGGGCGTAGGGGGTGCTGGTCTGGTGTGGTAAAGGTCTAGTTCCAGAGCTGGTATCTGTGTTGCTGTTGGAGAGATAAGACAGGCCCTGGTCCCTGGAAAGGGATGCAGTGCCTAACTTGGATCATTCCCCTCTTGATTCCTGTGTCTGCCCTCCCCAAAGCTCAAGGGACATCTGCCCTTCTTTCATTTCTGATGTTAAGGGCAGGAGGATATCAGTGCTGGCAAGTGGAAAGCCCTCTCCTTCCTTCTTAATAACCCCTTGTTGAGTGCCAGCCCTTCATCTCTTTTGTTTTTGTTTCTTTGGCTGGGCTGCTTCTTGCCCATTTGCCAACATTTCTTTATAGGGGGAGATAGAATGTCAGGAGAGTTATTAGATTGAAAAAGCTCATCTACTTAGACTGGAATCAATGCCATAGTGTAAGCATGCATAGTCATTCTGCAGGTTGTGGGTGATGGTAGTGATAGGATGGCCACCCTTTCCCCATGAAACATGCCCAAAATTTGTGGGGAAGACAGAAGGGGTAGTACTTGCTTGCCTTTAACACACTGTGCTCTTATGAGAGTGTTTGGTGGGTGCTGCTGGTAGGGAAGGTGTATTTGCTGACCCCTCCATCTTTCCCAAACAGGCTTGGTGCCTGGGCCAGAGCCCCCTACACTGTGCCCCCCTGATGCTGGCTGGCCTGTGCCCAGAAGATGAGCAGATTGCTGGTGGGAGTGACCCTGGAGAGGATCTGCAAAGCTGTGCTGCTCTTATGTTTACTGCACTTCCTCATCATCATGATCCTCTACTTTGATGTCTACGCCCAGCGCCTGGACTTTTTCAGCCGCTTCAATATGCGCAACTCCTCCCGCACTCTGCCCTACGTCAACGTCTCTCGGCCTAACGGGACCGCCGGGCCTCTGGGCCCTGAGCTCCTGGCCCCGAGTGTGAAGTCCGTCAGTATGAACAGCACTGTCACCGAGAAGCCCTTACCACCTTGCCCAGAGATGCCTCCTGGCCTAGGTAAGATTACAGATGAGCTCTGTCTGCCTCATGCCGTGTCCTACAGAAGGCCCTTTAGTGGGGAAACTGTATTGCAGTTATTGGGTTTATTTGTGCCCTGCTTGCCACCTGCTGTTTTCCTGTCAATGCAAATATGTCAAGTGGCTTTGGCTCCTGATAATAGGAACTAGAAGATCTAGGAATCTGCAGAACAGGCATGGTATTGCAAATCATAGGCTCCAATAGCCTCTACCATTGGAGCCAATCCTGCAGTGGAAAAACAGTTGGGAATATGTGGACAGTATTTGTTGAAAGCTGGCAAACTGAATAGTGTTCTTAGTATATTTACAGTGATCAGATAGCGGATTTTTTATTTCCTTTTTTGCCATGGCAACTCCTTGTCTCTTTCCCAGCCCCACTGTACCTAGCTGGTGCCTTTCTGCAAGTGGGCTACAAGTAATTGGGGAAAGGGCTCAGCTTCTGCACAGACACGGCTTAGTAGGGGCTACAAGGGTTAGCTCCTTCTTATGCTGATCTCTGAATGAATGCATGAAGTAGACCAGCTTTCACTCACCTGATGCCCTCCAAATGTATTGGACTACAACATGGCTGCGGCTGATGAAACGTAGCACAAAAACATCTGGAAAGCACCTGGTTAGTGAAGACCAAAGTAGACCATCTCCTCACCCTAGGGGGCAAAACATTTAAGGCATAGAGAACTTAATACCCTTATTCCTGACAGGTGAATAAAGAGTTGAAGCATAAGCTTTGGTACAGTGGTACCTCTGGATGTGAACGGGATCCATTCCGGAGCCATGTTCGCATCCTGCAGTGAACGCAACCCGTGTCTACGCGTGCGCGTGTCATGATTCGCCACTTCTGCGCATGCGCGTGATGTCATTTTTGACTGTCTGCGCATGTGCGAGTGGCAAAACCGGGAATAATGGGCTCCGTTACTTCCGGGTCACCGCAGCGCGCAACCCGAAAATACTCATCCCGAAGCTACTTTAACTCAAGGTATGACTGTATTGATATTTAACTGGTGCTAAAACTTTTATTAAACAATGCAATCTGCAACAAGCAACAACCTTTCCTGTTAACTCTGAATCACTTAGCTGGGTATTCAAGTTAACTCTGCTTTGACTGTTTGCTGTCTCTATGCTTGATACATGTTTCGCTATTTAGGTTTCTTTGCTGATTTTTTTCTGGGCAGTGCCCCACCAACTTGGCTGGTGAAAGGGACATGAGCTGTTTGTGTAAGTCAAGAGGCTGTGGCTGATGCATAGATAATGGAGTCCTTTCTCCTGCAGTGGGCCGGCTCCTTATCGAGTTCAGCACTCCCATGAGCATGGAGCGGGTGCAACGGGAAAACCCAGATGTGCGGGAGGGCGGCAAGTATTCTCCCCCAGACTGTGTGCCTCGCCAGAAGGTGGCCATCCTCATTCCGTTCCGGCACCGGGAGCACCACCTCAAGTACTGGCTGCACTACCTGCACCCGATTCTACGGCGCCAGAAGGTGTCTTACGGCATCTATATAATTAACCAGGTGCGTAGAGAATGATAATGTGAAGCAGTGGTGCAGTTGGGTCATTGAGTATTCTGGACTGAATGGTCTCATGGGCATCTCCTTCAGATGGTAATGTGCATTACTTCAAAATATGGTGTTCCAGCCCTGCTGTGCTCCAAAGCAGAAGGAGTAGGGCCTGGATATCTGACCCAAAGTTCTGTCCTAATGGCACCACTGATGCGGAAGAGAGCAAGATGGTTGGGTTTAGAACATAGTGCCATCCGGTTCCCTTGAGAGGAACCTGATTAGGGAAAGCGGTATGTTAGTTTTCATGAATATATGCCTCTCTGTTCTGAGTGGAAGGCTTCCTGCTTTGTGGGGGAAGTTGAGTGTGGGCCTTACAATGCACCATGAACTTTGCACCTATGGTAAGTGTGGAATGTGACGTAGATGCTTCTCACTTGCTTCTTGTTTTAAAAAAAATCAGGCCTGTTCTCTGACATGACAGTAAATCTGCAATACAGTTGGTGGGACATTGCAAGATCTATAAAGGGAGATATAACAGTTCTAGAAAAAAATAGGAAAACAGTAGAATGTTATTCACAATGAAATGTAACAAGAGAGAGGTCAGCCAGATGCATCAGGTAAGAGTAAAAGGGTTGTGGCAGTTGATATGATCCTGTCCTTCATTATCTTTCCGTACAGTTTGGTGAAGACACCTTTAACCGAGCTAAGCTGTTGAATGTGGGCTTCCTAGAAGCCCTTCGAGATGATGAGAGCTATGACTGCTTCATCTTCAGCGATGTTGACCTGGTGCCCATGGATGACCGGAATCTCTATCGCTGTTATGACCAACCCCGGCACTTTGCTGTTGCCATGGATAAGTTTGGCTTCCGGTGAGTTTGTGCACTTTGATCTTTTTGGAAATGCCAGTGGCCCCTTGAAAATGTTCAGAGTATCAGAGGCAAAATTGAAGGAGGAATATATGACTTTATTGCACACATAACTTATGTACTCTCATTCTGTGTGGCTTGGACATTGTGGGGACTTGCAAGCTGTGAAATGTGTTTCTTATCTAGATTGCAGTACAGGAACCTCCCCCGTTCTTAAGACTACCATGTCACATTTCTTCATAATTTGCAGGGTTTTTGTACTTAAAAGTGGGGATATACAACGGCTTTGAATGAATCCCAAGCCAAAGCAGGGTGCTTTGCAGGGATTCTGGGATTGTCTGAGACAAAGTGGAACCTCTTCAAGGATCCAGAGACAAAGTGGGGATTTCCCAAAGTGCCTCATGGCACCGTGACAACTCTGACAATTGTCTGCTGAAAGCAAAACTAATGTAGCTAACCTTAGTGTATAAGGAAAACACAAGGGGTGTGGAATGGCTGAAGTAGAACAAATGCCATGGTAAGGGGGGGGGGGCGGGATTCTGCTGTGATGTGACTGACAGGTCAAGCTTGTAACCAGAGGGAATGAGTTCACCTGGAGTCTTCAACCCCAGTGCTTTGTGAGGAGGAAAGGAAATCCTTTTTAGTTCTGTCCCCTGCCTCCCAAGATTAACTTTAAAAGTCCCTAGTTCACAAAAGTTGAACCAATTTGTCTGCCATTGGCAGGTTTCATACCTAGGGAAACCTCTTTTGTGTCTGGTTTCCGAACAATTGCCCTCAAAAGACATGGGAAGTTTAAGTGGACACTTTTTACCCATCCCCAAACTGTGAAGGCTGTCCTTATGGGAAAACCAATGAAGCTATCATTCAAAAATTTGACAGGATTCATCTTTCTTGGAGACTCTGATGCCTGCAAATTTCATCCAATAGTGGGGGAGGGGGAAAAGTTTCCTTAGAAAAATAACCATAAAATTTCAAAGGTACCTGACAGAAAAAAGCCCCACCCTGGAACTATTTGGCTGGCTGAATCCGCTATGGAGCGGCAAATGTGACTGCAAATTTTATCCACTGTAAAAAGGGGGAAAGGTATAGCTTAAAAAACAACAACAACCCAATAGTGAACGAGGGGAAATGAAATCTTGTTTTTCCCCAACTCAGACTCAGAAGCACTTGGGACTGAGGCATGTTGTTTTCTGAAGTACTGACTCAAGGTCCAAACTGAATCTTCTGTTTGGTGCACACCCCTAATTTAAACTTTGCTGCCTCTTATATGACTAGATGAAATGCTCCAGGGAAGTCCTTGTGATACTACATTATGGAATAGGCGCTTGCAAAACCTATATGAAGGTGATGTAAACAAGCAGACAGGATCCCCACGTGAATGTTCTGTGTTGCCTATATTCTTACCTGCCAAACATGGCAAAAGGAGATGGAGGAGGTACAGTGTATATAAAATGGAACCCTGCATTCCAGCTAAGGAGAAGGGAAATGGGAAGGATTTAGGAGAGACCTGATGCAGTGGGAGCAATGGGTGACATCACATGGCTGATTTGGAAAATGGGATTTAGACTGTGTCAGGTGTAGCTTGGACCACCCAGGTTCTGTGCTCCTGAACCCATTCGTGGCTTGACTGATTCCCATCTCTCCTGCTTGTCCTCTGCAGGCTGCCATACTCTGGCTACTTCGGAGGTGTCTCTGGCCTGAGCAAGACACAGTTTCTGAAGATCAATGGCTTCCCTAACGAGTACTGGGGCTGGGGTGGGGAAGATGACGACATCTTTAACCGGTGCGTGAGAGGCTGGGCCAAGCCTAGCCAGAACTTGTTCTCTGCAAGTTGGTTGTAGTAGCCATGTAGTCTGTTTTTCCGTGTGGTGTCTCCTGGGAATGTGCTGAGTGGCAAGGAACAGCATTCTCTTCTGGGGTGGGGTAGCTGTGCAAATGGCAGGTGGCAATATGCAACACTTGCCTTTCCTATAACAATGCTCCCAAATCTGAGAGAGGAGGACATAGGCAGGTAGGTATTCCACAGCACATAACAGGCAGGGCCAAATAGAAGGCCTGGGGAGCCAATACTCTGAAAGCCAGAAGGGGTTGGGGGTGCTGAGGACTGGAGGGTGAGGACTAACTCCAGCTTTATTTAGAGTTTGCCCCCAACCTGTCTGCTGGTCTTTGAGCTGCACTTTTTCTTTACACAGGATCTCGCTTAATGGCATGAAAGTGTCACGTCCTGATGCCCGCATTGGGCGCTACCGCATGATCAAGCACGAGCGTGACCGACACAACGAGCCCAATCCCCAGCGGTGAGAGAGACAATGTGCTTGCTAGCTCCCTACCTAGTCCATTGCAAGCTACATAAGGAGATAGAAAGCTCCCACAAAATTTCTGCACCATTTCCCTGGGCACATAATGGCTTTCAAGCCTGATTTCCAATGGAATATAATCTTCCAGACATATCTTCCCTTTTATAGCATACTACTCTACACCTCGTGAGGAGAGAGGGGCCACATTTGTTTGCCTCCCTGTAGAATGTCCATGAAACAAACCAAGATAGCCTACAAGTCCTTAGCCTTCCCCCAGAGAGTGTTTTCTATTACTGCGTGTGCATTCCTCTCTTTCTGATCTACCCCCAGTTTTAATTCCACTCTCTGCCTCTTCTAAGAGACACAGACATGAATCAGAGTCCCAACCATGCACCAGGTGTGTTTGGTTAAATCTATGTTCTGCTAGTTCTAGGCAAAGAAAGAGAAAGGGACTCCTGTCCTGTGCCCTAACATTTATTGTCTGGAACCAGAGAAAAGCCACAGCTGGCATGGTTTCAGGGCAATACACTAAACCTTATTTCATGAGACCCTGACATTCCACTTGAGAAGGTTGTGTGGTGGTAGTAATCACCTATCATGAGAACTAAATGCAGTCACCATCCATGGCCCTCCAGGATCCTATGACGCCATCACACTTTGCAACCTTGCTATATCATTTGACAGGGACTGTTGTTTTACAGCTGAGCTCTGGGTGGAGAAGCTCACTCTGTTACTTGGGACTTTCAACCTGGAAGGGCTGTGCATGGTGATTGTCCATTCATGTGTTCAGAAAACACAATTTCATTTCGGAAGTCCCAGTGCTTTGTATGCTGGAAATCTGACATAAGAAATTGCTTTATTGTGCGTGGATAATGCCACATAAGGCTCTTCCCAAAATCCTTCCAAGTGGCCTGAGCTGTCATTAGATTCTCTATTCCAGGCTTCCTCAAACTCAGCCCTACAGATGTTTTTGGCCTACAACTCCCATGATCCCTAGCTAGCAGGACCAGTGGTCAGGGATGATGGGAATTGTAGTTTTGAAACATCTGGAGGGCCGAGGTTGAGGAAGCCTGCTCTATTCCATTCATCAAGGAATGGCTTGTAGGTTTAACTTGAATTAACCTAACTGCCTACTTTCATGTGTAAGATGACTTTCTCTCTGGTTCTCCTGGCAGGTTCACCAAAATCCAGAATACCAAGGTGACCATGAAACGCGATGGCATTGGCTCGCTTCAGTACCGCCTGGTGGAGGTGGTTCGTCGTCCCATGTACACCAATGTAACCGTGGAGATTGGCCGCCCACCACCACGCCCCCCTCGGGGCTGACTCTTTGCTGCCTGGCTCTGCCCATGGCCCCATGCATGAGGAGCTGTGCGGATCCCAGCCCTGACTGGTTCAGAGGACTGTGTCCTGGCTTGGAGGAGCTGTCTGCCTCCTTTGTGGGGATGCGGGAAAGGCCAAGACTACACCTTCGCCTTGCCCCGGCCTTTGGCTGAAGCCCATCTCCTGATCACTAGTCAGTTCTCCACAGTGCCCTTCACAGGTTGGGGAGGAAGTGTGAGCGTGTCGTGGTGCCTGGCGCAGCGCTTAGGGGTCCTGGGCACGGCCAAGCCCCACTCCTGGCTGGAAGGCACTGAGAGCAGAGAAACCTTGTGCAGGTTCTTGAACCTCCCTATCCTCTCCCAGAACTTTTCACAGAGCGGCATCCCTTAAGGATCCCGGAAGTACAGTACAGGTAGTTGTTTTCCTTTCCTCTCAGTGTGCAAGAGTGCCGTCTGAGCCTTCCTTCCAGGGGGTGGCCTGGCCTTACGACAAATGCCAGCTCGCAAGGTGTCCAGGTGGTTCACTCGTGCCCAGCTGAGGAGAAGCTCTTCCAAAGGAGAAGCTCTCATGGGCCTGGCCACTGCCCACCTCCATTCATGGCTTGGTGCTGTCCCCCTGCTGGGCCCTGGGTGTCACTTCTGGCTCCAGTAACACAGGGGTGTTTTATACAAAACCCTCATTCGAATACTTGAGTGCTTCCTGGGTTAGTGTGACAGGTAGCCTGTCTGTCAAGGGACAACAGGTCATTCTTCCTAGCAGTGTTTGCTCTTCTGTCTGTGAATGGGGAATATTGGTTGGGCAGTGTGTGCTTCACTTCTCAGCAAGGGTGGAATCAAAATGGCATGGTTCGGCCTACTCTCTGGTGTGGGCTAGCTTCTCTTTTTTACAGGCACCGATGGGCCTATGGCCATGGCTACAGAACAGAGGAAGGTGAAGTTGGCTTCTTGCTGCCTGTCCCCTACCTCTCACCTCCAACCCACTTACCCCATACCAACCCTCACTCACCAATCAACTTTCCCGCCATCTGCCAGGCAACCTGCCGTTGACCACTCATCGTGCCCTCTTTGTCAAGCTGCCATCTGCCACCACCTGAGGCCAGGCCCCTGGGTCCGACCGTCTGCTCATGACACATGGTGGCCGTGTGCCTAATTCCTGGAGCTAGGAAGCTGCTGGTGTCCCTCATCTCTGGTTATGGTGCCTGGCAGGTAGAATCTCCTGCGCCGGTCCACTTTGGGATGGCAGCTGGGCCAGGCTTGAAGCCAGGCACCAGCGTGTTGCGCAGCCCAGGTGTTGGTGACTTTTGTACATTTGAATGTTTTGATCCCTTTTCAAGCCTATGGTGAATGCAGCACTGGTCACTACGATCAGACTTTTGTATTCAATAAAGTTTCAAAACTTGGGAGACTCCTTGCCTATGGGATTCAGGTGGGGTCTGTGGATAGAGGCAACACTGCAGGTTTATGCAATCTATCTTGGCAAGGTACAAAATTAAGAATTAAATTCGTTTGCAAATGAATGGCACCTCATTGTGCTTCCCCAACATGTTTGTTTAAAGCAGGGACTGGGTTTTCTGGCCCAGGAAACTCTGGGCGTAGTTACTCAGCCCAGAAGACAAGAGAGAACTATTCTACAAGGTTCTTTTATTGATGCTCACACACAGAGAAAAACTGTTAAATAGTAGCAAAAGATGCTATGTTTAGTTGAAGCTGGAGTGGGAATGTGGTGGTGGTTGGTGGGTGATTCCCTAAATCATATGGGGAACCTCTAGCTCTCAAGATGTGGCTAAATTATTCCTAACCATTAGCCATGCTGGCTACAGCTGATGGGAGCTGGGAGTCCAACTATATCTGAATGGCCACAGGTTGCCCACCCATCCTAAATAAAACGGGCTTTCTCATATGAGCTACTCCCCTGTGTAATAACTCTAGACATTGTCAAGGGAAAGGGGGTAGATCTTGAAAGGGGTCTGCGACTGGCAATTGCTTATGTGTATGGTTGAAGGAGTTGGGCCAGGGCTGGGTGTAAGGGCACACTAGGGCTTGTCTGGGTAAGCAGAAGCCTTGCAGGTGCTGAAGAATGGCTGGCCCAGGAATTGTTTGGTGTTTGGAGCAGCTCAGGTGTGATGTGCTCCTGTAGCCCGGCATCCCCGTAGCCGCTCGCACTTAGCTAAGCGGTTTCCTTCCCAGTAACCGGCGTCCTGGCCATCATGACAGCGGCAACGGGTGCAGGGCCCCACCCATATGCTTTCCCCAGCAGGAATTACGCGTCGCTGGCTCCCATCCACGTAGCAGTTGGGCCCTGTGGAGAGACATGTCCATGTATTAGAGTCTGCCCTTGTTTGCAGAAGTCTCATCATGACTTTTAGAAGCAGAAATGGCAAGCAGTTTAAGAGTACATGTGTAGGTGGGGCAACCCAGCCAGATGGGCGGGGTATAAATAATAAAATTATAAATTATTATTACTCCAGCCTTGCACCCCTATCCTCTACCGGGAGCTCACCTAGTGCCTGTTCGTCCACAGGTTCTGTGCTACAGGCTGCTTTTGTACCAGGAGGACATTTTTCATTTTGGGGGGAGCCCCTCTTCTAACACTAGGGCCAAACACCTGCCAAATCCTTCAAGATGAGGTGGGGGTTACCAGGTGTCCCACCATCATTTCTAAGTAGGAGGCTTCCTGTTCAGTTAAGCAACCTTGTGTCTGGTCAGCTTGGCCCAATTCCTCTCACTTCCCTGCTCCAGTAGGACAGGGGCCCTGAACAACGAGGGAGACAAAGTTCTCTCCCCCTTCTGGACAGCCTGAAGTGGAACACTTGTCCCTTGCTGTGAAGGTGTGTCTTTCTCACCGTCCTCACAGGTGGGGCAGCAGTGGCCCTTCTCGTAGACTGGATTGACACAGGGCGGAGGGGCGCAGTCTGCCACTAGGCAACGAGCGATGCCATCTAGGTCACAGGTACACTGCTCACACTCTGAGGGCTGTGAGAGACAAATATTGGTCAATAGAGCAAGGCAGCTTTACGTGGACAGCACACGGTTATGATGATGATGATGCAGCTGCCACCCTGTTTCCCTCCCCCTTTTCCTCCTAATGAAATTAGGCTGAGAGAAATAGGTTACCCATCCACCCCACACCACCAGGTTGCAGAATTGACTGGATTTTGCAGTTCCAGAATGAATTAGTCATGTCTTCTGTCTGTAACTTGCAAAAAGAGATGTGTGTATGCAAGCAGGTGGGAAACTCATGCCTCAGATACTTAATTGGATTAGGCTCCTGACTGCTTCTTTGCTTACCTGTATCTGTGCTTTAAGTATCAGGGGAGGGGGTGATCACAAAAGAAATAAAAGGCCCATCATCTTCCTTTTTTTGTAATGTGTGAAGAAGCATTCCAAACTGAATGCATAGCCATGGCAGTACTGGGATTATACCATCAGATGGCACTATCAACCAAGAATTGATAGATAATGAGGGAGGAAAAGCTTCTGTACCAATCTCCCTTGACTTTGTGTATCTTGTCAGCTCTGGCCAACTCAAGATTACTCTCAAATAATCATGCGGCTGGCCACTGGGGAAACTGACTGGTCATAAGAAAATGTTGAATAGAGAAAACTGTGAGTGAGTGAGAGATTGTCCTCAGTAGCACAGAACCATCAAGGATCCCAATATGCTAAAAAGGCCCATGAATGTGTTTTGGAACCCATTAACCAATCAAGCTCCTCCTTAAAATATCCAGCAAAGGATACTGAAGTCATTTTCAGCACCTCACCTCTCATTCGCCTTCTCACTTGCAAAACATGAGGTAATTCTAGCCAAGCCACATGCTTTTGTTCTCTGCCCTAAGGGGAAAGTTCCAAGATTCTACCGTCTGTCAAATTCCTTCCCTCCTGAACTAATAGATTGGTTGTCTGATTTCACACTTTCAGGGTGGGTGATGATAAAGACTGGGCTCCACTGAAGTTCAAGTGGTTGCAAATAAAAACATTGGTCACTTGTTCTAGATCACTCGTCACAATACTTTAAAATAACAAAGCTGGAAGATGACATCAACATTTAACACCAAAAATCATATCTTAATGATGTAATTGTCCATGATCATCTTTATAACTCCAGGGAAGGAGATTGCACAACTTCACTGGCAAGTTGATATCTTGTTCTTACTACAAACCTACAGTACAAAGGAAAGTGTTTACCCTTCCTAATTACAGAATTTCTCTCTCTCTAGATCTACAGCACTTGTCTTGCTTGTAAGCAAATGCAAGATAACCTAGTTCCAGGAGGTGCTGGGAAGCAGCCCTATATTACTGTATCCACAACCCAGATGTTCTGGACCTAGAGCAAAATGGCCATCCCTAGTAAAGAACTGAGAAGCTTTGGCTGAGCAAAGTATTTTAGGGCAAGTTAGGCCCCAGCTAAATGGTTCTGGATAATCAGAAGCTTGCTTCCTATTATATGATATTTTGGTTGGCCATAATAAAGTTATTATTTGGGGGGAAATTATGGCTCAATATGGCTTTGCAGAAAGCATTTACTTTCTGTGTACCTTTCAATAGAATTTTGTGTTTGGGTAAATGGGACAGGCCAAGAGATAAGTCATCAAACAGACACACAATAATTTGGTGTTTAGCTAACGGACAATTCACCTAGGAAGAACCCCACTGCCCATTCTTTGACTATATGTAGCAACTGGTCCTTTCTTCATCAATACACTTATTTTTTGCAAACACTCAATTCATGCTATCCAAAGAGGCATGGAGCCCAGGAATGGAGGGCTTTGATCTTCCACCTGCAGCCTCAGGGCCAGAATTTGACTCCCTTCGGCTAGTGCAGGCTTAGTGCCAAAAATACTCCTTTCCAAACCCACCCTCAATTGTCCAAGTCAGCCATGCTAGAGATTGTTTGGTCTGACTCAAGTCCTAAAATAAACTACACACATTTTTGGCAGCAACAGACAATAGCCAGAAGCAAGGTCTGAACAGGTCAATGTCAGGCCTAAGAAATGGATGAAAATGAAATTCAATTAGTCAAAGGATGCTCAGCTAGGTACTACAGCCAATAAAATTGCCTTCTGAATTATTGGTTTTATGGGAACATCTTAAGAGCACCTCCAGCTTCATAGAGCACTTTTGATTTGGTGCTTCTCGCCCACTTTGGAAAAATGCAATTTATTCATTTTGTTTGTATTTTCTTTTGCTTCAGCCAGTAATGAACAAACTATAAAGACACAGCGTTCCTGCTTCCAGTCTCTTACTCTCCTGCCTAGGCCTCCCTTTCAGAACAAGATTTAAGAAACAGAAGGGACTGCTTGAGATTCTTTTTCAGGAGCGTTCGCTTTTTCTCCTGCTTTTGAATATCCTCACTTTGCCCATCCATCACCTATTCATCCCTGCCCACCTCGCTCTAGATTCCTTCTCATGCCACCCCTTTGCCTAATTCTCCCTTGAATGCCTTACCTGGAAATGCTGCCCCAGCTCATACACTTGTCCACGGTGCTCACAGCCAACCCTTTCGCAGCGTGGGCAGCAGTCGCTGGGGTAGTGGCTGACGTGAATGCAGGCAGGTGGCAGAGCGGTGCAGTCCGTGCGGGCGCAGGCGGGCCCCTCCGCTGTGCACTCGCACTGGGTGCAGTGGTCACTGTCCAGGAAATACCACTCCCCAACATAGTACAGGCTCCCGTTGGCATCGCACGTGGTCACTGGCCCTGCCAGTCCTGGGATGGGCACCAGAGTCAGCAGCAGCAGCGCTAAGCTCAGCTGTGCCAACGGAAAGGGCATCGCTGAACTCGAGGGACAGATGCCGGGCATGGGAGTTGGCGAGAGGGAGGAGCAGAGCAGCAGCAGCAGTAGGGAAGCGAAGCGGAGGAGAGCTGGCGGGGAAAGTGGGCATCCAGTCCGCTCCAATGCCGCCCGCGGGGTCCCGCCGGGAGGTTGCCTGCTGAAGCTGCGGCTAAGAACCGCCCTGGCGTGCCTCGGCCTTTGTGCAGCCGCCGCCCGGCCCGGCCCGCCCCTTCTTGCAACCCGAGCCCGCCCAGGGGCACAGCACCCCCTCTCCAACGGAGCGGGCGGGACCGGGGCGGTGGGAGGGACCTGGCCCCCTATCTGCACCTCAGGAAAAGCCTGCTAAGAAAAGTCCACTGTGCTCCCTCTCCAAATCCCTCGAACACTCATCCGGGCAGCGAATGCTGCGTCTCCCCAGTTCCCAGTCTCCGTGGCCTCCAAAACACGCGCAGCGCTGGATCTCTCTCTCTCTCTCTCTCTCTCTCCCCCCCCCTATTCCTGGGAACATTAATGGGCAAAGAAAGAAGTTTCTCAATACTGTACTGTTGCCAAAGCGTAAAGCCAGTGGGACCCCTTCCGGATGAAAACTGGCCGACGTGTGGCTTCTCTTTACCTCCGATTGCTTGGGTGCAAGCGCGGGCGCGCCAAGAGCTTCAACGCGCACGTTTCCTTCCTCCGGGACCCCCGTCTCCACGCTCGACCGACATCCTGTCTGCCTCGTGGGCACGGCTCCTTTAAGAGGCGAGGCTTCTGAGGAACGCGGCGGGGCGTTTCCATGGAGACGGCGAGTTTATATTCCAGAGAGTTAGAGGGTGGAGGGGGCTCGGATAGGGCAATACGCCTGGCCCTCCGCCCCTCCGCCCCGTGTCGCAGGTGAGGGCTACCGCAGAGTTATGTCCGTGAGTCCGTAGGGAGTGAGGAAGTGTGGGGAAAGTAAAAGGTCTGGGGCGGAAGTGGGCTTGGTGGGCCGAGACGTAGGTGAGCTAAGCACTGGGGAGCAACTATGGGGAGGGATAATGGGCAATAGGTTACATTTGGGGCTATAAACAACTACCTGACATTCAGAAGACATCTGAAGGCAGCCCTATTCAGGGAAGTTTTTAATGTGTGACATTTTAATGTATTTTTAATCTTTGTTGGAAGCCGCCCAGAGTGGCTGGGGAAACCCAGCCAGATGGGCGGGGTACAAATTAATAATAATGATAATAATAATAACAACAACAACAATAATAACGATTAACGGGAATTAGTGTGACTCTCGAGGTTAATGTGAGGGGATGGGTTTGGTATATGGGGAGCAAGAAAAATTATATGCTCTTATTCTCTGGTGGCTCACGTGGGAGAAAGGTGAGTGCAAGTAACATGATTTGTAGACAGTAGTGCAACTCAGGGGGAAAGTACAGAGCACCACAAAAATGGGGTGCCTCAAATGGCAATCTAGAGAGTGTCAGGTGATGGAATCAGGAACAAACGACCTGTGGCAGCACCTGGGCTGACATGGGCATGTTGTGGTCTGTTGGCGCTGATGGTAGTCACAGCGGCATCCTTATTTTCTACAACAGTTTTAGTCAGAGGGTGGTTAGCCAGGCATGTACATGGGACTCGATTCTATTTTTTACTTTTACTTTCATCCTTGGTGATCACCTCCCCCCAATAAATGTGTTTAACATCAGGGCAGCTGAAGCAAATTCCATTGTATTTCTGTAATGCTAGTGCTATGACTTAAGTGAGTTTAGAATGTGAAACTGTACATGCTCAGAGTATTTCACAACCATTTATCTATTGTGCTAATGTATCAGGAACGTAGGAGCAGTTATAAAACATGGGAATGGCTTACCTTACAACTGACAACTGACGAATGTAATATGTAGTGGCTGTCTAATGGGAGAGGGGTGTAAAACCATGGATGTGGCCAGGATTTTAATTGGTGAGGGACAAAGTTGTTGAACTTTTCTTGGGAAATCATGGGTAAAAATACCTCATAAATAGGACATTGTGGGGGGCCAGGCTTCTGTTGGGGGGGGGCAGAACCTCAGATAATTGAATACTTTCAATGCTTTTCAATAATATTTGTGAATCTTGGGAGGGCAGCAGCCCATGTGTAAAACCATTAAGTTCAGTGTCTAAAATTACCTAGGTGCACCACTGCATGTTGCACCGAGTAGTTGTGATGTGGAGCTTCTACTCACTGTCTCATTGGCACAATCTTTCCCCCCCTTTAAAGCCTCATTTATCGTGGAATCGGATACAGCACCCATGTTGCCCTTGCCTGGTGCATCTGGGGAATCCTTGCAGTCTGTACCATCACTCTGGACAATGGTAGAGGAACAATTGGCACCCAGTGAGAGGCTTGAGGCGAAAGCTATCTTGGGTCATGGCCTTGTGGAACGGAGCTTGGAACTTCATGCTGAGGTTAAGTACCGAAATACTGGATCTCCTATTCAAAATGATTCACAAAAGAGCAGAACAAACAAACCACCCCTCTTACTACACAATTTAGAAGTGGCTGGTGACAAAGGGATATCTGAATAAAGCATCAAATCTAGGTCTCATCAGCTAAAGAGGCAGCACTAATTTTGTAAGGGGATTTGACTGATGAAAGGGCCCGCCTTTCATGTCTATAGATTGAGTGGAGTGGACTGAGTGCTAAAATTGAGTGAAGCTAAGGGAGGGCTTATAAATTGTATTAAGCCCTCTTCCACTGAGCACTGGGCACTAGTTTTGGCATACATGCATTTTCATATAGAGTAGCATTCATGTGTATGATGTATCATGTGTATTCATGTGTATGGAGAAAACCTCTGGTTTGCCACTTACATCTGCTTTGAGTGCTGTTTAATTTCAGTGAAAGGAAAGCATATCTGAGAAGGCGAGTCAAGGAGGAGATAAAATGTTTCAACCACCCCCTCCCTGTTTGACAAGGTCCCCATTTGCCAGCTCCCAGCTCAGCTGGTTCCTAATGCTTGGCCAGAGCCCCTAATCCATGCTATTCCAGGCCCTTTGTTCTCCTCCAGCCATTCATGCCCTTTCTTTATTCAGCATGGTCCTGACTGCAGCTGAGAAGAACAGTAAACATCCCAGAGGCTTTTCACATGGTAATTGCCTTACCTCCTCCTGAAACCAGAAGAGCAAGCACAGCACACCCTGACAAGATGGCACCTTTTTCTCTCTATCACTTCATGTTAGAGCTTTGCTTGAGATCCACCCCCCCAACTTTCTGACCAGTGACCCCCTCCCCAGCCTTTATGGGGTCTCTCACCTGGCTGTCTATTACCTCTTCATCACAAGCCTGATAAATGTAGCCCAGGTACTGCCTGTCTCCCTGCTGTGTTCTTGTATGTGTCTCTGCTCCCCTCCCCAACTGGATATCTGAGAGGCCGCCCAGGGAAGCAGCTGTACCATAACGTTCCTCTTGTGGATGTGTGGGGCCAGAAAGGGAGTTCTGGCGCTCGCTTGCCTTACAAATATCCTGCAGATATTTTTGCGGCATGACCTTGACTTTCCTCATGGGGGGAGGGAGAGAATGATTGTGGGTGGGCTGTCTGCAGCTTTGCACCTTTTATGGAGTGTACAGACAGCAACAATGCAGTGCCCTCTTGCCAACTGCATTGGAACGACAGTGTCCTGGCTGGTGTTCTTATCTTCTGCAGACAACTTTGCCCACTTTCTGCAAAAGAGTTGTTTTTTAAAAACCTAAAAACTTCACTCTTAAGCCTAAAATACTCTTCACATAAACTAATAGCCTCATAGTCTGTTCCCAGTCTTTGGGCAGATGCAACGTTTTACTGAATTCAGTGTGCTCTCACACACATTTATCACATTTGAGGCATCTTTTATTCCCTTGATGGATGACATACTTCCGAAAAGTTGTTAGTTCCCTGACTGTGGCCTTTATGAAATGTAATTGTCTACCATCAGGTGAGTAACTAACCCATAGCTAGGTATTGGTTTTCTTTTCTTGCAGGCAGGCACCTGGCTTGATTTCCAGGTGTGCAGAATACCAATACTGGAAATGGGAGTGCAACTTGTATTTTTAGGTTGTGTCAGTGCTTCATCATTTGGGGAGGTGGAGGGTGGGGGAAAGATTACTTTGAGAAAGTTACTGCAGTTTGTGTCAATGTGCACATGTGTGAATTTCTGCATGTGGCAATGCACTGTCCCTAATGCAGTCCAACCCCTTCCCTATTTACAGGTGCGGACCCTGTTGGAATTACATCAGGAGTTGCAGTCAGGCCGCCTTGGAGTGAAGCAAAGCCCACTGCAAGCGGATGACAGCTGGGCCTTGCTGGCAGCTCCCCCCAACCTCAAGGAGCTGGTGAGGGAGGAGATCCGCCTTCTTCTAATTGGCCTACAGCAGAAGGCATCGCAGGAGGGCAGGTACTGGAGATTAAAAGAGAAGGGACTTGAGAGAATTAAGGGCTGAGTTGAGGGGGAGCAGGTAGAAGGGATAGAAGAAAAGCAAGCAGAATATCTTAAGACCTGAAGCCTATTTGATATAAGAATGAGCCCATTAGTTTCCAACTGATGTGGCTGGTGGTATTTATGTGTGTGGAATGGGTGAGTTTTATATCATCTTTTGGCCAAAGCAGTCTGGATTGAGGAAGCCATAACTATTTGTTATGAGAGGCTTAGAGTTTCATGGGACAAATCAGTTAGGAGGCTAGACAATAACTTGATTGTCTCTCTTAACAAGAACAGGATGGGGGAAACCTCTGATTCCACTCAGATATAAATAAGTCCAGTGCCACCTAGTGACTAAACTATATATTTACACTAGTGACACAGTATTCTTTCTCCCTTTGCCTTCTAAGGGTGACTGTTCCAGAAATGCTTACTAGGAAATATCCGCTCCAATGCAATTTAATTGGCAGTTCCAGTATAGTTTCCACATGATTGCCACTCAGATGGCCAATGTCCAGCAAAAATAACCTGTGCCAAACCTATGTTTGCACCATACACCTCCATCTGTAACTTGCGCTCCCCATTCAAGTGCAGCTTGTCAGTTTGTGTGTCTCTCTAGTCTTTTTTATCTGTAGAATTAATTCCAGCCTTACATTCCCATTCTTTGAGTCTCAATCATATAGCCTTTGTCATTCCCACTTAGCTCCCTTACATCATGCAGGAATCACATTGCTGAGCGCCTCTATCAAGAATGCCAGTCCTGCTAGTGCGTTTGTTTTTTATGGTGTGTTCAGTCCATAGCCTGAGGCTGGGATTATGTCCCACCTCCAGGTTCAAAGTGAGCATTCATCTGAGTGAGCACTGGGATCAGCACCTGCTGGAACCCTTGCCTGAGGATTTGCTCCCTGCCTTAGCCCTGTGTAACCAATGAATAGCTCAGTGAAGGCACGGATTAGAACAGGCTGGCTAGTAAGGGATGAGCTCTCAAACACCTCATGCTGGAGTTGTTCGTACCATGTTGCCGTATAGGAGAATCCCTTCACACCCTTCAAACCTTTCTACTATCTCTCAGTCACAACCTGAAATTCTGCATTTGTTTACTTTCAAATAGTTCCCCTCTTGTTGAATTTCCCTACATTGACATGAGCACAGGCCATGGCTCCCTGTGTGCTGCCTAGAACTGGGTGGTCCAATGAATGACCTGAGGGCTGCATGTAGCCCTCAAGGCCTGTTTTGTTGGCCCTGGGCAACATTTGACACCCTCCCCAGCCCTCATGCTGCCTTCCCAAAGCCAGATAAGCAAGGTACTAGGCTTAGCAAAGGAGGTGTAAAGGCTCTGGCAGGGTCCTAGAGTCCTCCTGTCTCCTGCCCAAAGCCTAATTGCTGCTTCCCTGGAGTGCTCTAGGACCCTCCCAAAGCCTGTTGTCTCACTTAGCTGGCTTTGGGAAGGCAGGGCAAGGACTGGGGGGGTAGCATCAAATTTTTGCCTCCGTCTCTCCACCACACAATACAGTATGTGTTCTATTGGTTCTGTGTCAAACTACTTTTGTGGTCTACTTTGTATGGACAGTTGGACCTCACTGGGCTCTTTAGTCCAGCTTGTTTTTCCTTTTAGGCTTCTATTCATTCCAGCTACTGGGTGGTTTTGTGACCCAGCACTGCCACCAACTGGTCTTCTCTTGTCCTTGTCAGCCCAAAGACTGGGGATGAACAATTGCCTTATGGCTGTACGTTTTCTGCTTCACAGGAACCAAGATTGTGCCATCGCTAAATACAGCCCTCATGTGGTCACCTTTGCACTGAAGGCAAATGCTGGCAATAGTCAGTCTTCATCTGGAAGCAGTGCCCTAATCAGGTAAGACTGAAGGAAGCTGCAGCCTCCACACAATGAGCTTCTGGGCTGTGTTCTTACCCGGAACACCATAAACTGTATCACCACAGGAGGTCTCAGAATCCAGGACTGATTTTGTCTGCAGGAAGCCTAACCACAGAGTGCCATATGCCATAGACTTAGAAACCTAGCAGCTACTGGTTCTTTTTTGCATCTATGGGCGGTTAGGGGCTGATCACTATTAACCCATTTGATCCTCATACAAGTTCCAGGAGCGGGGACTTGCAATGAGTTGGCCTCCGTGCTGGTTTCAGTCCCATTGTGGTATTAATCTAGAAATGTGCTTGTATTATTTATATAGATATGCATATTATGCATATGTAGAATCAGCAGTGGTGTGCCCACTTAAATTACCAGTATAAGTCTCCATTTTGGATAGAACCTTAATGTTAAGTCAGAGAGGCTGTGAAATTACAGACTCAGCCAGCAAAGATTGGGCAATATCAATGGGGTGGGGAGACTCACTGAGCAAGCAGAAATCTTTGTGCAGGGCTTCCAGTGACAGAGATGTAGGTGAATCCCACCCCTAGTATGTTTTCCTTTTATATCTAGTTGAAGAAACCAAGAGCAGGTTGGTATGCGGAGGTACAGTCTCTCAAACATCTTGGTGAGGTTCCTGGGCATATCAGCTCCAGTTTCTGTGGTGTTAAGTACCACCTGTAGGTGAGTTTCAGAATGAGTTCCCTTCTTTTGGCTGATATGGACTTAAAGGGAGGTATAGACCACATTCTAGTCCATTGGGTGGGGTTAATTTCATAGCCTATATCATGCTCCCATTGTTCTTTGATTGCATCAGTGTTGTGGGGATTTACTTTAGTTTGTTTTGGAGAAATGGGTGTGCTGTTGTGGGGATGTTTTCGATGGTGTCCCCATGAATTTTTGTTCCTCTGCAGTTATGGTTGGCAGGGTCAGCCCTGTTAGGAATCTTCTGATTTCCTGTTCAGGTGGCTTGTGGGAGGTGTTGGCATAAAATTCTGAGGTTATTTCTTTGGTGGTGGATGTTAACACAACCGTCTTTTATAGTGACACAGTATATACTTGTTTTGAGTGATCCCCCCCCGCATCTGTTTGCTAATAGTCTGGAATTCTTACCTCCATATTCGTAAAAGCATTGTTTAGGGTATAGGATGTTAATCATTGTTTTATTGATTTATGGAGAGTCAGTTTCCCTTCTTTTTTGTTCTATGAATTTAAGGAGATTTTTGGCTCCTGTTTGTTTGTAGTGTGATGACAAGGTTGAAATGTCTTGTTCTAATTTACTAAATTTTGAGGAAGTTTGTTTTTTAAGGGATGTCCTCTCCTTTATGTAAGCTCCTCTGATGACCACTTTCATTGTGTCCCAGAGAAGGGGGGTTGCAATGTCGTCCACATCATTGTCCTTAAAGTAGTTTTGGAGAGTTTTCAAGAGACTCTCTAGGTAGTTCGTTTGTGGTTAGGATGGGGCTGAAGGACCATGATTGGGTAGTTTATGCTTCCTCCCCTATTATGAGGGTTGCTTCTACTGGGGCATGGTCTGTGATTTTAAAGTTCTGTGTCTGAGTTCTAAGAAGCATGCTAGTTCAGTTTGATGAATCCCTGTCCTGTGACAACCATACAGAGAGGATAGGAGTACAACTCATTGAAAAAGACTAGGGGTCCTGGAAAGAAAATGACTGACATCCCCAACCAAATTCTGTTACCTGATCCTTGTGCCAGTGTCCCATTCAAGCTTTGTTTAGTGCAGGAATGCCCAGTTGCAGGCATCAAGCCCGTCTGGTCACAGGAAAATGCAAGTCTCACCCAATTTCTGTTTCCTTAGGCCATTATTCTCCAGAACTGCTAATCTGGAATCCTTCTGTAATAAACTGAATATTGCCCATATCAGTGAGGTAGCCTCTCAACTTCGGTAAGTTTTTGCTCTATTAGGTTTTTTATTTGCACAAATATTGTAAGAGGGAAGAAGGCACAAGAGGGTTACAGGTATCCGTTGCAGGTGTCTGGAAGGCAGATATAACAGAAGACCTTGTGTCTGAGAACAGTAAACTCACTGCAGAGACAGAAGGGAAGCTGGGGATGGCATTGTGTGAAAATGTGTGCAGATGGACCCAAGCAGCTTGTATTCTACCTTCTAACTCTCCCCATCATCTGTCTCCCAGTCTGGCCTCTACCACAATCATGAAGACAAGGAGGGGCAAGAGTCTCTTTCCAAACTTCCTCTGGGTACAGATATAATTTCTATGGCACGTTTTGCTCTGTGTAATTGCAAGGAGTGAAGCAGATCAAACAACAATTGTGGCAGAACTTGGTGGGAAGGGCATAGCATAAAAAGGTGGGAACCTCAAGAGAAGGTCAATAAGCAACACAGGAGTGTGGTGTCTAAGCCATACATAGTCTTGGCTCCCAGTGCAGTCTCCAGTGGGGAACACACAAAGGGCTTTGTAAAGATTATTCCATCTTGTGCCACTGGGCATCCTGCAAATTCCAGGCAGTATGTACAGTTAATGAAGGGAGCTTGCTAAAGTCCACCCCAAGAAATGCCAGAAAGTGCTCACCAGCCAGGAACTTAGGGAACTCTGAACAAGGAGAACAGCAGAGTACAAAACAAGGTTTAGAAACACTGTCGGCATTAGAGATACTTGTGCCTAGTTACGAACTGCTTCAAAGTAGCGTGGTTTTCTCTTCTCATCCCTAGCAACATGAGCTGCCACTGCAAGCAGATGGTGGCTATCCTCACATCTAACTTTCATTTGAATTGCCAGCCCCCACAGTGGGAACGTAAACAAAAAGTGAGGAAGATGTGGAGACACCAAGTCTGTAGTGCTGGCAATTGCTTTCTGTCCCAAATGTATCACCTCCTTTGGGTCTCACTGGCTGTACCATTTTTCCTAGATCCTTGCTAGAGGATGAGTGCTCTGATCTGGAAAGATACATCCCCTATTTACAGGTAAGGGCTGAACCCTTCTCATCTCAAGGAGGGTCTCTAGAGTTCCTCATAAGCAGTGTTTCTCCCATGCGCTTCCAAGCATCTGCTTCAAGTTTTGGCCAATAGGTCTGTGAGACTGGTTTTTGTTGCCGCTTGGGTGGAGCATCTGTGGCAACATTTCCTCAGCCCTTCTAGACTATTGTGTAAGAACAGAGGCAAGGCTCTGTGGAATCTGACCAAAGCCCCATCTAGTCTAGCACCCTGTTCTCACAGATGCTTATAGAAAACTTGCATGCAGGATATCCCCACGGCACGTCATCTAAGTTGGCACCCATCCCTATATCTCATGGGGGCAAATTCCATAGTTACTTTTGTTTGTCCTGAACGTTGCAACCATCTTCTTCATTGGATGGACCCAAGTTCTAGTATTACTGCTCTCATGTCTTCCCTCCTGCCCACGTACATAGGAGCTTGGTCTCAGAGCTGTATCTACAAAGCTGTTCCCATGGCTATGGCAGCCTGGGTTAGAACAGGCCTTGGGTCAGAACTTTTGAGAGGAGTGACAAGGGTGTTTGGCTTCCATACCAGTTCTACAACTGCCCAAATAGCTAGCTTTTTTGTCTCCTTCCCAAATCTGGGGGACAGGGAGCAGCTGAGGAAAGATGTGAGTGGCAGGAAAACTGTTATGATGATTTGGATGTGAAAACACCATCACATTGGGCTGCAGGACTGCTGCAAGAGTACTTCCTGTCACCAGTGTCTGATGATGATGATGATGATTATTATTATTATTTTAAAAACACACCTTTGCAGCAGTACACCCATACTGCTGAGAGCTGCCAAGTTATGAAATCACAGTGACTTGTGACTGCGGAATCAGGGTCGAAAGAATTGTTGAACTGCAGTTGGCATGATCATCTAGTCCCAATGATCATCTACTCCAACCTCCGGCAATGTAGGCTATCCACTGCTAGAGCATCCCTGAGAAGTGGTCATTTAGCCTCTCCTTAAAAACCTCTAGCAAATGAGAGCCTATTAAGTCAGCCCACTAAGTTTCTAAGTCAGCAACCTGACAGACTATTTTCCAGAAGAATATGAAACGAGCGTCATCAGCTGAAGGGACTGGATATGCTGGTGCCTATCCATTAGCTTTCTGCAGTGACTGGGGCAACTAGAAGGCTGGGAGGAAAAGTAAGGTATTTAATACGGGAAGACATTCCAACACGAGGAAAACCTGTAAGCAGAGACATGTACATCTTTAAGAGAAATTGTATAGTTAAAGGCGCAGCTTCTTTCTTCTGTGTTGTGTTTCCTATAGCATTTTTCATGTTCCACAGTGCCAACTGGAGGAGGCGCATCAGCATGCTACAGAGCTGCTAGAGGCAACACATGAGCCCACCATGGCTGGTATGCAGAACCCGAGTCTCGGATAAGGCCAGGCTGGGAATTGGGGAAGGGATGCAGCATCATGGTGCCTATAGCCATCAACTTTAGGCAGGTGTTGCCAAGGAGTGGCGTTTGCAATGAGGCATGGTCTCTTTGTGAGTGCCCAATGCTCTTCATGATTGTTGCTTCCCCCAACCCCCATGAAATAGGGTCTTCTCTCCACAGAATTACAAGAGGAGAAGCGTGCCATGGAACGGGATTTGCAGCTAAGCCAGCCTAAGCCAGGCACCAGCCCTTCCCTGATGTCGAAACATCTTGGGAGTAGCAGCTACCAGCCGCAATTCAGGTGGGCCTGCAAGCACCAAAGCTATGATACCATGAAGCTGCATAATATTATAACTGAGGGGTAGCTGTCAAACTGGCGCCTGCAGCAGAGAGGTGCAACCATAGTTCAGGGTTGGTTTATTATTCTATGGCAGGGGTCACCAACACAGTGCCCTCCAAGTGGGGCTGTTGGGAGTCTAACATCTAGAGGGGGCATCTTGTTGGCTCTTTGTGCTGTATGGTCTCTAGCATACCTGCCATATTTTAGGTAAAAATTCTGGAGTTTGTTCTGTGCAGGACCCATTAGTTCTGCTGTAGTGACTAAGGCTCTTCTGTCCTTGACGCTTTACACAGAAAGATGCTTGGGCAACACCTCCTGCTTCTTGGTAACCCCTTCCTTTCCTTTCGCAGTGGCTTAAGAGGCTCGGCAAAAGGACCAAGCTTTGGAGAGATCAGTCCGGCTTCTTCACCAACTCTCAGAGACCAGACTTCTCCTTTATGCCATCAGGCACTACCCAGGCGGGGCCACTCAGCACGAGGGTCCTATGGATGGCCGCAGCGAGATGGTGAGGAACCCAACCATGCCAGAAAGGACAATGATGTTCTGCTGCCCAGACCTGTGCTGCCAGTGCCTCTGAAAGGGGGCAGGATTGCTTCAGCCTGCGGGCTGGCAGTAGCAGGGTTGGACCATGTCTTCCACCCCACGCCTCCTACAGAGCCATGCCCAGTGCCCCGCTTCTGCCCTCGCACTCGGCTGCTGCGATGCAAAGGACCCAGCTAGGGAATGGAGAGCTGCTGCCTTCCCTTAAGTACCCCATTTCCCGCTCCCATGCTGCAGAGTCTTCAAGGGACCTAGCCCTGCAGCATCCTGTGCCTCAAGAGTTGCTGCGGTTGCCTTTTGCTCATCTTTGTGAACAGGGTCAATGGGATTCCAGGGAAAGCGAAAAGGCAAAGAAATGCATACACACAACCTCCCCCAACCCATGAATGCAGATAAACTACTTGCAAGTGGGACCCATGCCAGTGAGATGCTTCTTCTCCTCCTTGTCCACAACACAGGACAGTGGGCCTTGTGGCAGTGAGGCTGTGAACCCAACCCACACCTTCCCCATTCCTCCACGCACACCAAAGAACTGTACCACCCAAGGTTCAGGAATATAAATTTCATTAAAATCTATCAGACTTTAAAAATCTACAACTGGAAGAGTCACAGTATGGGAGACGCGTCACAATTATTGCTATGAACAATGAGGCGGCAATGCTAGCTGCCACCTTCGACACAGGAGGAAAGGACAGACACGGAACCATGCATTAAATAGTGCAGCCTCGGCGCAGAGGAGGGAAGGTCTGGGGGCTTGCGGCTTAGGGCAAAAGTACCATCATGGCATGGAGCCATCTGTCCCCCCCCTCCCTCTTAACTGCTCACGATGCAGACGTTTGGCACTTGAACGCTGGCTGCTATGCCCATGCCACCGGCTGGAGCAGGTACCACGTGGGTAGGAGCCAGGTGTGCCCTTGCTGTTGGCACCATGGCTACACCGCAGCAATCGTGCACGGCTGGGAGCTGAGGGGTGCCCCCCGACATGCACTGTTTGGCATTGGTTAAGTGAATTGGCATCGGGGTACAAGACAGGATTGTGGCTGCCGGGGTCTCCTGTCTCCTCCACCCAGGCATTTCTAGGGGGTAAAGTGCAGGCAGCAACACTGACATGGAAACACGGGACGGTGAGGCCGGAAGACGGAACCATTAGTACCTCCTACCCATCTGAGGCAGCACAGGCCCTGCTTTGTGTTAGGGAGAAAAGCCTTGGAGCTGGAGATGGGGCTGGTGCCTATGGCCAACTTCTCCAAAGCTTCACCATGAAGCTAGCAGCTTCTGCCCCCACCACTAGTGGAGAAGTGGGCCACATGGAACCCAGGCCTGGCCAGGATAGCCTTTAGGGAAGCTTGTGCTTTTGCTGTGTGTGTGTGTGTCTTTCCCACCTGCAATGGTGTGGGCAGGACTTGGCACATCATCTGCTCTTAGCACCATGGTTGGCTCTGTCCCTTTCCCGGTGGGATAGGGCAGAGCTAGGTCCCAATGGTCTCTTACCTTTGTGGAGACCCCATTCAAATTAATATATTCCCTTTAGGGGAAGAGTGTAGAAAAGTGCTTCAGAATAACAGGCTTGGGGGAGCATCCAGAAGATGCTGTCTAGACCAGGAATGCACACCTGGGCAAAATCTGTCCAGTGGGCTGCATGTGCTGCCCCGAGTCTGTGGCGCTGCCCAAGATGTCTATCATGGTAATACGGTGCATCCAGCCTCTCAGCTGTCGCTTTTTCTATTTGTGAGAGATGCTGTTTGCTTATGTTTCACTCTGCAGGTGTGTGATTCTGGATGGTGTGCAAATAAGGCTCAATATTAAGATCAGGAGGGAGACAAGTGCATATTTTTGTTCATGGAGTTGTGATCCTCCCATGCTCTTGCAACCCAATTAAAGAGAGCTCTCCTGCCCCCTACCCACCCACCCCAATCATTAACCTGCCAAATTCAATACATAGTTTCTAGCAGGAACGTTTCTTATCATGGGAGGCCATGGCGAGAAGTGCAAATTGGTAAGTGCTGGGGAAGCTAGCTTTCCTTTCCTAGGTGGGGAAGCTGGGAAGGTCTGTGCAGTGGTTGGGGGGGAGGTGCAGTCTTAAGTGCATCTCTGGAAAAGCCCTCGCAGGGGCAACAGCCTAGCTGAAGGCTGCCTAGCCTGTGGCCAAGCGATGCCTAGAATGTCAGGATTAACATTTACAATTACAACCAACCCTCTTGCCCTCCCCCTCCCCCCACCCCAACCCCCCATTTGCTTATCTGTGGGGCCAGTCCCCAGGGCCCTGATCCAGGGCAGTATGGGGCATACCACCCCCAATAGATACCAGACCCCCTGGGCCCAGGTGCAGCTGCCAGAATCCACCCCCAAAGGGGTTGCTGAGCCAGCGAGGCTCCAACCGACCCTCCTCCTGGTGCCCTTTCCCAAGGCACCCCCAACGGTTCAGCCAGTGCACACCCTCCCCACCCCTGACCCTGGTCCTGGTTGCGAATTGGGGCCATCCGAACGTGACTGTAAACATGAGGGTTACAAGATGGCACGGGGGCACTAATGAGGTGGGTGGGGTTGGAACTCACAGCCCCTCCCCCAGAGTCCGGCGCAGCCCGGGAGCCAGGGCTCCCCCACCCAGTGGGGGGGCGCTGTCATGTATCTGAGCAGAGTAGGGTTTGGAGAACCAGGGCAGGTGGGAGAGGGGAGGTGCAAGGAGGGCTCCCTGCCCTGCCTCCCAGGCTCATGTTCAGATCTTGGAGTCCTGGCTGTGGGTAGAGCCGTTGGTTCCCACGGTGATGGCAACAGCCACGCCAGCCTCGTCGCTCTTGGGCTTCTCGGGGTTCAGCAGCTGCACCTCCAGCTGGGACTCCGTGGAGGAGCTGAGTACTGGCGCATAGCGGCCTTTCCGGTGCTCCATAAGGGCTGGGCCCCACTCGCGGCTGGGACGGGTAGCGTTTTTCAAACGCTGCAGGGAGACAGGAGGCAAGGGAGCGGGTTAGTGGTTTCAAAGCCCTTGGCCATTGGGATCCAAGGCAGGGGGCGCTTGGCTAGCCTGCTCACGGACAGCCTCACCTGCATCAGCGAGTCCCCTTCTGAGCGCAACACGCAGAACACGGCATAGATAGGGATGCAGATGACCGACGAGAGCGCCATAAGGAAACCGATGGAGATGGCCCAGGTGGGGTACACATAGGTATTGTAGGAGATCGGTCGGTACTGGATCACTGTGAACACGAGGATGAACTGAGGAGAGAGGGGAAAGAAGACTGAGTGATACAAAGCCCAAGGGGAGCAAGAGTGGGGGGTGGCATCAGGCAACTGCCCTAATTCCACACCCTCCTGTCCTCCTTCATACTGGTTACGCTTATGCCCAATGTTACACTCACTGCATCTTTGGGAACCCCTCTTGCCTCTGCAGATGTGGTTCTTCCTCGTTGGTATTTCCCTTGTCTTCTTCCTTGGCACTGTTTTCTCCTGTACTGGTGCGCTACCTAACGTCTCCCCCCTCCCCCAGCTCATATGTGAGTGGCTGTTCACAGTCCTCTCCCTCCCATTCTAGCCCCCTCTCACTGGGAGTGTTCTTGTCACACACTCACAAATATGATAACAGGAGAGATGAATCTCCAGCAGATTTGGAAGAAGATGGGTGGTGGGAAGCCCAGCATCATCTCAATGTCCTTGAAGTAGTTCCGGTGCCCTGTGTGAAGCAGAGGCAAAGGGTGATCAGAGGAGTGGCACGAACCAGGGATGTTGTAACTGGGCACTAGGGCCAGTTGCAGGTTTCCATGGGCCCTGTTGTATGTAGTAGGGTGTCTGTGGGACTCCACATTGTAGATTGTGCACTTTCTCCCAGCGTGATGGGTCTCTCTTCCCACCCCACATCATGATTCCACAGATTTCCCCTGCTTTGACAGAGGAAGCAGAGCACCAGATAGTCAGTTTGCCCCAGAGGTTCCAACTGCTTCATGGGAAAGGACCTGGATGAGACAACGGAGCTGAACCCTTGCACACAGCCAGTTCCAGGGTTGTGTTTCTTATGTGGGGTGGGAACTGGGCCCTCTAGTGAGCCAACTTCCACAGACAGCTAGGAGATACCCTTGTACTTTCCCACAATGCCCTTGGGTGCCTGATGTAGCTCTAGGGCACTGTGGGAAATGCAAAGACTTTCCCAGCTGGATAAATAGCTGTTTACAAGAGTGTCTATTCCTTAGGGTTTTAATTGTATTTATTGTTATTGTGTTTTTAATTGCTTTTAATTATTTTAAGTGTACATTGCCTTAAGACCAGTGGTTTAAGAAGGTGATCAATAAATTGTGGTGATGGGAGTGGTGGTGGTGGTGATATAGTGCTGCCTGCAGTCCCAGCTGAAAGGCATAGAAGATCCAGAGCAGCCATCAGCATTGGTGGGCCAAGAAATAATACTGAGGCCTCAGCAGTTGTCCAAGATTCCAGATGCTGACACCAGGCCTGCTCTTGCACAGTTTATTTTCCTAGCAACAAGCATTTCTCTCACTGGCGAATGGGAAATCAGGTCAGCATCTTGGACCTCAGCAAGTGCCTCACCAAACTGACCATTGCTAGAAGCCTTGTTGGACATGTTATCTTCAACATAATCCATATCGCCCTGCCTGAGTGACGTTACTCCTATATGGATTTGGGGACTAGGGAAAACATTGCCTTCATCGTTAGTCTGGAGAAACTAATCTATGGTGAAGGTTTCACAAGCCAAGAATGAGCAGAGGGTTTGCTGATTTCCCTCCAGAGGTACCACAGTCCCTTTTTCTTGTTGAATATAATTTATTCAATTTCCCTAACAATCCTAGGGTTCCTATCTGTCAGTCACACTGCAGACAGAAGGAAGATGTCTTGGTAGTCTTGACTACCAGTGAAAGGTTTTGTTGGACTGTGGAATACCCTGCCCAATTCTGATTGGGAATGCCAGTCGCTGCCCAGCTTATTCCTGACATAGCTTCTAAAAAGGACGAAGTGCAAACGGCCCATATCTTGACTCGCTACCCCAGAAGAAGCTTCCAGGCAACTCTCAGGATACTTACCATAGATGTACATGATAGAGACGCACATGATGCACGAAATAACGACAAGTGAAAAGCTTGCTGCATAGTTGTCCATCAACAACAGCCAATAGATGCCAGCCTGGAGAATGGAGGGAAGGAAAGCTGTCAGTATGGGCAACACCTATTGCCTTCAGCTCAGTAAGGGCTGATTTCCCTAAGAATGCCCCCTCTCCCTGTGCCCCATACCTGTGTAGTGAGTGGAACCCCTAGAAGAAAGCCCACTACAGCCACACCTAGAGTCACAAAGGTTTTCCGACGGATGATCCACTCATTTCCTATTTCATCCACAATGGCTGTGACCAGAGTCTCCAGGAGGCAGAACTAAGGAGAGAATTGACCAAGGAGAAACAGGACGTGAGGAATATTGAGATGGCTCCAACCTCTCCATCCACCCCCTTTAGCAACAGGGCCTGCTGCCTTCCTCCTCCACCTGAACCAGTTCTAATACACTTTCAGGGCGAGGATCTGGACTGTTTGAGATGTGGCCCACAGCCTGTGATCAAAGATGCTTTCTTTGTTCTTTGGGACAACGTGGGCACAAATAACATTTTATATAACACCATTCTTATCTGTTCTTATTTTATCTGTAAGCCACATTGAGTCCCTGTCAGGGTAAAAGCTGTGATATAAATAAATGCATGAGGATGATAATAATAATAATTTTTTTTTAAAAAAAATGTAACTTTTTTGTCTGCAGTAGGGATAGCCAAAGAGATACCTTTCAGATGTTGTTAGATTACAATTCTTACCATCGTTGACCATTGGCCATGTCACATGGGGCGGATGGGAAATCTGTAGTCCAAAACATCTGGATGCAACCAGCTTGGCTACCTATCCCTAGTCCCTAAGCATGTGACTCAGCTCGTCCTTGCTCTACCCAGTCTGGAAAAAGGAGAATTCATTTCTGATGCAGTGCCCTGGGTGATTTCTGTCAAACCCTCCATCACCCAGTTCTGCAATGCCTCAGACACCAGTGCCCATTCTCACATATCCAGCCCTCCATTACTAAAGCACTCAAGTGCCCCAATTGCAAATGTGTCTGTTCTACATAGGTGCCTATACCCTCTCTCCCACCCCACAATATCTGATGGGTCAATTTCCATGATTACCTGTGTTCCCAGCCCCAGCAGGATGAGCATGAAGAAGAAGAGAACAGACCAAAGGGGCGAGATAGGAAGTAGTGTCAGTGCCTCTGGATATGCCACGAAGGCCAAGCCAGGACCATGGTCAGCCACCTTGGAAACATCCACACCTAGATGATTGGCCATGAAACCAAGGATGGAGAAGATGACGAAGCCTGCATAGACACTTGTGGCGCAGTTGGTGATGCTGATGATGATGCTGTCCCTGTTGGAAGTGGGAGGACATGTCACATTATGAGACACCAAGGAAAGGGTCAAAGAATGAGCCTTGGAGGTGGAGAGAAGGAGAGATTATTTCAGCCATGAAAAAATCATTGAATGAAGGAGGAAAAGGTCAAGCGAATGGTTTCATGGTATCTCATGTACTTTGTATTTCCTAAAGCTAAGCGCTTCTAACTCTCAACAATATCACCAGAGATAAGCAGCTCTGATTTATGGAGGAACAAAAAAGCGTAAGACACAAAATTTAAATTTTAAAAGGAGTAGGGAAAATCACCTCTTACTTCCCTTAACAAAGTGTGGCTGACATATATATGAGGTAACTAGTCCACCGTGTTTAATTCTGAACATATCCCCTATATTAGGGGTAGCTAATCTGTGGCCCTTAGAGTACATCATCCCTGACCATTGGCCATGCTGGCTGGGACTGATGGGAGCTGGCGGTCAACAACGTCTGGAGGACCACAGGTTAGCCACCTTGCCCTATATGTTTTATTAAGGCTCTGGTGATGAAATCAAGTCCCTAGACTTCATGGTTTTATGGAACAACTTGAAAATGGGCAGCATCTAAAATTGAGCACCTCAAAATGGAAGGGGTGCACCTCCCTATAGACACCTTCCAGAGACAAGAACTATGCCACGCCAACAAATAGTTTCAACATCCTTTCTGGATTGCTTATAGAATGAATCTTACCTGTAGCAATTGTTGTGGAACTTGTTATATGATGCCATGGTGATAAGTCCACCCCAGGCACAGCCCAATGAATAGAAGATCTGGGAAGCTGCATCTCCCCATACCTACGAAAGACAAGGAAAGGGCATTACCAGCACAGCTCCCCAAACTCCTATGGTAAGGAGGGGAGGGGAAGAGGTGGTGTGATCATGAAATCCCAGAGATCATGTCCCAGGGGCAACAGCTCAAGCCTACCAGGCATTCCACACAAGTACCTTTGCATCAAGAATTTTGTCCCACTGCGGTGTCAGATAGTACATGATCCCGGTAACGGCTCCTTCAAGGGTTATCCCCCGCACAAATAAGATTGTCAGCACCACGTACGGGAAGGTTGCCGTGAAATACACAACCTGGGAGTCAATAGGAAAGTTGGATGAGAACATTAGAAGAGTCAGCTGGATCAGGCCAATGGCATCCAATGTCCAGTGTTCTGTTGTCACTGCGGCCACTCAGATGCTTGTGGGAAACCTTCAAGCAGGACCCGAGCACAAGAGCACTCTATCTGCCTATGGTTTCCAGCAACTGGACAAAGATGTCTTCTCCCCCAGAAAACTTAGTTTCATCACTGTGTCAGTCGCAACAGGCTTGCAACTTAACTTTTACTCCCCGTCCCGCTCTTAAGGAAAACTTGCCACTGTTGTTACTGCTATTGTTGAATGTTTCTTTAGTACAACGTTTCTCAAACTTGCATCTCCAGCTGTTGTTGGACTATAGTTCCCATCATCTCAGACCACTGGTCCTGCTAGCTAGGGATGGTGGGAGTTGTAGGCCAACAGCAGCAGGAGACCCAAGTGAGGAACACTGCTTTAGTACCAACAGTCTGTTTGGCAGCATGATTTTTCTGCCTATATCATGAATCCGTGTCCCCTGCTTAGTCAAGGTCTAAGCACTGGGCACACAGCTCAGCCTCTTCCTAAGGATCTAGAAGGGCAATTCTGAAGTAAACGTTTCTCACAAGCAACTCATTAGGCCTGGATAAGAGAGGAGGGGTAGACTGTTCACAGGCATTGGGTAGGCCATGTTGGAGGGCCAGAGAGGTCATTGTGCTTTGGATTTCCATGGAGAAGTTAGAAGAGAAGGAACACTACTTGCTTTTCCTGAGGACTTGACACCCTTGATGAGGCAGAGGAAGACGACGACCCAAGAGACACCCAGACAACCCAGAAGAGGGAGCCGTACTTCGCCCAGGTTCCCAATGTCATCCGACAGCTTCAGCACATACCGCCTGGGGTAGAAGACAGCAGCACAAACCAGAGTTCATATGTGCTCCAGAAAACACACCCCAACCAATCTGCACCTGCCCAACCTGCCCCCACCCAAAGGTCCAACCCCAGACATTAGGGCTGCTGACATTGCCAGGAGTGACAGCCTATTATGTTAAATGCTGGCGTAATGGCCTTATGACATTAGCTGCTTTGATCAAACAGTTGAAAATCAGAGATAGGAACCTGTGCATAAGTAAGCAAGCAAGCAAGCAAGCAAGCAAGCAAGCGAGTGAATACACACAATTTAGCACTAGCCTCAAGGTTTTGGTTATTTCTAGACCACTTGCATCATGAGACTTAGAAAAAGAAAAAAAATATCACAAGCATCTCTCAGATTCCTATGGGAACAGTCAATTTATAACCCTCCTCACAATATAAGAAACATTTCAGGGCCCGACTGGAGCTGAGGTCAATCAGAAGATGAATATAAAAATAATCCTCAACATATATTCTGTTCCCATCTTGTAATTCAAGAGGCAAAATACACAGGATGGTTTTGAACTTTTAAAGTGAAAATGCTGCAGGCTCATATTCACACCTACTATCTCCATCCCTTGGCTCAGCAATAAAGAGCCTGCCTTCTAATTATCCAGATGTGCTTGCCTCTGGCTGCAAATCCTTAGACACTCTCCCATCATTTATGACAAACAAGAGGTTTCCCCACATTCATTCTGATGACCCATGAAACTTTCAGGACAGCTGCATTCAAAACTTTTGTGCTTGGTCCCTATTTGGGGCAACATCTCTCCAATATGCAGCCTCCCTTAGAGACACCCAGTGATCCCAGGTCTGGAGCGTTTTGGTAACATCCTTAACAATTTAGGGAAGGTAAAAATAAGGCCATGATCTCCATCTGGCATATTTGAACTAAGATGTGTCCATGGTGGTCAGCTTGTCCTCTTGTGAGGCAGGCCCTCAATTCCCGACTGACAAGCTGGTTCCCTCTTCATCCCACACCCATTTGCCCCCCTCCATCATCATCACCTCCAGTATTCCTCACTGGGGCTCGTGCGCTTGGCCGTCTGGTTAAAGAGTTGTGTGAAGTTGAGCGATGACCCAGCTGAGCCATTGGTAACGTCCAACACACCAGCGCAATCAGGTGTGTTCCAGTAGTTGCCGCAGTACGTCCAGGGTAGCACCCGTGTCATTGATGAGAAGAAATAATAGAAGGCGATGCAGATCACAACATTGTAGTAGATTCCAATGTAGCTGGACACAACCATCATACCATACCCAACACCTGGAGGGAAAGGAAAGCGTGAGCACAAGTTGCAAGGGGGAGAGCTCTAAGGCATCTAGGGATGGGAGTTTGCAGCCAAATAAAGTATATGGCCTGTGCAAGTATGGACACACATACACTGAGGCTGTGGATATAAGGCACAGGCAGACAAACTGCAGAACAATTTGGGCCTGGTTGTGCAATTTGTTGATTTATTATTTAACGTACCAAGACCTCAGCTTTCTGCCTAGTCAGCCCTCAGGCCTGCATGCCTGCCCACCCCTTTCACACATTATGCTGCTGCTGCCTGCCCTCCCTGGTTCACTAACAGCAAAGGCACAACTGCAACAAGGAGCGTGGGATGCAGGTGGAGGGAGCACACTGGCTGCACAGATGCTGCATCATGCCCTGCATGGTCTCCTGCACTTACAACAGGGGAGACTAAGCATGATGGAAAGGAAGTGGTATTACATGTGCAGTATTACATGTTCTAAATTTTGCTTTTGAACTAATCCTGCCCAGAGATGCCAAAGGTCCACTGCCCCAAAATACTGATTATCTGTCTTAAATTGATTTTGCTCCTAGCAACTCCAGTTGAAATGCAAATACTGTACGGATGTGCGCACAAGTCTCTACCCACACATGGGGAGCAAAGGATGCAGACTGCAAATGTGTTTGTAGCACAATAACCGGACAGAATGTATGCACTGAATGTGCTGCCTCTCACCTTTGAACATGGGGCTAATCCTCCAGACACCAAGGCAGCCCTGGCTAGCAAACTGTCCAAACGAGAGCTCCATGAAGAAGAGGGGGATCCCGCAGAACACCAACATGATGAAGTAGGGGAACATGAAAGCACCTGGAGACAGAAGAGGAAATGAGCACCGGAGAGGAACCATAGCTCAGGGGTAAAGCACATGCTTTGTAGGCAAAAAGGTCCCTCTCCAGCATCTCAAGATGAAAAAGCTCAAGATGGGATGTCATATTCATTTGTTGTACTTACATCCCACTTTCCCCTCGTTTAACTTCTCCCCCTGGTGAGGTAGTGATTTGAGTCCTGGTTTCCCCCATGTCCTAGTCTGAGGCTCTGAACCACTATATCACATCGAGGAAAGACCTCTTCTACCTGGCACACTGGGCTAGATGGACAAATAGTCTTAGTACAAGGCAATTTCCTGTGCTTCAAGCCAGTGGAAAAGGAGCTTCAAAACCCTTAAGAAATGCAGAGATTTCCCCCAAGTGTCATATTCTGGGTGGGGAGAAAGCTGCCCAGAGTGTGGCATGGAATCCCAGTCCTCTCCTGCAGGAGGAGCCCTATATTCACCAGATAGTTGTGTATGAAGCTCCTAGGATACACCTTCGTCTGTGGGGACAAAGTTCCATCCCGGAACTAGCAGGACACAGCACTGCAATTCCCACCACACACAAACACACACACCAGTGCTATACCAGAGCACTGGGTTTAGTGCCGGCTGGGGGCAGGGAATCAGTCCTACCCTGCTATTTGCAACACTGCACATGCTCTAGCCCCAGACAGTGTCAGGGCCAGGACTGTCAGCAAATGCAATGCAGAGTGGGTCCTATCTCTCTTGTGCTGCATGCACCCTTCCCCGGCCAATACTCACCTCCTCCATTGCGATAGCAGAGGTAAGGGAAGCGCCATACATTGCCAAGCCCAACAGCGTAGCCAACGCTCGTGAGAACAAACTCGATCTGGTTGCCCCAGTTGCCACGCTTGAGGTTCTCGTCTCGCTTAGCCGTCTCGCCAGGCACAGCACCATTCTGCCAGAAGAGGACAGTCAGTTATTGCAGGTAGGGGAATGGCAAGAGGGTGGGCAGAGGTAAGTTATCCTATTCCTTCCTTCTGGGTCTCCCCTACTGTCAATCCTGTAAGGTCTTCCCACAAAAAGAGGGGCTTTAGAAGGGGCAACAGGCAGATAACAAAACAAGTCATATGGATGGGGACACACACACACAAACACACACACACCCTTCTGCAACTTTGGATGCTTGCGCTGCTGGTGGTTTAAAGTCACTCCCCTTCCCCAGCTGGAGGCAAAGCAGGCAGGGGGCGGAGAGTTTGATTATGCTAAGGGGGCTGCTACCCCCTGCCTGCCCAGATGAATAGTCCTGGGTCAGGCTGTAGGGAAGCTGGCAGCTGCAGCCCATACAAAGCAGGCATAAGAGGAGTCAGCACAAAGGAGCCTCTGTGCCTGTTCCCTCTGCCTGCCTACTGATGGAGCACAAGAGGCTACAGGAAAGGCAAGCAGATCCCTTTACTCACTGGCAGGGAAGCTAAGCCCATCAGGGCATCAGAAAAGCCCTGCTGGACCACACCAAGCCCCACCTAACCCAGCATACTGCTTCCATCAGTGGCCAGAACAATTGCTTTGGGAAGCCCACAAGCCAGGAGGGGGGCTTCATGAAGATACCTGTTGTTTTGTCCCTGGCACCTGATATTTACAGATTTATCTGAATCATTTATGTCATTACTTCATGAATGAACTCTCCATGTGGAGGTTTCATTTAAGCCAGAGGTTTTCAACCTTCTTGAGTCCATGGCTCCCTTGACCAACTACGTTCTTTCTGTGTTACCCCTGTGGGGCTCAGGAGCCCAGTTATGTCACCCCTTGCTTGCAGAGCTGGCAGCCTCACACACTTTTTTGAACACCCCCCCTTGTGGAGTGTTCCCTCAGCCTCCTCTCCGCTTCCCTCTCCTTGGGAGTCCTCCAGGCAGCACCTTAAATTGGGAGGCAGCAGTGGCTGCAGCAGGAGCCACTGGGCCTACATGGCAGATAGGCTCCCCTTCAGCACAGGGCACTCGGATCCCAGGCAAGCCTTGGAAACAGCAAGAACAAGAAAGGCCAGCGCAGTACCTGCCTGCCTGCCCGGCCTCCCAATTGTCTGTCCATTCCCCACAGCAAGGGCTGGCGGACTGGCTGGCTGGGCTCCCTCATCCACTTGCTTGCTTACTCCGAGGCTGCCTCAGCTCCTGGCAACCAACACCTCCTGGCCAGCCCCACAGGCACCAGTTGCCTGGGGAGCTTGTAGCCAGGGCTTCAACAAACAGCTATGCAAGCCTTTGGGAGGTAGATGTGAAAGGGCATCAGAGGAGGGAGGGAAGGAAAGAGGGACAGAGCCCAGTGTTGCCCGCAGCACCCCTGACCATCATTCAAGACACCCCAGGGTGCCACAGCACACTGGTTAGAAACCACTGATTTAAGCCATTGTGACCGACTGCTGTTGAGACTTCGCATCCTGTAATTATTTATCGCCCTTTACAAAGCCCTATAAGCCAGTGACCATTACTGTATCCTGTGACAGGGAATGCCCAATGTTAACTATGTTTTGTGTGAAGAAGGAACAGAAATATACTCGTGCTTGTTCCTGGCAATCTCGGGAGGAAAACTGGATCCTCTCTTTGGCTCTTGGTAGCTAATTCAGAATATGCCCATTGAGCGTACAGTCTATGGATGTTTACATGGCATCACTAAATTGCCCTTTTATAGATGTTAAGTCCCTTTTATACTCACAATTAAAGTGGGGAAATTACTATATCTGACCTGTCAGCCCATAAGTGAGAGCTGTTCTATTAAGAACATATAATGGTAAACGGACTACAGGCAACTCCCCGTTTGCATGAGGATTGAGTTCCGGGTCACTGCGCATGTCAGCGGTCACATGTAAGCCTGTTCCACCCCCACCCCCATCTGGGGCCAAAAACAACATATGCACCAGCAAATTTGGGTTGCACAGTTATAACTTGTGTGACAAGCCAGCTTCTTCCCTGTAAGACTGGAAACTGGTGGGAAGAATGCACTAGAGAGTGGAGAGGGTGGGGAGAGAAACACTTGCTTTGACGCAATGTCATCTAATCTCCCCAAAAACAATTCCGAACCAATGGTCATTAAATAGCCAATGTTATCTCCCTGCAAACAAATCAGGGCGAATGCTTAGTAAACAGGTCATCTGGAAGGAAGTGCCCACGGTGTGTCTATCTGTGACAAAGGCTGGTTATTGGCTGTAGTAAAAGAATATCACCAGGAGAGGGAGCCTCAGTCCTCCTTAATCATACCGAGTCCTTTAAGGTCTGTCAGAGAAAATAAATGATACTAAAAAATCTTGGCCCATCACCCTAGAGTTCCCCTTCTGAATGCGTCCAATGCTAGCCCAAGCCTTAGACATGCCCCCAATTTCTCTATCCCCTAAGGGGCAGGGGGAAGAACAGAGGCTACTTGCCGCAGCGTTGACAGAGCCAAGGTCTGAGCTACCTTTGGAACAGTACGACTTCCAAGTGGCTGGAAGCACTCAGCCCCACACAGAAGAAGCCCAAGCACCACACAGGACAGGATGCTATCATCAAGCGCAGCCGCTTTCTGCTGGACAAAAATGGAGCTTTTGTGCATCTAGCTCCATCCTGGCACCACCAGTTCCCTGTACTGCCCAAGGATAACAATGGCAGCCTTCAGATCAAAGGAACGGGAGATGTGCTGTGTCAACAACAAAGCCTGGCTTCTCTTCGCTTAGAGCGGATGGGGCACATCTGGCCGTGCTCTGGAGCAATATTTCTCTGGCGGCTACTGCCTGTACCTTGCCCCCTCCTCCTACTGAGAGATGGGACATCACCTGAAGATGCTTCTGGGTTCAGTTCTCCTGCACGAGACTTAAGTGATCGTTAGTTCGCTTGCCTACCTACTTGAGGGGTAAATCAGAATTTGAAGTAAGTTGGATCAGCAATTTGCAAAGACTCTCCTCTATCAACTGCCACTTGGAAAATTATTAACATCTTATTAAGAAAATTTCAGTTATAGAGAAAATAAACTGATAAAAGAGAAGGGAGAGAGAGAAGTACAAATAAAAAAGCAAAAAAATTAAAACATAAGAAAAGACATAGGATACACTAAATATAATCAGCTACACTACCATACATATAGATATATCAGTACTATTGTTGTCTAGATACATATATGGTTATTAATAATCTACTATATTCTGTATAATCTCATTGCAAATGTCAATATATTTCACCTATTATTCATAAGCAATTAAATAAACCATGACAGAGCTGTTTCTTTCCAGTTGAAGGAGTGATCTGCCAATAAGCAAAGATTGGGAGCAGGGCGTTGCAGCTGGCGCATCCTAGAATCCCTTGGTTATACGGATGGATGATCAGCCCTGTGCTAGCAGCTTTTGCATCTTGACTGTTTAAATCAGGGGCAGGGAAACTTGTGGCCCTCCAGACACTGCAGGGCCGCAATTCCCACCATCCTCAACCAGGGATGCTGGGGTTTGTAGTTCAGCCACAGGTTTCCCCAACCCTGGGTTTAAACCTCCCCAACCCAATGCTGCTGCTTCTCATGAGGGTCTAAAGCATTTCCTTTTATTTTCTGAGAAACTCACATTGGCTCCTGCGGTTTGCACCTCACACCCAGCCAGTGATCCCTCCAGTTGCTGGTGTGTTAGGAAGAGGGTGCTGCACTTGAGTGCTTATGAGATAGGTCAGCTTTACTACAGGAAGGAGAAAAAAGGGTATTGTAAAGGAAAAGTGGGTGTCCTAGGAAAGGAGCTCTTGGCCTCTGTGGGCCCTCCTGTTCATGGCTGGGGATCCAGCAGCAGCCTGCCCCTGCCCCATGTTCCAGGATGCTTTGCTGGGGAGGATGTTGCTCCCTGAGCCCCACTACTTCTCGGGAGCTCCGAGATGAACAGGCTGCCAGCAGGAGCGTTTCGCAGGAGCCTCTCCTGTGGATGCACCTCCTTTGCTCTCCCTCTGGTGCACGCAGCACACTCCACGTAGGCGCACGTGGCTGCCCGCTGATCGCAAACAATTGCTGTGAGCACTCAGCAAATGGAAGCCGTCGTTTCAGCTTTGCCTCCTGCCACTGGGATGGGAGGGGGCTGGCAGCCGGCGAGTTGTGCACCTAACCGTGTCATTCAATTAGAGCCAGCAGCCGCTCTGGCACAGAGCTGCCAAGGAGCCATCTGCTGCGCTAACTGGGGGGACTGGCAGGGTACGGGAGAGCCACGCCTGCTAGAAGTGACCTCTGCTGTGAGCCCTGGCCATGGAAGCCGGAGTGGGGATTGTGGCATCATGGGGACTCGGCAGCAACCTAAAGGATCACCTCCAAGGATCTTCATGCTCTGCAAGGGACAAGGAGACCCTGCACACAACCTGTCTCCAAAGAAAAGACCGCACACAATACATTTATAGCACACACACCCCAAAAGAATCCTGGGAGCTGTAGTTGGTTAAAGGTACTGAGAAGTGTAGCTCTATGAGGGGCAAACTACAATTCCCATTATCCTTAGGGGGGGTGTTTTAAAAGTATGGTATGTACAAAGGTATACATTTGCCAGTGGCAAGCAGGGAGTAATACCACATCCTAATATCCTTATCCCAATCTTTCTCTGTATTCTTCACATCCACCCTTGACACAAGGGAGGCTTGAAGTCATTTCCCCACGATAAGTGGAGTCTTGGAGGGGCAAATGCAAAGAGGGGAAGTCAGCAAACACTTTGCACACACAGAATGCACCCCAACCATAGTTGCAAGACAAGGGAGTCAGGCCAAGAGACAATCCTGCATCATGGCAACGTTTGACCCAGCAGTTCCAAGGGCTGCTCTTATGGGGGATGTTTGTGTTTTAGGGGCAGAGAATCTGGCACTTTTGAAGAGCTGTAGCACAATATAACCTTTAACAGATGTTGCCTCTCCTCCATCAATTCTGAAATGAGAAACAGAATATGAACAGAGCCCCAGAGCGTTCCAAGACTAGCAGTGAGATACATGTATTTATGCATATTTGTCCCAAGGTTTCTCTGCATGCTTGTTTACAGAAAAGTATGTGTGTAACTGTTACATACCTGCACATATACATGTGTATACATGCATCTAGGTATGTGCAAATAACCTTGCATGGTTTGCTTAGAGGGGGATAAGGTTGATGGCCTGAGCATTGCCAGCAACTTTCCCTTGGTGCCTTTTGGCTGAAGGCTAAACCAGCCCTGTCACATGGGGTCTTTAATATGGGTGGCTACTCTTAACCAAACAGCCTTCTCCCTCCAGATACAGTCAAGCTGTTACTGCATAAATGCAGCTTCTGGAGGGGCAGTTCTGTTAATCTGTTGCAGCAAAACCAACAAAGTGCCTTGTGGCATCTTAAAGACTGAACCAATTTATTACGACACTAAGTATTATCCTCATTTGGTACTGTAAATACACCACACACTCACACTGCGCATAGCAAAAAGAAGAAGAAAAAGGACAACCAGTGGAGCGGAATGGCAATAAAATGCAAAAAGTACATGCAAAGACTGAATTGAACTTAAATGGGGATGGGAAGAGCAGCAGCATTCACAACAGCAGTAACTAGTAAAAATACAACCATCCTAGCATTGTTAATTAGCAAACTGTACTGGGACAGGAACCACTGTGTCTATTTATGCCCAAACAGATACAAGAAAACTTCTTAATAAGTTCTGATTCAGTCCTTTCAGCTGCTGACATCTCTCTTTAACATTTCCATGTTGAAGAGAAGCAGCTTCCAGGTCAGCAGTGGAGTGTGTCGGAAGAATTAAATGTTCGTTCAGTGGATTCTGATAAAAAGACAGGTATCTCACCATATCAGACCTGGGCTAGCAGCTCCAGCCCACTTGGATGATGGCGTATGTGTAATTTTATCTCAAAGAGTCCCCACAAAGACAATCTGAGGATATTGGCGCAATAACAGGTTATTCCACTCCTGGCTTTCGTGGCAAGTTTCCTATTAAGGTTCTGGGGCTGTACCCACCTGAAGGAAGCTTCTTTCTTTGGCTTTGTAAGATGTGTGACACAATTGACAGCAGAGGCTCCTCAGTGCTTTTCCACTTAGACCAATAGGCCTTTCACCAGGGCACAGCAGGGAATCTGGGGCAGAGAGAGGAAGTGCTAGCACCCCCTCCCTTTCTCTCACCCGCGGAAGCAGGGAGTCCAGATGCTGTAAATCAAGCAATGAGTGCGTTCCCAGCTCCCCTCCCGCTCTGCCCCCCATTCCTTCTGCATTGATCGAGTCCTTGCCGGGTGCTTGCGGCCATTCATGTTCCCTGAGCATGGGCTCGGGACGAGATGTTCAGGCGGCAGCCACATGTGACCGCGTGGCACGTTCGCTGGCACAGTTAATGGGGTTGCCAGCCTGGCTACACAGCACTTTGCAAGGAATTGGATACACAGCCTGGTAGCCTTCCCCATAAGGAGTCATAACGGTGCGGTAGCTATGTCAGGCTGTTGCAGCAAAAACAGCAAGAATATTGCGGCATCTCAAAGACCTGTGGAATAGAGTCCACTTTATCAGATGCATGAAGCGTTATCCTGCATTTGCTGTGGTGGTGGGGGTCTCTCTCTGAGTGCATGTATGTATATCAGCTGTGCCTGCATGCCACAATAATGCTGTTGGAAGCGGAGTTCTGATTTGTTACCATGAAATAAACCAAAAATGTAAAGCCAAGAACAAAAGTTGACTGCTGTTCACAACTGCCCAGAAATAAATATACCATGAATACGTTTGTTTGTTTTTACACTAAAACTTTGTCAAATCGCTATACAAATCGTTGTGTATGGCCAACACACACATCCTCTCTCTAATAATTAGTAAACTAATTAACAATGTGGTAAGATGAGCTACTGTTGCTCGATTCTGGCACAGGTGAGAGAACTGAACTTTTCATAAATTACAGTTCAGCAGTTTCAAGCTGGAAGTCTCCCTCTGAAGTTCCTTTACTCAAGAAGGTCAGTAACAGTGAACTGGGTGGTTGTTTATGAATAGGGTAGCAGTTTATGATGTTCTAGTACTGTAACATGAAGCCCCAGGGTATCACACAACACAACTGCCTCTATCCTTTATATTCTACTTGCGTCAGCTTGACATTAAAGAATGACTCTACACCATTAGGCTGTGAAGAAAAATGGTCATAGTTTGTCCTACCAGTTCAGCTGTCCTAGCTGGTACACAGTTTCCCATGGCCAAAGGAGCAGCATCTCAAGAGTAAGGGCAGCACTGTAGTTGGCTGCAGGTCAGATCCTCCATGGCTGACTTCTTAAAGCATGCTGCTCACTCTGAGTAGCCTAATCCAACTTGAATTGCAAAGCGAGCGCTAATGAGGCTTCTGTTCTGCTTAATTAATGGGAGCTCAGTTCACTCTGGCCACGTGGTGGTCTGTTGGGCAGAGAACTCCCAACAGGAACTCAAAGAGAAGGCTGGAGTGAAACTCATGGAAGTGGCCCATTGACTTGGGCAACTCCCAGCATACACTGCTGCTTCTTAGCATGTTAGGATCAAGCCACTCTTTGCAAACAAATGCAGGGAATCGGTCCTCCACTGCTTCTGTTACTACTTCTTAGGGGGAGGTGAGTACCGAGGCTAATCCTCCGTTACCATTGCCTTTCTGTCACCTACTGGAAGAAACTACCAACCCTGCCATTTTTGGGCAGCCAAGACAAGCAGTGGCTATAGCAGGGCAGGAATGGATCACACATTCCCTTATTAGAGGAAGACATGTGAATTAGCTCCCACAGTGGGTCAGAAATTAAATCAGTTGACTTTTCATGAAGGAAAACTGTCTTGGCAAGAAAACAGGTATTTGGCGGGTCTGGCCAAATCATATATTGGTGGCAGCAATTTTACCTGTCGCATACAGACAGAATGTTTCACTGTTTGGGTAGATTTATAATGATATCCTCCAAGAACAAGGGCTGATTTAAACCAGTGCTTTAAATAAAGTATAAAACATATTTTATACTAAATTCTGCCTCAGCTTTATACTACTACCTAGGAGCATATATGGTCATGCAGCTTTCAATGGTGATGTTAATTATTCTGTTTGGCATTCTTTCTATACATATGTGTAAAGTCACTTACTTGAATACTTTTATACAGAACTTTCCAGAAACAAGGGCTGGTAGTTACTGTATAGAAGAGCACTGTTTCTCCATGGTTACATTATTTTGTTTTTTAACATTATTTTGTTTTTCCCCATTTTGCCAGCAGGACTCCCCTGTAACAGGCTCTCATTACATTGCCAGGGCATGCAGCAATACAGCCTGCTCACGCATTCCCACCCAAGGCCTGTCAAGCATCCTCAGGAAGCATCCAGCAGCTCATTCATGCTCCAGATCCAAGGGCATAAGAACCTCCTGGAGGGGGGTGGAATAGGAGAAGAACCATGTATGGGACCCTGGGGAAGAATGAGTTGCTGGGTATTCCTAGGGGCAGCAAGAGGTTAACCCAATAGGGGAAGGAACAGCTACACCAGCTTCTAGGGGGAAAGTTCCACACACCTTTCTATACTTGTGGAAGAGGATTCCATTTGGATCAGACATAAGAAAGTGATTCATAAATTTAAAAATAGCAGCAGCAACAACAACCCTGGTCCAACAAACCAAAGAATAAGCTATGAGAACACAGACTCCTGCCTCTTTCCTTTTCTCTTCCTTAATTCAACATTTCCTTGTTTCCTGAATGAGTTTCCAACAATATATGAACTAGGAAATGATCATTTGAGTGATCCCTGTCAAGCAGGATAACAAACCATGGACTGCTATCTTGGTTTGTAGGGAGCATTCAAACCACAGTTTCTTAGTTTGGACATCATGGTTTGGATGCCACCAGTTTAATAACTTAAGTAGTACTGAATTAAAGTCCGTAAGTGGGATAAAAATGAAAAGTCTAAAACAAGCTGGTAGGCAGACACACACACTTTCATTATTAGTTTATGATTCCAAGCTTCTGTTCTGACTTTGTACTTGGCAGTTCTAGAGTGGTATCTGTCTTAGCCTATTGCAACAACAACAAAAGGGTCTTGTGGCATCTTAAAGGACAACAAATTAATAAAGAGAATTACGGCATAAACGTTTGTGGACTACAGTTGATTTCATCAAGTACATAAAGTTGCAAGTATATCTTCACATGGTTATTGGTGGGGGTTGAAGAATTGCAAATGCTGATGCCAGAGGTAGTAATAAATTGTGTAAATAACAGTGGTAATTTACAAAACAGTTGTTGCTGATAACACAGAAACCCTGACATTTGTAAACTAGGTAGCACGCAGAGTGTGATAAACAAATAAACATTGTCCCAAATTTCCAATTCAGTCAACAAATTATAGCACTGAACCTCTTGATGAATTCAGTGGTTTTACACTGCAATTTCTCTTTAAAGCTCTGTGATGTCCTTGGTTTCAGTATGTATGCACAGGGGCCTCCTGTACTGACATGGTGCAGCTATTTCATCACACTATATTGGTGCAAGATGCTTTTGTGCAGGTATAAATGTATCACAAAGTTCACCTTACGTGCCAGACAATCATGATGAAAGCTACCAAGTTCTTGGTCTGCTGTGGAAGCACGGGTTTCTACCAAATTCTCCCTCTGGCAGAATTGTGAGCCCTCCTTAAATGCTGTTTGTTAAGCCTGGATTTCCTCCCCACATAGGCAGTGCACCAGGAATGAGTGCAAACAGTCACCATTCTCCGGACATTTAGCTTGCCTCTCTCCCATTACTGAAATGTTGTGGTTACTTGAGGGGGGAAATGCATTTTTAAATGTTCACCTCCCCAGGAAGGCTCTTTATCCCTGGTGCGCTCCTGAATATAGATTCTTCCTGGTGCTGCCACTATCCCCATATGAGTGCAGTACTATACCTTTCCTCACTATTTGTGACTATTGCGGAAATACCAATGCCTCAATGGACAAAAGCAAATGCTGCAAATGTTTTCATATTCAGCCGGAGCCATGTTAGAACTGATCCTGAGCAATAGTTTGAGGTGGCAGAACTAGGGGAGCCATTTACCCTGAATCCCCATGGATGCCATTAACCTGCTTCTTCCTCTAACAAAGCACAAAAGGGGAAAGTACCACAAACTTCACTTTTTACTTACAATGCTGGTGAATTCAAGAAAAAGTGTGTGTGCATCTATATTCACATATATGCATGATTTTGCATCCTCCTACCTGCACCCATCAAGTCAGGACTCATTCACACTTCCACATGCCCTGCTGCTTGCCCTCGGGGAAACCCAATCTTTACTGCTGAATTGGAGCAAAAATCAGTTGGGTTTTTGTCCAGATTGACATTTGCTCTGATTTAGCACTAAGCAGAAGGCTTTCAGGAAGTTGTGGGGCACAGGCAAAACCACTCAGACCCATGTTTTCCAGGCATGGGACAAGCGGAAGTGCGGAAGTGTAGACGAGCCCTCCGTTGCATAGCAAATGTGGTACAAATACATACTGAATTTGACCCAAGTGATGACACAGATCAGAGAGTCACCCATGGTTTCTCCTAGAGACACAGCAGGATTTCATAGGCATGAGAAGGGGAAGGAAGTTCTTATACCACCTCATGCTCATCCATCAGGACTCCCTGGCAAGAGCTACCTTTCTTATGCTAATTCACCTGTTGGCTCAACTGGTGGGCCTCATGGCTGAGCTTGTAAGGCCACTGGGCTGCTTCCAGAAGGAGGCTTCAATCAGGCAACAGGATTTATGCTAGAGAAGCTCCTGTCAGCTGCACAGCCCCTTCCGGCAAGTGGTTCCCAAGGGACATGCTGCCCTTGCGGTGGTGAAGGAAGAGAAGCAGGTCTGGGCTAGAAGCCAGGTGGCAAGGAAGGCTTAGCTAGGAGCCAAGGGAAATCCCTCTTTTGATCCCAGCTCACTCACTGCTTGAGTCAACTGGAGCCTCACCTGACCCCCACTCATTACCCCACAAAGCCTCCAACTCTGGGGCAGTGCAGGCAAGAAGACAACTAGCTGCTCAGCTTATATCAACAACAAGAAGCCTAGAGCATGCTGGAGTCAAGCTGTTCACAACATGATGCCCTCAGTACCAAAGGGAACAGGGAAGATCATTTTGGAGTGCCAGTGGGTAGAGACTGGGCACAGAATGTTCATCCTAGGCTAGGAGCTGCACAACGTGTATGTTTCTAAATATTCTAGTGGAAGTCAGGAGGAAAAGAGGAAGCAGCAGATATTACCAGAAAAGCTTTTCCCAATTCCCCCAGCCGTGCTGGTCAAAGGGCTCCCATGATCACCTTCACATACTGCACCTTTATTGCATTGAATCAGTGTTGTACTCAATATACAATGGGTCAGAGGGGAGATGACCTTTCTTACCTTATTGAGGGTTCTATGCTTCAGTCTGAAGCCCAAACATTTTAGTAAAAGTCACATGGGACATCCAGCAGAGGTGCTGCTACCCAGGTGTGTTCTGAAGGCACAGGAGGTCACCACTTGGCTGATGCTAAACAGGTTTGTGGCTGGATTGCCTGAGAACTACATGCATGCCTCCTTGGATCCCATGATAGAAGAAAGGAGGGATATAAGTGTAATAAAATAAAATAACATAATAGATGCTATTCACACAATATGTGAAAGTATATTTAATTGGAGGGAGATGCCTGAATCAGGAGATGTTGAAAGAGTGGATTATTATGCCAGTGAGAAGATAACATTAAGAATAGTGAATCCAAGCATCAAATTAAATATTATTCAGTGTTTGATGGACAGGGCTGATCTTTTCTTTTCTTTGCCTTCTTTTGCTACAACCTTTAGACTGCATTCACTATCATTCTATAGATTTTCTCCTTCTCCAACACATATTAAGTATGAGCACGGGGGGGGGGGGGCGCTTCTCATTTCATTTGCCCCCAAACCTGAATCCTTTTGGCGTAGGAAGCAGCACTTCCAAAATGGTGCTAGGCAATAAATTGCGGGGATGGAAGAGACATGCTGCTTTCCCAGGTGGGATGTTTTCTCCACCTCATCCTTCTCTGGAATTGCTATAGGATGGTGGCACTTTGGAAAAAAGATTACATAGATCAATCAGCCTTCCTCAGCCTGCTATCCTCCAGATGTGTGGGACTATAACTCCCATAAGCCTCAGCTAGAATGGCCCATGGTCAGGAGAGTGAGCATTATGGTCTACTAACATCCAGAGGGCCACAGATTGGGGAAGGTTGTCCTAGATGGATGACTAAAAAAAACCTTGCTTGCCATGTGCATCCTTGGTGCCATCTTGGAGGCACTTTCCCACCTGCCAGTTCAGGGGCTAGAGCTCTTAAAGTTAGGGCCCAGGGGCAGCATATTTTGGAGAAAATCTGCCACCCCTAAATTGCTCTTCAAATTCACACCCTGTGATGGAGCTTTCAGCTAATGATTCTTGTCACTCTGGTGCTTCTCTGTAAGCTTACCTCAACACTATTCTATATATTTCCTCCATACATTATTTGCTTTTATTACCACCCTCTTAATTCAAAATACTGTATGGTTTAATGGATGTTGAACTAAAGGGAGCCTGTTGAATGGACAGAGGCAGCAAATCAAAGTAGCACTGTCCAGCATGCCAAGAATAGCCAAAACAGGTAGAAAAGAATAAGGAACTGAGGTTGTGCATCCAAAAATAAGAGTTATGCCACCACAAGTTCTATATACACACACAGCTCTACAAGGTGACATTGAATTGCATTTGGCCCAGCGCAATTCAAACATAGTTTTGAGCTGGGAGCAGGATGAATTCATTATGCAACCCATAACCCCAAAGCAGCTACAGAACCACCTGTATGATCTGTAGCAAGTTCATCAAATCAGAAATCTCACTTTGGGTAAACCTTTGAAAGGAAATGTTGCTCCACACTGCAAAAGAAGTCACCAATTGTGATGTCCCTCCCTCCCTTCATGTACTGATGAGCAAACTTCTTTTTAATCACGGAAATTATTTGTCTGCTTCACTGACTATAACAACGGTTTGGACTCCATCTGGCACCCAGGCTGAACCTTAAATTGCTACAGAAAGCAACTGAGGGTAAAACATATGACCTGATTAAATCTATGCATCAACCCATCAAATGCAGGATAAAAATAAATAGGCAAACTGAGGTTTTAAAAGAGGCATAAAGGAGTGAGCCGGGGACGCAGCGCTCAACTCTCCTCACTCCAACCCATACACAAACTGCAACCACTATCCATCTGGCCTCAGACTTCCTTTAAATGGGACAGATCAGCTTTGGTAGCTATCACCTTCAGTGCAACAGCAAGGAAATCGACTGCAGTATCGGAGCCCCACAAGTCAGGTTGGAAGATGGTCCTACTGTGACCATCCAGGATTTTGGGTAGGTGGGATTAACTTAGTCAAGGTTTAGCCCACATACAGGCAATTTGTGGCTCTCCAGATGCTGGACTACAACTCCCATCAACCCCAGACAACATGTCCAATGGTCAGAGATGAGTTGCAGTGCAGCAATTATTTGGAGGGCCCAGTGGCAGACCTTAATTGTTGAACTGTTATGGGAGCCCCTTTGCAACCAGCAATTAGGTCTGGATAACCACTGTTATCTTCTTCAGTTGGGTTGTTTACAATCTTTACAACATCCGTGCTACTGACTCTCAAAAGTCTGAGAAATATATACTAAAACAAATAAATAATCAATTTGAGCCATGCAACTCAAATTGAGTCTACTAGACCCATTTTTTTTTTAAAAAAAAAAAGCAATGTGGATGAAAGTTGCTTCTGGGGCCCCTCTGGGATTAAGGGCCCTGAAGTTTAAATTTCATTAGTTTCGTAGCAGATCCACTCCTGGGTTCCCCATCTCTGGTTTAGGCTCTTGCCTTCGGAAGGGTGCAGTCAAGACTGATTCACAAAAAAGTAGCAATGGAAACTCAAAAGTCTTTGCCGAAGGGAGAGGAGGGGGTATCCTAAACACGATGGCTCTGGTTGTGATGCAAGCAATACATTTGCTTGCAGGTGTTGAGATTTGGTGAAGTTGGTGTTCCGTTTTTTAGAGACAGTTCCTAGATATCTTTCCTAAAAATATGAAACCTGTTCCAAAGTGCTATGAGAAAAAAACAGTAATAGGTCCCACCCCCAATAATCTTAATTAATGAGTTGATTTTTCTTTTGTACTTGTAGTCATTCTGATACTTCATTTAAAGTTTCATAGTATATTTCTTGGTACATCCAAAACTAAGGGAACTGAACGCGATTTTCATTTTTTTAAGTCATTCTTGCTGGCTGTGGGACTTCTTCTAGAAGTGCAAAAATGCTGTGTTCCCCTTACCGCAAACCAAGTTGCAGAACTTACAAATTGCAGCTGGCTTCCAGTATTTGAAGTTTCTTGCTAGTATTGATATCTCTTGTGAAAATGATAGTATAACCAAGTCAGTATTAATACAATTTTTAAAAGGTTCAATTTCCTCTCTTTTAAATTTACTGCTGACAAATCACCAAAAATATGACTATTCACCCTATACTATACTTTGTGTTGAAAGCCATGCATATAAAGGTATTGTTTGCTTGTGGCTGATGCAAGACATTTTGCTGCCTTTGGCAAAAGACAAAAGGGCATCTCACCATTCCATGTACAGAAGCCAACTAGACTAGCATTTAAATCTTATTTCAATACTAGCAATGGTATAGTGTCCACCATACCTGAGGGCAGCAGACTACTTCTGTGGTTGCAGGATATGTCACAAGGCAGCATTGTCCTCAACAAAATGGTATGGTCCGGGAACTCACCAGGAGGAATACCCAAGGGGCTGCTGTCATTGCACCCCAGCACCTGGTAAATTAGACAGTCACCTCACTCTGTCTAATGGTAGGGCTGGCCTTGTTGATGCCTTTTCTTCTTGCTTTTAGTTGTTTTCACTTTTAAAAAGTTACTGAGAGCATGTATCCTGCAATCTGTTTCAGGAATGCCTCTGTTCAAAGGCTCAGATAAATTCCTTGTCCAAACCCCTGACCACAGACACTGTCCCAGCAGTGCAATCAGTGCATCAGTGTCTGAAACTTCCCCTTTACTCCACACAGAGCATCAAAAGTTCTGGGCAGGTGTTACTAAGAAAAGTGAGGGGAAACTTCTTGGCTCCATGGGCCAGATCCTTAGCAGGATCTGATCTAGCCTCACAGGCCAAATTTGACAGGTGGGTGAGGCTTCCCACCTGTCAATCACCTGACTGCACAAGGAAATCAGTGCTTTGAGGTCTCAAAGCTATGACTTCAAAGCACCACATGCAGCCAATCCAGCAGGCTTCCGATCCACAAATTGGTGGTGGGCAAGCCTGTTTTCCCTTGCTAATTCACAACAAGGAGTGCACTTCAAGGTTCCTGATTGTGCATTGGCAGATGCATCTTACCTGCCCCGCACCTAACGTCATATATGACATCAGGTGTGGGGCAGCTGGGGTGGATGGCCATATTTGAACCTCTGGTGAGCCAAGTTTGCTCCGTGGGCCAGAGGTTCCCCACCCCTGTGCTAAAGTGTGCAGGAAGTGGAGTTACCAATAGCTACATGGTCTTTACAGCCCCTCATGCAGTAAATTCTGTTCTCTGGCTCTCTCTAGAGGCCACGGGGAAACACAGCAGCTCCCCACACCTCCAGCTGGCAAATGGAATTTAATGTATATAAGCTGTGAGGGTACAATGGTGACCCCAAAGGTGTAGGGCCTGAGTAGTGCTGGAAAGCATTTCCTGCTACCAGACAACACACACCATAAGGTGATGGAAGGGAGCAATACAAGAAAGCAAGGGCTAGAGCTCTCAAAAAGAAAAAGGCCACCTTACTGAAGTCTCCAGCGGGGGGGATAATGCACATGTGCAGCCACAAAAGTTTATTCACTCACACCTACAACCATAACCAACCTTAAATGCAGACTTTCTGGCTTCATAAAGCGGATGGAACGGCAGCCAAGCAGCAGCCCCCCCTTTCTGCACTCCTGTATGTTTATGGGCTGGAGCCCCCAAAGTGTTTTATGCATCTCCACCCTCATGAGAAACAGCCTGGCAGTGATGCCTGAGCCACATTGAGCCTGGCAATTCCTCACCTCTTTGCGCTGTCTCCCCGGGAGCCAGCACAAAGAGGCTTTGAGAGAGTGTGGTTACCAGCTTTCATTGAGTCTCCGGCATTAACTTCTCCCCTTTACCCCCTTTTTAAACTTGCTGTGGCAGCCGCAGCAACAGGACCCCCTCGCTTCTTTGTGGAACTTGAACACTCACACACACACTCACACAAATCCTTCCTCCCCCATCGGAAAAAGCTCCCTCCCCTCCCCCTCACTTTAGGGCTTTAGGGAAGATTCCCCACTGACCTGCTCTTGGGGGCAGGGAACCCCTTGGCTGCTCATTCCCGGTATCCTGGGGCGTTGCTAGAGCTGTGGCTGTTTGCTGCCTCCTTCACATCCAGCCCCGCTGCTACTGGGGCGATAATGTGCTTGCCTCTCCCTCATGAACTTGGCATTACTCTCAGCTCAGTTCTCCCAGCACCATGCTGCCCCCGCCTGCCCAGTGCCCAGCACCGCGCTGCCCAGCACCCGCCAACATTCTATACCCAGCCACATGGCTCCCCTCTACTGCTGCAATCTCTCCCTCTCTCACACACACAGAGGAGCCCACACTCCCAGAAGGACCTAGGATCACCCATTTCCTCTGCTATTAAGGCTGTATACACCCTACCACCACCAAATCCTGGGAATCATAGTTTATCTATTCACAGAGCTGCGATTCCCAGCACCTTTCATGAGCTACTTTTAATGTATGGTGCACATGCAGCCTAGTCTCCACTCTCATGGACAAAAGGTGGTTCCTCCTAACAAGTGATAACCTACAGTACACAAGGAAAGCTCATCATGTTATCTGGGAGATTTGCAGTCGGATCTTCCAGTGCTTTGGTTTTCATTAAAGATTGGGTCAGGGCAGAACTGCTGTGAAAGGCAGCATGCAACTCCTCTCGCTCAAAGCATTTCCCCTGAGCCTATTTGTCCCACTGCAGAAAGTGTACTTGGTAAACGATGAACAAACGGGAATGAGGTAAAGACTCAGAGGGAACGAAGAAAGAGCGTGGAATCCCAGCAAATTCCACATCATGCTTTCAGGCTACAAACAAATGAAGCTGGAGGGTGCAAGGCAGTGTCAGGATATATTTGACCAGCATGGCTAAACCAAGCAAAATGAGCCTGGAGGTCTATCCCTGTCGTACAGCCCATATCCATTTGCTTTCCAAGGGTCCTTTGTGGAATTGCTCTTGAGAGGTTATGGATGTACTTCATTTTCCAAGTGTGGCTCATTCCTTCCCAGCATTCAGTATTCAGATCCCACTGAACCAGGACCTAGGAAGCTGCCATATACCAAAGCCAGGCCATTGGTCTATCTAGCTGCGTAGTGTCTACATTCAACTAGCAACAACTCTTTAAGGTTTCAGCCAGAACACTTTTCCATCTCTACCTGGAGATGCTGGGGACTGAACTGGGTACCTTTTCTATGCAAATGGTTCCCATTATATCCACTGGCCTATGGAGCCAGCTATAAGCACCTTCAGGTAGAGATGCAGCAAACAGCTCCCGGGCAGGGATCTGGCTTACCTGAAGCTGAGACTTGCATGCACAGCAACATGGAAAGCTGCCGTATATCATTTATCAAGATCTGGATAGCTCAGTTGTTAGAGCTGACAATGCCAAGGCTGCAGGTTTGATCCCTGTTTGGGACAGTTGCATATTCCTCCATTGCAGGAGGCTGGACTACAGGACTCCTGGACAGTTAAGTCCAGTCAAAGGCAACTATGGCTCATCTTGCTTTCAGGCTGAGGGAGCCGGCGTTTGTCCACAGATGGTTTTCCAGGTCATGTGGCCAGCATGACTAAACCGCTTCTGGAGCAATGAAACACAGTGACATAAGCCAGAGCGCATGGAAACACCATTTACCTTCCTGCTGCAGCAGTACTTGCGATGATCCTTAGGGTCCTTTGCAACTCTACAATTCTATGATCAAGTCAGACCCTTGACCCACCTTTCCCAGGGACTGAACCTGTGACCTTCTGCATGCAAAGCAAATGTTCTACCACTGAGCTACAGCTCCTCCCCAACATCCCCAACTCTGACATCCCCACCCTGACTTCCCAATTCCATTTGGAAATGGAGAGAACTCTGGGGTGCAGGGCTGAAGGAGCATGTGGGGCCTCTTGCTCCGCTTTGCATCCAATAGTGGTGCAACCCTTTCCCATTTGCCCAGCAGGCACTCAGTGTGGTGAAAGAGCCAGCTCAGCTTGACCTCGCCTAATGAGGCCTCATTAGCAGCATCCAGCTGTTGACTGCCCCTCCCTTTCAATTAGCTAGCACTAGAAGGGGGGGGCTGCCTCACAGATGGGCTCAGACCCCACAGCGCTTGGGCAAGCAGCCGGGCGCCAAGAAGGAAAGGCAGCCAGGAAGGGCTTAAGTTCTTCTTACTCCTGCAGTGAAGGAGACTCCACCCGCTTCCGCCCCCCCCCCCACTGGCCTCTCCCAAACCCAGTGCGGGCTCAGCGCCTGTGCTTTCAGCCTGGCCCGGCTCCTTGGAGGCAGTAATACCTGGCACAGGATTACAGTCTTGCTGGAGTCTGCAGAGGCAGGCATCCTGGGCCCAAACAGATTTCATAACAACTCATTCACAGTGCTCACATACAGTATTCCTTGCTGAGCTATTTAAGTCTTGGCTTGGCACACACCCCTGGCCTTATAGGGACTTCTGCCTGCACCCACCTGTTGTAGGGCATCCCAAAAAGCCCAGCCAGTCACAGAGCTGAAAAGAAGTCAGAGCTGTAAAGAGACAGCTCTGAGACGTGTACGTGTGTGTGTGTAGCCAGGCTTGAGTCTAGTTCTTGGCATGGCAGTGTAGGTCCTGCCCCACAGCTAGCTTAGCCCTCTGAGGTCAATGGCAACTGTACGCAGCCACTTGCCCCTCTGCAGGGGCCTGTATATAGCACCACAGTCTGCTTAGGATATAGCTAACTAGCACTGGGCCTGGACTGGTGTCGAAGGCTTGATTGTGAGAGTCAAGTTTTCTCTTTCTCCTTGTCACCCTTGGATGTGTGTGTGTGTGTTCTGTAGCCATGCCTTGGCCAGATAGCTCTGCCACTCAGAGAATACCGAGAACTATGACAAGATGGTAGGTTTGAGGTCCCAGGTGGAAGATCAGTGCTGGGGCAGCCCTATGAAGCCTGCCTGTCTGGGGGTGGGGACACCCTCGGCAAGGCTGCCCCTGAAAGGGGCACAACACCAAAGGGCAACAGCAAAGGGGAGTTGTTATCCCTTTGGTGGCAGCACTGTGGGGGTGGAACGAGGGTGTGAGCCAGCCCCCTTGTGTTAAAGTTATTGTTTTCCCGGGGATGTGGTTTTAACTTGGATGGGTGCTGTTTTATTGGGAGGATGGGGTTGTTTCAAATTGTTTTTAAATGTTATATGTTAATTTGGATTTTCTATTTGTATTTGTGGGTGGGCTGGAGCATTGTTTAGGGGCTTTTGTTGGGGAGTGTATTGTTTATTAGTGTCTATACTGTACATCACAATTGTTTATTGTTTTGATTATTTTTATCATATATTTTGTGCTTTGATTATTTTTCTTACAAATTTTTTGCTTTGTACATTGTAACTTTGTGTTGTGAACTCCCCTGAGACCTACAGGTAGAGAGCAGTATGCAAATTTAAATAAATAAATAAATAAATAAATAAATAAGTGGAAACCTTTAGGCAGGCATATTGCTGGATACATGGGTTCATGACATAAATTTGCATTCAATCTCCCTATGCTAACTTAAATGTATAGATATTTAAGGGAAACTAAGGTAGCGGGTGACTAAGGTAGTGGGTTCACCGGTAGTGAACTCTGCAGTGTGCCCAGCTGTCCTATATGCAAACTTGTTTTTAAAAAGTCCCCCCCCCCAAAAAAGAGGCAAAGGAGTAGGCGATCCAGAGCCTATTGCAAAAAACCTGGGGTTCAGCAATACCCCTGCCTGCAGGTTCTCCTTCCAGTAGAGAGGGGCTATAGCACAGTGGTACGCTTACAGTTCCAGGTTCAATTCCTGGCCTCTCCAGGCAAGGCAGAGAAAGATCTGTCTGAAACCCTAAAGAACCTCTGCCAATCCTTGTTGACCATACTGAGCTAGATGGACTGACCTGGTGTAAAACACTTTCCTATATGTGAGTCTGGGTTTTGCTCAGAGTAGACACTGAGTAAAACTAGCTATCACTCATTGCCTTAAACCATTCCATTCCTCACTGAGACCTTCTGACTTTGTATCACAGTGGTATTAGGGTGCAATCCACTCTGTGAATGTGCAGTGCTGCTAAATATATCCTAATCCCCACCATGTTTTAACAATGCCTCATCTTAGGTCAGTTCTGGCTCTTTGGGTGGATGAACCAGATATGCTTAGATTAACTTTCTGAACCTTTATCCCACTATCTTGAGATGCAAAGGTTCCCAAAATTGATTGAGGTAGTGGCGAAGGGAAAAGAGCAACAACTTATCCAAGTGGAAAGGGAAGCCTATCCAATAGTGCAGACCTCACCAGCCTGGTGCCTTCCAGATGTTTTGGACTACAAATCCCATCGGCTGGAGGGCACCAGATTGGCGAAGCTGCTTTAGGGACATGTGATCCCACAGAGCCATCCCAGGTTGCCTTTCCTCCAGGGACCACATGCCACATCCTGCTGCTGCTCTCCCTTCCTCTTGATGTCATCAAAGCCATCTCCATGGTAACCATTTATGAAGTCACCATGCACTGAGCTGACCATCTGGTGACAACAATGAGCAACAGAAAAGAGGGGAAGTTAAGATGGCACAACAAATGTCTTCTATTTTCTCCAACTTGGGCTCCTCATAGGGGCACCAAGAACTTGTTTCTCAGTCTCCCCTTTTGGACTCAGTCTGACCTGCCTTGTTCTTTAGGGATGCTCTTGTTGTCTTTACTGCTTTTGATAGAATGCTAAGCCTCACCACCTCCCCTACTATGGCTTCGAGCACCCCAGCTGTTTCCTGAGCATCAACTGTCCAAGGAGCCCAATGAGGCGTGAATGAGACAGCAGAACATGGCAGGGAAGTGCAGAGAAAGGGGGGGGAGAGACCAGATGGGGTCTGGGGGGCTGCCATTGCTACACATGGACAAGGCATGGTCCAGTGATAAGCTGCCACGCATGGGGGCAGTCGGCATGCAATACTAGCTTAGAACCAGTAAGTCCCACTCTGCAAAACCTACTTGCCACCACAGCTGCAAAAGGCAAATTGAGGGTCATGCCAGCAACAGAGTCTAATTCAGCCAGAAGGTGGAGCTAGACAGGATAGGCAGGATAGGAATCCTATGTCAGATATAAAAGCAAAGGGCAAAGGAGACACATTCATTCTTGTTAGTTACATTCATTCTAATGCAAAGAAGGAAAAATACAGTTGGCAGAATGAAAATGCTTTCCGTGCAGATACAAATGTCTTACATTTCAGGAAATCAGACACCAAACTGCAGGGTGAAACTGTGCTCTTGGGGGTGGCTTATTTTTAATGGGAGATACTTATGACCAGAACACAGAAGGAACATGCTCAAACATCTCAAACTAGAACAACCGTGTTCTGCAAGGGCTACATAAATCCTGGATGGGTCAGTCTCAGGAAACCCAGCCTTGCTAAAAAATCTTGAGCTGAATGGAAGCTTAGTCATTCTTCTAAACTGGAAATATGTACAAAGACTTTATTCTACCTTAAACCATTTACAACAACAAACTTAAAGCAAGAAAGAGAGCGTCTTTCCATTTAAAACCACCACACAAGTATTTGTGCCATATCACAGAAGAGCTTCACACTGGGTTTGGGGTTCCATCTATGAGTCCCTTTGCTGTCACTTCTCATCTTTCCCTTGGAGATAAATCCAGCACAGGAATCATGGGTAAAAGTCCATGTCACCTACTATCACTGCTTAGGACAATGGTGTTCTTTGCTAGTCTCTGTGGTCCAATAATCTTAAAGTCACATCATGTACTGTGCCAATCTACATCGCAATAACTGTGTTACAGGGCCACGTACCTGTCTCTGGACATCTTTGGGGTGTTGGTGGGTGTTGCAGTGATCTACTACAGGTTCAACGGGGTGTGCTTAGTTGTATTATCTGCCGATGAACATGTATAAAGACTAACTGAATGTACACTGAAACTCTCCACAAAAGATTCTTTCAGCTGCAGACTTAGCTCAATTGTTTAGAACGATTCCCCTGTGTGTACACACACACACACACATACGGCTTGCACCTTTTGGTTTACATGCATTCACAACAGCACACCCACCCACTTCATACCAAGGGATTTGTACATCTCCTCTCCTCACCCCCACTGGTATATCACCTTGAAGCAGGTCAGAGTTTCTGGCATGCCCTTCTTACTCCCAGTTTCTCAGTTGTGTCCACGACAAAGATACATACACCCTGCAGGAACCCAGGAAGAGTGGGAGCAAGCTTTGGAAGGGTTTTAAATTCCTAGGCACATATTTATTCTCAGGCTCAGCATATGAAGGTTGAGAACAGGCCCTGACCAAAGGCTCCTATGGACAAGTAGATTTCCAGATGGGAACAGGAAGGGAATAAATCTGGCCACAGCCTTAGTTGCATCTATACTGGATAAATGTAATGCATACACAGAGCTACCTGGAAACATCTGCTGGTAGTTCAAAATGCAGGAGCTAGACTTAACAGGTGCTGGTTTATTCGGGACATGCAACCCCTCTTTTGTACAAAGTACACTGGGTCCTAGTTTGCTTCCAGGCACAATCCAAAGGGCTGATTATTGCCTTTAAAGCCATTGATGGTTTGCTTACACAGCAATCAAAACCCCTCTTGGGCCTGGCCATGGCGGGGTTGGATAGAGTGGAGCTACCTTTTGACTCAGCACTGATGCCTGAGCTTAGCCTTCCACTGGAGTAACTGCCCACTGGCAGTGTCAGCACCAGCAGTGGCTAGTTGAAATCCCCAGAACCTGGGTGTTCCAAGAGCAGGGAGGTTGTAGAGCTGAATTGGCCCAGAATCTGCTGGATCTTGAGCTGGTCTTGCTGCCACCACCTGATGGCATCAGGCTCAATCCTCCTCCATACCCCCCATCCATATGTGTGCTGCCACCACTGTGAGCAGCTGGGCTGCGGATGCCGCTGTGGCTCTGCTGCTCTGCAAAGCCCTGCCAGAGGGGTGGGGATTTGGGCTGCACTCATAGATACCTAAAGGACTGCCTCCTCCCATAAGAACCCACTCAGCTTCTATGTTCAGTGAGAGATCCTGTTCCTCATGGCCTCTCATCTTCAGAAGTACAGCAGGTGGAAACAAAAGAAAAGGCCTTTTCTGCCATGGCACCCACAATGTGGATTGCTGTTCCCTAGGATATTTCACTCACCCTCTTTTTATTTTCCACTCTTTTAGATACTTTTCTTGTTCTAGGAAGGCTTCACCATGCTTATTATGAGATTTCCTTTTCCTTCCCCCACCCCACCCCAGAAATTGTTTCTGTAATTTTACACATGTTTTTAATGTATATGTTTTATATTTTTAATACATTAGCCATCACGTGTTTCATGAAAAGGTAAAGATGGGTACGAATCTTAAAACAAATAAAATAAAAATTGGTCACAAAACTGAGTAAAAGAATCTAAACTGATGGGCACATAACTTCAGTTGACATTTTGCTACAGCCAGGCTTCCAATGTATTACTCAGAATGCAGGTGAATGCTGTGAACTGAAAATCTGGTCATAACTTCACCCATCCTCTTAAAAAGGGACAGTAAAGGCTCCTACCATTTCTGTTGTACAGTGTGAATGGGGGAGCGGTGGTAATAACTTCCGAGACAATAGCTGCAAACGAGTACTATATATTCCATTACAGACAGATGGAGTATGGGTACATTCCTCACTGTGTATGTGTGGGGCCATAATTTCACCTATAACACTGAGAGGGAGAGTAGAGTGGCATGCCATTTCTATTATAAAATAAGCTCGTCGCCTCATCCCTTACCCTCTACCTCCCAGGAAGCAGCAACAATGCAACTGAGGTGAGGTGAGCCCCACCACCTCACCCCACCATGCATATATCTCATTCTCTAACAATTCTCTATATCTCATATCTCTGTATCTCATTCTCTAACATCCAGTCGGTGTTACCACTTCGTGGATGTGAAACCAACTGAAATAAGTGAATAAACTTATGCAACAGCTTTTCTGAATGTACGGGAACTCCCACAGCAGCGGCTGACAACAGGTCTTGGGACACTTCCTTTCAACAAAAAGAAGAGTTTCCCATTTCTCATGTAGCTTTAGTAAAGCAGCCAGCAATGCTCTGCAAGATCAAAACTTAAAACCCAAACATACTCCCAACCTGTGAATCGCAGCCTTCCTGAAACACTGTGAAAGTCAGATGCTCAAACATTCAACCCACACCCAACACAGCAACATAGAATTCAATGGGAAGCAGCAAATACAAATCGGTCAACAAGTTTGGCTGCTATGGAACCTTTTGTCTGTGTAACCTCTTGTGGACAAAGGATTAGAAGATTAGAAACCTTTGTTCAATTTCAGTTCAGTGATAATTCATTGCCATTACAATATACAAAACTTTTGGCAAAGGGTATTAGAAGGACTTGCTCTCTGAAGTGTTTGTCAGAAAGTACAAGTTACAGAGCAATCCTATGCATATTTACTCAGAAGTAAGTTCTACTCAGTTCAGTGGGGCTTAGTCCTAGGGAGGTATAGGATGTCAGCCTTAATGTACAATTAACTTACAGAAACCATTTTCACAAGATATGATTGTGGCTACAACTGTAGATGTTTTTTAAAAACCAAAATCAAGAGCTGGAAAAATTCATTGGGAATAGGAGCTATACAGTGCCTTTTAGAAAAATAACTAAAAATAGAGGCCCCCATGTTTAGAGGCAGCAAGCTTCCAATTATCAGATGCTGGGGGCATAGAACAGGGGATGGCTATAGTTGCCTATGGCTGTTTTAAGTAAACTGTACTTAACTACTGGCTCTTTATTGGAAAACTCCCACTAAGAAATAGCCCTATTAAAGCAAAAATCCAAAGAACTACAGTATGTTTGTATATTCAGTTAGTTTTAGAAGATATAGTCCCATTGATTTAAATGGATCTATTCTAAACAGGACTGAGCCTGGATCCAATCCTATACTGTTGACAATATATGGAGCATCTTAGGAGGATTAAATATGCTGAGTCGAAATTGTATATATGGAGATTAGATAATGCACATATGTGCAACTATATTCAGTCAAGCTTCTTAGAAGGTGAGTTAGAAGTGAGCATAGCCCAAAGGTGAAACCTTTTATTAGACCAACTTTTGTGCGGTAAAGAAACATGCAACCACTGGAAATAATACAACACTCTTCTCAGGCAGATGAAGGTTTTAGCATGATTTGAAGGGCAGCTTGCTAAACCAATAGAAACAGATCTAAATACCTTATTTATTTTTACATGTTTTAACTTCTCTGGGAGAAACCTGGCAGGGGAAGTTTATGCCAAAAGAAGTCAAGACAGATCTATATATCTTAAAACATATTCCACTCATATATCAGACCATTAGAAACCATGATTAGCTTGAAGTTGTTCAATACGCCCAATGTGCTCCCCCCCCTTAATCCCAAAGAATTATTTTGCTTTAATCAGGAAGGAAAGCTTCCCTTTTTTTCTGTTCCAGGTCTCCCATGTGAAAGTAGTAACTTCAAGCTACTAGTGTTTTCAGATAACTTCAAAATTTGAAGTTCAAAGAAGAAGAATGTGTGCGTTCAATGCTGGGGTGTGTGTTCTATCCTGGGGGATGGAGAGACCAACATTAATGGAAACTACTATTCCAGTGCAGTCCATTTATTATCCAAATCAATGTAACTGCAGGGATAGGAGGATATGTATTTGCTTATAAAAAGCATGTCAAAGGAAGGAGAGGTACCAAGGATGCTGGCTTTCTGCACTTAAATACACCTTGAGCATGCAACATCAGAAAACGCAGGCATCCCCTCTCCCATTTCCCCCAAAAGGAAGATGTCTATGACAAAGGTGTCTCTCATTAAATGTAAATGAACTGTGAAAAAGACTACAAATTGAAATTGGAGACAATAGCTGTACCTGTCCCTCTTTGTCTGTTTGTTTTGTAACACAAAAAACTTTAAAAAAACTAATTAGAAATTAAGAAAGAAAGAAAGAAAGAAAGAAAGAAAGAAAGAAAGAAAACTCAGGCATAGTGGTGCTGGAACATCTGGTTCTTCAGCACTGGCGAATACTCCATTCTCTACCATCACCATCAAACAGAGGTGAACAAGAACTGAGACGAGAGCATGATTAGAATCAATAATTGTGCAATAAAATCCCCACATTCTGCAAGCAACATGCCACAGTTTCTCAATTAAAATAAAGTTTGCATAAACCTATGTGAACAGAGTCCGAACTTGGCTGGAAAATATTTTTTAAGGTTTTTGCAAAACTTGGATTTTTATCTTAAATTATTTATGGTAAATAAGTGTTGGGATTCAGACAAAAGTGAAGAGGAAGAGAGAATATATGCAGGAGTTTGGTGTGGGGTGTAGCTGTAAGGAGTATGATAAGTTAGGCTTATTATTGTCTTGACCTTTGGAATCCTTAAACACTAATGTTCTCATCTGAATGTTCTGTATTCTGTGCTTTTTAAAATATGGACCATGTGTTTTCATTTTTTTCTCTGCAATCATGCAAGCTGAAAAGCCATTACTGAAAAGTAACACCACCAGCATGGCAGCAGGTAACTATCAGAGGAAAACCTGCCAGTAAGAAAAGAAAAAATAAATTCTAACAAAGTTTCTAATATTTAAAAGTCAAGATGTATGGAAATCCCTGTATATTTCAAACCATAGACTCCTTATTATTAGCAATTCAAATATGGTGGTCATCTTCCCTGAACACCATTTTTAAAAAAATAACAGTGCAATCATATGCATGCTTACGCAAAAGTCAATCCAATTATTTTCAGTAGAGCTTATTTTCCAGTAAGTGTGCTTTGGTCACGTTCTTAAGCAAGCTAGGATTCTTGGGATTTTAGCTATTGTGTCCCATGTTAAATGTTTATTCTTTGTTCTATGGCAGGCATAGCCAAACTTGGCCCTCCAGATGTTTTGAGACTACAATTCCCATCAACCCTGACCACTGGTCCTGTTAGCTAGGGATGATGGGAGTTGTAGTCCCAAAACATCTGGAGGGCCAAGTTTGGCCATGTCTGTCTATGGCATGACAACAGCCAAGCATATTTGCAGAACTCCCAAGGACTAGAATGCAAGTGTGATGAAGGTACTTTGGTGGGACACTGACCAACAGTACAGATAGATAAGCGGCAACTCGGAGTCTAGGCAATCTTATGGCACATCACATATAATGCTTCAAGCAACTCACTCTAAATTTCCACTCAGTTGATGCAGATCAGGGGAAGAGAGAGAGAGAGAGAGAGAGAGATAACCCACAAATATTCTATCAAGCAGAGCACCCCTTAGAAGCTCATTGAAAAGAGTGGTGTAATGCTTCAATATGTGTGTCAGGTCATGCTGGAGGGGTTGAGGGACTGGAGTGACAGAAGCCTTTGCCTGAGTAGACAGACAACTTGATGCAGTTGAGCCTCATCTACCCTTGATTACACTGTGAATATCAGCAACAGGGCTGGTGTGCCAGGTACATATAACACCTCAGGATACGATAGGTGCATTTCAAAAGGATGGGACTGGGTCCTATCTAGCTGCCTCATTCACAGGTGGCAGCTCTTGTCTCTGTCATGGGTGTGGGGGGAGAACATGGGGCAAGGAAGTGGGTAAGGAGGGAAAGAAAGAGGCCTGTGCCAAACACATACATCCTCAGGCGACTTTCTCAGGCCCCGCTGACAGCCCGGCCTCAATTCTCCAGGGCTGCTCAGGCAGAAAATCCTCACCAACCCCCCTCCTTCTGCTCCCCCCTTATTATTCCAGCCAGAGGAGCTTCCGCAGCCTAGTAAAGGCTCAGCACCCACAGCGGGGGTGGTTTGGCCAGAGGCCGGCAGGCATGAACCAGGCTTAAATCTCTTGAAACCCAGAAGTAAAATTCCCTCATTAGGCTTGAACCCCGCAGCTAAGTGGAAGACAACCGCCCGGGTCATCACTGCAATATATGCCACGGACGCCCCTGCCCTCTTTACCCGCCCCGTCTGCCTAAAAATCCCCCAGCAGATGCTGCAAGCCCCCAGGCAGCCAGGGAATCTGCCCAAGAGTCAGGAGGCGCTGGCAGGGGTTGCTGTGCAAACAAAGGCAATGGCAAATCCAAGGACAAAACATAATGTCCTTAAAAACGAGCAAGTGAGAGAGTGTCTGGCACTGACTTCTGCTGGGGGAAATGCCACCCCCTCAATGGGAGAAAACACACACACACACCCATCAGGCAGTGTCAGGGCAGCAAATGGGATTTGTGAATGGATCCCCATTCCAGTGAAAAAGGCAAGCTGCCTCAAGAGCTCAGCATCCTCTCTCTCACTCTACTTAGTACCCTCTCCAGGATTCACTGTGTCTCCTGACATCTCCCTGGGAATCAGGGTTCCCAGCCGAATTAAAGGTACTGCAGTCCGCTACACACTATTGCAGATCCCCCTTTACTACCACACTAGCCATCCCCCTTTACTATCTGGGCCCCAATCCCACTGCAGGCAGCCTGGAGGGATGCTGTAGCTGGCTGGAGCCCAGGTCTTGTCCATCCGGACTCAGGAAGCAGCAGGACAGAGCTGTTTTTCTCAGGTCCAAGTCCTGCCCACATCCTGGTGTTTGCAAGCTGTACTATGATGGCCCCATTTGCAGAACTTGTGGAGGGGGAGCAGGATCCAAGTGATCTAAAAATGTCCTGCTGGCACATTTGCCCTCACCCCTGCATTGGACTCCCAAAATGTTGATACTGCCTTTCCCTGAGGCACTTGAAAGCATTTCCCAGCCTGCAGCAACCCCTCTGAGGTAGGAATTCCATACAGCATCAGGATTCCCACCCCAAACCCCCTTGATCAGAAAGAACCGAAACAAAATTCTCCAGAAGTTGGCTCCACAGCACAGCACTGAGAGCTAGAGTTAACACCTGACACATAACCGTTCCCTGTCTTACCATCTCTGCCTCTTTTCTGTAATTGCTAGGCGCTTCCACACAGCCTGCTCACTGAACATTCATCCTGATGCTTGTAGGGCGATCAGACAACATTGGTTATTTAATGAGCGCTCATTCTGATTTATTTTCTTTGCATTTTCTCATATTTCCTTATCAGAAAAAGTCCAGTCTTTCCGGGGAGTATGGAAACTATAAGTCACAAAGCAATGGGTACTTTTTAAGTTTAGAAAGAAAGAAAGAAAGAAAGAAAGAGGCTACAATCCTGTTCCTCATTTTTTCTTACACATTGTATAGAACTCTGGGTTTGAGGCAAGCACTGCTGCCATCCACGGAAAGTAAAAACAAGGCCAGTCCAGGACTAAGAGTCACATACTCAGAAGGGCTGGAGTCAGAGTGCCAGTACCAAGGAAATTTGAGGAGAAACATCCACACCAGTTTTGGGGAGCATTATATACACATACAGAACTATGAACACACAGTTCTTCAATGGCAGAACAGACCTAGATGCTTCTCAATGGTCTGTCTTCCTCCTCCTCCCTGTTTTAAAATGAATGGTTCCTTCTTTCACCTAGTCCTAGAGCGTTAGAAGCAGGAAATACACTGTCCCATTGACAGAAATATTATGTACCCACAGATTTCCTAGTAGCTGACTGACCTGGGCAGAGGCCAGATGGAGAAACCCCATTGCACCACAGATACCTGTAAACCTGGCTCTTGAAACACTGATCAATTCCACAAAATAGATGCTAGCACTATGGGTGAATGACATCGCTGGCCCATGCAATCATCTCACTTGTGGCTTTGTGCCCAGCTTGCTCCATCTCCCCAACCGGCTGAAAAACTGTAATTTTCCACAACGTCAGACTGATCCACACAATGTCACTTTGGGTAAGAGGTAAATAGACCAAAGTTGGCACCTCTGGGCATACCTGGGCATTTGATCCGTCCAAACATCAGAACCCCGGGCACTGCTGGCTGATGCTGGCAGCAAAGAGTGCCAGATGAATGGAAAGGACCATCCAAGGCTAATTACCACTAGCACTTCTGGATCTCACTGTGTGTCAACAACACTTCCCAGTCTCTACTGCCTTTATGTTAATCCACAGCCAATATAGAGCAAAGGGACTGGGCAGCTGCATAGGTGGCATTTTGCAAAGATTCAGTCCAAAAGAGCCCCAGTTATTGATAGAGCCAATTTCATGACACACGTAAACATGCAACAAGATGGGGAACAAGGCTTGGCTACTGTGGCTCCAGAAAGAAGCAAGTGGCCCAAAACTATTCCCCCACCCACAACTGCATAATTGTCTTGCTCCGCACTACCTATCAGAAATAGGCATTATGACAATAGTTGAATGCTGTGCGATAAGAAAGTTATGTTTTGTGACAGACAATCCTTGAAAAAGCCAGGAAATATTCTCTTCTGGGGGCAAATCCTATGCAACCTAAGTCCGCCAATGCTCATCAGATGAAAGAGAACTACCCAAGAGGACAAACTGGGGGATAAGAGAACAGGACACAAAGAGGTGAGAGAGGTGACCAACAGGGTTTTTATGTGCTACTGACACCACAACCACCCCTTGTTTGTCTCTTCTTGGAAATGCTTGTGGTTCCCAGACTGGGACATTCTGTGCCAATGTCATGTTTATTTGGTATTTTGGGGAATGTGGACATTAGAAAATCAAGCCCCATCAAAAAGAAGTGTCAGAGAGAGCTGTCCCATTCTTTCCCTGGACCTCAAAGAGAAGCTGTAGGCTCTGAGATACTATTACTGTCTTGGGATAGGCGATTAGTGGGTGATGGGTTTATGCTGCTATTTCAATTATGTCTAGGCAGCTCAATGAGGGGATTAGCTTCTTCTCTGTGGCCAGAAAGCTCCGAGTGCCTGCTCCAGTGACCTAGAGACACTACACGAACTGCATGAGAGCAAGCAGGAGACTTCAACGCCAGGTGACTGGGTGGGGTGAAATGCAGGGGCATTTCTGATTCACCTTCCCATCATAGAGTTGGAAGGGATCCCAAGGATCACCTACTAGTCCAACCCCTTCCCTTGTCCTAGTAGCCTCTGCAAACATCCTCTTTCCCATTTGACAACATTGACTCCCAGAATTGGTTAAAGATTGACTCGGAATATATGTCGTACTCCGAAGCTACGCTGGACTCTCCCCGCTGCACACCCTCTTTTCCCCACCCCAGGGCACAAAACAACATTGACAAAGGACTCCAGAAACAAAAGTAGCAGCCAGAGCATTGAGCAACAGTATAAAAGTTGTGTCAAGGGAAGAAGGCAAGGATGTGCAAGTCATTATATACCATTTCACACAAAGAGCACTGCAATACAGTGGTACCTCGCAAGACGAATGCCTCGCAAGACGGAAAACTCGCAAAACGAAAGGGTTTTGAGTTGCTTCGCAAGACGATTTTCCCTATGGGCTTGCTTCGCAAGACGGAAACGTCTTACAAGTTTGTTTCCTTTTTCTTAAAAACGTTAATACAGTTGAGACTTGACTTCGAGGAGCAACTCATAGCACGTGGTGTGGTAGCCTTTTTTGAGGTTTTTGAGGACTTTGGTGATTTTTGAAGCTTTTCCAAAGCTTTTGCGACACCGTGCTTCGCAAGACGAAAAAAACCGCAAGATGAAAAAACTCGCGGAACGAATTAATTTTGTCTTGCGAGGCACCACTGTATAGCAAAAGAGGAGCAGTGCTCTTAGTGCCTGTGCATGTGAAAGCATGTGCACACATTTGCAGGCCTGCTGGGATGCTTTCTAACACCAAGTGCTGAACCTGGGCAGCAAAGGGTATGTGCACAGTCCAAAATGTCCCGCAACCAGGCAAATATGGGAATCTGAGTAGTTTTCGCACATACCCTTTGCTGTCTAGGTTCAGCCAATCTGAACCGCACTTGGGCAGGTGGTTCACCCGTTTATCATCTCCTTTCATTTTGATTAATGCTGGCTGGCCTGACTTTGTTTCTAATCAGCAGAATCACATTCAGTTGAATGGAGATGGCCCAATGGGCACAGCCCTTTACACGTGTGTTTGTGTGCATGAAAATATGTCTGTGCATGCATTGATGTATTATTATTTATTACATGTGTATCTTGACGTTCCTCCAAAAAGAGCCAGCAGGTCAGCGAGCAGAGCAGCAATAGCACAATTAAAACATCTAAAAACAATTCCAATACACATGCAGACATGTGGATTGAAAAAGCTATGGGAGGAAATAGTGTGTGCGGGTCACAGATCATACAGTGCTGTGCTGTATGCCCGAATGTCAGGGTCTGAGTGCTCTGTGCTTACAAAACGATGTTTTATGCAGGAAAAATATAAAGCAGCACATGAGAGGAAATGTGTAGAGGAATGCATGGACGTGCCTGTGAAATGCTGCAGTAGAGAAGACCTGCAATCTCTATGGATGGAATGCAAGGGACTTTGGTGTCTGTGTGTTGCAGCTATCCAAACTCCCCTTCCCCCACATGTTCCAGGCCTGAAACTGGCACGGTGCCCCCTGGCTGGGGTGCAGGCTATTTCAGGCGTCTCCTGGGAGCCTCGCTCTCAGTAAATGTAGAAATCCAAAACACAAACAACACAGCGGTGTGGATGGGGGCTAACATTTCCCACCTGCTGAACTCTACATGTTTCCTTGGTAATGTCTGATGACTTGTGGAGGGGGGGGGGCTTTAAGGGAAGTAGCATCACTTCACCTATGAGAGAAGTGAAGAGCCTAGCTCTGGTAAAGGCACCTGTGAAAGGCACATCCTGCCTTCCACTTCCCAGGCTATTTGGGGGAAGAGGAAATGGACAGGTGCATGAGGACTTCTCGGTAGTTGTGCCCGCCCTGTGGAATGCCCTCCCATCATATGTCAAAGAGATAAACAGTTATATGACTTTTCATAGATATCTGAGGGCAGCCAAGTGTGCTTTCTTAGTTTGGGGAATTCCCAGACTCTACATCCACTGCCCTTCTGCTTAAGATTGTTGTGATGCATCTGCATCTAACACCTTTTTATACTGATAGCTGTAAAATATAGGGCTGCGATTTCCTGCACTTGACACATCTGAGGAACTGCCTGCGGGCTATATTATTTATGAAAACCTGGCTACACTGGAAAGCTTTATTGTATCTAATTCTGGCTTAAATGTGCTTTAGCAACTGATAAATAATATAAATTGATACTGTGCTTTAATGATTTATACCGCCTATTCTGAAATGAATGTACTATGTTATAACAGTACAGTATTAATGAAACAGACTCCTTTGTGGAGATTGCTGTATTATGATTTGAAACGAATTGGTACTGAGCTGTTTACGCTAATGCTGCTTTGCTGCGTTCTCATGTAGTGCATCGCTTTGGGCACATCTGTGCAGAAAAGCAGCAAACAAATTAAGTAACAATTCCTCAACATCACCCCCCCCCGACCACCGAGACCCATGGATCCCTCTCCCCTGCATTCCAAGGGGGCAGAATATGCCAACTCAAACCTGACGTATTCCCCGCAAACTCACCAGCAACCCCTCACTGCATTTTTCTGCCATGGTTGGGGGCCGTGATGTGAGCGCCCAGCTGCCCACTGTCCGTCTTGATGGCTAGGCTTCCCAGGCTACACAGAGAGCTCAGACAGAAGCGCAAATTAGACCAAAGAGACAGGAAGCTGTGGAGAATAAAACGGGCTTTGGTTAGAGAAAATGAAACAAGAGAAGACTCCTGTCCTCTAAATTAGGGGTGACAAAACGTTTTTGGGGGGGAGGGTCAAGGGCCGCATTCACTCCTGGCCAGTCCTGCAGGGGCCACATACTAATGGTGGGTGTGGCCTAAAGTTATTGCAGTCACCTCACATTTGCACACACACACACAGAGCCCCCTTCTCCAGCAGATCAATGTGGAAGGAGGGGGTTATTGCTCATCTCTGCTCATCAAATGATTGATCTGATGACCACAGAATGAGAGATTTGCATCCCCATCAGGGTGCTAAGCAGAGAGCTTGAACCCTCCCTGACCACTCAAGTTCTGTGTCTACTTTACTTCATCCACACCAGCACTACTTTTTTGCCACTGCCATCAAAATTAGGGGTGGGGGAGGTGGTTTGGGAAGGTGGCTGGATCAGGCCTCTGGGCCAGGGGTAGTTACCCCTGCTCTAAATATTCAATGAGGGGAACACACACACAAACACACGTGACCAAGACTGGTGCATTTGCAAGGACCATCTCTTTTTACAGCAAAAATTACGTTGCCGTTTCCCAGTCTACATTCAGCATATGCCCAAAGATGGTAAAATGAGAGCAGGGCTGGGAGAGGATGCAGAGTTTGGGTTAACAGGCACTTATATCTGCCCCATCATTCCTGGTTCCTTCAGCCCATTGCCATCTCTGAAGCGGGAAGAAGCTGCAAGAATCACACACGTGGCTGCAAAGAGCGTAGCCAGTGCTCAGGGCAGGAGAAGTCTTCAGGGCACCAAACACGCACAGGGGCACAGCTGCCACTGAGGACACAGATGGGAGGCAATTGCCTTCCACCCTGGTGCACCTAGTCACGTGCCAGGTCAGCTCTGCCATTGTGCTAGAGACCAGGTGGTACTGCCAAGCAGCGAAAAAGGGACAGCCATGGTGTCTGTGTGTCTGTCTGTGGCAGGGAAAGGCATCGCCCGAGATAGTTTGTAAGACATCGGCGACAAAAGTGAATTGGTTGTTGGTCATGAAGGGGGCAGAGCATGAAAGGTTGCCTCTATAAACTGTAGCACATGGGGAACAGGGTGGATGGGGAGAGGACAGGGTGGGTACTTAGAGGGACCTTGCTGGTGGCTGAGCCTGAGCCAGTGAGATAAGGAGCTGAATGAAGTGTGCAAGCTCTTCTCCACTGTCTCACACAAAGGGGACGCAAATTCCGAGTCATTTTTGTCTCTTCTGCGATGATTTAACTCCAGATAAGGTGACTTGGAGAAAGCAAACCTGAATTGACTTTTGTTCAGACCCTCAACTCAAATGGCCCAGCTTCATGTTAAATGCCAGGGGTCAAATACCCCATGGAGACTGAATACCAACCACCCAAAATGCACGCAGCAATTGGTAGTGTTAAAAATTCTTTTTAATGTACTATCACTGCACTTAGCTGCCACTCCAAGGATGTGGCTACTGTAAGGAAAGGGTTCTGGTAATTCTGTCTTCTCAGCTCCTAGCAGACCTATCTGAGCATTCACTTCTGCCTGTGCTTTCCAATGGTGGGCCCCAGGTGCCCGCCCCCCCAGGGGGCTGACCTAGCTGCATTAGACATTTCTGGTCACCAGGGAGGAAACATCACCTCATTCTCTTCAACCTGGTCTCCAGCTAGGGGAATGTGCACATGTAAGCATGAACACCAGAGTCCTGGTCTTCTCTTATCTTCCATAATATACTTGGGTCTGAGTACCAGGGTAAACTGGCGCTGAAAGCAGAACTCGGCAACAAGAAAGTAGACACAGACTGTCATTCAGTCTCTCTAAATTATTGAATTAAAATTCAGAACCCAAATTCGGGAACACTAACGACTAAATAAAAAACATCAGGACCACAGGATCCGTGATCGAATATAAATTATGAAAACCAATATAATCAAGCAAATTAAGCAGCTTGGGTTTTTGCAAACGTTGAACAGGGCAAAAGAGAGAGGTGTTTATAAATAACATGGCGGACTCACTAGTTTGGTTGAAATGCAGCGAGCCATGGGGTTGGGTGGGGGGACAGCGCTTCATTTCAGCTTCAGGACAAGGCTAGATCCTTTTGCTTGACATTCTATGGATGCTAATTGTATTCAGCAAGCAATAAAGCTGAACAAATTGTGCTTCACTTCCTGTGAACAGGACTGTGAACACAAAACTGGGCCCTGGATATCTTATTGTGAGACAACCACTAAACAGCTGGCACATTCACTACAGAAAAACAGGAGGTGGTCACTGCCACTTTTTTTTCCAATTCTCCAGGGCAGAGGTGGCAACCTCAATACCACAGGACACGTTTGGTTCCTGGACACTTGAAAGGGCAGCTCCTGAATAGTTAAAGACAGTGAACTGGAACAGATGCGTCATGAGTATGAGCACACAGACTTGCCTCTCATCCCATTTCTTCCATCAACTATTTTCTCATGGATTAGTTAAAATATATTCATTTTTTATTTTTATTAATTAAATTTCACACCACCCTTCATCCAAAGATCACAGGATTGTTTACAATATAAAAACACAAAAATATATAACATAATGACAAAAACAGTAACACCCCCACCCCACCCCCCATTTAAAAGGCTTTAATTAGCCAAAGGCCTGAAAGAAGAGAAATGTTTTTTGCCTGGCACCCAAAAATATGCCATTCTTTGGAGACATGATTATATTCATACTTAATATTGTATATTTTTCAAAGCACTTTACACACACTGTCAGTTGCCCTTACAACAGCCATCTAGGGTACTCTGTATTATTAGCCCTGTACTGCAGACTGGAGAAAAATATGTCTCATCCAACATCCTCTACCAAATCCATGGCAGAGGGGATATTTAACAAGGGACTTCCTGGTTCAAAGCTTAGTCATTTAGTTACTACACTGTGCTGTGTTGGGAGCTGGTCAGTGAAATCCCTGCCCTGGAACTTGTGTAGAAATGAATTCTCTCTACCACAAGAATAAGTTTCAAAGCTTTACTGCAGAACCATCTTAAACACTAGTTAAAATAAGATAAACATTGCAAAATAACAAAAGTAATACATTGGAAATGGGTCCGGTCCTTTATGCAGTTCAGTAAACTTTTCTCTCTCTGAACCCAGAGAGAGATCCTAAGCTTGTTCATCATTGCAGAGCTTCTTTGCAGCCACTGCTGCTCCTGCCAGCTATCTCCCAGAAGCACATGCTGGCTTCTTAAGTTCCAACTTCCTGCTGTGAGAGCTCTGCGGCTCTCCTGTGATGAATCACCAGGTAGTTTACCTTATTGAATGAAAAAGTATCAGTCTTCTTATAGGGCGGCTTCCCATACATTTTTGTACCAGTGGTCTATGTTCACTTCTTATGGGTCCTTCCAGTGTCTAGTTACAATATTTCTAGCTGCTGAGAGTAAGTGACTTAAGCTTAAAGCAGCATGCGGGCAAGCAAAGGAGGACACCTTCACCCCGGTGTAGCTCTTTTTTATCACATATAAAGCACAACAAGACAACGACCTATCCCGCCCCAACAGCATACAAACTACTATGGCTAATCTGACCCAACAACACCTCCCCCCCCCCACAGCTCACAGATACAAACAAACCACACTGAAACCAAGCAAGCTTTGAAGCCTCTAATCTCTCGCAATGCCAATACAAATAAATATATAAATAAAGGACCTACACACATGATGCTGACACAAAAACCTTGTGCAAACACTATGCAACAGAATGGAAGATCGCTATCCCCCCATCTCTCTCCCTCCCTCTATTTCCCCCTAACCACACACAGTGTCTATGACAATAGTGTCTCATACCAAATGTAAATGAAATGTGAAAAAGACTCTATGAATCGAAAGCAGAGACTTTCCTTGTTCATTTGTTTGTATTCCAACAGAAGACAATCTTTAACAAGAACCAATTCAAAAATATCAGCCTTCTCTGACACTTTTGCTGGAGTGAAACTTCTTGCCTAAGGTAAACTTCCCTTTACGTCATTTTAAATACAATGCATTCAAACACAGCATGTGATGTACGTTAAACATATAACTATAACATGCTGGCTGCACTGAGGTGGGGTTTCACTTTGTATTAGAGACTGGCAGCATTAAACGAAGGAGTGATCATTACTCCAGCTGAATGCAAATGATAAGGGTGTGATCTTGTGCGCTGGGAAAGGGAACATTAAAAAAATGGTGCACTGCAATCTCTAGGCCTCCAGGTAGTGAGCTTCTGAAGAACACAGGGAGGGAACAACTGCCAAGTGAAGAAGAGGAGAGAGAGGTAGAAGTGGCAGGACACAAGGCCAGCTATACTGTTAGGCAGAGAGAGGGGTTCACCTCAGGTGGCAGATTTAGGTTGTGGGGAGCAGCAAGGTTGGACAGCAGTTCTGTGTGTGCCACACAGCCCACACCAGACCTCTTAAACTACTACCTCCAGGCAGAGTGGAGGATGCTAACATGTCACCAGTCTGGTTAATTTTAGATAGAGGTGGCACTGAGTCTCTCATGTTCTTCAACTTAAGCAGCAAAATGTTTTGGGCTAGCCCTTGTTTGATGTTTGAATTTGTTGGCATATTATTATTATTATTATTATTATTATTATTATTTCCTGAGGAGGAAGGAAGAAATACAACATAAGAAGTATAGACATAAGTTTAGAAGCAGCCAGAAAATTCAGCATCCTGCGAATTTTAGCTGTTGTTGATAAAGAGGTGGGTGGAAAGCAAATTTCTGGAAGTTCTGAAGGCAAATATAAGCTTGAACATCCAAGTCCCAAAAACCAGAAGGGAAATAAGCACACGATTTTGAGTTCAGGAGGAAGCGTCACAGCGCCCTGCAAATCTCTTCGGAAATCAGGGAAATGGTGATATGCAAAAGGTGCAAATCTGATTTACATGCTTGCTACCACAAATTGTGGCAACCTCTGTGCAGATCTCTCTCTTAAAAAATAAATAAATGCAAGAGTATGCACAGTCTTGGATATATGGCTGCTACACACGAGTTTTCAGCAGCCCTGTTTCAGGTAAAAGGTGAAGTCTCCACAACATTATAACCAGGAAACAGGCCCAGCATAAAATATGAGGCATGAGTGATAATCCTCTCTGCTGCTTCACAGCCTGGCTCTCACAACCAGAAAGGTGTTTAAACCACCAGCCTAGCAAACAAATTGCCCTCAGGATCCTGCCCAGTGCACACTTGCAAATAAATGTTCATTTCACTTCAAGGAAGGACACCATAATAATCACACTCTTATGCTTGCAGCAAGGAACTAGCCAAAGACCCAAGGTGAAAATGCAGCATAACAAAGGACACTCTTGAGGCCAGAGGAGACGTTGTGCAACCAAAGGGACCCTGAGGAGCAGCTGGAACAGAGGCCCTTTCTGCTCCGGTGTCCTAAATATAAGGAAGTACGTGAATGATACACCCTCAAGCTGTCAGGGATCAGACAAGGGGGGGAAAGTATGCTCTGTGGGGAGGTGCAGGAATGAAGCGACACAGAAGGCATTATGTGATAGGGAATCTACCCCGTTCCTAAGCTTGAGTGACTTGCCCCCACTCTAGATAGACACCGGAATGATGGCTCCCTTTTCATACTTGAGCAGTCCTTGTCCTGCCAACAAGCAGCTACTGAATTGGGATGCAGAAAAGTTTTTCTGCTCTGCCATGCCAAAAGCACGGAAGTGCAATTAAGAAACCCTGCAAAATAGCAGGACATCTCACAAAGGGGACACGAGGGAAGCTGTGCCCAGGGATGGCACTTTCTCTCAGAGCCACTTTGTCACTTTGTCCACACACTCTTTCTCTCTCAAGTGGACTGACCCACCCTGCCCACGGGACCGAACAAGGAGCTCTCCCCCCCCCGCCACACTCACTGCATTTTGGCCTGGGGGAGGAAGCACTCCTGCCAACCATGTCTTGGTTCACTGAATAGCCTTCAGCAGCTGTACGTCACAACTATAAGGGGATCAGAAGTCGTGCAAGAAAGTCAATTGTCTTGGAAGAGTCAGCAACGACTTTGGTGGAAGGGAACTTCTGAGACCTGGCGGGAGTATATCACACTTGATACTATGGAAAAAATCCTGGCCTTAGCTCAGCCCAAAGTGTTATTTTAACAGTACAGTGGTACTTCAGGATAAGTACTTAATTCGTTCCAGAGGTCCGTACTTAACCTGAAACTGTTCTTAACCTGAAGCACCACTTTAGCTAATGGGGCCTCCTGCTGTGCCGCCGGAGCCCAATTTCTGTTCTCATCCTGAAGCAAAGTTCTTAACCTGAAGCACTATTTCTGGGTTAGCGGAGTGTGTAACCTGAAGCGTATGTAACCTGAAGTGTATGTAACCCAAGGTACCACTGTAATCAGATCTCCACTCTTGCCACTGATGGCTAGCACGAGACAATAATGAAGATTGCCCTAGGATTACATGTCTGGCTATTCAAACGGCTGAACCCAGATGCTAGGAAACTGAGGACCACCCAAACCACACTGGCAACATCCACATCTCAGTGGTGCAAACAGCTTGATGCTGACCTGCATGAGCACAAGTATGGTTATGTGGGACAGGGCAACCTGCACTTTTATCTCCTCAAGGATGGATGAGACTGTCTCAGAATGAAGCATTGATCTGGGATGTAAGCTAGTGACTCTTGCACGTCCCAGCCCATGAGTGTTGGTACTGTTTTGCTGATGGGCTGAAATGGAGATCTGGCGGAACATTATTCCTCATAATCAGAAATAAAACATTGTTACAGATTCTTTTTTTAAAATTAGAACTCCAGGGGGTAGCCATGCTAGTTTTGCGGCAGCATAAACAGAAAATGATATCACAGCAAAAAATAATTATACATTCATTCCCTGTTTTCTACTTTCATCTGTATTCAGGGAGGGTCAACATATATTTCACTTCAGGCATTTGACGAAGTGAGCTCCGACCCACAATAAACATGTAATTCTTTAAGGTGCCACAAGGGTCTTTGCTGTTTTGATTATTCAGAAGGAGTAATTTTGTAAGTTTCCTCAGTCTCTCTTTGTAACTGAACAGCCTCCATTTCTGAGTGCGAAGTGAGCTTTGTGCCTTTCAGTCCATCCTCAGGACTGAATCTATTATATAGGCTCTTTGTTTTAGTTGGGCACACTTTATTGTGGCAAGCTAGCAGCACATTCAACAAAGTCGTCTGCAGCCATCAAACCTGTTGCAATTAACAATATGTAAATTATGTGTGGATTCCCCCCCCCCACTGTACCATTGGTACATTGTTGCATTAACTGATTTCCTACTGCCTGAACACCTTTAACTTTCAGATATGTAATTCTACAAGTCGGCATGTGGCCAAGCTAGAAAGAGAACACAGGATACCTTGAGGCAAGTTTAGGCTCCCAAAGTTGAGTGAAAAACTAAGTTCTTTTTCGGCATAATGTGCGTGTGCGTGCGTGTGTGTGACATACACACACAGAGAGAGAAATCCTGGTGGCACACCATTGACAAGTGCTGGCAAAAACCTCTCACTGATACTACCCCCAAGCTGATGTAGCTATTAAGTCACTCCTTCAACTCCAAATTCACACCATTCTCCACTTTCTATATGATGTCAAAATACTGACCCCACCACAGCATCGGCTGAAGGAAGCACCACCACCCCTGGCACACACGCACACACCCCGCGGGTGAAAACAAATCCAGAGAAGTCCGAAACACCTGGCCAGAGGGGGCGCGCGATCCCTTTAAAAGCAGCGGAGGGGGCAAGAAAACGGGGGGTTACATCAGCTGCCACGTGGGAGCAGCTCCGCGCCCCGCCCCCGCACATGCCGGGGTGGAAAATTACAGCGCGCGGATCCCCCGGCCCCCGGGAGCGCCCGGCAACTTCACCTCCCCTAGGCCAGAAACCCGCGGCGTCCAGACAGGCCGCGCGCACCCGCTCCCTTCCCGCGTGGCGGTTTCCGTAAAGCTCAGGGGTCCGGGACGCCCTTTGACAGCCCGCCTCCGGGGCTGCCCGCTACAGGTCTTGCCTCGAGGCAGCTCCGGTGACAGCGGCGGATGGAACACACTGGAAGCCGCGCCGCCTCCGGACCTTCGCCGGCGCTTCCTCGGCGGCACCACGCTTTCCTACCACGCTTTCCCCGCCCCTTCGTTTCTCTTTTTCTCTCGCGCACACCGGCGCGCGTGTCTCCAAACCCAACCCCGGGATCCTTTTCTCTCTGCCCGCGCCTTACCCTCTCCATGCCTCTCCCGCCTCCTCCTGCCGCTCCCCGCCGGTGCCTCGCCCGGGCTTTTCAGGCGCGCTGTCAAGGTGGAGGATCCTCTTATAGCGAAAATTGCATCAGCCCGAACCGTACTCCTTCAGCCTCGCCTCGCCGCCGCGCACCCTGCGAGCTCGCCTGCTGCGCGTCCCGGGAGCAGCGTGTCCGCGCGTGGCAGCCGACAGTCCCTCTTCTGCCGCGGGCTCGGGGGGGACGCCGACTTTAATGAAAGTTCTGGGAGAGGATTCCGAGGGGGCGGCAGCGGCAGCAGCAGCAACGGCGGCGGGCACGTCCCGCCTTCCCTGGCCGGCTCCGCCCCGCCCGATCCCGCCCCGCTCGCTGATTGGGGCGATTTGTTTTCCCGACCCGCTCCCGCCCTGCCGCGCCGTGGGGCTCTGGGGAGGGGGCTGCGCAGAGCCCTGGTGGCCGCGGAGAGAGGCGGCTCCGCGGGACCCCAGAGGCGGCCCCCTTCCTCGCGCTCACAGCGTCAATAAATATCGTCGCCACCCACATGACAGGGAAAACATATACCTCGAAGGCATGCTCCGGCTTGGAGGCGCGCAGGCGCGCGCGCCCGGGCCGCAGGGGGCGCGGACGCACAAAAGAAGCGCGCGGAGCAAAACAGATGGCTGTGGCCACGCGCGTACTCCGAAGGGGCACCGGCGCAACGCGCTCTCTCTCTCTGACAGACAGACACACACCGACGCAGAAAGCCAGCTGGGGGCACGTACATTTTCTCGTGGAAACATGTGCGATTCCCTTGGCACATAGATGCGCAACCAGGAAGACATCCGCGCAAGCGCCCCTCCCTCTTAGGGCTCCAGCTCGCAGACCCGAGAAGCTCCCACGCGCCGAGCAGCACCTTGGACAGGCACGTCCCAGAGAAGACGCGCGCGCGCGCGCCCCCGAGGTGCTTTCGGTGGACCCCTCACAGCGGCTGTAGGTGCCTCAGGTCCTCATTCCAATCAAGCATCGGACGAAGCCGACAATAAACCTGTTAAGGCTTCAGGTTGCCCTCTAGGAAAGCCTCGTTGTCTTGGGCCCCTTCTTACCTGACAATCCCAGCGATGGTTCCCCAGCCTCGGGGGGGCCGTGCCTTAGAAGCACCGTGTCTTCCCTGCCCTGCCCTGTCATCTCGGGCCCGCTCTCCCCAGAGTGCTCGATCTTCTTCTCCAGCCCAAGACCGAAGGCGCCCGGCTTGTTGCGTCTTGCAAGCAAAGGGATCGCATTGCTCAGCCTTGGTCAGACAAACGCGGGGTTCCCTTCTACGTACGAACTGTCCCAAGTGCTGTTAAGAGCCCACTTGAGGAGGGATGGAGCAGCCCCCCGCCCTAGCCCCAGAGTCTGAAACGCCCCCCCCCCCGGTTAAATTGGTCCACAGATTTTGCTCGAGATTTGCGTGTTGCTACGTGGCAGCGATTCTTTGCTGCGCCAGGGAAGCGAGGGATTTTGCGCGCTGCCGCCCCCTGCCGGCCCACCCTGGGGTCTGCGGGTGGGGGCTTGGGGCAGGGAGCAAAACTGCCTCCATCCCGGGACGAAGATCGCAGCTTTGAGCCAAAGAGTCTGCTAATCGATCCAAACCAAACAAAAAAAAGTTCCCAGGGTCGACTTCCCTCTGACTCTCGGCGCCCACCTGCCAGCAACAATCGCCCTCTTAAGCCGCAGTAAGGTGCAACTGGCTGTGACAGTGTCCCCCAGAAGACAAGTAGGAAGTGTTTCGTGACGCTTCCCCGCCCGCCCCCCTCACCGCAAATGCAGATGCCATCATTGTACTGAAGTGGCATTTCTTTTATAGGACAGGCGCCACAAGTGCCAGTGAATAATGCAACGGGTTCCAGCAGTCCTCCCTGTGACAGGTCGCTGGTGCTGCTCCACCTCGCGTCACGGGGGGGGGGGACCTGTTGACCAAGAGAGCGCCTGCTACTGACCTCTGCCTCTTCCCTCCCCCACCACTGTCAGCATATCTCTTCCTTACATCAAGAGCGCATTGGGAGAGGAGGAACACTACTTTCTGTCCGTCTGTTTTATCATGCAGAATCTGTTTGAAGGCTCAGCTGTACAATTGTACCAGGGATGGACTTCAGAGGGAGACTCCAAAGAAGCCAACTCCTGCTTAGCCATTGGCTGTTTTGAGTTCATTGCTGCGTGTGCCTCTTGCACCTTATGCAGAGTATCTTCTACTTTACACCTCTGCTCACAAGGCTTAGTACAGGCTAGAACCCCAGCTTAAGTGTGTTGGGGAATTAGGAAAATCCACCTTTTTGCCACTTTTTAATCACACAGTTGTCAGCACAGCAGAAGTATTACACAATATTGAAAGATACCTAATCTCTGTTTAGACAGATAACATGCTTTCTAAGGGACATGTTCCAACACCCAGGTATGGCAGCAAGCAGTGCTTTTTTTGGTATTAAAAAAATGAGGTGCCAGCACTCATACATTGAGACAAGCAAGACTGACCCGCCCATTAGCCTTGGTCAGAAAGCAGGCTGGGGACAGCTGGGAGGGGCAGCAGATCCAAACCTCTGAGGATTGCACCTCCTGTGCTTGTTTCCCATGCGCAGCCTGGGAAGACGCAGGGCTGCTGCCACCTCCTCCTTTCTGGCCTCCTTTTCCTTCTCCTCCACCTTTGGTGTTCCAGGGCTTACCTGGGCCTCCTTCAATTGCCTCAGGTTGAGGTGGGACATGGCAGCAGACGGCTGGCGGAGGAGGAGGAAGAGGAAGAGGAGCCTGCTGTGGCAGAGGTACCATTTTCTGTTCTGCCTCAAGCAGCAAAATGTCTTGGGCCACCCCTGGATACAAGTGCTGTGGGTGCCAGCGCAAAATGGCTGCCAAGAAAGAGTAGTGTCGGGCTGCGAGGGGGGGAGAGGGAGCCCTGGCACTGCTGGCAGTCAGTTTGTGCATGTGAGAACATACGTGTTGAGGTTTGAAAACTCTCTCTGTGTTTGTTGACCCAGGTAATGGGACTGCTGAGCAGGCAAAGGGCCTTTAACTCTGCCCTTCTGGGCAAGAAGCATGAAAGTAAAAGTTATGACTGAGCTTGTGGTTTCTGAATAAATGGATAAGCATGCACAAGCTGCATGCAGAAACTTGTACCGGCTGCTTATTCACATATCTCCCATCTCTGAGATAAGAGTAGGGCTTGCACACAAGCAGGCTTTTTACCCGTTATCTAAGAGGAAATTAAGGAAGAGGGGGCAGCATACATTTCAGTTTATCATGGAAACCACCAGAAATCCCTCCCTCCCTCATAAGCAGGTATTTGGGGTGATGAACTTTTCCCAATCACCTTTTTTCAGTGCAACTGATCTTTATCTCTCACTTTTTTTCCTGAAGATGGTATCTGCAGAAAGTGAAAGCACTTTAGTGGGTATGGGTTTAGTGGGTATGGGGGTGTGGGTCCTTTGGCCTCCAGACCTGACGGTGGTAGGGAGCACTGGCATAGCCAGGGGGGCAGGGAGGGTCAACTGCCCCCCAATCAATAAACTTCAATCAAAATACACAACAAACTGAGGTTCTGCCCCCCCCCAACAAAAATCCTGGCTATGCCCATGGTAGGGAGCCTTCACACATGAGTGGCCCCCACTGTTTCCATTGCTCAGCATCAAGCCCACATTCCTGATCAGCTCCCACATCAGTGCCTATTTCATAATACCTTCCCCTGCATTCTTAGAACAGAACGTTACAATCCACTACTTCTTGAATATGATCTACTGCTACCTCTTCCCAAAGGATCTTCTACCTCTTCCCAAAGGATCCCAAAGAGTTGCTTAAAGCTTGCACGCCTCACACTGCAGCACAAATAATGGAGCCCCGTGGCTCCTGAACAACTAATAGGATATATAATGACTGTTTGTATGAGTGCGGAAGATTAGATCTTTATCTCAGGAAACTGTTGAAGCAGGTGCTTGGTACATATTAGCAGGATTGGCAATCAGAAGCATTTGGCAAAGAAATAGGAACAAACATTGCAGCGCTTCAGGTTATGCCATACACTTGAAGTTCTTTAGAAGGCAAGATTAAAGGCTCAGGGTATCTCCACATGATGACCAACAAGGGATCTGTGTGATCATTTAACTAAGCACACTAGGTAAAGGTAAAGGACCCCTGGACAGTTATGTCCAGTCAAAGGTGACTATGGGGTGTGGCACTCATCTTGCTTTCAGGCCAAGGCTTTTGTCTGCAGCCTTTTGTCTGCAGACAGCTTTCCGGGTCATGTGGCCAGCATGACTAAACCACTTCTGGCACAAAGGAACACTGTGACGAAAGCCAGAGCGCACAGAAACGTTTACCTTCCTGCCGCACCAGTACCTATTTACCTACTTGCACTGGTGTGCTTTCAAATTGCTAAGTTGGCAGAAGCTGGGACAGAGCAACGGGAGCTCACCCCATCACATTTGAGCTGCCGACCTTCTGATTGGCAGGCCCAAGAGGCTCAGTGGTTTAGACCATAGTGTCACCTATATCCCTTTACCTCAGGGGTCAGCAGCCTTTTTCAGCCATGAGCTAGTCCACCATCCCTCAGACCATGTGGTGTGCCAGACTATATTTTTTTGGGGGGGGGGGAATGAATGAATTCCTATGCCCCACAAATAACCCAGAGATGCATTTTAAATAAAAGGACACATTCTACTCATGTAAAAACATGCTGATTCCCGGACTGTCTGTGGGCTGGATTGAGAAGGCGATTGGACTGCATCCGGCCCCTGGGCTTTACCTGCTTACCTGCCTACCCCTGCTTTACCTATTTACCCTTTACCTTTACCTATGCACTCTAGGCAATGCTAACTTGAAATATCCTGTCCTCATATGTTATTTTTTATGGTGGGGCTGGGGGAGTGGAATTAACCATTCTGCTGTGAATGTCCTTCTTAGTTTCTTTTTTTTTTTAAATAATAACATACATAGCTGAAGGGGAGGGAGCAGTAAAAACAAAAATTTAAGAGTGAAAAGAAGAAAAACTTTTCACAAGGCAGCAGGGCATTCCTGCAGGGAGGAGACATGCGTGAATGGGCATCAGTGATGTCCAGAAGGCCAGCTAATAGATGTATATGTCAGTAGCATAACCGTAACATATCCATGACATTCCAAACAGATGCAAAAGTGCTAGTAGTAGATGGGGCTGGAATAGCATTTTTTTCTAATGGAGGAAAAAATGCAGCCTGTTGCCTAAAATGTGTGCTTTCCTTTAAAGGACATGACATTTCAGGAGGGAGATTCCGTTTCCCCCAATTTCCCTGCAGTGAGTACACAAGCTGGAGGAAAGACTTGGGATCCAGTTCATCAATCGCAACCTGCGTTTGTACTGCTCAGTAGAACAGAATTGTTGAGAATGGTCCTCATCTGAACTACTTTGTTCAAGCTGAATGACACTGCTCCTTGCAAGGTATGAGCAACATTTGTGAAGGGAGATGGAGAAGTCTGGAACTGTTTCCTCTGGAAATGAAAAGAGC